CAGCTCACCTTGCCCGAGTCGAACTTCAGCTTGACCTCATCCAAAAAGAAATTGTTGACAATGCGGCGCTCAAGTCTAATTTACGTTGGCGAGAGCAAGGGGAAGTATCTGCTGGATACCTGAAACGCACTGCTACTACTAGACAGACTCAACGCCTTCTTCTGTCCATTCAGCACCCACAAACTAACGTATTACTACAAGAACCATCCGACATTCATGAAGCTGCTCGTTTCTTTTATCAGGACCTGTATTCCGCCGCTCCGATGGACTTACGCGCACATGATAGCCTCTTAGCATCGATTCCTCCCTCTTGTCGAGTCTCTGCTGCCTCTTGTGACATGCTGCTAGAGGAATTCGGTATCGAGGACCTGCAACTTGGTGCGAAACGTGCCCCAGCGAAAAGCAGCCCTGGTCTCGATGGCCTCCCCTACGAACTCTGGTATTTGGTCCTCCAACACCCCCAGTACAAGGTTCTTACGTGTGAGGTATACAATACCGCCCTTCAAGGCTCCTGTTTCCTTCCATCGTGGACCGCAACGTGTGTCGCGCTGTTGCCCAAGAAAGGAGACTTAACCTCCCTGCGTAACTGGCGTTTGATTGCCTTGATTAACACCGATGCTAAGATCTTCACTCGGCTATTGAATTCGCGCCTCATACAAGCGGCAGACAAGCTCATCAACCTGTTCCAGGCGTGTTTTATGCCTGGCCGATTCATAGCTGACAATGGTATGCTGGTTAAACTTATCATGGAACAAGAACGCAATAATATAGCACCATCTGGACTGGGGCTTTTACTAGATCAGGAGAAAGCCTATGACCGTATCTATCCGGTTTATCTTGAACGTACCTTGCTGCATTTTGGCTTTCCACCTAGTCTGGTCTCATCAATTGTCACCCTCTTTTTCACAACCAACATCACACTCAACATCAATGGTAACCTAACAGCTCCAATACACAGCGCCGCAGGCTTCGACAAGGAGATCTATTGTCCCCAGTGCTTTTCAATCTTGCAATCGAACCTCTGTTGCGCAGCATCATGCAAGATGAGTCCTTTGAAGGCATCCAGCCCCAATATGTCTCATCTTATACTCGCGTGCCTCCCCCAGCTCCCCTCAAAGTTCTGGCATATGCAGACGATGTTTTTGTGTTTCTCCGTTCCCCCTCGGACCTGCAACGACTACGGATTCACCTGGACCAATACCAAGCAGCTTCTAATGCTCGACTGAATACACACAAGTCTCAAGCCATCTCGCTTTCCGGTGCACTGGTGCCACACTGGGAGGGCCACTTATTGGATGCTGGCTTTCTGCCTCCGCACGATAGGAGCCACCCGAGCCCGGTAATCTACCTTGGTTTTCCCCTCGCCTCCTCTTCTAGTCAATTGAAAGTGTTTTTAGACGCATTACTCACCACTATTCAAACTTCTTGTCAAATTCATGCTTCCCGGCAACTATCCATCTGCAGCCGAGCCACGGTGTTGAACTCCTTGATCCTGTCACACATATGGCATGTACTCCGCTTGGTTGGGGCTGCTCCGTTCACATTCTTCGGCAAACTATGGTCCATCTGCAGCAAGTTCATGATGACACACATGTTTCCTCGAGTCAGCTATGACAAATTGTGTCAACCACGACATTGTGGAGGTCTTGGCGTACTTGATCCCCTTCTCCAATAACAGACCCTCCAACTGCGATGGCTTGAACCCCTCTTTCGGTTGCCCGCAGAACCGTCGTATATCACCGCTTGCCTCTGTCATCATATCATGGTAGCGTCCGCATCTTATGTGGATCCACGCTTCACATTAGTTTCTCCTGACGCACGCCCTCACTCACCGGAGCCAAACCAAGTCGCCTATCTTCTCTACAAAGCTACTGGCCGACTGCCTGTCACCTGGCTTTCGGCTGAATTGTCTGCTGCTACACTACTACACTTACCCCTGAACTGCATCTGGGCGCCCACACTGGGCAATGCCAACCTACGTCGCCCTGGATTTCGTACTTTACAGGTCGTGGATCTCTTTGTCTTCGACCACCACCTAGGCTACATTCGGCGTCAGTTTTCTACTGACAGAATCTTTCGACCTATTCTCACAACGCGTTTCTTCAATGACTTGGGCTCCGGACATATATATTTACTTGCGGGTTTCGCCCGCCTTTGCCTGCCAGGTGATCACCCTAGTGGAGGTCACTCCAGTCGCCTCGACACGATTGACGCTTCACCTCTCTTTCGCCGTCTCTCCTCTTCACTCCCGTTATGGCGTACCCAAGAATACCGGCGCCTCTATTCGCCGCCGACTGCCACCGTTCCCACCATATCGTCCCGAGACTGGTCTTCCTTCTGCCGATGGGATATGGAGCATACTGCCCGTAACATTTGGTTCCGTGCCATTCATGGTACTATACCTACAGCTCTCTGTCTTTTCGATATTAACATTGGCCATCTCGAGTCGCCTATGTGCCGGTTGTGCACCTCTGCTGTGGACGACCTCGACCATTTTCTTGTCTTCTGTCCTGTCAGGTTGTCTGTGTGGAACGCCGTTTGGAGTCATCTCTTCTTCGCTGATCCACACCCCCGACATCTTTTCTACGTTCATCATATCACTCAAGCTCCTACCAACAACACCGACTTCCAGTACATCGTTTCCATCTTACGACATCGCTGTCGCATGTACCCTCCATGCAATATGGGCGGCATATTGGCAACTCATCTTCCATGACCAGCCTTTAATTCCGTCTGCCGCCATATCTAGGGCTTTGGTCCTTTTAGAGCGTTTTCGCCCCCGTGACACTCTCTATTTTTCTTTCCTATCATTAAACAAAACAAAGAAAAAAAAAACACAAACAAAAAAATGCTTATATTCATAGAATCTCCCCCTCCCTACTACTTGTAACTATCCCTTTGTATGTTCCTCGCATGTGCCACACCTCTAAGATACAATGTTTGTAATAGCGACCAGTTTCGCACGCAGCACGCCTCTGTCCAAATTGCGGCACGCGTGACTGCAGAGAAAGTAAACTCTCCCTTAGGGATCCTCCTCCATATAAAAAAAAACCTCCTTACAAAAAAAATCTTGCATCGCAGCCAATTCACGCTTTCCATAAAGTGGCATTTTATGTCTTTATTGCAAAATCCGAGTCTCTTCATCAGCCAACTAATACAGAATTTTGACTAGCATATCCATTAACACATTATCTTCCAAAAATGAAGGGTGTAGCACATACAACTTACGCATGATACGAACAATCGCTTTGACCGTTTAAACAAGCTTCCGGTGGTTTGCATATTGCATCTTTGATGCGCCAGAGTGTCCCTTCAACACGCGATGATGCCCTTATTCGCATGTTCAAAAGTCTTCCAGCATAACAAGTACCCCATTTCTTCTTGAGTTCAGGGCAGCTATAAAATAAATATAATACAGCTGGTTAGCACAATCCAGCAAAAGCTCCGGTCAAAGATTGGATGATAAAGGTAGTAAACATACCCGTTGAGATAGTCCATCATTTTCTCTTTCTTTTTGTTTGCCAGCAAACGTATTGCAGACGTTGCATCATCTTCAGTATTTCTGTCGTTCTCGCCATTGCTGCTGTCGTTATCATGCATCGCTTTGGAATTTGTTTTCTTGTGCTTTTTGTTGGATCGCTTATGGTTCTCGTTGGCATACGCAAGAGCACCTTTCTCAATCAGACACTTATAAGCGTCGATGGCAGAATGGAAAGTCGCTTCGTCTTTTTACCAACATAAACCATTTGCTCAATGATGACTTTGGCTTCGCCTATTTCTTCGCTGTTCGGTGGAAAGCAACTACTGAAGATGCTACGTAAATGCTGCTCCATATGCCACCCGCAAAGTATATGCTCTGCATCTTTGAAAGTTGACTCGATGGCGTTGTTTAAAGCTCTTTCGTTGTCCGTAATGAAGATGCGTACGTTCCCTGCTGGCCATATGACTTGTCACATAGTTCGAAGGAGCCAGATGTACGACTCTTCTTTCTCGTTTACCAAGAAAGCAGAGACAATAAGCATGTTCTTGAGCTTGGATGCACCGAGATGACTGACATCAGCAACATTGACAAGAGGCATCTTGGTTCTGCTCGTTTTGTACGTCGCATCGATAGCAATGATCTCATTGCATCGTCGTACTTTTGCTATGGGTAAAAAAGGGTGTGGAGAATCTCACCTGTGTCCTCTAGCTTATATCTAGTGATACTTGTTACCAATGAGGATCTCGAATATCCTACTGAAGCCGCCATGATTGTCCTCACGGAATATTTGCGCACGAAAATTGTATAGGTCGCTCATGGTCATAATTGCGCCGTCTTCGTGGTTCTGAACTTCTCGATGTATCATGAGGGGCCTGTCGGAATTATCTGTCAATGATAATATTTGCTGCTCGGGATGGAGAGTTGGCGTGCGGTGTTGATGGTAATACTGAGGAGGCTTGTCGAGGGAGTGGTTGTGCTCGTTGTCGTTGCTGATCTTCGTTACTTTCCAGTGCATATCCTTCTCGCACCACCTTAAGTTCATGATCCATTGGCAGCTGATCGTTTTCGTCGCTGTTTAGCATCCTCGCGTTTCTTCAGTTACTCCGTGTGTATTACGATAGCTTCCACCATGTACGCACTGGATCACGATTTTTACGTTCTTCTCACTTCGTTTCGTTGAAACGGCAAAGTTGTATTCTCTGGCTTGCTCGTTGATTTCTTTCACAATTTGCTTATTTGATCCGGTGTAAGTACAGTAGTGTCAATCAATTGCTCCATAGTGTTGAGATAGTAGGGTGATAAACGTAGGTAGAAAGTTGAAGATATAATATCAAAGTATACTGTTTATTGAGGAGCATTTATTATACTTTATTAAAGCTACTGCACATAAACACATCCGTAGAGACACCCTAGAAAGTTTGAAAAGCATTAAGGAATGTTTTTCATGTACCTTTTATGGTTCTCTTTTGTTAATACAATCGAAAGATATATATTAACAATAACAAGTGAACACATCCAGTGAACACATCCTTGCGGACATCCTCACAAGTATATATTTATAGAATGTGTGTAACCCGATGAGGATTAAAAAGAGAAGGGGGTGCCCGTATCAAAAGCCTTTCTTTAGTGCACGATAGGTCACCCCAACGCAAAAATTTACAACGCCTTGGCTCTGGATTCCTACTATAGTTTCCGCTGCAGCTGCAGCTGAAAGGAAAGGATCCTACATATGATACGTATAGATTAACAGTCCTGTTTATTGCCTCTTGCGCTTACCATACCAAGATGCTTTAACATGTTTGAGACTTACTTCGCCAAATCCTACCCAGTTACGTCCAGCTTTGGCAACTCTTGCAATGTTCATCGATGGGCTTAACTGAAGACTGACACCTTTACCCCGAAACCCAGATCCCACGTCAATGCCACGCTGGCGCATCAACTCTTTATCGAAGGAGGCAGCAATGATAATTTCTGCAGGGAATGCGTTTACAAACGGTGAGCCTCGAACACTCAAAGGATCATTCGGCAAGACAGAGGCTAGGAAAATTAGGATTCGTTATGCTGGTCGTTGTGCCTATGCATGGGCCAATAAAAAGACCTTTGCCCGTGGTAAGCTTCGTGATATCATCCAGTGACATTTGTTCAGCGAGTTTGTCGGCTTTGGCATAAGCCTCATCCCATGAAAGTACATCGACAGATGAAACTGCTGCAGTCGAAGCTAATTGCAAAAGGAGTGATACCGACAGCTCATTATGTAAAATATTGATTTTTTTTGTAAGGAAAGGTATAAAAAACAGATATCATTCACCAAGGGTGATATAAGTTTTATTAAAAGTGCTCTACTTTATCTGTGTACGTGATACGCTCCGCGGGTACCACAATCCGCGTATAGCTCTTTTACATGATCTGTTCCCCTTATTCTCTCGTCCGAGAGTGTATCTCACGCTATATGGATTTTATAGCTCGAAGGTGGTAGATGAACGAATATCACGGCTGCTAGCTCCAACATGTAGCGTAAATGTTCCAGGCGAAGGGACAATCCATCCACCACCTTTCGTATCCCAGATGCTAAGGTCCTGCTTTGAGAATAGGAACGTTACAGGCTTTTGTTCGTCCTTAGTTAAAAAAATCTTCTCGAAACCGCGCAACACCTTGGGCGGTTCGCCAACGCTTGCGGGGAAGGAAAGGTACGCCTGAACGACTTCTGCTCCATCGACTTTGCCGCTATTCCGTATCGAAATATGAGCTTCCACCTCCGGTTTTTCTCCGCGAATCACATTAACTGCAAGCTGGCCATAGGTGAAAGTCGTGTATGATAATCCAAAGCCAAATTCAAACAATGGGTCGATTCCTTTTGCATCAAACCATCGATAGCCCAGCAACAGCTTTTCATTGTAAGGAACCTACGCAGGAAAAACCAAATGTTTTAGAGTCGGGACCCAGAAATAGAATATCATCGTTACCTGTAATTTCAAAGATACGTCCGCGGGATAATCTTGGTGTTGTTTTGCTATCGTATAAGGCAGTCGACCAGAGGGGTTGACATCCCCAAATAAGATATCTGCCAGAGAATTCCCGGTTTCTTGGCCTGGGAGACCTGCCCACACAATTGCTTTGATATTTGGATGGTCCGCGAAAGGAAGGTCAATCGGCCCAATTGCATGTATCACTAGAACTGTGTTCTCACAAACATTTGAGATATGTTCGATCTAAACAGTTCAGCAAAGTTAGACACAGTCTCTTTTCTAGACATTGTAACCACTTACGATAGGAACGTCTAATGGATCTACACCATGGATAGGCCGATCGAAAGCCTCCATCGAATAAGCGCTGCCGAAAACGATACATGTGTCGGTTGGCGATACAGTAGTTGAGATGATAGTAAGGAGATCGGATACAGGGCTGACATCTTGTAAAATCGCTTGTACTTGAATCGCTTCTTTTTTTGCGCGTTCAGTAATACCTTGCAATGGCTTATGGCCGCAAAATAATATTAATAAAGCCACTGTTAGCACCAAAAAGATTCTATGTCTGTAAATCTTCAACTTACGGTTACAAGGTACGGCATGTACGCTGATCCTGATCCTCCTCCCATAGAAGTTGTACCAGTGTCGCACATGTGCAAAGGGCACAAATTGGGTGGTCTAATAAATTTATCGTTTTGGTTAGCTAATTGTGTAAATCTGGTTATATTCATGCTGACCATACAATAACCCTGCCCCAGCATCAGTGCCTGCGACCACTATTCTTTTCTCTGACAGTTTATCACCACGAAGAGGGAGTATCCCGCCGTCATTTCGTAACAACACAGTTGAGGCAGCCCCTATTTTACGGATGCCATCTTTATGATTTCCTTGTACATTTACGCCTGGGTCTTTTGACGGATTGGCGGTGTTTATTTGTACTACTGGGTAATCCTGCACGACAATGAAGATCAGTCTATTGCTCAGACTGTCTCTTTTGTACGTGTTAACCTACTTTATCTTGGCCAAACTGAATCATGGTATTAGTAGGCTTTCGGTGATTATAGTAACGCTGCTTTTTTTTTGTTTTTACCTTGTAATAAGTAGCTACGATACGCTCAACCATGAGGTTAAGCTGTTATATGCAATTTAATTTATAAAGTCGTCCAACCGCGCAACCGATTTTCTTTTCTTACCCTTTGGTTTGATACTTTTCCATCGTCAACAGCAGCTCTTAGCTTGTCACCAAAATATACTGCGTTCCACGACTGCATCATTTCCATATCAAGCCCAGCATTAGCAGCTTTTGCAGTTGAATGCGTAGCTCCCCAATCGCTCTGCACGCATCCTCTGAATCCCATCTCGTCACGGAGGATGCGGGAGAGCAACTCGTCGTTTTCGCACGCATAGACGTTGTTAATTTTGTTATAGGCACACATGACAGAGCCGACTTGTGCTTCGACAGCTCGTGCAATCGGCCACAAATATAACTCTTGTAGCGTTCGCTCATCTATGTTGCTTGACATCTACGCAGGAAAAATTCCACTTGATTAAGAAAGAGCACATTCCGTCTTAATACCACATCATATCATTCTCTACTTGCATGTTCTCGAAACGTTTCTTGATTGTAGACAGCATAATGCTTGACAGTGGCGATCTAAAACACCCGGGTCATTCACTTTCAAAAGTCACACTGCGATGTTTGAGCCTTGTATCTGGAGATAACTTACGACACCCTGACTTTGAGCGCCTTTAATCGTTTCACTAACTGCGATACCGCTGAGCACCGGGTCCTAAGAAGGTTTTTTTGTAAATGCATTAGCCGGCCGTTGTTTGGTCATTTGATCTTTTGAGAAATAGCAGTATATCACTACTTTACCTCGCCAAAGGATTCCCAATTTCTGCCTGCGCGAGGGATACGAAGCAAGTCTGCACTGGGGCCAAGCCAAATATTGATCCCTTTACCACGAAACTCTTGTGCAATGTCTACACCGCGTTGTCGTATCATTTCCCGATCAAATGAGGCTGCCGCATTAATGCCAGCAACAAAGGCACTTGTCTTAGTTGAGCCCCGTATACCTAAAGGGCCATCATTCAAACAGAGCGACGGGAAATTCGCTGATCCTCCCGTGTTGCCTGTGCAGGTTTTTCCATTTTTTAAACCAGTAGTGATATTGACCTTTTCCGCAATGGTCATCTGCGCTACAAGCGAGTGTGCGATAGCGTACGCCTCATCCCATGAACGCTCTTTTGCGAGTACTAGCGAGATAGCGGCAAGTAGCAATACGAGCCACACTTTCGGGTTGTTCATTAAGTTGCTGAGTAGGGAATATCAAGAAAAGTAACAAAAGAAAATATGCCAAGTACGAGATCTCTTCCACCGTTTGCACTCCTTTATAGAGTGATGCACCCCTTACCGCCCCTTCACCACATGTTCTGATACCGTATTGTTTTAGAGATTCAGGAGCTAGATATATCTTCTATTTGTTTATATTACAGAACATGAAAAGAGATACGAGGGGAAATGCTCGTAAATATCACATTCTAGAATGGAAAAACAGACTTTAGATTATAAACGAAGCAGATGCCCGAATATCACGGCTGCTTGCACCAATATGGACTGTAAATTCGCCTTCACTGTGTTTCCACATTTCCGATTCTTCATCCCATACACTCAATTCTTTTTCGGTAAATTCAAAGTCAATCGCTTTCTGCTCTCCTGCCTGGAGAAAGACCTTCTGAAATCCTCGAAGTAGCTTTGGGGGTTCACCAGCTGATTTAGGGAAAGCAATATATGCTTGTGGAATTTCTGCACCATCGCGATCACCAGTATTACTGAGAGTAATACTTGCAATAACCTGGGCACCGGCACCCTGCTTTCTGGTAACCCTGGCGCTCAGGCCACTGTACTCAAAGTTGGTGTACGATAGGCCATAGCCAAATTCGAACAAAGGATCAATTCCTTTGGCATCGAACCATTTATATCCTACCAATAGTTTTTCGGAGTAATCGAGCTATCATTACAACAAATGCGCATTTTACTTATCAATGTGCTTTACCCTTTTCCTTCTGATCAACGACTGTATAAGCAAAAGGAGAATGTAAATTTACCTCGGCATCGCTTGAAATATGTGCACCATAGTCGTCCTTATTACGAGCAATGGTGTACGGTAGGCGACCTGACGGATTTACATCACCAAATAAGACGTCAGCCAAAGAGTTACCGGATTCTTGACCGGCAAGGCCCGGCCAAACAACAGCCTTAATATTTTCATGATCGATCCAAGGCATAAGCACTGGCCCAACGGCATTGATAACCACAATAACATTATCGTTCACTTCGGAGACTGCTTGAATCTATATAGAGTCAAGGTCAGCCTTTTCTTCTCAAAACCAAAAAAAGTGTGCGAAGCTCATAAAAAAAATTTACCAGATTATCACCATTATTCCAGAGTGACAGATTTTGACGATCATTGTTACCGTTAACAACGATATATTCTTCACCAGCATCAGCCATTGCAAATACAATGGCAATATCAGCATCGGCTGCCAGCTCCCTAGCGCCATCAAGATCGTAGTCATCGTAGGTATGTACTAATTTGAGGTTGCCTCCCGCACGAGCAGTAATACCATCAGTTGGGGTAATGAGATACGGAAAGTCTGCAGTGCGGATAAGGATATATTTGCAATTATAGGTTAGTTTACACATTAAAAAAGCGCCACTTTTGATAAAATAGAAGTTTCAGTCGCACTTACCAGCAGTTCCAGAGCCCCAGCCCATGGCTAGTAGAACATTGCATGCACGACGTCAGATGCTGTTTGCAAAAGTGTTGCTTTTGTGCTTTATATAACTAATTATTATTACACTTACCAAGATGCCCCCTTCCACAGCTTTGATCTGGACAACCATTAAGCCCTTGAGGAATCGGTCCTGCATGGCTACCAATGAGAGCAATCTTCTTCAAGTCGCTCGTTTTGAGTGGTAAAATGTTATCTTGATTACGCAAAAGTACAACACCTGCGGCACCGATTTCTCGAACAAACGTGGCATGATCGCCTTGCACAAGGACCTCAGGAGCCTCACTTCTGTTGAATGTGTTTAACGTTGTATCTGGATAACCTTCGTCTTGACGCATCTAGACATTCGTCATTATATATCAGTATTTTTTATCCTATTTTTCTCTGATGTTAGAGCTTACTTTGTAATATGCCGCTGTAATGCGCAATGCCATGTCAGTTACCTATTTAGAAAATCAAAATTAGATTCAATTAACTGCGGTAAGGAGAAAGCAAAACATATTAGCTTACTCGATCATCGGATACTTGACCGTCTTGAACTGCCTTTGTAAGATTTGCACCAAAGTACGTAAAACCATCTCCCATTAGAATATCGCCCTGGATTGAAAATTTATGGAGCAGTAAAAGACATTATTACAAGCTATCCTTGTATTTAATTAAACCGATCCTTAGTTTATACCAGTAATTAACAGCATACCGGCATGGTCATATCAAGTCCAGCATTTGCAGATTCCACGGTAGAGTGGGTGGCTCCCCTGATGATAATACAACCTGTTAGCAACTTTGGATCTGAAATTGTTCAAATTCTATGATATTACCAGTCGCTCATCACAAGTCCGCGGAAGCCCATCTCATTTTTCAAAACTGTGTTCAGTATATAGTCATTCTCACAGGCGTAAGTGTCGTCCACCAGATTGTAGCTACACATGATGGCACCTACACCTGCTTCAACCGCGCGCGCATATGGCCATGTCCAGACTTCGTGCAGGGTCCGTTTGTCAATATTAGATGAAGACTAGATGATATTTTTGCGTCATACATGCATTAGATAATACAATTATAGTCACACATCGTCTAGCAAGAAGTGAAAGTAACATACCGTTGTGCGGTGTGTTTCTTGGCTGTTTCCTATATAATGTTTTACAGTAGCAATCTGTGCAAAAAGTGACAAGCAAACAAGATAAGCAACATAGTATAAATTAGTTTTAAGGAGCACCGTATTGGAGATGACGATAACTTACGACGCCCTGGCTTTGTATTCCCGTAATTGTTTCTCTGCCCGCAACGCCGGATAACCATGGATCCTATTCATTTTAGGATAAAATGGTATAAACGTCAGTATTTCCGGTAAAAGCAGGTAAGAACATATACTGCAACGCATACTTCGCCGAATCCTTCCCACGCTCGGCCAGATTGAGGGGCACGCATGATGTCAACGCTCGGACCAAGTTGAAAATGAACACCCTTTGCTTTAAATTCAGAGGCCATATATTCGCCTCGTTGGCGAATTGCTACCTTGTCGAACGAAGCAGCGGCCGTGATCCCCGAGACACCAGCAGTTACATTATCAGCAAAACGGATACCAAGCGGGCTATCTTGTAAACAAAGCGAAGGAAAATTGGGATTGGTGGATGCATAGGTGTTGCCAACACACAAGGTCTTTTCCCAGCCCATCCCAGTGGCCAAACCAACTTTTTGCTCGAGCGACATGCGGTGCACAATTGATCTGGCTTTAGTGTATGCGTCGTCCCAAGTCAATGTGTTGTCAGATGCAGCGTCAGTCGTAGGCAGTCCCAGCGTGTGGAGAGCGCATGATGCAGCAGTCAGTAATAGTAGGGCATATCGAGTTATAAGTGCCATGGTTCTTTTTGTGATCCAATAAGCTTTGCAAATTTAGGATCCTTTTATATCTGTTTTAAGAGTTTTTCGTTTATTTGCACAACAACACAAACAACCCGTCTTTCGTTGGTATGTTTATTTAAAGTTTTGTACTGGGATTTTCTATGCACGCAAGTAGTTTTGCATAGCAGAGTGCATGTCAAAAAAGAAAAGGTCGGTTTCACCCACGATATATGCTGCATTTCTGCATACAAAAATAGTATGCTAATAAAACGTCATAACAGCACCTTCCAAATACTATTAGCTCAATTTAAGTAAATATACATATTAATTGTTCGCCTCGGAGGGGAGCGAAGGGGGGAAATACATCTAAGAAATACGTTCCCTATAGTAGAAGATTTGTTTTGTAGGAGAACATAAAAATTTTCCGACCTAAATGGTGCTGCCTTGCCCAACCGAACTTTATACACTGGTGAGGGCCGACCTTTGTCTCAGCCAAGCCAAGTGGGTCAAATTCGGTAGAACAGAGAGTGACATACTTTTCTTAGAAAAGTAAAGGAAGGGCATCACTGACTTTTTGTGCTGTGCTAGCATCATAAAGAATTACAAACAATATGTCAACTGCTTTTTTTGGTATCGTCGCAAATATACATGCGGGACAAAACAGCATGCTCAAGGCTATCTCACGCAAAGCCGTTATTATTCAAACCTCTTTGTGGTTCATTATTGTCAATGATTTCAAACCTGGGAGTAGCTCAGTAGCATTTATGTCGATGGCGATGATTCGGAAGCTATGAAGAACGCTAGTTCGGCGAGTAATTGGGTTGCTGGCTACAGCAAGTGAAGGTGTGATACAGATAGTGGTTCTGTTGATGGTGGAATCTTTTTTGCATCGCTTTAATCGTCTGCAATGTTGGCATTATGAGAAGTACATCGTAGCCTAATGTGTCAAAAGAGGCATCGCGACATCAAACGTTAAGCGTTCTAATGTTTCAGGGTAGCTATTTACTTGTTATGGTTCTACTTTGATAAAACTGTACATAACAAGTGAGAGAAAGTAGCTTACAATTCCCAAATATTACTATTGTTAATGTGCTATGATGAAATGAATTCATGTTTCTCGCTTACCTTCCTCAAACGTAGGAAATATTAGGTCAATGTGAAGAAGATAGGGAAACGTCGAAGAAGGATAAAATTGGGGAACGCGTTAATGTAAATAATGGATTGCGCATCTTTTATCCCATTTTATGTTGTTTCGGATATATTTGTCCACAATATAGGGTAGTTTAAAGTAGCATTTACTCAAATAATGAACGGCTTTTCGAATCAACAAAAGTATGATTGAAGAGGGACTTCGCTCCTTACCGTAATGTACACCGTGACGCCCATATGCCTTACTGGTTCCACCAGGATACAGGTAGCGGCTTATAGCAGTTATCAGCTTGATTAGGAATAAACGATCCGTACAACAAGGTGCGGCCATAATCAGTGAAGTTTGTCATTCTCGTCTCGATACTGACCTTTACCGCTGCGACTGAATCTGGACAAACCCATTCTACAACTTGCTGCCGGGATGTTTACGTTCCTGGAAGACCAATGAGATGGTGTGGATGGCTTTGTAAGTGGGTGTCATTGCACTAGTATAACAATATACACGATATGCTAACTTTTTTTTAGAGAATCCAGCTTACCACCATACTAAGAGGCGGTATACTTTCAAGTAACAAGGTGGATTAAAAAAGACGCTTAAAGCAATGGCTATTACGACTAGTACACAACCATCACTTTGTACTAAGCGTTTCCAGTATCCATTAATCTTTACATACTATCACTATGGGCTGCAGTACTCTGTCTTCAATCTTGGTGATTGAGCATATTGTAAAGATCAGTGCCATGGCAATACACAAAAAGAAAAGAATGAGCGGGAAGCGAATAATGACTGTGTAAGTCTGTTTTTGTTGTTGGTGTGGGTTATACGGCTCGCAGTTTTGGGATCATAATTATTAAAGATGGGCGTAACTGTCAGGGAGCCAAAAAAATTCAAGCAGAGTTTGCTTCGTTTTGTTATGCTTCCTCATAAAAAGGAAGCTAATCTCTGGTATACAGTAAATGACACGCAATATCTATTGAAAGGGCGTCAGAGTCCTCCGCTTCTTTGTGCAACCAAGAGCATAACGAAGGCAAGTAGGATCGACTGACTGTCGTGAAGGATTTGCCAAGGTAGTACAGATAAGCATCTCCCACCTCCTCATATTTCTTTTCCGGCTTTTTCACTTTTTTACTCTCTTTTCTTTACTCTTCTTCACTTTTACTTAATGCACGGATGACGGACACACAACAATCAGTGAGAATATGGACCGGCAACGACGGAAAATTTGAAGTCGAGGCGGCTTATGTAGGCTTGTTTCAAAACACTAAAGTAAAATTGCGTAAACAAGGTGGCGGCATGATCGCCGTACCACTCGATCGTTTGTGTGAAGCTGATGTGGCCTACATTGCGGCACGCTCAGGATTGTCCAGTCTCGCGCCCAATCGCGACAACAAGGGAACAGCAACCGTTATGCAAAAGCCAGACAATCCAAAGGATATTACCATCCCGTCGCCGACACTTAATATATCGTTTGCCGACACAGTAACATCAACTACTGCTGCTGCTTTTCAATCGTCATCGACCAAACGCAGACCTTCGCAGCCTCATACCAATGGAGCTATCCCTCCATTACCCGTGCAATCATCACCGCCACAACCAGAGACAACTGCTACTGTACCAATAAAAGCAATACAAGCACTATCAGTTTCAACTAGCCTTCCTCCAGATGGCTATTTCTCTACTAGACCTCATGAACAACCTGTATCCACGCCCCCTGCGCCAAGTATGGCGCAAGTTTCCTATCATTATGCACAACCTCAACAGCAGCAAATAATATCATCACACACAGCACCAATGATCGGATGTCCCGGTTATTCACAAGAACAACGTTCCATGTCCACACCCCCTCCTCCGAGCTTAAATATGGCAAACATCCCTGTCGACTATCCACAGCAACAGCAACAACAACAGAATTATGTCATGTCTCCTCCACCAATGACAAGTTACTCAAGCTATTCTCAACAACAATACTCAGTACCAGTCGAATCGAACGGAACCATTGAGACTCTAATATTGACTGAAATTGAACACGGCGGGCCACAGCGCGTACGTGCAATGCGCCCAGAATCGATCCAACTCCTCTCCCAACGTTCGCTTTCATCGATTACCGAGAAGCTCGTGCATTCACCACAAGGCCAATGGCAGCCACGACCACAAACACTGGCTGCTTTTCCACCCGCTGTCTTGACAAACATTGGCCGCTTTCTCGATGCACGGACGCGCGTTCGACTCGGAAGTGTTTGTCGCTCATTTCGTCAGGCCATGTTCCGTCCTCCCACTTGGCGACATATCTGGTTTTCGCGCCACGATCTATACAAAGTGGACACCGGCATGATTTACGCCATGACACAGACGCTAATGGGGTATCAGCTGTACCACGCTGTATATACGATAAACTTGGATGGATCCGCCGTCACTGCCGATGCTGTTGTTCATGTACTACTCAATTTCTTGAGTCTGCGAACACTCTCGGTTAAAGGATGCTGGCAAGTTCACTCTTTTCCTCTGGGTGGAAAACTGATGCAAATTGCAGCGACGGGTCAACTACGTGCACCAATTCAATTGGAACAAATCGAGCTGGGCAAGGCGCTGCGACGTGGAATAGATAGAAAGGAATTAGAAAACAAACCAAATGCACCACAATCATTTGGACAAGATGTGGCAGTAATACGGACCGCGTTAGAGCAATTGGCCAGTAGGCCTATCCAGATCGATTGTTACTTGTGCGATTTCTGCCATAGCGGTGCAACTGGTCCTATGCTTATGTGTGTCGCATGTGGTCCTATGCCGATCCACAAATGTACGAACTGTGCCCCAAAATGCGATCGGTAAGTCATCATCTTTTTGTGCTCGACTGTTTCTTTCGATTTGCAGAGATCTTAACAGTACGCAATGGCCTCTTAGATGCGCTGTACGTGTGTGTAATATGCCTCAATGTCGTGCCAGATCGATTCAAATCACAACGACAAAGTGCTCGCAATGCGAAAAGTCTCTTTCGATCTGTAACCAACGACATAGTCAAGCGTGCGTTGATGCAAAGAAGCCTTGTGAGAAGTGCCAGGGTGTATATCACGTACAATGCCGCGCAAACGATGGTGGATACATATCCAACCAGTGCTCAAGGTGTGGCAAGGTCGCATGCCCTACGTGTGATTTGACAGGCTGTGCTGGAGGATGCCTTGGGCAATGGTGTCGAGACTGTGTGAATGACGCAGGCTTGGCCCACTGCAAATGCTTTGTGTTGGAACGGAAAACTGGTGGCAAAATGCGTAAACGGAATGTTTGCAAGAACTGTCGAAAAGGGTGTGCAAAATGCAGTACGACTGGATTCTGTACACGATGTTTAGGTGTGCATTCAAAGCAATGTCGTTAAAAACAATAGCATTTATAATATTTACAATAATTTGTATTTTACAACATAAACATAAACACTTATGCATAATTTTGCAGGCAAATTTTTGTCTATAGACGCTGATTGCTATTGCTGCGTGGCTGTTGCTGCTCAACATGAACCGTTTGTTGTTGCTCTTCTGTGTGCAATCGCTTCCATATGTTCTCTCTGCCATTCTTCGTCTCCTTGGCCACTGAAATCATATTCTTCAACTCGCTCTTGTGGAGCTATATTCGATGGAAGCATTTCTGTGTCGCCATTAGTGATACGACGGAGGAGGCGGCAGCAGCGTGGTAACTGGATGGGTATGGCGACTACTCGTTGCATAATCCGTAACAAAGTAATGATTTTCAGGTAGCTCCACCGCCGCCATAAGTTCTCGAATTCTTTGTTCACGAGCCTGTGCCACTTGGTACTCAAGACGCTGTATCTTTCGCCTTCGTTGGCGTCGATGATGGACCATGAATACGGCAATTGCTGCATATACTACAAGGGGGATCCATAGGGCAAAGGCAGCACTGGAAATACCGGGCAAAAATACGGAGATGGCCCCGACGAACGCCAAAAGTACGATCCAAAATGCCATATGGAAGCCATGAAACTGCTCATTTAAACAGGCTGAAAATGCATCTTTCCACCGTAATCGGTTGTTTCGCTCTTCTTCTCCCGAGTTCCATACGAGCGCTTGTAACCATCCACCACCGCTTTGCAACCTTCGTTCGCGTTGATACAATTGTTGCAGGTGCACCAATGCTTCCCATTCTTGTTGTCTTTGTTGGTTCTGTTCAGCAGTGTCGTTTATTTTGTAACTCGGCGGGCGAGAGGCCAAAGTGGCTGGACGGACGGATGAGAAGGCTGACAGGCAAGAATTTCTTTGTTGTACACATGCCGGATAATATCGTTCACGGTAGGCTTCGTCTTCATCATCCGCCGTGAGCACGGACGGCATTGTAATCCCGTTTAACAATTGGCTATCTCGAAGACTCCGTCGAGACACATTATCACGCTCTACCTGTTGCGTCTCTGAGCCTTCCTCAAGCCGTACAAATTGAAGGCTACTGCTCGGACGACGTCCCGTAATGCTATCAACGATATTGTGTACGACGGAGCTCGGTCGATGGCTATTATTGTTTCCAGCAGTATGGGTGAACATAGCGTCGTTCGTTGTATTAATATCGTCATAAACAACATTAGGGTATTGTTGAGCTCGCAAATGCAATAGTCGTGCGGTATCCATGGAATGACGCTTTGGCACGTCAACGTGTATTGCATTTTTGCAACCGTTGTGCTCTGCAGCAAGCGATCTTCTACGTCGTTGTATAGAGGATGATGCCTCAGAATTAGACTCAGCGAGAGGATCTAAAGCAATTGCCGAAGATCGGTGGTTTGGCTCTTGAAGCGTGCGGGCACATTGCATGCCTATTACTAGAAGAAACAGCAAGATGTGGAGTAAGGGCGAAAGAAATTCAATTTAGTGGAACGTAGAAAGTTCGAACATTTTTACAAGGGACGCAGGCTAATCCTATACCCTAGCATTTTGAAACTTGGCCACTGACGAATTTTTGTTTTTTTAATGAATTTTACAATACTAGTTACAAATAGACAGAAGTACACTATACTAGGAGAATATAGAATAGAGGAATCGATGGATTAGACAAGTGCATAAAGTTGTTTTCCTTTAGGTTGACAGCTTTTGGAAAAATTTTGTGACAGAGCTAATGATTCGACTTGACACACTTGTACGGTTTGGGATGCTGTCGGTACTCGAAGAAACTGTTTCCTGAGCATCCTCAAACGCTTCATCACCACTATCATCATCACCATCCACGTTGCTGTGGTCATCCAGTAGAAACCGTACTTTTTTCACCTTTCTAGCCTTGCTGGACCTACCACCATCAGCCATGCCATTTTCATACCGATCAACCACATCCAATTTGCGCTTCTGCCGTTGCTGTCCCCGAGTAGCTTGAAAGCGACTTTCGATAAAGTTTACTTCAGCCATAGTAGCAAGAGTAGTAGTCCGGTGCTTTTTGTTGTTGGTGGACGGCAATGCCGACAACGATGTAGCTGACAAATGCGTCAAACCCAAAGGTCTGCTATTAGCACTTGCTTCGCTTAGCACTGCCTTTGATGATGCATAGGATTCAACCATACTGTGAAACGCATGAGCCGGCCGAGCAGAGTGGGCGCAATTCAGAGAATTTGTTCCACTACTGCTACCTGCATGCGATGCACATGGTTGGCAAGAATCTGTATTGCTGGCACGTGCCCGTGGTATCGGCATTGCGGGTCGTGGTGGTGGTGGTGGCGGTGCCTGTTGTTGTTGTTGTTGCTGCTGTTGTTGCAGTGGCAGTGAATTTCGAATAGGCATAAGTACTTCCGATTCTCTTTGGACACTGGTTGCTAGTTTAGGCATATCAGGCACTCGAGATCGGATCCCATGCTCCAGTTCTCTGTATTTTAAAAGAGTTTAGTTATTGAATAATCGCGGCAAATTTTTAAACGGCTTCATTTTACCCAATCGTTCGAGCAGATTTGGCAAGCTCAGCCGCGTACTTTGCAAATCTAGAGGTTTGGTCAGGTTTAGCGCTGATCTGATCAGTTATAGTATAAATTAGTCATCTCTGCTTCTTTGAATGTTCTATTTGTTCTTCTTCTTAAGTTGAGTGAGCCGATTGTATCCTACCACTTGTACATCCTTGGATCTTGATCGCAGCACGTCCTTAATTTTTGAAAATAAAGGTTCTAGATCTGGTCGTTTTTTCCAGGACTGTGATGGGCCCGTGAGCACTATGCGGACGGAAAGAATGATGAGTTCGTGTGAGTTATATTTAAGCATGTTTGTAATAAACAGACACCCAAGTCCCATCCTCGTACTTTCCCATCAGAAAAAGAATAGAAGTACTTAACTCGTCACCAGGTTCTTGCCTGCCATGACAAAGGTAATTTCTCGATCTGAAGGGCACATTCTCAACACAACCTCCATCGCCTGCACGACATGCGCAAATTAGTTCACGGAAAAAATCACTGTTTCTTTAGCAAAGGAAAGTATAATTACCATCAAAGTACCGTATCGGGACGTTCGCACAGGATTAACAAAGTTGCCAAACTGTGGTGGATATCTATCATCGGCAAAGTAAATGCCATATCCGCTTATCAAACCTTTGCCCTCAATTACACGGCTTGTTTGAATATCGATATATACAAGAATTTTCCTGGCATTCTTCGGCTTTCCTGCATTAGTTCATTGCGAATTTATCCACTTTGCTTTCTGATTTGTGTTGAGGTTTTTCCATACCATCAATATTGGGTTGGTTGTAGGTGGCTCAGATAAAAGTTGCTGTAAATTGGCGCGTTCACGCTCGACCCTTGCAAGCTGGCCATCTAAATCTTGCAGAAGTAACGTGTCTGTCGCAAGTCGGTGTTCATGTTTTATAAGAAAACGAAAGTCCGTTTGCTGATCGAGGAAAGAGGCTAGACATTACAGATTGCCAATCAATGTTGCTTAATCATAGTGACAAAAAAAGGACACTTACCATTAACGTTGCTTTGAATGGTTTTACTGGCCATGGTGAACTGAAAGAAGATGCTACCCACTGGATTCTACGTATCCTGAATTTTTAACACAATGATGCTGGCTTTCAATTGTCTTTCGCCTTGAGAATATAGCGCCAAATAGCCTCTGTACTTTGAGCCAGCATATGTCAGCTTTGAGCTCGAGCTTAATTAACTGCTGGCATATAATCGGTTTTAGCTGTAGAATTTGACGAAAGTAAGGACTTATTGGAAGGAAATGCGGCACTACTATTTGCTACTGATTTAGAGATCACGCCCACTAAATATGTACAATAAGTTAAAACGATACGTAAGGTCAGCTCACCAAATTCAGCTATGTATATACTGTACATCTATCGTCATCACCACATCAAGTTTTGATCTTTCTTTCTCTTGCCGCCTAGGCAGAACACGATCCACGGAAGATGATGTTCCTAGATATTGCATGGTGCCACAGACAGTTGTCATTAAACTAGTGAGCCGCTGCAGCAGAAGGGAAAAACCAAACTCCACGGAAGAAGCGTAGAAATTCATGGTGCTGACGTTTCCGAGGATCTGCAAAACGATGAGCGATCCGCAGCAAGGAGAAACTCATCTCCACGGGTAAAATTCCGAACTAGCTCTATACTGCTTACAATAACGAGATGACAGCAGCGGCTTCTTAATAATTTTGAGATAGATGAGTCCAAAACAATCTTTACTATTAATACCACGATAACGTAATCAGTTAATTTGAAGCCATTGTTGCAGTGCCTTCCACAATGACTTACAATTGACGCTTCATATCGACATTATACACATTGCGCGAGGTGAGTTCGGCGGAGAGTAGATGATCCATATAGATCCGCGCTAACCAAATACTAATTTGACCCCAGAATATCTGCCATGCTGTGCTGAACCGTGCCGATGCAAACTCATGTGCGGAAGCCAGCAAGTTCACTTCCGAACGAACAGGCACTATTCACCTAAACACAGCCAACCAGAATATTTGCTGACAGGCTAATTTGCCTGTGAAGGCATATTCATCAATTGTTTTCTAACAAGGGGAACCCTACCCCCACACCAGGACAACTCCAGGGACCGGTAAACTGTTACACATTCTTACTGCAGCGAAATAATTCATAAAGGGGAATACTCCCACGTACCTTTCCTCTCTTCTCTTCTCTACTCTACTTTATCTACTCTACTTTAACTCGAGTGTGTACCTATCTTGTACTCTCCTTCATATCTTCACGTCACGCACCAATGCTTCTTACCGATAGCTCTGCTTTGTCGCTTCATTTACTCGAAGACACGCTGTATCTTGACCTCGATGCTGACAACAATCACGCGACCACCGTGCTTCGAGGCTTCGTGGATGTCATGAGTCCAAAAAAGCGTGTCCACAGCCTTCACGTTTGCTTTGAAGGCTACCTTACAACCAAACGACCTTCAGGTAAGAAACCGAATACCCGACCCTATGCGTAGAATATTGAAAACCGCCCCAGTTTTAACGGCAACTTATTTATAATAACAAATAGTGCGAAAGCAACTGATTCAACGGCACTTGGTACTGAACCCCAGCTCCGCTTCGACTGTCAACGGCGGTATGTCCCGAAGGTGCCCCTTTGAGATGAGCCTGTTGCTCGGCGGGCTGCCAGATACGATTGAAAGCAAGAACATCGAGGTCGTCTATCACGTTACAGCCAAAGCTGCCTACGCCTACTCTACCCGGAGCAGTCGAAATTGTCCTATTAGGCTCACACGCTTCCCATTCAAGAACAGCATGCTCACAGGCGATAACGTGGCCCGATCCATCGACTCAAGGCGACACCACGCACAATTCTTCGATTACCACCTAACGATTGAGAAGAGTACACTTTCTGTGGGAGCATCACTGCCTCTGACCATGTGGGTGGCACCAAGAATGTCTGGTGTGCGGCTATTGTCACTGTGTGTGTTTTTGGTTGAGCGACGCAGTGTGTACGGGCAACAAGGCCGAGGCGAAAAATGCTCCGCGCATTTACTTTCTCGGGCTGATCCAATGCGGCAATCTGTGCCTGGCCACGTACTCAAAGAGCCGTGGCGAGATACGATCGAGTTTCGTTTGCCAGACGAGCTGGTGCCCTCGATGGATGTGCCCGGGCTGTTTGTGGTCAGGCACACGCTCAAGGTTTCCATGGCAATAGTCTTCCCAGAAATAACTTCCGGTCGAGTTCAGAGAAGCATCTCCTTTGAAACGGACGTGGAAATCCGTGATAGACGGGTGGGCATGCTGGAGAAGCTAGGCGCGTTCAACTTGCCCGAGTATGAGCACACCTCGATAACTCCTCCATGCACACCGCCGCCTGTGTATGAACATCCTCCTGCTTACAGCAGTGTATCGTCTTGATCTCATTCCTCTTCTCATACTTCGCACTTTTGTCCGATGGTTTATTACTGCATGCTCTGTTCCAAAACTTGTAAAAAAATATTGCTCATCTCTATCTTATGTACATAATACCTGGTGTTCTTACCACATATGAAATTAACAAATAAAAAAATACCATTTTGAAAGAAAAGATACCACCGGAAACTGCTCATTAAAGGAAATGGATGAGAGTGAAGCTAAAGATAGTGCAATTGTCCTTGTGTCACCCAGCCACAATGGAGCGCATACCAAAGCGCAGTTTTTCCATGCTAGTCGTTCCCCTTTCCCTGAGGACGTTGGTCAATGTCCAAAGTTATACAACGTAAACTCGTCATTGTTGGCGATGGCGCTTGCGGTAATATATACAAACTCAATGTAAATTAGTGCAAGGCATTAAACTAACTAGGTCAGATTAGGCAAAACGTCTTTGCTAACAGTTTTTGCCCAAGGCGACTTTCCACAGGTGAGTTATTGGCAAGATGAGTCGAATTAAATGGGAAAGAGAAACAAAGGAACTGATCATTGTGCTTCTCTTGTTATATTTATAGGGCCATGTGCCAACAGTTTTTGATAACATGGTAAAAGATTTTGATGTCGACGGACAGCATGTCGAACTAGCTTTGTATGATACTGCAGGTAATACTTTTGAGGAAAAGAAAGATTGATTATTGGCTAGTTGGTTTCTCTTGCTGTCTTTGTTTCTAACGTAATAGGATCATGTAACATGTAGGTCAGGAGGACTATGATCGACTTCGCCCACTATCATACCCAGACACACATGTTTTGTTGATTACCTTTGCTATTGATTTGCCTGACTCTTTGGAAAATATCACAGAAAAGGTTGGTGCTCTTTGAGTATTACTCCTTTGCTTTTAATTACTAATATCCCAACCGTGGTTATAGTGGCTGCCAGAAGTATTGCAACACTGTCCTGGGGTGCCTTACTTATTGGTTGCGTGCAAAAAGGATTTGCGCGAAGACAGTCGTACGGTCCAACAACTTGCTAGGTCATCCTTGGCACCGATCAGCTATGAACAAGGACTGAACATGAGCCAGAAGATTGGTGCAGCCGACTATATTGAATGCTCTGCCAAATCGGGTGATGCGGTCGAGGATGTCTTTGCTGCAGCAGTCCGTGCCACAAATCAAAAGCATAAGAAAAAGCAGGATAAGTGCGTTGTCATGTAATTAGGAAAAAAAAAATTCATTCTGGGAAGAAAAGAAAAGCACAAAAATACCCCAACCTTCTTATTGACCTCCTCCTCTTCTCACTTACACGTTTTCCCTACTTCAATTCTCACATCATCTCCTCCCATTCTTGAAATATCCCACCTGTACTTATTTCTCCATTCCATCTCACCAATAACCTCACGAAATAACAAAAAACCATGCAATTGTAAGACCTCGCAACTGTTTTTTCTGAGACTATTAGAGAGCTTTAAGCTACTTATAGGAGGGAAGGGATGTGTTAGTTAAGAGATTACATTATAAGAGTTGAGAATATTGCATCGATCTCTGCATATGGAAGGTTAAACTTGTGTCTTTTCCTTCTGCTCATCGGGCGATGAAGAGCTCTCGGCTGCTTGGGCTGGTTCTGCCACAATCGCACCACTAGCGTCGTATCTACGTTCAGCAACGGCCTTGATGACTTCAGCTTCTTCACCTCCGAATAAAATTTCCATCTCTTCGAGCGAACGGCCCTTGGTTTCTAAGCACCACAGAACGTTATCATTAGAAAATCCTGCATGTTTTAACACAAGGCCATTAGAGAGAAATTGGGTTATTCCTTACCGGGATAGAATTTCCAAATGATGAAAGCACAGATAACGTTGGTTGCAAAGAAGAAAAAGTAGGTGCCATACGAAATACGATCCAACATGATAGGGGTAATCTCGCCAATAACAAAGTTCATAAGATAGTTGGTAGCAGTGGCAACTAATGGTTTCAAGGTCAGCTTTTTTTAGTCTTGCTACTCAGCATACAGTATGTGTCATTCAAAAGAGAATGAAGTGCCTCAATACGTACGTGAAGTACCCTTTGCACGAGCGCGATTAGGGAAAATTTCTGCTGGATAAATCCATCCACAGGGACTAAATTGTCAAGTAAATGAGTCAATGAGCTTCACTATGTCCACAGTATCAGGTGCTAGAGAAAAATAGATGATGATAACCTACCCCCAAGACGTCGAGAAGGATGCACTAAAGATAAACATCATGGCTACAGCACCATATTGTGCTTGGGTATTGTTGTCGCCGCCTTCCACGTATGGATGAGCTATACAGAAGAACAAAACGAATCAAATGATTTAGCATAGCCCACCTTTAAAACTTATTATTACTTTTTATCTTATCTCTTGTTCATACCTCTAAGGAGAGAACCAGCAATAAGCATCGACGTTCCCATGCCAATACTGCCACCCAAGATGGTCTTGCGACGGCCCAACTTATCGATATAAAGCAGAGCAGGAACTGTAAAGATTACACATACAATGCCGTTGACGCCAGTTGCGAGCAGGGAAGGCAATGTACCGGTCATACCAGCTGACTGGAAAATGAAAGGCGCGTAGTACAACACTGCATTGATGCCGATCCACTAATAACAAAAACCACAAATACCAGAATTTTGTCAAAACAAAGAGCAAATATGAATGGTCTTCAGTGTACGAGTATGTCCTACATACCTGCTGCATACCCTGGATGCCCATAGCCAAAAAGACACGCTTACGCGTGGACTTTGAGCGGAACACTTCTCGATACGATCTCATCGCATGTTTTTCTTCAAAGCGAACTTGTTCCATGATTTCGTCGAATTCCTGGCGCACGTATGGATTATTGGCATCGCCATCGGCATGAAGCTTTGCGAGCGTTTCGAGAGCCTCATCGTACCGACCTTTACTGGCAAGCCAACGTGGAGAATAAGGCAGGATGAAGCAGCCGAAGAAGCTAATGACGCACATTATTAGCGCTAATTGAATACACCATCACAGCGTTTCTTTGCATCATCGAAGTCTCAAAAAATATCAATGATCTTGCTTACAGAACGACACTTGGAGCCAATTGGATACCCAAGGGAACACGCCATGATGCATCGCTTGGAATACTATTTGTACAGTAGAGTCAGTAATAGTCAAGGCACTTTTTTTAAAAAAGGTAAGACGCTAGAAATTATCGCAAGAACTCACTAAGCACAACCATAACCGATCCAGAAAGCAACCATAATACTACATGTAGAGTTAAGCAAAAGACAATTAATTATCTCATTTTATAGGTATCCTTTCCATACAGTAGATAATCTCATACCCCGTCACAATACTGAATTGCTGGAAAGTGATTGCACGACCACGGAGATGCGCAGGACTCAACTCGCTCTGGTACACAGTAATATTCATACTGTACATACCGATGGAAATACCTTGGAAGAATCGGCCAGCCATTAAAAGCTATATACGCTCAAAGGTTATATATAGCTTTAAAGACAAAGTGTATAAGGAAATACCGGTAAGCAGGGGTAAAGTAAGGATAGAACAATCTTACCTCGACGTTTGTCGCTCCTGTCTGCATGCTAGTACCAAACCAAAACATAAATGTTCCAGCCATGATACTCCGTTTACGACCGATCCGTTCACTGATCGGGCCTGCAGCAAGACCACCGACAAATGCACCCAAAAGATAAATACTCGTAATAAATCCACGCCAAACTGCGTTGGGATTATTGAAATATTCAATCCAATGTTCCTTTCATGCATATAGTATACCAAGGATGTTAGATCAAGAGTCACTCGCATCTCCCACTACCCTAAAACATACAGTTACCCCGAGACATATCAGCTCTCTTTAACCAAAACTTACCATGACAAGAATACCAGACATAACACCCTGGTCGTAGCCAAAGAGCAATCCACCAATAGCTAATATGACACAAGAGGCATAGTGTGTGAGGGTGAACGTTGAGCTTGATAGAGAGCCACAATAGGAGTGATGTTCTTCCCTTAATATGGCGCTCATCCGTCCAAAACACTGTCTTACAGCCCTAGAACTTACATGAAAAGATGACAGCGAAGTACACTCGCCAACTTGTTTTCGGATGACTGGGACGGCCTGCTTCCAACTCTTTGCTCATTGTAAAAAGATGAAAAACTTTATTATGCTAAAAGAGAGTCAGATAAAGAGCGAAGCTTTCCTCAAGGAAAAGCAGGTAAACATCTTTTAAATACTTTTTGTGCATTCTGTTCCCACTTCTTTCCCCACACAAAACAGAGAAAGCCGCCTGATCCAATCTATTGCGTTTTTACTCTTTTTCTCCGATTTGCTGGATTATTCCACTGCTTTAGCCAGAAGCAGAAGAAGAGAATGAGGTGTAATACTTTGTTGAACAGGTGACAAAAGCATCTCGAAATGGGCATTTGTACGTATATTCCATAAACAGTGTAATCCACTTCTTGGTAAGCGCAATTTATCAATGAACGCAGCATATAGTTCATCTCAGATCACAATTCCTGGTAAACTGTGCTCTTCCTGAGAAGAACCACTTTTATCACTGATACTAGTAAGTGGCAATAGGTGCACTAGCGTCGTAACCTTGCATAATGTTGGTTTCCACTCTGTTGCTGCTAGGTACTGTAACTGTATATGTCCTTAAACAACTGGGTACGCCCAAGAAAAATGACGTCTGCCATATCTTTTTTCCGGGAAAAAATCTGTGAGAATAGAAACTACATAAGAGAGCCTGTTTTTTCTCCTTTTGAACGTACTGCTATTCTTGCTTTGTACCATTGTATGTTATTTTACTATCAAAAGGATTAAATTCCACGAATGGCGATGGATGGGAAGAAGAGTGGTGGCACTGCATAGTTCTGTAACCTTTTTTTCTTTTGTAGCAAACCAAGTTAGCGAGTGACAATACTCGAAAGGACTTATTTCGTGCTACACTACTATATAACACCTTATAAATGTCTATACCGAGTATTTCAACAGCGTCTTTTATCGATGAAGAAGGTAAGTTGCTTACGTAATATCATGTGCCAAAAACTCTTTACGTCTTTCAGCATGGATCAAATTGATATAAGGCTAGAGATCATTATGTACATGCTTGCAAAGTCTTTGACTGCCATGCCTTACTCCTGTTGTTTTAACCACTGGAATAATACATACTATCATCTCAAGAAGCAGCAGATTCTTACCCTATTACCGGACCTCATCCTTTTTAATATCTATACTTTAGACATACCGCCGGTTCCCAGATCAAGGGTGCTCCTTTGTAGCCTTATATATAAAGCGTGAGAGACTAACCATCTATCACTCTGCTTTCGCTCATAGAAATTCTCCATTAGTTAAAATTACTCCTTTCATCGAAAGCTACATGCACACTGGCTTAGGTAGATTAACCGTCTTTCGCCGTTATCATTGTCTGAACGACTTGCTAGTAGCACTGCGGCAGCAAGGTAATAGTGATAAGTTGTACACACTCAAAGCCCTTTCATGATCCGTGAGAAATACGGAGCACATCGCTATCTCCGCGAGGTTGTAATACTCTTTCCTACCACCATCACCACCTTCACATTGGCTTTCTTCTTGCGTCGCTGCCATAAACACAGAGACATTCTTCATACAGAGCTCTATCATCCCCTTCCTGCAGAAACAAACACTACTTACGAATTTAATATACCGCGTCAAATTTGAGTACACATACACAATGGCTTGTTGGCTATCGTGATGTCCTAACGACTTATTCTGATGATTTTATTGTGTACCCAAGAACCGATGTGGGGGCTCGCTCTTCTTTTTGCTTTTGACAGCGTTTTAATTTCAACGAGGAAACGATGGTATATACCAGCCAATAGTTGAGTTATTTGCACGCAGAAGCTTATTGTATATATAGTACGATGGTTTACTACAAAGTTGAGTACGTTTAATGCTTTCGATCGTTCATGCGAGTTGTTGCTGCGGGATAAAATATAATCCATGGTGCATTATTCTCAGCCAGTAATGTGTTTGGAACTCTCTTTTCCCGCGTTTACCTAATCGCATATATTTCCAACGTGCAATGAAACTCGTAGGCTTAACCGGTGGTATTGCTTCAGGTAGAAGAAAAACGCTGAAACTCATTTTATGAAGAACATTAGTAGGACGAAAGAGTAATATAATTCAATAACAAGCACATTGGTCCATGCGTTGATAGGCAAATCAACCGTTTCACGGATGCTTCAGGAACAAAACATTCCAATCATTGATGCCGACAAAATTGCACGCCAAGTTGTCGAACCTGGCCGACCTGCCAATCGTCTTATCCGAAAACACTTTGGACCCGACGTCTTTTTACCCAACGGCGAGATCGATCGGCCGAAACTCGGTCAAGTCATCTTTGCTGATCCAGCCAAACGCAAAATTTTGAATCAGTGCACGCACCCGGCTGTACGCACGGAAATGCTAAAGCAGGCCTTCTTTCACTGGCTCAAAGGCGCTAGTGTGGTAGTATTGGACGTGCCTCTCTTGTTGGAAAGCGGCATGGATAAACTGGTGGGTGCTACGGTCGTTGTATTCTGGTAGCGTACTACTTTTGTCTTGCTTATTGTTTGGGCGTGAAAGAGAAGAAATTTGACGGGTCATTTTTCTTTTATAATTCATAATCTAGCTCAGAAGTGCTACAGCTGCAACGACTCATGGGTCGAGATGGGTTATCTGAAGACGCTGCTTCACAGAGAATCCGCGCACAAATGCCATTGAGCGAAAAAGTCTCACGCGCTGATATTGTGTTGGACAACTCCACCAATATCGCTCAACTGGAAACCCAAGTTAAAAACATGATTACTCGAATCAAACCATCAACTCTCACTTGGTTTCTAGAATATGCCGGTCCTCCTGCTGTACTGGTGGGAGCAATTGTAGCCATTAGAATGCATGCACCTCGTGCTCTGCTGTCGTTAGGCAACTGGATTGCTGAGCGGCGGGCGAGCCTAGCTTGAACTCTTAAATAAACTAATTTCATTGGTCAATATGGGCTCCTTGATAAAAGCGGTTCTGATCGAATGCTACAGCTGAGAGTGAACAACTTGTTCTCTTTCAACTTTTGTATATTCGTCAATGGTAAATTTTGGCTTCTAGAATTTGTTCAATATCTTTGACTTGTTAATTTAACCGGTAACCCATCACCGTCTTCATAGACTACAGCAGCACGTCCCACATTCGATCCAGCTCGCGGTAACGACAGCAAAGCTCCCAGCTTTCAATACAGTTCTCGCGATCTTGCATCCCACACCAAACTCAAATTCAGGCATGTTTTGAATCTATGAATCCGGTGCATATTAAAAACATTGAAAGTTCTCAGCTTTGTATATTAATTCTTCAAATCCGAAAAATAGACAACCTGGTCAAGGCACAACTGACGAAATTGGTGATCGCGAATTATTGAAGGAAGAATTACGAAAAGCCGAACAAGAATACTATGAATCAAAAGACACTGAAGGTGGCAGCGGTAGTGGTGGCCAAAATTTGATTGGTGGCTCCGATGAAGACGCAGAAGCTCGACGACAAAAGCTTTTAGAAGAAGCAGAGAAAATGGCTGCGTTAGATAAAGATCAAAGCGATAGTGAAAGTGATAGTGGAGGGAGCAGTAGTAGTAGGTAAAGTGTTAAGCGCACACATAGATGTATAAGCACTTTTTTATTTGGTGTCTGTATCAGAAACTAATATATTGCTCCTATTCAGTGACGAAGATTCGGACGACGATGACGACGAGGATAACACAGCCGAGCTACTTGCGACATTACAAAAGATTCGAAAGGAACGGGCCGAAGAAAAAGAGCGTCAAGAACGTGAAAAATTAGACGAGGAAGAAGCGCAGCGTGAAGAAGAAGCTATGACAGGAAACCCACTCCTGCAACTCGGTGATCAAAAACGTGATTTCAGTGTCAAGAGACGGTAAGAGATGAACCACTTTGTCAAGCCTGTGCAGGATTAAAACTGATATGGAAACTACTTTCTTTTAATGATGCTAGTTGGGATGACGATGTCATTTTCAAAAACCAAGCACGCGGCGCAGATGAAAAGAACAAGAAGCGCTTTGTCAACGATATGTTACGATCCGATTTCCACCGTCGTTTCCTTACTAAATACATTCATTAGTCATTTTTTGTCATCTTTATTATCTCATACCTCTGTGAATAAAAGAACTAAAATATGGAAAAACACACTCTGCCTTATAAATATGAATAACGAAATGGTAGAATACTTTGCTCTTCTGTCAGTTAAACTTTGTACTAATGCAAGAAGGAGTATAGCATATGATGACGACATAGTAAGAAAACAAGGGCTCTTATCGCACAGGAGTTACGCGCTGACATATGCTAACAGGTAATACAGGTTTTGTTCCTTAGAAATAGCGGGTGATCTTTTCATAATGGCGCTGATTTTATTCAATTCGGCATCATGATGAATTATAAGATGGCGGCTTGTTTTCCAACATGGCAGAAGGGGTTATTATCATAGCGGCTTACCACTTTGTAGAGACCAACAAAAAAGCTCTCAATCACTGTCCTAAATGCTCATGTTGACTGTATAATGACAAACAGCAAGTCAAAACAAAAAGGATGAAACAACAAACGTTAAATAAACCAACAGACCCAGATCACGGATTTTCCAGTCGACCACATGTGGCAAATGAAGATTGCTTCACACCCAGAATTAATGACAACTGGAATATCTGAATGAAACAGAAACAAAACAGGGCTATGAATAGAGCGATACAAGGGATATATACACAAAAGTGGATCAGTGTGGGTGAAGTTAGGGAGAGGACAATTGCCTGACTTGATCGTTTTTGCTGACTGAGACGAGACCAACATGCTGATTTTGTAAACCTTTTGTGATTACTGTATTGCTTGCTCGCTTGCATGATTGAGATCCTTTTTCACACCTACGCCAGTCAAATATGAGTTCATTGAAGGCTAGTGACGGGGACAGACACAAACTCACCTTATGAACGAAAGTAGGCCAGTCGCTGCACTAAAGTACTTGAAGATTGGTAGGACATATTCACAAAATGGCGTACGCTCGTTTGTAACGACCAAAGGTAGCGGCTTCACACAGTTCGCACGGAAAACACTCAAAACATACTTGGCCATTTTGACAACCTCAATGTCATCCGCAGGTGTGTTGTTGTTCCATTTGTGTGACCAAATAAAGCCGAGGAGACTGGGAAGCGACTGATCCAGGGCATTTTCCAAAAACGCCTTGGCAATCTTGACACTGCTGAGCGACCGATTCGCACATTGATCATCCATATTTTTTTTCATATGCCAAGTCACTTCCAATGCAGCCATGTAGTCCGCGTGTCGGTTAACTTCACATAATAGTGCTGCTTTAAGAGTGTTGCATCCAGATTGTCGAATGTTAGCTAGTCATTTGATATTGAAGGACTCAGCATGGGCGGGTGAAAGACATAGTCTTTTTGGTATTTCTTGACATGAATGGACGCCATTAGAAGTATCGCGTTATTACACTGTATATCAAATTGGTAAAGAGAGAGAGAGAGATCTTATTAATCGACATGATGTTGTGCTCGTTCCTTCTTCTCTCCTCCTTTCTCTTTTTCTTTCTCCACAAATACAAGAGCTGCTTCAAATACTTGCTCTTGTTTTCGTGTCTGCAAGAAACTCGAGCTCATTCTTCATCGCTTCTCGTAACTGCATTTGAGCGCCTCCTGCTCCTTTGCTTTATTGTCTCCGGTGGGTCTTGGTTTTCGTCTTGACGAAGATCCACCATCTACATCTTTATAAACAACATTAGGAACGGCAGCGGATTCTTCATTTTTCTTCCCTTTCTTATCCTTCTTCGCGGCGTCTTGCTTATCACTGATCTCCTTTGCCTTAGTGCCCAACTTGTCATGCTTGTGCAGAACTTCCCAGCAATGTTCGAAACCGAAAGGTTTTTTTCTCGAACTCAGGTACATGTCTTTCGCTTTGATAAGCTGGAAATTACCTTTACATATCAGGTCCTGTATAATAAGCTTCTATTTACACTTTATATAATGTATGTATTTGCCTGGCCTAGTTCATTCTGTCCACTTTGCTTTGTCTAAGGTTTAGGACCTGACTATGGTATCCAGTAAACTTTGCTACTTCTTTTGTAGATTTCGACTCCAGCGAGTCGATAGACCTTTAGCAGAACGTTAACAACGGGCTTCAAGGTTAGCTGCAAAATGTGCCCGAATAGCTTCCCAGGACGTTTCTGATTCTTGATCAGGGCCAACAATCGGATTCTGAGAAATCTTCAACCAAGATTTACTTAGTTGAATATCTTCAGCTGCCGAGTAGTTGAGGTTTCCTTCACGTCCTCCTGACTTCTTCGAAGTTTTTGACCTTAGAAGTAGTATTAGAAGCAGCGAGAGATTGGGGTGTTTCTGATGGAGATGGTGAATCGTTGTTTTCCATGCTTTCGGTTTAATTGGTGTTGTTGTTGCATATTTGTCAAGTTAATGCGTGAGCAAGTTTAGCAAAGTGTGATTTACAAATTCCGCATAATTTGGGGGATCCGCTAGGGCAAAGAAATCTATGAGGGATCCGCTGGGTGGCACTTGTAGCACACCACATCACCGTGGAGAAAAGGGGTTTGAGTAACAGCGGAAGCCGCACAGGAGCACTGACCAGTTTTCTGACGTTTGAGTACCACCACATGTATTACGTTGGCTTTGTAAAGGAACGTTTTAAAATTGTTGTATACAGAAAAAAGACTAGTATTCTGTGAGAGTTGGCAAGATAAATTGTTATGGGCCTGAAAAATCAAAAGTGTCAACACAGATTGCACGTAGCCTTGTTAAGACAGCATACAAAACCATTGGTGCAGGGCTCAAATCATTAATTGTCGACTCGCCCGAAAAGTTCGGTCAAACAAGATCATGTGAGGCCCCAGAAAAGTATTGATAGAAATACAGTACGTGTCTGTTTTCGCATATACTTCATATATAATAGAACTGTACACTGATCATGTTAACTGCTGCGGTTTGTAATTTAGGTTATCTTAACGCCTGCAGGTTACTGCGCCACCTAAAACTCATATATATACTACTTGGAAATGTACGGCTAGCCCAAGCAAGTTAAAATACCAAACAAGCAAGAAGAAATATGCCAGACAAAGCAAGAGCTTTTCCATGTTTTTTGGCAATAGACCTACTGCCTGAGCTCGATTGGAGTGTACGTGGCGAACCAACGTATGGCCCTGGCTCCGTCTTCCAAGGTAATTTTGTATCAGTGATTATATACACGTTAGATGTCAAAGTAGAATTTACAGCAGCTAACTTGCGAGAATATGTAAACCAACAACAGGCTCTGTACGAATAGCATCCACTTTAACACGACAACAACAGCGCCATATTGATGCTGATACCATAAGGTTACAGTTCCAAGCATTCGAAGCCATTCGCCCAATCGAAATTAGTCCAGGTGTCCTTCGAGGCCTACGCCACCAGTCACTTTTTTCGATCAAGCAAGTTCTCTGGAGAGGCTACTGTTTGGATCTGTCTTCCGCTCCCTCTTGTTCTGGTAGCTACTACAGCGACTCATTTTGTTGCTCACTTCCATTCACCATCCAAATGCCTGTTGTCCAATATCAGCCATCCATAGACGACCACGAATACTACCTAGTCTCCTCAGCTTTGTTTGGTCATACAAATGGAACAACAACAACTCACCTGCAGATGACATTGAGATTGTCAGAATCGCCAAGTATGTTTTGAGTGTTTTCCGTGTGAACTGTGTGAAGCTGCTACGTTTGGTTGTTACAAATGAACGTACGCCATTTTGTGAATATGTCCTACCAATCTTCAAGTACTTTAGTGCAGCGACTGGCCTACTTTCATTCATATAGGATTCAATCATTAACAATTAATTTTATTGTAAACAATAAATTAATTTTTGTTAATAATCGAATCAACATTCGTAACAAGTTACAAATGTTAGGAGGGATATGCTCATTACCATTCCGCGACTATATTTATCCAAATTAATAGGGTTTATAACGGTGGGGGATGGTTTTATAAAAAATATCTAACATTTAAAAAATAGGGAGACGATTTAAATTTAATCAGTATTAAAAAAGTTTAAAATTTACTAATTTTTTTTAAAACTTGTTTATTTTTCAAAATATAAAATTAAAAATAAAATAGTAAATATTTTTTAAAATCATTATTCTTCTACATAAATAAATACTTTTAGGTTCAATTTTTTTAATTAAGATAAAATAGTTAATTAAGTATAAATGTTCTCTTAAAATATTATATGTAATTAAATATTATATTATTTTATTTTGTTGTATCCGTATTAAAAAGAAAGTTTAACTTAATTCTATTTTTTTTTATCTTTTTTACATTTTTTTTAATCCGAAATAATATTTTTAGGTTCTTCATAACTTAATAAGATTAAAACGTTTCCCATAACAAAAAAAGTTCAATTTTTTTTATTTTTCAAAAATATTTTTAATTTTTTAATTTTGGTGGATTAATTATTTATAGATGGATTAATAGTTACGGATGGTTTCCCTAGTAAGTTTTGTGTTTGTCCCTGTCACTAGCCTTCAATGAACTCATATTTTACTGGCGTAGGTATAAAAAAGGATCTTAATTATGCAAGCAGCTAGGTATATATCATCCCAATATCGGATCAAAGCTGTTTAATGGGCTTGGAACGAGTCTAAAGGACAAGGTCGAACGCCTGCTGATCGAGTGCTCAGGGTAAGGGAAAAATGAGAGGGTTTGTGTGTAAAAAAACATTTATGATTAAGCGAACAATTTAGTCAAAAATATACCCTACACAATCAAGAAGATTTCTTGAAGCTTCTCAAGTGCATAAGTGCTTGCTTACAGCTGGATATGATGAAATATCATCACGCTTCATCGAACACATTCAAACAACGCCAGATATTCTCCATCCACGTTATTGGGGGCAAGATTACTAGGGATCCGCACGGTTCGGTTCGGTTCGGTTCTTAAAGGGAACCGAACCGAACCGTCTAAAGCAAGAACCGAACCGACTAGAACCGACGAGAACCGTAGAACCGAAGAATCGAACCGAAGAACCGAACCCATCATGTATATAAAAAAGGCAAGATTCGGTATCTTTAAATGAAAGCTGATGTGTGTGTTCAAATGTCGCGGTATACTTGAATACTGCAGTAAAAAAGAATAATTTATTATTGTACATTGAACAGCGATCTCAAAATGAATAAGAGAAACAGAATGTAAACATTCTCATACGATGTGGGTCATTGCATGGTTTAAAGATTGAAGCACAGTTTTTACAAAAAAAAGTGGAGCTTATAGTACTTACTTAGAGCGACTTAGTATTACTAGTACAATATGTTATCGTAACATTGGAGGAATTGAACCACAACCGGCAGTACAGCTGCTGTGTCTCTACGTGTGTATAGTGTATAGTGTCTCATAAAAGGCAAAGGGTGAATGGGTAAGATAATTCTGTTATGAGCCCCAGAATGCGCAATCTCAAACGGAATGCACAAACTTGATAAAACTGATCGAGAAGCCATGATAAATCTAGTAAAGTAGTACGTCATGGAGAAAAATGCAATGTGGGTAGCAAAGTAGAGGAACAAGTAATGATGTGCGTCATGGGCGGAGAAAGCAAGCTGCCGTCAGAAGAAGTGTTTTTTTTATTTTTTTCTCTTATCTTCTTTACTATTTTTTACTCCCTTCTGCTTTTGCAGGTTTTGTTAAGTTTTTCAATAAAGTATGGCTTGCAAATACACTACTTCGTGGTCTTTTCGGAATAACATTGTTCGTAACTTCCATTATAGCCTACTTTATACTAATTACCAAAATCGCTGATTGCAATCTTCTGCCTCTCGGTTCTTCGGTTCTACTTATACAGAACCGGTTCGGTTCCGGTTCGGTTCTTGACAGGAACCGAACCGTATTTTCTCGGTTTCGGTTCGGTTCGGTTCCGGTTCTACGGTTCTGATACGGATCCCTAAAGATTACTCTTTTGGCAACCACGTCTGATGGCATGCATATCATTTGTATTGAGGTGAGATCAGTTGTAGTACCTATTGACTGGGAAGACTATTTGCATTGGATCAAAGTTTTCGAGCTGTTGGTCAAGTTGAAGGTAAAACAAAAGCAGAAGATACAACACTACCATAAATATGTCTCCCCGGCATTGTTGAATTTAGGAAATGTGCCTGGAGCATAAAATTATCACAAAAGAACTACAAAAGAGCATGTTGGTCTCGTCTCAGTCAGCAGAAACGATTAAGTCAAGCAAATGTCCTCTCGCTGCCTTCACCCACAGTGATCCGCTTTCGTGTATATATCCCTTGTATCATTCTATTGATAGCCTTGTTTTGTTTCTGTTCCACTGATGTATTCCAGTTATCATTAGTTCTGATGTGTGAAGCTCTTTTCATTTGCCACATGTGGTCGTCTGGATAGTCCGTGATCTCGGTCTTTTGGTTTAGCTAATGGATGTTGTTTCATCTCTTTCGTTTCTGACTTGCTGCTTGTCGCTACATGGTGAACATGAGCAATTAAAACAGTGGTTGAGAGCTTTTTTGTTGGCCTCTACAAAGTAGTAAGCCGCCATAATGATAACCCCTTCTGTCATGTTGGGAAAGCAAGCCGCCATCTTATAATTCATCATGATGCCAAATTGGAAAAAATAAACTTCGCACCAAGTAAGAAAGACGTATCCCAAGCCATCATGATATTCCCCCACCGCCATACCAAAAAAACCACCTGCCTTTTCTAAAGAAAAAACCTGTAATAGATGGCGTCGCGGAATTTCTTATGGCAGATGGTGCTTTTAACCATGGCGTAGTATTTTTCCTCAATTGGCGTTTATTATTTTCCACGATGGCGCCTACTGCTTCATTATGGCGTCCCTTTACCATTATCACGGCGGCCCAGATCCTTATATACTATTACCGTAGTTGCAGGAGAAGCTGATGCGTTAGACGATTACAAGGTTTATTTATGATAAAACAAATTACAACAGCTCTTCTTCTTGTATGCATCGCGGAAAAAAATTAAAGAGTGCTTGAATCATCCAGGGCAATCCTTAGCTTTAACGTTTTTAGAGGCATCAAACCATCAATAGCACGAGATGTCAAGCTATCACCCTTTGTCCAAAGCTCCCGTCTAACAACATTCTTCAGCTTCAGCCAAAAGAGCTCGATAGGATTAGAGTGGGTGAATAAGCAGGCAAATATGGTAGTTTATATCTATAGTGTTCAACGACTTCCTTGACTTCGTGTGTCATATGTGTACCTGTATTATCCATAATCAAAGATACTTCCTTGTATGTGGTTCCTGTCAAGAGCATCTATCACTATTTTAAAAACTTGACAAAGTGCTGCGCACGTGTACCAGTTTTTTCCAACAATATGCTCCTCTCCACTCTGTACCTATCGTTTCTTGGATCCAGTTGCTGCTTGTGGCTTCCTCATTGAAAGATTTATCACAGCCTTTGCGACAATAGCCCCAAAAATTGTTATATTCATGCCACGATGGTCAGGCGATCGATGTCTTGCTAGGAGTTCCCCGTTTCGATCGCCCAGATGTACACTGCGTATTAAAATTTAAGCCTGGCCTCATCGATAAAAACACAGTTGTAACACAGTCGATATTTTCTTGTTGGACGTTTAGGACCCAGCCCTTCCGGTTTGCAATCGTTTTCTTAGAGTTTCGAGCTTGGGATATTTATTTTTTTGATCTTTATCATAGTCAACCCACAGTGCTACACGATGTGCAGCTGTAGTCTGCTTTGCGTGATCGGGACTTGGTACTTATCACAAAGCATCGCTTGGGCTTGTCTAAGCGTCATGGTCGGGTTTTCGATGTATAGTTATAAGTGCTCGTCAGTGTGCTTACTTGTCAACTAGGGCGTCACTCCTTCAAATTTATCAACTTCACTGGGCAGATATGGCGCGCCGTCTCGAAACTGGGCAGCGTTGGGAAGTGCGTTCTGGCATGCGTTAGTTGACGTGCAGCTTCTGCACAGTTCAATATCACATTCGGTTCATATCGACGAGTTCATTAATGAGTATATCTGTGTGTTTACTATGCGATCCTAGTTGAATGCTTGAGTAATAATGAAAGGGATTGACAGGTACACATTACTCAAGTGTCTAATATACCTGGATTCTAACCTCTTTTGGAGAGCTTTTGCGAGGTCTTTCTCTTCCTCTTTTTTCTATGGCCTTTGGTAGAAGGACATTTTTTGGGCCGCGCCTTCCAGATGTGTTTCTCCAGTTATTTTCGTTTTTTTTTTTGGTGTTTTAACTTCGTTATCGTCTAGTTCATGCTGGCGTCATACATAAATAATAATACTCAATCAATTTTCAACCTCATCTTATCTTATACTGTATAATTATAATTATCTTCTCTGCTTCATTTGCTGATCTTGTCATTGACACGAGGGATTGTATCGCAACTTGATCAGTATCGAGTTCCTTGTTAACAAGATGGTACGGATCTTCGTTTTTGATAAATTCTTCTTCCATGCTTTTTTTGGGGCTCTTGCTGCTCTTTTTCATCACGGTCAAATGGTAGTGCGGAGTTGTATTAAACGTCTTCCACTGCAGTCTGTGCATAGCATTGGGGTTGTAGGTGGCGTACATAATGGTGATAAAATTGCTGAACCTATCTTGAAGAAGGTACAGTGACAGAAGCTGCTTTTATACTTTAACCAAGTGCAATCACTACACCAAGAAATTCTTGGCTACTGTAAACAAATCAACTCGATGGGGGAAAGGCCTTTTCCACTTTATTATCTATTGAACGGCACCCAACTTTTACCAGCTTTTTCTGCAACTACAGTAGTAGTATAAATGAAATCTGAGCCGCCATGATAGTTAGAAAGGGACGCCATAATGAAAAGTAGTAGGCGCCATCTTGGAAGATATTAGACGCCAAGTTGAAAAAAAAAACACTGCGCCATGATAAAAACATCATCCGCCAAATTGAAGTCAAAGGGATGCCATCTCTTGTAGCTTGAACTCCAACAAGCTATACGCTGGACTGTTTGTTTTCATTATAGCTGACGCATTAGATATACATGTATTGTCTTGGTAGTCTAAAGGAGAGTTTTTGATGATTTCAGCTCTAAACAGTGTGGGGCATGGCCATTTATTATCAGGATGGTTACTCAACAGCATCAATGATAGCTTTTTATGCGCTAAATGTTGCTTTTTGCCTTAGTGTTGCGCCCAGTCTTTTGTATCACTAAAAACGCATCGTTTGTGCAACATCCGTTGTAGCACGATGTGATTTATTGAATGATGATTAACCAACCCAACCAGTTTTTCATATGACTCAGCGCGATGTCATAAGACATATAGGGATTGTATATTGACATGATTAATATGCTAGATAAAAAGACAGAAATGATGAAGAGTTACGCTTGTATGAATAAATATACATCGGGAATTCGCAGAAATGCATCCGATCCGTTGGTGTATTAGGAATGGCGGGACAAAAACTGGCGCATGAACAATACGCCTGTACAACATGAATACACTCAGCTTGTGAGGTTGAGTTCAGTAATCGTTTTATGAGGGTAGCGAGTGATCACAGAAGCAGAAGTAACTGATTAGGTGGTGAATCTGTGAAATGTATGTGATATACATACATGTTTTAGTGAAAAGGAAAATAAAGAAGACTGTTATGAATATGTAGTACTTGGTAGGCATGGAGAGTACCGGGACCGATATGCAGCTTCAACAGCCCGCTTTCGCGTGCTCGTGACAGGAATGACAGCCGATGGAGTTAATTATGCTGATCTAAAGACTTGCGTCTACAATGTTTGCAGCATGTCAGCCTTAATGGCTGTATTATTGCGGATACATCGATGCATTGCTCATAGTAGCAGCAATAAAGAATAAACAAATTTTTATACTATATGCGTCCCACTTTTTTTATATTATCGGATACATACGGCAATGTAGGTAGTCGATTCATCATCTAACAAGTATATACTGTAATCCATGCTTTTTGAACTTGCTGCTGGTGATGATATGATGATAGTATTTGCTGCCATTGAACTGCAACGTAAATAGTCAAGAACAATATCGTCTGAGGGACTCAGATAGAAAAGCGCATCGACGCACATGAGATTATAATCATCATTACTCTTACCTTCCTTTGATGCGTATCCTTCGTTTTTCTGTGCTCGTAAGATTACAACCTTGATCCTAATACACGTATTTAAAGGATCATCCGCCCCAAAAGTAAGAAAGACGTTGTGTAGCATGCCCCTAATGATTGATAAACATAACAAAGATATAAAGATCAACGTTTGAGAGGGTCTACATATATTTGCTTTTCGTCGTGCATGGGCCTCTCCAAATAAGACATGCATGATGCTTCCTATAGTGTGCTTATTTATGTTCTTTTGATTCTGACAACCAGGTGTGGTGCTACTACTGCCAGCTGAAAACTATGCTAGTAGGACCGCGATCGACAATCTTAAACAATCTTGCAACACTACGTATCGTAAAGCAGCAGCTTCAATCGAAATATATACCTATCACATCTAAAAAAGCATCATCCCAGCGGACAGTAGTGATGGTAACAACCAGTTGTCGATGGGGAAACCGTCAACAAAAAAGGTGAGCGGGCTTTATCTGACTTGCCCTGACGCCGCCACATGGACCACATGAGCGGGATCCAAAGGGTGGGGCATAACGAATAACCTATACCGCTCTTTCTTTCTCTCTTTTTTTTTGCAGGAATGACTCAAACTGGAAAACCAGTGGAACTTGCAACAGTGGTAACAAGCCATTCTAACCTTCTTTTGCTTGACTCTCTTGTAAGGTTGTTCTTGGCTGTCTAATGCAGGCCCGGGATCTTTTTTTTTTTTTTCCAAGGATGATTCCAACGATATGAAGAACAACAGGGATAGCGACACCCACACTCCCGAGGAAGAACTGCCTCCGGCTTATGACGAACTTGACGATACGGCAATGTCAGATAGCAATGTCCAAGTTCCAGAACCTCCTCTTTCACACGCTCTATCTGTCATTGACGACCGTAAGCTTCTTCTTTTTTACGTGGTGGGAAGTAAGGTACTTGGAACTAACAACTTTCCTTCCTCGTCTCTTGGCGACTCTTGGCTTCCTTGTTCTTTTCTACTTTTGCGTTCCTCTCTCTCGCTTTTTTCTCTTTTGTAGCCGAGACTATTTTAGACAGTAATTTGGGAAAAGTTGATGAACAAGTCATTGACACGAAAACATTCCAATGGGAAATCTCAAACTGGTCGGATCTACCACCTCGTATCGAAAGCTCAGCCTTTGAAGCAGGCGGATATCACTGGTAACGTTCGATGGCGCTGACTATATCCCCCCTCCCTCACCCTCCACACCAGTTAGTACTGATTGTTTAACACGATGGTGTGTGTGTGTGTGTTTACTGTAGGAGCATCTTGCTTTTCCCTCGTGGAAATAACCAAGCTGAAACCGTATCGGTGTATATAAAGTTGGCAGACATCGCGACCGACACTGAAGCGTATGCCTGTGCTCAATTTGGGATCTTTGTATCGAGACCATCAGATCCAACGAATTATAATTGCCTTTGTAAGAGACCTTCGTAGCTAGATACTGTTTTTTTGATCTATCTGTACCTGACTTTTTCTTCCCTTTCAACTCGTGGTGTGCACGCGTAATGTATTAGCTGCTTGTCATCGATTCACGCGATCCGCATCTGATTGGGGCTTTCTGCGCATGGTATCCATCGATCGACTACTGGATGATGATTCTCAAACCTACCGCGCAGCAGCACTTTTAGAGAATAATTGTATTAGAATCACGGCCATCGTTCGGGTGGTCAAAGATGAAACCGGCGTACTTTGGCATAACTTTCTCGAGTAAGTATATGTATATATGCAATTGCTGTGGCTTTTGATCTATCAGATCCACCAACCTCCAGCGTTTTCCCTTTTCTTGTGTGATATATATGATCTATTTGTAATACTGAAAAAAAACTGGAATAGCTACGATTCCAAAAAGACGACTGGCTTTGTGGGATTAAAAAACCAAGGTGCCACATGTTACATGAACTCACTCTTTCAGTCTTTGTACTGCACAAACTATTTCCGTAAAGCCGTTTATCAAATTCCGACCAACGACGATGATCCGACTGGAAGCATTGCTTATGCTTTGCAAAGATTGTTCTACAACCTACAATCAAGCATTGACTCTGTTGGTCTGTATTTCTTTTTTTGAATTTTGTCTGTTTTCGGGAAGAGGAGTATTGGGCACGTTTATGATGACAACGGCAAAAGAATGTTAATGCATGTAGACGGTTTTCTTTTGCGTGTCAATAAATATATACACTACTACCATAATAATACCAATAGATACGGTCGAAGTAACGAGATCGTTTGGATGGGATTCCTCCGAAGCATTTATGCAACACGATGTTCAAGAATTCAATCGAATACTCCAGGAGACACTCGAAACCAAGATGAAGGCAAATATTCGAGGATTGATGGCTGTCTCGGGGAAGAAAAGTCCAGGCTGATCCATTGTTCTGTGCAGAATACTCCGGCTGATGGAGCTATCAAAAAGCTTTTCGTTGGCCGTATGAGAAGCTACATCAAGTGCATCAACGTCACATACGAATCTTCTAGAAGCGAAGACTATTACGGTAAGCACATTATTTGTTTTTGTCTCCTTCTTTCCATATATATATATATATATATATATATATATATACCGGCCCCTGCATGATATGTTACGATTCATTCAATCTTGTATTAACTCAAAAACCTGTCTTGTATAAATACCTTTCTATAGATATTCAGTTGAATGTGAAAGGATGCAGTACGCTTGCGGACTCGTTTGCCGATTATATCGCAGAGGAAACGTTGGAGGGAGAGAATAAGTATAGTGCCGAAGGTTATGGCTTACAGGACGCCAAAAAGGGCGTTATTTTTGAAAGTTTTCCTCCTGTGCTACATCTTCAGCTCAAGCGCTTTGAATACGATATCAATCGCGATGCTATGGTCAAGGTATATGCAACATTGTTCTATTTACACAACTACCCGACTGTACTGGTGGATAGGTTCTTCAACCACTGCTCTTACCATGATTCGTTGTTTTGATAGATCAATGATAGGCACGAATTCCCATTGGAAATTGACTTGGAGCCATACCTTGATTCCAGCGTTGATCGTTCAGAACCCCACAAGTATATCTTGCATGGGTAAGAGAATACCTAGTAGAGCTCTCTCTACGAGTGACGATGATTGTACTAAAAAAAAGCTTTGCTGCCTTTACAAAACAAGTGTTCTGGTACACTCGGGTGATTTGACAGCAGGCCATTACTTTGCATTTGTCAAGCCTACAAAAGAGGATCGATGGTAAGGAGAAGGGGTGGAATAGCGTCTCTCGTAAATTATTACATTGGTAATCTTCAACTATGAAACCCATTCCCACGACGTGCACATATAGGCTGAGATTTGACGATGACCGAGTTATCCCAGTAGCCAAGAAGGAAGTCTTGGAGGCTAATTACGGTGGCGAGTTCTTGGGAGGAAATTATCATGGTTTCAAACGGTTCACAAATGCGTACATGTTGGTGTATATTCGACAATCCATGCAGGATGAAATCCTTGCAGATGTTTCCGAGCACGATATTCCTAGACACTTGGGTAATAAGAAAAAAGAAAGAGAAAGGCAGAGCATTCGATAATTTATCCAAGAAAGGTCATCTATAGTGACAAAATTGGAGGAGGAACGCAAGAAAAAGCATGATGAGGACAAGGAAAAGAGCGAGGAACATTTGCACATACGGGTTCAGGTATATACATATACAGCACAGCTATCGATTTGGATGGTGCATTATAGAAACGACTTGACTGTGGTCACTAACCACTATCCTTAGATCATCACTGAAAAGGCGTTTGAATTGAACGAAGGATTCGACTTTATACCGAAAAATGACCATCTTTGGGGCGACGAGTCCACTTCTCCGATTCAAGGACTGAAAGTGCGGAGAGCCATGAAGTTTGGAGAGTTCAAGGATTTACTGGCAGAAAAGCTTGCTACTCCTAAAAACCAATTCAGAGTATGGTCTATTGTGAACCGCCAGAACCGTACCATCCGAGCGGATGATCATATCGTCGAGGCCAATAATGAAGATCAAAGTAAAGCAGCCCATTCAAAGAACTATTGTTTTGCACGGCTATATGATGAGCATATAAGGAGTATTATACTAAGTGTCCATTTTTCTTTTTATATTAGCAATCAGTGATATCCTGAATCGTTATCTGACAAACCATGCACTTTTGCGCATATTCGTGGAAAGGATTTCTACCAATGACCAGCCCGATGAAGGCCAATATCCACCGCTCGTACCCGTTACAGATAATCTGGTATTCATCAAATACTTTGATCCAGAGAACCAACTGATCAGGTACAGATGATCATAAAAAGATCACTTCTCAAAGAAAAAAGTAGGGTTAATTGAGTTCTTGTTTATTGTAGTGGTATGGGGTATCTCTATGTAAACAAAACAGACAAGATTGGATCTATCTCGGATAGAGTGAAAATGATGATCGGCTATGAGCTTGAAGCCAAAGTTGATTTATATGAGGTATTTTTTTAACCCATGCAATCAGCATTTTTCCTTCTATATTACCCCAAAAAAGTACTAATGCTGGCATTTGCAATAACAATAGGAAATCAAGCCCAATATGACCGACAAGATGGATATGGAAAAGACGTTTGAACAAGCAGAGATACAGCATGGCGATATCATTTGTGTACAAAAGACCCTTACAGAAGAAGAGTTCGTATACCTTATAACGCCGTTCTATTTCTCTCTCTCTTGCATCAACAACACCCTTGCTGACGGTGTAATACAATTGTGCTCTTACTATCATGCTACTAGGCAAGCCCAGCTTATCAAGGACGAAAAGTATCCAACGATACCCGACTTTTTGGACTTTATGTTCCGCAGAGTGGACGTAATCTTTACTCCACGCAACCGAGACCCGAGCATGGAGTTCAAGCTAACACTCAAGAAAAACATGCAGTATGCCCAAGTAGTCCAGCGGGTCGCCGACAAGCTGCAAGCCAACCCTCAAAAGGTACAGCTTTTCACACCGCCTGAAGCGCACGCAAATGAAGAGCCATTGCCAATTCCGCCCAACTCACCCCATTTGCTTGGAGAAATCCTGCGCCATATTGGCGGTGGCATGATCAGTGCCAACCCCATGCTGGTATATCAAGTCCACGATATCTCGCTTGCCGAGTTGGAAATGAAACGTACATTGGAAATCACCCTGTGCACGCCCACGCTGAGCGATACCAATACGATCAAGGTGTTGGTCTCCAAGCGTGGCTGCATTGCCGATTTGCTCCAGGTGCTCCAAGCCCAAGGGGCTACTTTCAGATCCGATAGTGGCACACGGCAGGCGCGTATCTTTCAAGCATTGAACAATAAATTCCATCGTGAGTTTGTGGACTCTGATCCAATTACGGCAATCAGCGATAGTCAAATAGCACGTCTCTATGCAGAGGTACATCATGTCAATCCCCTTTTTGTTCTGTGATAGAGGTGTGTGCTTACCTTTGACTTTTTGTTGTTGTTGTTGTAGGAGGTACCTCAAGAGGAGCTGGAGATGTACGATGGAGAAGAAGGGCAGCCTTTCTATCTACCTGTATTCCACTACCAACGAGACCTACAGCGTACTCATTCTGTTCCATTCCAACTATTACTCAAAAAGGTACCCAATTAAAAAAAAACACACACACAATGGCTATTTTCTCTCTCTCTCTTTCTCATCGCAAGTGTGATCATGATAGGATGAGGAGTTCAGTGAGACCAAGAAACGACTTCAGCTTCGCACAGGAATGAATGACAAGGACTGGAGCAAGGTCAAGTTTTCCATGGTCTCGGCACGCTCTAGCAAGCCTATACAAGAGGACGCTATCAAGCTGTGGGATGTTTTGTTGCAACTGGATGAGCAGAGTGCGCTTGGATTGGATCATATCGACAAGTTGGGTCGTGTACGCTCTGTGTTTGACAAACCGTTATCCATCCGCGGTTAAAATGTATGCCAACACATGCACAGCCTTTATTAATAAATAAATAAATAATAAAAAAGAGAGGTGTACTACTACTAGATGTTTTGGACAGTTCTAGAAACAAAACAAAACCTAGCATCGATTCCTATTTATCGCATGTGCAACAGCGACGACCCTTCGGTGGAGTACAGTACTTTTTATATAGGAAGAACAAATCGTCCGACGGCTTTGAATAGAATGCATGACATAGGATCCATATGATGACAATTAAAGATGTGTATATCTCGGAGGGAAATACACACATTCCTAAAAGTTAAAAAACAACCGACTTTCCACCCTGCTTTTTTTTTCTTTCCGATATCTACTACGAACGACGACAGCAAACGCAGTAGAAATAAGTTCAGGAAGAACGGACAGGGACAAGTGAGAAGGGTCCCCAGTTTGGTAAAAATCAACCCTTTCCCTTTTTCTTTTTTTTTTTTTTTGGTTCATCTCTCTCCCCCCACCGCCCCACCCCACCCCTCTTCCCTGATCTTCTCCTCTTTAACGTCATTGTTTTTGTTTTATTCTTTTTTGGCACATTCACACACACACACACACACACACACACAAAAATCCTCATATCCGGATCAGGGTCACCGTTATGATGAGCCATAATACGAATACTACGAATGCAGACAAAGGGTCCTTATCTCCAGGGCGGGCCTCAGGCCCTAGAAAACGAATGCTTAAATCGACCAGTCTACAGCCTAAACACAGCAATAACAGCAACAACAATGACATGGAACTAGCCGCTGAGATCGGTCAAGGTCTTTTGAGCGAGGTGCGCAAAATGCAATCGTTGCTGCATCAAAACCAAGATTCGTTGATGGCTCTGGAGCTCGAGAAAGTAGAGCAAGAGCATCAAATGGATACGCTGGCGAAACAGCTCAAACAGAAAGCACAGCGCGAGGGTAATAAAGAAAGAGACATGCTTCAATTGCTCTCCTTTAACAGAATACACACATACATTCATGTTCTTCTCCTCCTCCTCAACCTACAAAAAAACACCAAAAACTCTATTGTTTTAGAGAAACTAAACGAAGAAATCTGGAATTTGGAGTTGGCGAAACAAGAGCTCATGCAACAAGTGCAGGATATGTCGCAAGACCTAGCCAAAGCATTGGCGGAGCAACACCGACTTGCGCGCCAAGAATCGCTGTCCTCAGCCGAACTGGATCAGTTGCGTAGCGCTCAACTTGCATGGAACGAAAAATCCAAAGAACACGACCAACAAGTGGCCACACTGCGACGTACATTAACCCAGTTACGACGCGAAATTAGGGTTTTGCAGCAGCAAAAGCATCATCACAAACGGGGCCCTGTACACGGCGAAAGGGTGGACAAGAACGATAATGAGAGTGGACAGCCACCGGTACCCCAGCAACAACCTAAAGCGCCTTCTTTCTCCGGCGCATCTGCAGCAGCCATGGCGTCGTCGCCTTCTAAAAAGAAAAAAGACGGCCAGCATGCAAAGACACTGGAGAAGCTGCAGCTGGAAATCGGCACACTGCAGAATTCCCTCAAACATGCTCATGAAATCGTTGCTGTTCTCGAACGTGATTTAAACCGCGAGCGGGTAAAGCGTGCAGAAGTGGACACGCTTTTGTATGAGGCACAAGAGACGATTGAAGGACTCCAACAGCAGCAAGACGCTTCTCCAGTTGAAGATGAGAGCGACGGCAAAGAAAAAGAAAAAGAGCAACAACACAAGGAGGAAGAAGAGGAGGAGGCCATACAACATGTTAGAAGACTACAACCGCAACAACGAGAAATGTCGCTTGGTGACGAGCTCGTCAACGCAGGAACCATGTGGGACTTTGTCGCATTTGAGCCCATCACCAATCACAGCATACCTCTCGAATCGTCACCGAGTACTATCCCGTCACAAAACTTTGCCGGCAGTAGTAGTAGTAGTAGTCGTGGTGGTGGTAACAGTTACGAGAACTATGGCACGTTTGTCGTGCAATCCAACACGTATGTATACAACACGTCTCACGACGGCGATCCTCCACAAAAGCGCGACCAAGCCCTGATTAGTCCTGCACGTGCTTCTGCATTTGACTTTGATCCAGCATTTATCAACAACAACAACAAGAAGGAACAAGAGCCGATGCCTGCAAGCGGTAGTGACAGTCGCGCCACACTCACGACAAACCTTGTTCCAGCTGTGACGCGGACCATGATTGGCGATTGGATGTACAAATACACGCGCAAAGTGGTTGGCAGCGGGATTTCGGAAAACAAGCACAAGCGGTTCTTTTGGATCCATCCGTATACCCGGACCATGTATTGGAGTTCACGCGAGCCAGGGATGGATACCCATCACGCCCATGGGAACAAGAGTGCATTGATCTTGTCGTTCCAAGCGATTCCAGACGGTGGCGGTCGGGGGGATGACACTCTGAGTCCACCGAGTATCATGGTTCAGACACCTGCACGGAGTCTCAAGATTCGATGTCTGGATATTATGGCACATCGCGCTTGGATGAAAGCGTTGCATTATCTTGTTTCGGATAATGCTACGGGTGCTAGTAGTAATAGTAATAGTCATATGGAAGAGTCGCCATTCACGTCCATAGAAAAGACAGCCATGTTAGAGGCGAGTGGGAGTCTCTCGATGCTCTTCCAGCCGCGTTCTCGATCTTCTCTATCGATGCCACCATTACCACCACCACCACCTGCATCCAAGTCGTTAGCCAGTATGCATGCAGCACCCCCTTCCTCTTTTAATAATTTTTCACGGCCATTTTTCGAATTCTCATTTAAGAAATAATATAATAATTTTGGGATGGATGTTTATAGTGTGTGTGTATGTGTGTGTGCGGGAGGTGGGGTATAGAAATATATATATATATAAAATACGAATAAATAAAAAAATAAATTATATAAGAAATATCTTTTTTGTGTCAATGTAAATCAAAAAAAAAATAAAAACTACTGGGGGTTCTTTTTCCTTCTAACAGCATCCACCCTGCTTTTCCTCGGGTTGCTGGGACACCGAGATAGTCTCACCCGCCGTAGGCTTGATTACATCATTGGATGATTCGAGAGCCTTGTTGGACACGATGCGATAGATTTCTATGTAAATTTGAGGAAGAAGCATGTGTTAGCTAGAGAATAATAGAGCCACTATCTTATATTATTATTACCTGTCAAGATACGCTGGAATGCCAACTCAACGTTACTCGAATCCAATGCAGACGTTTCAATAAACGAAAGCCCATTATCGGCTTTACACAAAATAATGAGTTTCTTCTTTATGCTTACCACCCTACAACACATATATATACACACACACACACAGAGAGAGAGAGAGTTCTTCTTACCAGCAAATTGTTTAGCTTCTTCGGTGGGAACGGCACGCAAATGTTTCAAATCACTCTTATTACCGACGAGCATGACAACAATATTCGAATCTGCATGATCGCGCAACTCCTTGAGCCATCGTGTCACGTTCTCGTAGGTGGCATACTTTGCAATATCGTAGACCAACAAGGCGCCTACGGCACCCCGGTAATATCTGTGGTCAATCGACAACAAAGTATCGTCAGTCCCTGACAAATCAAGATGTGTATGTGTATGGTGCCAATCAACCCCTCCTTTTTTTGCCCCGTGATGATTAGGATTAAAGTTGATCATTTTTCGGAGGGAGCGGTAACAGAAAAAAAATAAAATATAAAAAAATAAGCTTACGCGCTTGTGATGGCTCGGTAACGTTCCTGACCCGCTTTTTTTTTTGTGTAGGTAAGAGTTAGGGAAAAAAAAAAGTCAGAAAACCTTGTGTCTTCCCTCTCTACTCTTTTAGAATTACCTGTATCCCAGATCTGTGCCTTGACGGTCTTGTTGTCAACCTGAACACTACGAGTAGCAAACTCTACACCAATGGTACTCTTGGATTCCCTGTTGTTTTATGATATTTTAGAATCAAAAGGTCTCTTTTGCATGTGTGTGCCTCGGAGGAAAATGATCAAAAAAAAGGTTCGGCAGAACTTACAAATTGAACTCGTTACGAGTAAATCGAGCCAAGAGATTCGTCTTGCCTATCGTTATTATTATCGTTAATATCGCGTCAAAAGACGCTCCATCAAGGAGTGTAACTGGAATAGTCCGGGAAATTTAAACTTACCAACACCAGAGTCACCAATAAGTACAACTACAAGATTCCCGCGAGGAGGAGGAGGGGGATGTAATATAGGATGATGATGTATGAGCGGGGATAGCACGCAAAACAGGGAGGAAAGAAGGCATGGATAGCCCTTGTAAGGCGTGTAGTATTACCTTTAAAAAGATAATCGTATTCGTCGTCTCGGCTCATCGTGCTTATAACTAAACTATGTACTCTGGAAAACAAAGAAAGAGAGAAAGAGAGAGAGACAACCGGCCCTGGCTTCTTACTCTGGGTTTTTTATTGGGTCCAGGACTGGGTTTGAATGTACATTGCTACTGTACTGTACTGCACTGTACTGTACTATACACACATATATACAGAGCATAACTCTACATGTCAGACTGACCGTGATCCACCATCTTCTGGGCAAAGCAGCATTTTGCATGGAGAGCCTTCGAGGCAGATGAGAAAGGTGGGGGGAGTGATGGACCCTCCAAAGAGAAGAAGCATTACCAGTTAAAGAAGGATAGCACAGACACTGAGGTACATCAAAACATCATTCTACATTTCTTTTTTTATTATCGGAACAATGAGACACAGGAGAGAATGAATGAATGAGACGACTCCTGATTATTATTTGACGAAACATGAAATGTGTCAGGAACGGATATGAAATCTCATGAGAGTTCCAAAGGCGGAATGCGAAAAAAAAAAAAAAGAAAGAAAAAAAAAAACAGTTATCGGGTCTTGATGATGGGGGCTCCCCGTTCGTTTATATTTTTCCAGTTTTCTCTTTCCTTTCTTCCCTTCCCTTTCTCTCTCTTTCTCTTTCCCTCTCTCTCAAGTTGTTTGCTCTATCATCAGACTATCCTGCTGCCGTCCTGATGGCATTCTCGCGAAACATGTTTGCACGGCCCAGCGTTGTGCTTGTCAGCACGTTTGTTCTTACCCTAGGCTCTGTCCTTGCCTACAAATACCTTACCAGTAAGTGTCAAAGAAAAAATAATAATAACGCGTGCCCTTCCCCCCCACACTTTGTTGTTGCTGCTCAAGTACAACGAATACCTCTCTACAGACGATACACAACATATATCCCAAGGGCAAAATACCTTTTGGTGATGATGCTCATCCACCTCTTCCTTTATATGACTTTGAAAAAAAAAATCAGAGGATGATTCTCAAAGCACCCGGTCACTGCCCGGCAACAACAACAACAACAACACCAAGAATGCTCATTCGGAGAATAAGGTCAGTCAGTCAGCCACCATTACTTTAGAGAGAGAGAGACTCTGACCCGCATCTTGTTACACAGGAATCGGAGAACGATCCGACCACTGTCACGCCCACCGACGAGACAAACAACGTAACGAAAAGCGATGCTACTGTGCCGATCGTGGAAGAAGTAAAGGAGAAAAAAGACGTTGATGCGGCCGTGCCTGCCACGAAAGCGGCTGACCCAAGCCAACAGGCCTCAGCAACCGCACAACAGGAACAACCCGACAACAATGACGACAGCAACGACACTCAACCACAGGAACAACCTGGCAACAAACAAGATTTTGTTGCTACTGTTGTTGTTGCTAAGGAACAGGAAGCAGCACCGATTGCCGTCGTCGAGGAACAACAACAGGAAGCGAGTGTGACTGAAACCGAACACAAAGTACCTGAAACTACCACGGAGGAAGAAGAAGAAGACGCTGTTGTCCCTTCCTCGCCCACACCTGTTGCATCCTCTAGCACCACATCTTCGTCATCCGCATCGGCCAAGCAGGAAGAAGAGCGATCATACCCAATCACACCCTCGTCTTCCTCAAACAACAACAAGAACAATGAATCAAGCAACAACAACAAGGCGTCGTCGTCCTCATCGTCCTATTGGCAACAGCCCCAGAACGAGCCTATGCCTCAATACAGCATGGGCTGGCCTTCGCTGATCTCTATTCCCGAATTCCAATACAACAAGCCTTTGCCTGTACCCAATAGTCAGCAGCAATCCATGAGCCTTTATTCGGTCGAAGCGGGTGATGCTGTCGCTGCGGGTGCTGATCAACAACAACAACTGGCAACAGCACAACAACAACAACAACAGCAACAAGGAGGCCGGGAACCAACGGCACGCAGTCAGCAGCAGCAGCAGAACAAGAAGGGTGGACGACGAGGTGCTGCAAAGAAAAAGTTGACACGGTTAGAAATGATTGAAGAACAGCGTCAGTCATACACGCCTCCCATGAAGTCGCGTTGTGACTATTGGCCCACGTGCAGCAACCGAAACTGCAAATTCAGACATCCTGTCAGACCTTGCCGGTAAGGAAGGAGGACTGGGCTTTTGGAATTGGGACTCTTACACAATTTTGCTAATCTCTTTTACTATACACAGTGCTGGCGATGAATGTAGCTTTGGTAGTCGATGCATGTTCTTGCATCCACGGGACTACTACGAGGCAACCAATCTCTAAAGTAATCTCGTGATGTTATATAACAAACCCCCCCCCTTTTCTTTTACAAATACACACCACACGCACAGTCCTTTCTTCTTTCGCTATTGTAGTTACCATACTTGCATGTTCTTTTACACACACACTCCATACACACTTTTTCTTTTTCTTTTCTTTACCAACACACGACCGTGTGCACACCCACAACCCCCGACCCTTTCAAACATAAAAAGTTCTTGTAGTATATTTTTTTCTCTCTCTCTCTCTCTCTCTTTCTCTTCCACCTCTCTGAGCACCGTCTCGCTCTCTCTTTCGCTCTCTCTCTCTCTGCGCGCGCACAAAGCACATACACGCACACGCACACAGACAAAGAAAACAAAAAAACCCCCCTGTTATTGAGTTTACATATATTAAAAAGTAAGAGGAGGAACCCATCTCCTTTTTTTTTTATCCCCACACCTGACTTTTTTTCCTCAAAGGTCCGTTTACGCTGGGAAAGCTCTTTTTCTTTTGTTGTCTGTGCAAAGCACCCACCCCGTTGTTCCTTGGAATTGATGCTTGTCCGGAGCACGCTGCTACATACAAATTCTATAAGAACAAGAGAACTTTGAGAGCAGAGCATATGGAGAAAAAGGCATTGGAACGAATATATATATCTGCCTCTGATCGGCAAAGAAGCACTGCTTTTTTTTCTTACAGAAGCTCATCTTACACTCGTTCAAAACGGTTGCTTTTCAACTGATACGATATCTGACATAAGATTTCCCGCTCTTTCTCTAACCCCCCTAACATAGAAAACCCGAGAATTGAGGCACACCGTGCAAGTGACAAATGCACGGCTAAACAAACATCCGTTCCTACATGATGTGTGGCAGAAAAAAATCCCGGCCGTCAGCAGCATTTTGCAGCTGCCCACATGGGGCCTTGTTCTATTCCATTATAGCAGCAGTGAAAAGCTAACGCAATCTTATCAACGTGCTACAGATGACTTGATAGTAATGCATATTGCTCTCAAAAAGAGTTTGGGCTCCCATGGATCATGGATATATTTGCAACATAGTCTTTATGTCATCAAAATGGGCCTCAACAAAGGGTTTTTCCCTTGGCTGTTGGAAAGAGAGCTAAGCACATATTACCGTGACCTAGTTTGGGGGGGGAGGGAGGTAGTGAAGGGGAGGGGAGAAAAGAAAACGTGGGAGAGATCCAAGAGGCGGGTTTAATACATGTATTCTTTATCAGGTAAGACAGCGAAAAGTGCTTTGCCTGAATATGCATTTGTCATTGAAAATGACACCTTTCGGATGATACTGCTGAGATTGACCCTATAATTCCCAGAAAGGGCCCAACCGTTGTCATTCTATGTGTATATAACCAACCCATTTGCCCAATATATATAATATATAACCGACTGAACCTTCTTTTTTTTCAACCATATCCCCCCCTCTCTTCTTCCTTACAAATCACTTTCTTTTTCTCACATTGACCATGCCAAACAAAACATTCCCTGCCGTTGTTTCGTTTGATAAATCGTCCAATAGATCAGAAGCTGCCACTGACCTGGCCACCGCTTCCTCGGAAGAAGCCGATTATGCAAGACACATTGCTGAAGCGGTCGATGTTCAAGAGATCGACACAAACTTATACATGAGCAAAGAATTGTGGTTGCCTCCCGGAGCTCGAGGTGCTTTTGGTGGTCAGGTATATATGTCCAAAAAGAGAGAGGGAGGTCGAAAAAGTGATTGTTTGTGTTGTTGACCACTGGCGAGGGTTTTTTCTTTTAGATTGTCGCTCAAGCACTCCGTGCAGCATTTAATACGGTCCCCGAGGAATTTCATGTTCATGTAAAGTTGAATATTAAATTAGGGATTGAGAGTTGGGTTGAGTAAAGCCTTTAGTTTTGTTTGCTAAAAGAGAAATTTTTTTTATAGTCGTTGCATAGTTACTTTATTTTGCCTGGCAACGTCGAATATCCTGTGGTGTATCAAGTCCAGCGATTGCGCGATGGTCGATCCTTTGCCACTCGCTTCATCACAGCAACCCAGCGAGGCAAGGCGATCTTTGTGAGCAGCTTTAGTTTTGCCAAACCAGACAGTACCAGCATTACTCTTGAACATCAGGTAATACTTTGGTCATTTCCATGTGGCATGAAACAAAACTGTTTCTTTCTGACAAGGGGGTTTTTTTTGGTCCTTATATAGAGCACAATGCCTGACGTACCCGGTCCAGAAAGCTTATCTTCGTAAGTGTTTACAATAACAAAAAAAAAAAAAACTCGATCATGCAAGTTTAAAAACCTAAATGTTTCCTTAGAGAGTATGAACGACTACAAAAGGTTCTAGAACACCACGACCTACCACCCAAATACCGGGAACACATTGAATCACGCATGGAAGAATCTGCACCCATCGATTACCGCAACGTGCATAATCCTTCGCCACAAGAAGCGTTTACGGGTAAAATCGAAGCCAAGGATTTGCAACACCGTTGGTTCAAAACCCGGGGCGCATTGAGCGACGATCCTAGACTTCATGCATGCATTGTTGCATATGCTTCGGACAGCGCTTTCATTGGCACCGCCGCTTTAGCCAATGGCTTGGCGCCTCGATCCATTGGTATGATGGCCAGTTTGGACCATTCCATGTGGTTCCACGCCCCTGCCAGAGCAGACGAATGGTTGCTGTATGAAATGCAGAGTCCTCGGACAAGTGAAGGACGTGGCGTTGCTTTTGGACGGTTGTATAGACAGGATGGAACGCTGGTGGCTACCACGGCTCAAGAAGGTATCGTTCGATTGTCGCGTCGTGAGCAGGAACGTCGTCGGAAACAGCGTGAGGATCATGTTGCTACCGCACCAAGCAAGTTATAAGATCAGTATTACATCATCTTTTTTTAGAACGTCTACTCTTAAGTATTATTATATCATTGAACCCCCTCCCAATCCTCTTAGAACAGGGGGATTTGATTCGTATAAGTTTTTCTTTCCCATTGTGTACATTGTATTATCCCTACTTTTTTCTCGCTACTATATAAAACCCCCCCTCCCCATCCACAACCCAGAAAACTCAAAGAATCACCTCTTATACTACTTTTTTTTTCTTTTTCTTTTTGGATTCTTCCAACCGTCACTTGAATCAGAATGTGGAAAGCAGCCTCTTCGATTGTATCCAAGGGTCAACCGAGACTGGGCCGTCTCACTCAATCATTCGATCACTCAGTCTACCACTGCCCCAAGACCACCCGTGCCAAATCTTTTGGCGTTGGGCTGGGTGGCGCTGCTGTGTTACTTGCCGCCATCTCTCGATATGGACACCGTCATGGTGCGCATTAACGTTCATCCGCCACAAACCTAAATTTAGTTGATTTACCCCGCATTGTACTGATCTCTTCGGTTATCTTTGTTTGTATGTCAACACACACACACACAGATCTTGAAACAAAAATGCCTTTTGCCTGTCGCAATTTTCTTTTATGGACTTCAATGGGCTGGGATGGGGGCTAAGGTCTTTTTCTTCAGTGACATTATAAAAAGTGTCATATACACAAAAGAACATGGGAAAAGCAAAACAGAGAGAGAGAAAGCTTATACTTAACCTTCTTTTTTTCTCCTTTATTCCGCGTCCACCCGGGGGCCCAAACTTCTTCTCACACGCCATTTTATTCTGCCACTGTCACGGCTACTGGCTTGAGTTCGCTCACCTATTCTTTTCTTTCTCTCTTCGTATTACACATTCTCACAATGTGGGCATCTCAAGCAAGTCGGTCAGCAAGACGTATTGTGCTGGCACAATCGCGTCGTCGTTTATACAGCACTGCAAACGCATCTTCATCGTCCCATTGGCAATGGTTCGCCATGGGTGGTTTTACTTCAGCCGCTGCGTTGGGTGCTGGCTACTACTATTATAACAACAACAACAACAACAACAACGTAGCCATAGCAAAGTCTCAGCCAACAACACAAAGCACCCAGAGTGCCATCCAACAAGCGTTCCACGAACTCCAAAAAGTACTTCCATCCGAACACGTAACGGTAGACGAAGAAACGTTGCAGCTGCACGGCTATTCCAACAACAGTTACCACAACGAAGGCAGTCCAAACATTGTGGTGTATCCTACCAACACACAAGAGGTTGTACAGATTGTCAAGATTGCAAACACACTGAATGTGCCCATCATTGCCTTTTCCGGCGGCACCTCGCTCGAAGGTCATTTCACGGCTCCGCAGGGCGGTATCTGTATCTCTTTCACTGAACACATGGACAAGGTCGTCGAGTTCCATCCGGATGATCTGGATATTGTTGTTCAGCCAGGCGTGCAGTGGGAGAACTTGAATGCTCAGCTCAAAGAGCATGGGTTGTTCTTTCCCATGGATCCAGGTCCAGGGTAACGTATGCATGTTAAAGGGCTTGCTTTCCCCCCCCCCGCTTTTGTCTCATTTTCCCCTTGGGGGAAACCCAATTGTTTGTTTGTGTTTGTGCAGTGCATGCATTGGTGGCATGGTGGGCACAGGTTGTTCAGGTACAAACGCTGTGCGTTGGGGCACAATGCGTGAGTGGGTTATCAATTTAACGGTGGTGATGGCTGATGGTAAAGTCATCAAGACCCGTCAACGACCCAGGTAAAAAGAAGAGCACCCCTCCCGGGAGGGGTGGTGGGGATGTTTGCTGTTTGAGAAATATTTGAAATAATACTATTTACGCTATTTAGAAAATCATCAGCTGGCTACGACTTGACCAAACTCTTCATTGGATCCGAGGGTACGCTCGGCATCGTCACAGAAGCCACACTCAAACTCGCTGTTCGACCGCAAGAAGAAACGGTTGCGGTATGCGATTTCCCAACGGTACGCGATGCAGCAGCCGTTGTACCAGATCTGACGCGCGCTGGTGTCCAGATTGGGGCGGTTGAATTACTCGACGAAGAAATGATGAAAGCCGTGCGTATGGCCAGTCCACAACTCGGCTATCAGGCAAAACCAACCCTGTTCTTCAAGTTTGTTGGTTCCAAGGCCCAGATTGAGCATGAAATCAAGGTCGTTTCGGATTTGGTCAAGAAACATCAGGGTGGTCAGTTCAAGTATGCAAAGACACAGGCGGAAAAGGATGATTTGTGGGAAGGTCGAAAGGTAATTGTTTTTATATTTCTCCTCCAGCGAGAGTTCTCTGCCACCCGCCCTAATTTTTTGGAGATATTACTCTCCTCTCTCTCCTAGACTTGCCTTTGGTCAGCCACGATGTTAAAGGAAAACGCATCGGTGTGGACAACTGATGTAGTCGTGCCGGTTTCACGATTACCCGAACTGATTGCAGAAACCAAAAAGGATGTGTCCGAATCATCTCTTCCTTGCCCATTTGCAGGCCATGCTGGTGATGGTAAAAAAAAAACACGTTTATAGATGTAGTGTCGATGGTCGTAGAGAACTTTTCCTTATCTAACTCCCCCTCTCTATTCCTTTAAAAAATATGTATTGTGTATAGGCAATTTCCATTTGTTTATCCTATTTGACAAGAACATCCCCAGCGAGTTTGAAGAAGCCACTCGATTGAACCAGAACCTCATCCAACGTGCTATCAAGATGGAAGGTTCCATCACTGGCGAACACGGAGTCGGCTTTGGCAAGAAGAAATACCTTCGTGATGAATTGGGTGATAATACAGTCGATTTAATGTGGACAATCAAGAACGCAATGGATCCAAAGGGTATCATGAATCCAGGCAAAGTGTTGCCCGATCCAAAATGAATAGTATTAAAAAAAGAGAGAGGGGGGACTTGGTATATAGAATAGGAAAAAACCAATATATGTGAGATAGTAACATGTACAAAATATACATATATAACAACAACAACAACATTGTATGCTACTTATTAGATGGTTGCGATATGGGGTAAAGAAATCACTTTAAAGTCGTCAATCTTGACAAACACACCACGTTGCGGGTCGGTCCGGAAATACCGTATGCCTTCTACCTCACCATCATTCTTGCCCACTATGTAATAACATGTCAAGTTCAAAACGACGAAAATCCAGCTTGAAGGAAAGAAAAAACAAAAAAACAAGAAACTTACATCTACTTTCGAGCTCTACACCAACCCAAGTTCCTCTAGCAAAATTGACATGGCCGACATATTTGATGGTACCCAAGGTTGGCAGTGGACGACGTAATAGTTCGACTTTGGCACCAATGACGGGCGTGACCATGGTGATCAATTCCTCATCATCACTCACGTCACTACTGCTGCCTCCGATACTCCATCTTGACCTCCGTGGCGAACGTCCTCGACGAGGGACTCCGTTGTGATGCTGATGGTGGTCATGACATGATGCTTGCGTTGGTGCCAAGAATGGTTTTTGTACAGGTGATTTGGCTCGTAAAGGAGTAGTAGGTAGTTCAAATTTGAGTCGTGATGGTCTACTACTACTACTACTACTACTGGTATTTTTTGTACTAGATGTTGTATAGGTGGTATTGGAATTGTTGGTATTTTTGTCGGTAGTTGCTATTGATGCGTCATTTGTTGCTAGTTCTTCTTCAGGAGTCCATTCTGTGATTGATGAACTGAGCGGCAATAATGCATCGACAAGAGACGTTGTGTGTCTGTTGTTGTTGTTGTTGTTGTTAGTGTTGGCGTGGGTTGCAGAGGAAGACATGAATTGGTGTTGCAAATGATTTGATGATGGTGAAGATGTTGATGCATGCATATCGTAATGTGGGCTCGATGGGTCCTCTTGTCGCTGTCGTCGTGCCTCGCTTTCCAGTGATAAGAGATGGATGAGAGGTTGTGACGATAGGCCATCCCTTGATAACTTATTGATACTCTCGGCGCTCAATGTATCGGATATAAACGGTCTTGAAGGAATAGCCTCGTTCGACAAGGAGCGGCTCCGTGTGAGTCGTGCCATGTCATTTGCTTCTTGTGACTTTAAGGCATTATTTGACCGTTGTGTCCGCAAACTACTAAGCGATAATCGTCGTGATCCAGAGGATCGATGCTGTTGTTGGTGTTGGTGATGATGATGCGTATTCCTTGCTGATTCATCCGTGAACTTGGACTTGACTCTACCAGGTTTTGACTTGAATCCAAACATGGCAGCGAAATCCGACTCAATGGGTTTCGTCAATGCACGATACGGCACACCAATGTCTAATGTTGCATACATTTATCCTGTGGTTAGTATTCTTCTATCAAAAATTGACGGAGAGCATAAATGGGACGCATTTACCGTCTGACAAACTGCGCATGACATCCTTGTCAATCTTGCCAAAACCACCTTGTTCCTTGACGTGAACCCAACGACGAGCCAAAAACTCTGCACACTGATTGCGAGCATCCATGAGAACGCCATCGACGGCGACATTCTTGACGACTTCTTGGCGACCGACCAGATCCCTGACGATGCCCTGATACAAGACGGCAGCATTCGAATCGCGTATGCCATTGCCCAAGACACGCTTGAGCAAGAACTCCAAAAAGTCGACCGAGAAGCCAACGCCAATGCCATCGACACATGACAGCAAGATCGGGTACTCGACACAGTAGAAATCGAAATTCTGCGAGATCATGTCGACGGTGTGATGCAGGATAGGGTTGACCAAGTCAAGCGCCGGCGTGGACCATGTGGGGAATGGATTAGCGCTTCTGATCTGTGACAAACACAAATGCAGCGAGTGCAAGACATGGATTGCATTGTGTTTCGTGACGTTGCCGAGTGTTTGTTGCGACAGCTCAGCGATGAGTGTGTTGGGTGCATTGGCCGCATTCTCCATGTTGCAAAAGATCGATGCGATCGTGTATTCGGCCAGCAAGGAGGCCGTCGGTGCCATGTGGCCTACAAGGACAGCGAATGTCTGCTGGGACCAAAGCGGTGCAACCGAATGCACAGGGTCTGCATAGAGCGCCATCAGAGCTGGACGTAGCAACGGGATCGTGGCAACATGCTTGTCTGCAAACCAGAGCATCGACGGTAAAAGCACAGCACAATCGGCACACAGGCATTTGAAGCCGTGGCATATCGTGTCCATCTCGTGCAGGATCGCTTCACAGATCGTGTCAAAGTGGCCCAGGTAGTCGGCTGCAGGGAACACTTGCTGGAGGACACGCAGCGCATGCTTCTTTTCAGTCAGCCGGCGTTGGGCCGGTGCGGATGGCAGTGTGCGCAGTGGCGGCACAACGAGCTTGTCGGTGTAAAAGTAACGCAGGATGACTTGGGTGGTGATCGGAGCAAACAGGTCTCCGGGTAAATGTACAGTCGAAGAGGATGCCTCGCGAAATTGGGTGCAGAACATGGCATAAAAATAGGGTGACTGTGACGCTAAAATGAACCGATGTGCGGGAAATGAAGACGATGCCACTGATTGTGCGCCGTTGCTTGCTGTTGCTGTTGCTGCTGCTGTTGCTGTTGCTGTTGTCGTTGCTGTCGGGGCTTTGGGGTGTGTAAATAGGATAGACGGGATTTCTTTTCCGTTCAAAGTTGTAGCGGCATTGGTTGTCTTGTTTTTGATGTTGCTGGTGGTGGTAGTAGTAGTAGTAGTAGTGGTAGTTGTGGCAATCGTTGAAGGAGGTGGAGTAGGGGTAAATAGGGTCACCATCACATCGCTGCCGAGCTGCTGACCGCGCATACAATCTAAATCGCACACAAGTTGCTCAAAATCGTCTGCTGGTCCTGCTGGTCCTGCTGCTGCTTTTGCTTTTGCTTTTGCTTTTATGGCTGCTGCTGCTGCTCCTTTTGCTCCTGCTGTTGCTGCTGCCGCTGCTTCTTGCTGTACTTGTTGCTGTTTGGTTTCTGGCAATAATCTGAATCCCAATCGTTGTTCCAGTTGTTCGATTTCAGCGCGAACGGTGGGCTGTTTCAGATATGGCATGTCATCATTGTTGTTGTTGTTACTGCACGATGACAGACTGCTCTTGGTGCTTGTCGTAGAAAAGGTTGAGCCATTGGATATCGTTGAGCCAACCGATGAAGGGGTATCCGCCACTACTAAAGAGGCCTGGTACTGTTCTGGAAAGAATTCGGACGTGTACCAATACCGTAAAAGTGACTGGAACGTGGTATAGGGAATAACTTTACTAATATCAACCCAAATTGTCTTTTCAGTGCTGTTGAGTGATTGCAAGTACTGTTGTTGGAATTCGTCAGGAATGCGTGCACGCAGAATGGCTAGCATAACGAAAACCCAACAGGTGGAATTAAGCTCATTTTCCGACATTAGGCCCCCCCCCCCACTCCCACCAAGAAACAAGACACTGGAGGAGGAGAATGACTTACCACGATGAGCCCATACTTTGACTTCTGGAAACTCAAAGCAAACGTCGGCAACGTATTCTAACGCATTATCGAGTACGGTGTGGAGCGACTTTTTCAGTGTTTTCTGAGGAGGGCCAAAAAGCATTGATTGTGGGGTTTTTTTTTCAAAGACAGAAAAGGGTTGGAGGAGGAAACAAAGAAGAAGAAGAAGAAGAAAAGGGAAAAAAAAGGGCGTATCTATTCTTTTCTCTCAGTCTCTCGCTCTCTTTGTGGATTAAGTCTTGTCAAAAAGAGCCGAAAGTATGCAGATTAAACGGAAAAGGCACACACACACAGAGAGAGAGGGGAATCGAGACAAAAAAAAAAAAAAAAAAGAGAGGAAACGGAAAAGAAACGCGAGAAGCTGAGAAAAAGGCGAGGGTACAAGAAAAATACGCTACTACGGGTCAAGGCAGCGTTACACTCACAATGCAACTTTTTTTTTTTTTTTGCTCTTCTTTGGAAGAGAACAATTCATTTTTATATTTTGCTTGTAATGCCTTTTTTCCCTCTTGTTGTCTACACGTGACAGCGGTGCACACGCACAAAAAGAGCGCATATGCACACACACGCCTATAGCTATTACAACCCTCCCCTCCTCCTCCTCCCCCCAAACATCTCACATACATCATCATCATCATCATCATCATCATTATCAGCCTTTCGTCCTTCCATACACATTCCCCCTTACTCACTAGGTCCAGACGCAATGCAGGGCCTGGTGTCCACTGATGAAATGGCCGCATTCCCTTATATGACGCATACTCAAAAGAGGTAGTGCTGTCTTCATCGGATAGCCTGTTGCCAGTATGTAGCATAGTGCACACAAGATAGAGCTTTTAGTGTTCCAAGTAGCACAACGACGGATGATCCAGACAAAACACCTCCAGGGTTGGTAATGTGTGTGTGTGTGTGTGTGTGTGTGAGGGAGACCAATATACTACATCACATGCGCTGTGCTGTATTTTTAGGCCTAATTCATTTCATTCTTTCGTTACTGCCACTACTTATTATCTTTTAATTACCTTGGAAAATTAACATCCCTGCTTCATTAATAGCCAGTATCTGCATGGTGCAGCAAACCGGACTTTTCTGCACTATTGTGCTTTGTAAGAAGAAAAAAAGTACGTCAATCATCACCATCATTAAACTTCTTTTTCGTGGTTGAAGCGGAGATGTTTCTGTTACACTGAGGCGTAATGCCAAGAAGTATTTGTAACAAATCAGCCCTGCTGCTGCTGCTGCTGCTGCTGCTGCTGTGGCCCTGTGTACCTGACATTTTGTAACCCAAATAAACATTTAAGACCAAATAAAAAGGGTTTTTTTATTGACAAATTGACAAAATGGATAAAAGGGAGAGGGGTGATTATACATCTTCTTGGCTGTCTGGGGCTTTGATAAGAAAACCGCAACCCCCTCGTCGTTTCATTTAATTCTCAGTTGTTCCTGCATCTGTGTTATTAGTATTATATGAAGGCAGATACACTTTTTGTCCCATTTGTGCGAACCCGAGAAGAAATAAGGGAGCAAAGACGCTTTGCTCAATAGACTCTGTTAATTACGCACGCACACGCCCACAATATTTGGACAAAAGGGAATAATAGTAAGCATTACGTAAGACCTTTCCAATTTTCCCTAGTCTAAACACTGCTCTCAGTATAAGCATAATAAGTTTGTTATTTCAGATTATAGTTGTACATATAGCTAATCGAAGGCATTTTCGTTCCGGTTCAGCCCTTTTTTTTTTTTTTTGCTTCTTTTGTATTTCGGAGCTACTCATTTAAACTAGGCACATATACCATTTTTGACATCTCTCAAAAGCCTTATTATACTTTTTTTTTTTTTACCAATCTCGGTATTCTGGAGAAGATATGTTGCTAGGAGATACATACAAGAAGGCATACTATGTTTGCCATGGATTCAAAGTGTCTGTTGCCTAGTGAACTAGGCGAATTTGTTGTCAAGGGCGTTACAATAAAAAGACATTGATGTAGTAGTTGTTTGCCCCTCCAACCTGTTTTGCACTTGATAATTTTAAAAAAAGCAACATCATAGTATCAGACAATAAAGATGAACTTTTTCTTTTATTCTTAAGAATACAAAGTAGACGGTGGACGAAAAAGATGATACTTTAAAGTCTTAGGTAGTAGGAGTGAACAATCAGTGAAGTACATAAGAAACAGATTATATATTAAAAAAAAACAAAAAACGCAGGGTAGAAGAAGAAGAAGGAACAAGGTATATGGACGCATCAAGTGAGTACTCGATCCAAAGCATTTTCCATTGTCACTTGGACCGAGTCCACAAGACCATGCTTGTTCTTGACGACCCCTGTCCCCTCGAGCCATTCTAAGACTTTTTGTACCACCGTGTTTGAATCAGTGAATGAGCGCAAATCGGCTACCGCTGTCAGGCATCGGGCCCGGAGCTGATCTTCCATTTGATGCTTGACATGAACGACAACTTGATTATTCACCTTGATCGTACGTCTATGGTGTTCTTGTTGATGGTTTCTCTTGTTTTTGCTGAGCAATGATAATGATGATGATGATGATGTGTTTGTACTAGTAGTAGTAGATGATGGTTTCATAAAGAAAAACAGGGTATAAAGCAAAAGATGGATCATGTATGCCATGACATAGCGGAAAATTGTACGGCCATAATAGTAGCAACAAAAGTCATGGGGCCTAATGATGCCTATGGATCGGTCACTACTGTTGCCGCTGTCGTCGTTAAAGTGAGTCTTCTTGTTGTTGTCGTCGTATGCTCTCGCCAGGGCAACAGTAAACAAGGATGGTCGGTATTCGTGTTGATATCGCCATCGGAGCGATATTGTGTGCTGGGAATATCGGTTCTGGTAAGCTTCATTTAAACATCGACAAAGCGCCTGCACGTCATCTGGATGCACTCGTCGCATAATGGGCTCGCCGTTGTATTGATGCTTCTCAAAAGATGAAGACGAACAGGAATAGGCGTGCTGTATGATGCCATAAGGACTTAGCCTTACTATATGGGTCCCTTCTATTTCTTGTTGTTGTTGTTTTTGTCGTTTTCGGTGTCGTCGTAGCTCGAGACACCAATAATCATACGGTTCACCCACATCGTAATGGACTCGGAACAGCACATCGTGATGCTGTAGTTCTTTTGTTGGTAGACCCAGGAGTTGATGCGGCGAGGTATAGCCCAAGAGTTGACATGCTTCTTCAGACGCAAGTAGTACTCTCTGTGTGGTTCTTTGTACAATGATGGTGTATGGCGATAATACATGATGTTGTTGTTTATGAGTATGCATTTATAGTAGTGGTAAATGGTAAAATGAAAAAAAGAAAAAGGAGTAAAAAATAAAAGCAAGGGGATACGAGAGGAGGATGAGATGAAGAAAAAGGCGTAAATTCTTTATTTCGTAAACTTCTGGTTCTTCTTTACTTCTCCTTCCCTGCTCGGTCCTCCACTCTCCACTCATCCAACATGATACGTTTCGATTATAGAGTATACATTATCGAGCACCCATATAATTGCTCGACCCACACTCACACACACACACACACGTTGTATACGTTCACATGTTTGTAGAAGCTTTTCTTTTCGTTGACGATTGCGGGCACCAATGAAAAGCCTTGATCTTCTTTGACCCCGCATTTTAAGCTGAATGCACACGTAACCGCCGCTCCAAGCATGCAATAGAATAGTGACGAACCGATGACAAAATCGCCATCATTTCTTATATTCTACTTTTTCGAAAATTATTTCCGAAGGGGGCTTTTGTTGTAGGGTGAGGTTATAAACATCAAGCTTCCCCTCCTTTCACTTATGTCCCTGTATACGTTCTTTTACAATAGTCTCGGTCAATTTAACGAGTTAGTTTTAAATATAAGCGTGCGTCATTCGTGTAACATACATACACCTCCCTGTTTAACTGTAATTCTAATCAAACGCACTGCACCCGCCCGCGCGCGCGTGCGTATGCTTGTATTTTACATAGGAAAGCAAAAAGTCGGCAATAGCACAGATAAACAGATATAAAAAATAGTAAAATACCTATATCAACACATTACCAAACTAAATTGTTTACTTTACCGATTACTAGGATTTTTTTCTCGGCTTTAATGTACGTATTTCTATTTTTTTACGCCCTTCAAACTGAGAGCGGACTATTGGATGTGGCACTCTAGGAGAGCATTGCGCAACTCATCCATCCACCGGACGGCAGACGCACAGGCAGTTTGTTAAGTTTTGTTTCTTGGTTCCCGCAGGGTCACGACAAGATGAAGCAAATGCGATAAGTAGAGCAATAGTGAAGCTATCATTCTGTGACACCTGTCATGGCTTCTAATAAACCCATAGAGCGATCGTAAATGTGTCATGTGAAGATGGGTTTTTTAAGCCTCCTCTTCCCTAATTTTTCGTGTACCTGGGAAATCATGCATAGTTTCTACTCATAATCATTCCCAAGCTTTGCCGCTCCTCCCTCCCACCGCGACCACTTGTTGGGAAATTCGCCGGTGGTTTACACATACCTTTGCTTTAAATGGAGGGCGGGTCCCAACTACTACTACTACTATTGGCCCCACCTATTTCCTTTTTATTCCTTTGAGAATTCAAAGGTTTAACTTGATCCTGCTAAATTATGCACGATTTACACTATGCCATATGACCTTACATCGATCACGTCTGCCGTTCAAACATTACTTTTACAAGTATATTACCGAATCGAGTAATAGCCTCTCCTATTTGGGAAGCATGTGTATTCAAGGGAGATATAAACTCGTTCAGTATATACGGGAAGAACTCGGTATGATATTGGTAAATCGAGAAACAACACTGAACACCGCGGGTTACCGTCATCTTCGTACTACCTACTTCACACTTCTCATTGGAACTAGTTGATATGCTTCTGCATTTTTTTTGTAGATGACTACTATATAACTTTTAAACAATCTTCTCTATAGCTTGTAAGGTGCTGTTTTTAAAGCAGGAATTATTGCCTTTATTTGTATGTACCTTTACATATATAAAATTCCCTGTGGTGTTCTTCATTTGATGTTCTATGATCATGAGGATGATGCACGGAAGCTTTCTTCTTTACAGACAATGTTCCCGAATGTTTCGTTTGCTGTGATCCTCCTCGTACGAATATCAAAAGATCATTTCCATATACCATATACTGTACCACTTTGAGCAATACAACCCGTCTTTTGTATGCACATATCATCTATCCTACTGTAAACTTAATTTCCGCGTATTAATATTTCCTATAGAGTGTCATCTCCCACATCGTCAGTATATGCTGTTGCTCTGTGCACACTCTCTTGGATTACTGAGGGAGTGGAATCAAGGTAGGCACAAAAGTTTGCTAGCTGTCGCAGGTGATGTGGTTTTATAAAGTGCGGATGGTATATATTACCAGCTCATAGCAAGAGCTTATGCATTGCAGCAGAGAAAGACGACTCGAAACATTTGCAGCCTTATGGTGCATTACGCTTCCCCTTCATTGAGTGGCAGCACTCTAGCAGTGGACCAGAATGAGGATCTCTGTACAGTGATTTAGTGGATTATATCAACGATGATGGATATACCACATTACCACGCGCGCGAGATGTTTTGGTTGTTAATGAATCTTTCTTTGAATTAGAAAACGTGGTATTTTATATAATATAGTGTTTTATATACGTTGACTGAAGTGAAATGGAAATTCTTTTATAAATCGAGTCTGAGGATTAATGATGGGTTATCTTTGTATGTAGTGTCCCGGATTCATGAGTTTTTGAGGGGAGTAAAGGGATCGGCTTAGGATGCACTTGATTTCGTTCCATTGTTTCGTTGAACCCTGTGTACAGTTCCGAAGTTATAGAAACATGGAAGATTAAATTCAATAATGGAAGAGCAAACGCAAGGGAGCGTTGTTATGATATTAATATCTTGGTATAATCTTGAGCAGTGATGGTACATTCCATATTCAATCTATCTATGAGTGTTACTAGTATACGTGTATCAGTAGCAGTAATGTTGAGAGACAGTAGCATGAGAGATTGGTGGCAAGACCCAACAAGTTGGATGATGTAACTTTCCTAATGAGCTTATGTACTGGGCCTTTTATACTGCAAAGAAATCAAGGCAAACACCATTTAGTTTGGGTTGGCGATCTGGTTCGTGTATATGTGAATATGGGGATGGTCTGTTTTGCTTTGCGATACGGTTTTTTATTTTGCCACCAGCAATTTGCAATCATTGTTGGTATAGTCGTGAAGGTAAACCAGCTGTATTGTTTTTGAGAGCACACATGCGAATGCACAGCCTACGGTTTTCTCGACGACTCAAGCACAAAAAGGCTCATTTGCAACTACATAACTGCTCCAGAGAAAGCACCAACAAGTACCAAGCGCAATGGCAGTAGGAAGATGTAAAAATAAAGATCGCGTTTATTACAATCGTCACTCGATCTGCCCAATAGTTACAATTACATTATTTAAGAAAGTACAATAAGAAACCAAGTTTATTTGATGTTGCCTGACAAGTCGACCAACTTTATGAATCCTTCGTTCCTCAAGGGAGGTTGCCCTCCCTTGTTCCCCGCAAGCCTCAGTTCCCGGCAGAACCTACACCTCTCCCTTTCTTGTCCACAAGCCTCAGTTCCCGACGGAACCTACTCCTCCACAGTCTGCCAACGGCGGGAATTTACGTACCTCAACTTTTATGAATCCTCCGTTCCCAAGGGAGGTTGCCCTCCCTTGTTTTCCGCAAGCCTCAGTTCCCGGCAGAACCTACTCCTCCCTTTCTTGTCCGCAAGCCTCAGTTCCCGACAGAACCTACTCCTCCACAGTTCCTACAATTAAAAGAAATAGCACAAAGGTCTGTCAGCGGCGAACATATACGTACCTCTTTGCACACACTCTCGCTTTCAGGTTTTGAGGAAGATAAAAAACCAAGATGAAACTAAGAACTTTGCAAATGCATAAAGATGAATAAGAGCCAGTCGTGCACGACTAGCTCCCTTCAACTAAGTACACCCACAGGGCCCCTCGTCCTAGATAAAAAAAAGAAAGGTAAAAAGTGATAATGAAAGAAACACTGCAAATGCACAAAGATGAATATGAAGACTAAAGAAAGAATAAAGGGCAAAACGCGCAGTCGATTCTTTTTTTTTATGAGCCCGATAAACAAAATGACGGAGCTTAGAAATTTTGTTGTCACTACTGCCCTAAGGAGCCAGTGAACTGCAGCAATGTGAAGAAGTGCCTTGATGATAATTATCGTTGTAGTCTGACGACTGTCATGCTAGTGTCTTTTTCTTATGGTGCGTATATGTTTGTTTCACTATGCGGCTCCGCTTGCCGTGCTCCGCTCTGATCCAACAATTGTCGGCGACGGGTCTGTGCGGCTTCATTTTACCGTTGGACAAACTGTGTGTTACGCTGAAGCACCACAGCAGCATTATGCTTGTATGGATCGTACAGTTTACGTGCATAGAGCGCTCGTTATTTCTAATGATACCTCAACGGATGCAGCCTGTGGTCGTCGATTTATTGAGTAAATTAAAATCCGGTAGAATTGGGATATCCTGGAAACCAAAAACTAGTAAGGAACCGGCGAGTGTGAAGATGCTGAGAAGTATTTGTACAACAGTAGCCAATTTATGAGGTGAACGGATTGCTGGTGCTACTGCTGGCCCAGCTACAAGTGCGATTATTCTTGTGTGTGCCCTCGTCAAATACGACGATCGCGTCAAGTCAGTACCCGAGCGCACGAGGTTGAGCAGAATCGAACAGAAGACGGCAGCAGAGGACGACCTCGAAGCTGTGAGCGTGTGATACGCAACGCCATTCACAGTAACCATAGACCTCAGAGCACAGTATTTTGGTATCGCTCATGACAGGTATAGCTGTGGGTCGCTCGTTGTCACGTTTAGGCAGTTTGGAGAGCCAGGATTATTTGCTTGGTGGCTCTTAACCAGGCATGTCTGAGAGATCGCTACAATGACCGTTACTGCCATAATCAGCAGCTACATGTATGGCCGGCGCTGCTGGAGCTGGCGGACTGGCTGTTGCTACATACAACAACATTAAAAACCGGCAACCCAAGGTGGAAGAACAGCCTGTGGATCCCGCAACATTCGAAGATCAACAGTACTATGGCAACCTGGCTATTGGACCCTCTTCTCCGACGCATGCCATTGCGGATAACCATGACAACAATAGAGTTCAGGCAGGACAACAGGAGCAATATGATCCATATCGACCCAGTCCACATGCTAGCTGGTTGTCTCAAGCATCCGCCATCGATCCTTTCGGTACAGCAGCTGCATACAATTACGCTACACAATTACATCAAGCTTCTGCAGCAACCTCATCAGTCGAACGACCTCCTGTACTACTGTCATCTGCGAATCCAACTATAACAATCTCCATGCATCCATCTTCCATGTCAGTGCTCCGCCAGAAGACAATACGGTACCAGCTGGTGGTGGTGGTGGTGGTGGTGGTGCCTATGTTCCAGCACTTGCACGTACTATCCATGATCAATCACGCCAATCACCTGAGATGGATGCTTTTGGAGGCAACGGCGGCGGCGGCGGTGACGGTGGCAAGCGAGGAAGCTGACTCTTGAAGGAAATTGCAGCACGATGGCAGCAAGGATCGGAAACGGGCGCACGTGCATCTGGCATCACAGCAACAATTGATGCAAGCAGTGTCAGTAACGATAGTTCTACCTCTAATACCACTGACGAATCTAAGCAGCAGAGACCTCAACACATTCAAACAGATTCTGGCGATACCAATAATAAAAACAAAGGAAGAATGTTATGGGACGACGCATTAGCAAGCGCTGGCTGTACTACAGTAGCACGCTCAGCTTCAACAGCATCGACCAACCCATTCCGTAGCAGTATGTCTAATCCTCGTGATAGTGGCATTTCAGCCTTACGTATATCACCTATTCCAGAAGATGCTTGGTCTTTGGAGGACCATGCTGCCATGCCCAGTGACGATAACCCTGTTGCCGCTATCGAAGGAAACAACAATAGTATTGATACCTCGCCAACAATGCAGCAACAGCATCATCCAAAACCTGTTCATCGTAATAACACGAGCCAAATTTAATTTTATACGTAGACAAAGTTTTTCAATGCACTGGCCTTTTAATTTTGTAACAATGTTTTTATCTTGTAGAAGCAAACCCTTCTTTTTTTTCATATTTTGGCATACTTCACCGGTTTACATAGATATATATATTCTTGTGATGCTTCTCGCCGATCAATGAAAATTGCAGTCATAAGTTTTGTTTAGTAAAAAAGGTAGATACAATTTCGAACCTGAAATTAATACAATATGTACAATATCACGGATTGCGTCTGGTAAAGTCCCCTCTTCCACAGTTACTGATGTGGAACTTTTTAACGCACGTATAATGTAAGTGGGATCGTGTAATACATAGCCTAGTGAATCATAAGACGTTTTTTTTAAAGCGTGACACTCCAACATAATTGCCGTCTGACCCTCCGTCTTTGCAGCTGCATGGAGTGCTTTCACCGACTTGCAACCAAGCGCTATTGCACCAAGCTTGTGATAGACTTGGTAATCGACTGAGTGTGTCCACACTACTATCATCTTTGGATCAAACTACTGTAAACGTATATATCCAATCGGGTTTTCCTTATCATCATTCCCTACTTTTGATACTTTCGCCAGCATTGATATCGAAGTAGCGTCAAGCAAATCAAAAAATCCAAAGTAGCTTCACTAGATTGTATGAAGATTCTCAGTAGTATTGGTCCAAGTAATTTCCAGACTTTGACGCTCACAAAAAAAAAATGCACGGACGTTACCCCATTTCTGTATGTCTTTTGGAATACTGGCTTGTCAGATGCGGTTATCGATGTAGTTGATAAAGCAGACTCGTCAGCGAGCATGGCAAGACAAAGAAGGAGAGTAAAATAACTTGGCTTCTACTTCAAAATCAGAAAAAATAAAAAGTTAAGCACATCATAATTTTGAATCATCACTAGCACAAAACAACTCGGCTATACAAACTTGGCAAACTTGGGCAACTTTGGCGCCGGGTGAAAGCTGTCGGAGATACGAGGTATATCATAGCACATTGAGAGGGGGGAAACATCTAATACGGACATAAGAAAGAGTGGAAGGGTGACATATGGATACAAAAGTGGCAAAAATCGAAACCGTATTGTGTGTGTATGTTTGAAAGTATATTTATAACAAAAGTACAAGTCAATGTAGTAAGGTGTACGCCAAGAGCGTTCCGACCACCGGCAAAAGAAACCGCTCCATGTTGCTTAAGATGAACGAAAGTAAAACGACGCAGGTGACCAAAAGTCAATAAGAGTACACACCCAGCGAACATAGTAGAGGAAGGATTACTGGTTGCCGAAAGGTGGCACACGAAAGGGAGGTGTTGTGCGCATGAACTCTAATGATTTTCGATCATACACATTACACCGACAAGTAATTTACTGTATGATATGTATATACTATCAAAACTCTTAGTGTAATGCTCACACAAAGTAAGCTTTATACCGATAGTGCAATGTGACCATCGCCTGGATCAACTGGTTCCTGGAAGCTAGTAGTTGCAGGTTTGAAGAGTCAAGACGAAAGGCTTTAAAAGGTATATCGAATACCACCTTCCGGTAGAGCCTGATGCTGCTGAGGGGTGCGTGTAATGCTGCAGCCGATAATCACGGAGGCCTCTACGTTGTGTGGTCCAGCGATGCAGGCAAAGACGCCAGCGTAAATATTGGAGGAGTGACTCACCGAATGGTCATCATTGATCAAGCGTTATTGATAATTATGCATACATCAGATAAAATGATGGGCGGATACACATTGGAGAGTTTAGTACCAATGATAAAGTACATCCTAAAGTATATGTAGAGAGAATATGAAGTTGTCCTTGTACAAAGCAAAAGAGTCAACCATTGTCTTCTTGTACATGTCAAATCAATTTAAGTAAAATAATGATATATACAATGTCAGCCTGTGTCTATGTAAGATGATATACACATCAGCAGCTGCTTAATCATGTCTTGTCTGCTACTTTATATATTCATTGGCAACTCTTCTTCGATTCTGTTTGTTGACAGCACAATCCTGAGTACTATTGTAGAGAAAAGACATCCCGCAGTTACTAACTCCAAAAAGTGGGTATCTCAGTCAAACAGTCCATATTCACGTCTGTGAAATGAAAAAGGTGTTCTTGCTTCATTTAACGTAGCTACTACGTGCGAATACAAGCGCTATTTGATTACTGAAATGACTGTATATCCCTTCACTATTACGATAGCCTTAACAGAAAGGAAAAAAAATGTCTGAAAGAGAGGAAGGAAATCCGTCACATCATCTACAACCATTTCTCAAGTAGTGGTAATTTAGAACTTTTGGATACCACAAAGTATGTCTTGTTTCTATGGAAGAAATACCACAAACAAAGTCTAGTCATATGGAGAAGCATACCATAACAGTTGGCGAGAAACAAGCTCCATTTTACTCTTACATCTTGGTGATCGATATGTTGAATGAGTATATAAACGATAAAGAAGGGGAAGAAAAAACTATCTCGATCTCTTTTCTTTTCTCTGCTTCGTTTGCACATTTTCTTCTCTGTGTGATTATACCGACGATGAATAATAGCTATCTGACGAAGCCAAATCAACAACTCCAACAACTGTATCGACAGGCGGTAGCGGTGGTTCCAGGTATTTTTCTAATCCTGCGGGGCAGGGGTTTCCACTAAATAATGTTTTTTTAAAAAAAAAGAAAGGGAAAAATGGTCAACTCGATATCACTAACCATTACAAAAATAAGATGGGATAATTACCTCGCAGTCAGAATGCCTTTCTTTTGATTGACCGTGAGTCCTTGACACTTTAAAGCAGGATGAACCATTCGATCCAACAAAGTGCTGTTTATACAGTCCTTTTGAGATTGTCGGTTGAGATGGAATCGCAATGCTCCTATATGTATATATAGATAACGCACACGTATTTTGTGTTTAAGAGTTGATGATCCGATAACCAAAAAATAATGCACGTTGGATAACAAAAAAGAAAACGCATACCAGTCGCCAACTTGTAGTACTCGTACAAATGATCGCGTTGCATTGTCGTAATAATGTCAGGCGTGTCCCAGGGGAATTTGACCATGATTGAGATAAAGTTCTCAAACGGACGTTCAGGACACTTTCGCGAGAAGCATGCCTATTTACATGTAAGAGATTAGCATTTTTTATTATTACACAAAAAATTATATTCTCATTGAAAGCAAACGCGCGGTGCACATTCGTCTTCATACCTTGTAGTTTCGGCAAATGCTCAACAACGCTTCATATTCATCTGGCTTGACAAGTAATGGCGGGACTACTGCTGTCGCATTTGTACTGGCGGTCGTATGATTAGCCATCATCAAAGAGCATCCAACTGTTGTTGTTGTTGTCATTTTCTCCTCGCCATCATCCTGTTCCGTATCGACAAAGGTTGGCTTGTCATGGATGAACATGCCATCCCATTCTGGAAACACAGCGCGGAACAATGCTTCCTGTGTGCTTTTGGTAATATATACCCTGCGACCTTTGATATTTGGGCTCTTGATTCTTCGAATGGCCACGAAAACGTCTTCTATTGTGTTCAGCTCTACGTATGCCTCCTTGAACGTCTTTCCTGTGGATTTGTCAATCATGATCTATATTTCAAAAGTTATATCAAGGGAGTCGGGATCCCAGCCAATGAAGTTAGCTTTACTGCTGTAACCGTTTCTACATAACACTTACATGCACGCATTGTTGGTCGAACTTTCCGCCATGATTTGGTAGCTTGACGGTACCGGCAAACAACAATTCAATGTCCTTGATTGAGGTGGTCCATGGGATCTACATTACATATATCATCCTTGTTGTTTACAAAAAGAGAATAGGGAGCTATCGTTTTTTCCACTCTTTCAAGAAACACTTACGCTGGAAATTTTTACGACACACTTTTGTTCTGTCAGTAATTGCTGCCGGCGTAAAGAAGGAAGATCATCTTCATCGGTTGTGAGGATGGCTCCTCCCTGGGTAGCTTGTTGTAAGAGTGTGGCATTCGAATGAAAAGCAGCGGATTCCGAGAGCAACCTTGTGGCGTTGTTATGTACGACGAGTCTCTGATTCCATGCCGGTAGCTGCTGCTGCTGCTGTTGTTGATTGTTGTTGTTGCTGCTGTTGATCTTTTCAACGTTCTGTCCCACAGCAGTTAGCTTGACGTCATCTTCCATGGAGGATACAGAGGAGTGAGACACCAAAGGCGAGGCCGGTACACGCTTTTTTGAACCTCCTGTGCGATTGCTACATGTCGTAGCAGCCGTTGATGGTCGTATAGAATGACCCACCATTTGAGACCATGAACCTTGTTGACAATCAATTTTGTTCTTGTTGCCAATATCTGTTCCACTAGCCGTTGTTGCTGGACGGTGCTCATCAGTGGTGTTCATGGTCGATGGAGTCGTGAAAGGCACAACACTGCTGAACAGGCTGTTGTAGGATAACGACGACTCACCCTCATTGTTATTGCTGTGAAGCGGTAACATGGATGATGGCTGCAGTGTACATCCAACACACCATAAGTTTTGCCACCAGTCCTGAACAGGTGTTAGCGGCTTAGGACCGTGGTGCTGGTCAACAGGTGTTTCTGGCTCCTCCAAAGAACAAGGGTGCGTTTGGAAAAGCATGTCGCGCTCCTGCTGCATCTTTGCGATCCCTTTTGGCGTGTCGAGAAAATCAAAGGGGCCGTCGTTGCTGATTTTGCCGTTGTACGCGTGTTTTTCATAATCTTGTGGTGTTGGCTGCGGGAGCTCACCAGGTTGCTGCTCGCTGCTGCTGCTGCTGCTGTTGGCAAAGTATGACGACGATGGTGGTGACGATGAACCGCCCATCGCTTTGGACAAAGGAGGCAGAAGCATAAGGGGATCAAGAGCCGCAGAAGTTACTGTGCCATCTAATTTTTTTTTTCGCGTCAGCTACGCGTTTCTTTTTTCTTTTTTCGTGATTGCAAAAGAAAATAAAAATTACGACATTGTTCTCGAGTCATGGCCCAGCTACTGTTCTGAACGACCTTGCTGTCGCCATGATGGATGTTGGTCCCAGTCAATGCTTTGGAAGGCCCATCGTCAAGGCAGGATCGTTTTTTGTAATCTGGCGCTGCTTGGTAATAAAGAAAACTGTCATGACAACTGCTTTTTTTTTGTGTGCAAAAGATAGAAAAGACGCGTCTCTTTTATAAGTTAAAAATGGTAAAAGTACAAATGCTTTACCACGACCAAACAACAGATGCGGATAACGGTGCCTTGATGTGAATTGACCGCTCATCATTGGCTTCTTTGTAAAAAAAAGGCTTTTGTAAAAGTAAAAGGAAAGTTAAAGAGCAAAGGAAAAAAAATAAAAGGAAAGCCCTCTGATCCACGTCTTTTTTTAAAAAAAAAGTTACGAGAAAGGGAAACAAAGAGAGGGCGAAAGCAAACCAACGAATCAATAAGGCAGAAGTCTCTCTTGCCATCGGCTCAAGTGAAGCACAGACGTTGTGGTTACACACACACTCACACACTGCTGATTTGCATATGCTTACTTTCATGCTTTGACGTTTACAAACAACACGGGGTCTCACCAATGACGTTGTGCTGTTACTGTCCCAAAACACGCTTCATGATTCCAGTCAATGAATAGACACTGAGGGAAATGTCTGCCTGCACTCGCTATTTAAACACCGGAGCCAAAGACAATAAACCTACGTCCATTTCCTTACAATGAGATCAAACAATAACACGGTTTTTGATATCAAGGTATTTGTGTAGCGTATATATGTACCAGGGACGATTTTGTCGTGTTTTCCTTGCATTTCTCCCCGCGGTGATATGCAACGGATGATGCCACTATGGAAACTGTTGCCGGGTTTCTCTATTGTTTCCCAGGCGATAGCTGTTATTGTTGTTGCTTTGACAGGGGGACATAACAAGGCATCACGGTTTTGTTAGCATCCATAAACTAGGCTCCATTGTCCCCGTGACGATCCCTTGTGTGACCATCGTTCTAATGCCCGCCTTTCAACCCCACGATGGGGTCAAAAAAATACTTTATATTTCGGCTTATCCGGCCAGAAAGCTGGAAGAATTGATTGTTTGTAGCAAATAGCAAAGAGTATAAAGAAAAGTTTGTACATGGAAAGAGAGAGCGAGAGAGAGCGTGGAAGAACAACAATGATCTATCTTACAGCAAAGAATGATGGTCCGAGCAAGTCATCAGGAAGGAGGGATGGGTTTCAAGACAGGAGAGATTCAGGAAATTGGGAATATAAACAGCAGAGGAAGAATGCAGGCAAGTGTGTGTGTGTGTGTGTTGTGTATACAAAAGATGATTTTTCCTTTCATGATCGAAACTAGTCATCATCAAGGTCATAGTCATAGTAGTTTCGGTTATAGTCATCATCTTCGTCTACATTGTTTTCGTAGTTGTCATCGTCACTGCTGCTAGTCATGCTGTGATCATCCGAGCTTCGCTTCTTCATGTTGCTCAGATAACCGCCTTCTTGCTGAGGCACAAACAGGTCCTCCTCGTCTTCATCGTCGTCTTCGATCTTGGACAGTGGACGTTGCTTTGACAGTGGATGCTGCTGCTGCTGCTGCTGCTGTAGATGATGAGGGTACTGTTGTTGTTGTTGTTGGGTATCGAGTTGCATTTGACTCATGGTCATGCAGAGGGAATCATCCATACTCGGAGCAGGCGGCGGGGTGGGCGGTAGCAACAAACGCTTGTTGTTCTCCTATTTCATACAGAAAACCATTCGATTAGTGTCTTTTGTATATCTATCGATATAATGTAGCACTACCTACTTCAATTAAACGAGACCGGTTCTCTTGCAATCTGACGGATTCATCCAGGCTCATCATACACACTTTGGCCTAATCATAACAGAAGTCAATACCGATAGATTGTTGCACTTTAGGGAGGGTAGGGGAGCATCATTACCTGCAGTTCCGCTTCATTCATACCATCCACGGTAGTAGACGGATACGAGCTGTTGTGTCGTCGCATGACGATGCTACTATTACGTCGTTGCTTGACGTACGGTTGATGATGATGATGATGATGATGCGGGTGACATGTAGCAGGAGTGGTAGTGACAGGCGTAGTAGTAGTAGTGGTAGTAGTAGTATGGGTAGGAACACCCAAAGAGAAAGACGAGGAAGAAGAAGAAGAAGACCAGGATGATAAAGAGGTAGCACGAGCATTGGCAAGTGCAATGCCTCGTCTCCTCGCTTCTTGCCTTGGCGTCATGAACGTCAGACTGGCCAGTTTTGCCGTCAAAGCACTCTCACGGTCAGGGAACGTGTTATCCACGGTGATTTCATCGTCGATCGTACTCAAAAGGAGCACATCGATTTGTCGGATACTCTGCTTGAGCTTGGCTCCTTTGTCTGGCAAAGTGTGCACCACTGACCTGTCGTTGTTATATAAAAGTTCAAAAGTGAGTTTCAAAAGACAAAAGAACAAGTAGTAGTAGTAATAGTAGTAGTAGCTAGTAGTAGTAATAAAAAGAGGGAAAAGAAAAGAGTGGGGGCTTATTACCTATGACGGAGCATACGCTCATTCCTTTCCTTGAGTTCAAGCAGCTCAGTGCGGGAGCAAGACTCTAGATTCTTCCTTGAGATGGTGGAAGAAAAGCCATCTAGCGCATGGAGAGAGCCACGTCTGGAGCGCAATGGGTAGCGTGATGAAGGGGGATTATAGAGGCGATTGGGCGTTGAAGCAGTGGTAATAGCAGCGTTCATAGTAATAGTAGGTATTCAGCATAAGGTTACGTTGGGAGTTATTTATCTTTTTTGTGCTGGGTGGTTTTTTGTGAGAGTTGAAAAAACGTCTGCATGCCCGCCTCCCAGTCGCCTTTTTTTTTTCCTGGTTGCGCACACACACACACACTCTCGTCGTAAAACTCTCTCTCTCTCTCTCACTCGCTATCCCGAATCGGGCATCACGTGTGCTGCGCATAAAAGCAAAAACCAGAGCTTTTGTTTCATACCAAATATTCTACTCAAGGCAGTAGAGATTTTTTATATCAAAAGAGCTGATAGGATGTGTTGCATACATTCGATGTTTGTTGTCGCTCGCCAGAATTTCTTTTGCTTCCTTTTTCGTTCCAAAGGCGTTGCGTAGGAAAAGCAGACACACGATTGTCCGAGCACGACACGATGCTATGACTGTAGCAGCTGATCTTTTTTTTTTTTGTTGTTGTGCCACTTTTTGGTAACCCTTCTTCCTACGTCTACCATCGTCGAAAGAGATGGTCTTCTTCATGATGATTCTCTCTACTGCTCGCTATCATCACCATCATCACCTGGTCCGTATTGCGAGGCTTTCTTTTAAACCTGTTTGTTTTTCCTTTTTTTGCTCTACAGTACACACAAAGAATTCTTCGAATAGAGAGAGAGAGAGAGAGGGAGTAGTAGTAGTTAGGCGGTGGATCAATAAATCCTTGTCAATAAGAGATTTATTAAACCATCACCAGAGAGCTTTTGCATGTATCTTCCTAGCGAAAACAATAATGCAGTGTAACCCCTTTCATTCCGAAATACTTACATGAGCTCATAATTTATTGATACATCAACGCCAACCTGCGTAAGACTACCACTCGTAACTACTTGCAATGTGCATTACTACGTTATCCATTTGCCACCCTAACAAAGCTACAGTTACAAGTAGCATAAACCGGGCCATTTCTACAAGTTGAGTACATACCAATACATCAAACTGATCCAAGTGGTTGAATGCAGATATAGCAATAGCATTTCATTTTAAAAAAAAAACCTGTGCGGAGCATATGAGGGCCATTGACCACAAAAAAAAATATGCTGCTGCCTTTGAAACGTACACCTCCTACTCTTGAGAATTCGACATCCATGTCTACCACCATCGATTATGACAACAAGGTGTTCCTGGCACCCATGGTAAGGGGAAAGAAAAAGCAAGAACGGTTCTTGTTTTTTTTTGTGAAAGGATCAATTACAAAGTGCAATATACCTAATGGACTGATCGTTCACCTCGCAATCAAGGTCCGTGTGGGTACACTCCCTTTCCGTTTGACAGCATTGGGCTATGGTGCAGGTAAAAAAAAAAATTAATGATCTCGGAACTTCATGAGGTCTGACATATTTCTTACTCTTTAAACCAGATCTAGTATGGACCGAAGAATTGGTTGACAAGCGAGTCATTGGATCTGTTCGAAAATACAATCGTAAGGACACTGGGGATAAATGGGGATAACTTTTGTGATCAAGCAAAATTGACTATTTATAATTAGCTGCTACACAAACGATTGAGTATTGGAAGGGTGAAAAGTTGACATTCAGTACCCATGACGATGAAAAAGGTCGCGTTATTTTCCAGCTCGGTACAGCCGATCCTGATCTTGCTTTGAAGGCAGCTTTGACAGTGTAACGTTTATATGTGTATGAATTTCTTTTTTGAGCAGAGTGTCCCAACGAAAAAATATGTGTGTGCCCACTAAAACTTAATGCGCGTCGCATGTGTGTGTGTGTGTGTGTTTGCTTTTTTTTTTTTTTGTTGTGTGAGCAGTAAAGAAGATGTAGCAGGTATCGACGTCAACTGTGGTTGTCCAAAGAAATTCTCGATTCAAGGTGGCATGGGTGCTGCGCTGCTTACGAATCCTGACACATTAAAAAAGGTATGGATCCCATTTTTTGGTTTAGAGGAGGAAAAGGGAGGTGAAGCCAAGAAAATAAAAGTGGACTTATGATGCTAAGCTTAGATTTTGATCAATCTCGTGCAAAACGTGGGGCTCCCGGTAACATGTAAAATAAGGTACACATATCTTGAAATTCAAGGCACATCGACCTAAATCTCAATGATTATTGCTACTGCAACGATATACTCTCTAGACTTTTGGATGAAAAGAAAAAGACCATCGAGCTAGTCAAAATGATCGAATCCACAGGTGTCAAAATGATCACTATCCATTGTCGGTAAGATGCAATGTTTTTCTTGGCGGATTGAGTGAAGTTATACTTATAAACAAGGTTTAAATTAGCACCAAGGAACAACGATCATCCACAGCAGCAAAGTGGGAAGAGTTCAAAGAAATTGCACAGGCAGTTAAAAATATTCCCGTCGCCATCAATGGCGATGTTTACTCTTGGCAAGATATCCCTCGGATCAAGGAATTGACGAGTAAGTGGTTCTTTTCTATATCATGTGTGCAATGGATTGGCTGGTTTATTTACAGACAAGTAGTATTAGTATTAGAAAAGACATACTAACTCCATCTTTAGACGCACATTCGTTCATGATTGCGCGTGGTGCTCAGTATAACCCATCCGCTTTTCGAAAGGAAGGCCTTTTGCCGGATGAGGAGGTTGTTGAGACCTATATTAAAAAGGTAGTATCACCCATAATTTATTCCAGCTAATGCAAGTATGACGTTTTAACGACTAAAATTAAAAACTTTTTTGTTTAGTGTATCGAGGTCAATAATGTGCATCAGAACACGAAATACGTGCTATTGACCATGACTACGGACCCCAAATTCACTCGCACCGACAAGTATCGTAAGATCCAACAGGCAAAATCCGCATTGGCTTTGAGGTAAATGAAAAAGATCCATGACGTTTTTTTATTAGCAGCATCCTAAAAAAAGCACACTCTTTGACACCATTCCCTCTCCCCCGACACAAAATGATCGATAGTGAAATTTTTGGTTTGGGATCGTATTATCATGAGGTACAAGCTTTGCATAAGTCTCGTTTGGGAAAAGCAGAACCTAGCACTACTACTACTGACGCTGTAACTGGTGACAAGCGCAAATCCTCTTCATCGTCAACCGCAGACAAAGACATCACGTTAAAAAAGCAGAAACCTAATCATGAGCAAACGGTTGCTACTGCAGTATCGTCATGATGACAATGATGATGTGATCCTTTCTTTATAGTTTTTGTGTTTATATGAATGCATCATGTACATAATAAAAAAACAACAACACTTAGACAGACCATTTTCTCAAACACACGATTATAGGTTTTTTCTTTTTAGTGCACGCACTAAAAAATTTAGCATTGTTTTTCTTGTATTTGCAGAGTGCCCTTTTGAATGATATTTTTCATGCCGCTTCCTGTGTCCGTCGGTCTCTCCGTCTGTCTGTCTGTCTTGGCAAAACTAGTTTTACATATGTACTCTCAACTTTTAACTATTTCATATGCTTAATATGGAACAAAAGAGAAAACGTGGGGTGGGAGGGACAGGATCGACAGGCTTGCCTTTTCCCTCCCCACCGTTCTACCTATTATAAACCGGAAGGGACTAAAACGCATGTGTCTTGTGTAGAAATGCTATATAATGCTCACAAACGACAAAACCCTAAACGCTTCTTTTCTCTCTTCTTTACATCTGTACCACCTCCTCGTCCCCTTCTTGCTAAACACACACGTACAACAAAAGATGCGGCATTGCCTAAAACTATGCGTACTCGTGCTGGCAGGCATTGCTATGCTACTGGCCACCATCATCACTTGGGAACACATTGCCACTGGCTACACACGATACCGGCACTTGAACAACCCGGCGGCACGACACATACGGGCCATGGAAGACTACCAAAGCACCGACTACCCGCCACTCCCACAACCCAACGACACAGCAGCGTGCCCCACCCATCCTTTATCCAACCTACCACGGCCCAACATCATCGTCACGTCCAACGACACATCCACCGTCCCCATCGCAACAGTCAACAGCGCCATCGTGTTTCTAGTCGAATTCACTGACCGTCCACTCAAAGAAAACCATCACGAAATGATGAAATTCAGCAAAGCGCTGTGGAAACTCTGGGAAAACTTTAGCCAATACTACCCGCACTATCCAGTCTATGTCTTTCATGAACCTGCCTTCAAGACAAAATACCGTCTACGGTATCGCACAATGTGGCCACCGGGACTCAAGCTCCAGTTTCACGAAATCAACAACTTTGATTTGCCTCCCAAGTTCCCCAAGGGCATCTCTACAAGCGATCTTGGCTTGAACCCTACCAATCAACGCGCGTTCCCAGGCTACAACAACATGATCCGGTTCTTTTGGAAACAGATCTTTGAGCATGACATGATCAAGCAACTCGACTATTTCTGGCGGCTAGATCATGATTCAATGTTACAGTCGCCGGTGGGCGTGGATGTCTTTCATTATATGAAGGAGCGTGGTATCAAGTACGGCTATCGTGCCGTCACTACCGATGTCCGTCATGTCACGAACGGTATGCTTGCTTTCTTTGACAAGTATCGTCGTAATCAAGAGCATCAAAGTATGACCAATGGTACCACCTGTGCACAAATGTCGCAACGCAACTGCTTGGAAATCCCGGATACGCCGCAGGACCGTAGCGAGTATTTCCCGCTCATGTATTACAACAACTTTGAGATCGTCCATGTCCCCACCTGGCGATCCAAACCTATGCGCCAACTCACGGATGCGGTTGACAAGACAGACATGATCTATTGGAATCGGTGGGGCGACGCTCCTCTGCGCTACTATTCAGTCAACATGATGCTAGATACCCAAACACAAGTTATTGAATGGTGCAATGTCAGATATTACCATCACAAACAATTTGAGCCCATGTGTACTTTAAAAACAGTATCGTCACCCTAACCTCTTTGTTTCTCTTTATCTCCCACCAAATCATAGCATCATTCTGACTTCAACCTTGTATATGTGTTCGTTCTAAAAATAAAACTCAAACTGTATGTATGATACTATCAAGATGATCCGCGTTACCTTTTTTTTTTTCAGTTTATTGTATTATATGCAAGGTGGATCAGGAGAAAGGGACACACACACAGGAGTCGAAAGAGTTAAAGTTATATAAAAGTGCATACTGGCACGGGATGTGCCTCGGCTCGATGATCCCCGAAAGGAGCATCATTTATTTTGTGATAAGGTTTTGCAAAAGGGAGTTGGCTGGGGGAATACGCTTAGCAGCTTATAATAGTTTGTACATAACAGGTCCTGCACGAGCCACTCTATGTGGTGTGCATTAGCGCACAACTTTTTATTAGGAAGAGAACACAGTTGCCTTCTTGGCGACCGTGTTTCATGAACTGCTAGCAAAACATGTCATTATCTTTGGATGTCCTCCCATTTTGGACCTAGATCAGATATCCAATTCCTCCGACTATGAGAAGCATGACGCGAACCCATCAAAAAAAAGTTAGAAATCACGTGAATTATTTTTATAGGGAATATGTTCTTGCCTCGCAAATAAAGCACTAACATGACAACTTGATGAAAAAAGCCATCAACGACGAACGCAATGTGAAAGAACTAAAAACCAAGTTGCTTCTTTGTCTTGGTGACCAAAAGTCTTTTGGAAATGAGAGAGTGAAACGTATATTGTAAAGGATAAGGGATATACAGTTTTAAAGGTTTTGCTTTCATTACCTATGTAGCTATACAGTACAGCATAGTACTGCTTATGTAATATTACTTGATACTATGCTCGCAAGCAGTATTAACACCAACGTATGTATAAGCTTGATCAGGTTTATCTGACTAACACTGTCCACAATGCATCAGTGCACTTTCAATATGAGTTGCCCTGAAATAATTTCTGTCGAAGACCAATGTATTGTGCAGGGCAAATTAGAAATAACGGATCGTCACAAAAATACGTTTGTGTGCATATTACGTGAGGGCAAACTTAGTTATTGTGTTGTTTGTGAGCTTACTACTGCATACGTACTGCACTCACTACAGTAGTACGAATATCTTACTGTATCTTTATACGGACATACATATGATACACGCTTCTGGCCAAGGATAATTGAAAGCAATAAATCTGGCTTACATACTAAACTACTAACTGCATAAATGTATACTCACAACTTTCTTAATTTTGTAGAATTGTAGCACGTACGCAAAGACGGCTGTTTACACGATATCAAACGTTTGCCAAGGAAGGGATTATTTTAAATTGCTTCATTCATTTCTAATCGTGCGTGTTTTAGCAGGACTATATATTACTATTCTAAATTGATCTACATAACTTGTTGCTGCACTTTACTAAAGTTCTCGTCCAGAGTAATGATCACCCCTTCATCTTTTTTCTTTTTTGGAGTTCCGTCCCGGCACTTTGGTGCTGAAGCTGCCGTTACTTTGATGCTAGCTCGTGTTGCATGATTCTTGCTCGTCAGGTAACTCACTCTTTGTATTAGATTCACGTGTCGTATCGTGCTGTTACTTTTTCTTTATCCGTGATCTTTTGACTTTTTTCTTCCTCCAAAATAGTGTTTGACTTACATACTGTACTTTTATAAAACTGCTTAAAGCATGTTCTTGTTTTCGGCATGAATGACGAGCCCTGATCTTGGTTTTTGGCATAGTATGCTCTACTTGAGAGCTTAATTTTTGTTGGATTTTCTCTGGAACTTTTGTATAGTTAGCTTGATGATCGATTCGTAAACGAGCTCGTTTTTTTTTATTCTGGTTATTTATACGTTAACAATGGTAAAGGCTATTGTCATAGCTTGATGAAGCCGCGCTCGAACTTTTATGCACCATGCACCCACTGCTACAGATTTTTTTGCCGTCTTGACAAAGCAAGACAAGGAATAGATATGTCTCTAGATGATTAGCAAGCTCTCAAGAGATATGCGTTGTACCCCAGCAGAACGTCTCTTGCATTCAGGAGAACAAGTTCTTCTTTAGGATTTTGCTTGTCATGGTAGGCTTGGAGCGCCATCGCTGGTTAGTTCGCTCTGAAGGAGCTGTCACATTTTTTGTATCTGTAATAAAAAGTACGGGTTTAGCTTTTTTGGACCTTGAAATAGGGAAAAAAGTTCAAGTGTCGCAAAGTATCAGTGGCAACGTTTTGAATACGATTGTTTTAACATCCTCATAGAAAAATTGTTATCCCAATGGGATCCGTCCACGAGTCTCCCGTTGATTAAGATAGCAGCTGTATCCCGTCATATAATTCGACAGATAGAGCAGTACTATATCGACATGCATGATGTTCGCTGAGTGTGCGTGTGTATATTAGTAAAGCAGTTACTGTGACATTAAGGAAATTTTAATACATGCCGCAGCTTATACTGGTAGAAAAGAAGTGATTTTGACGATGCATTCTTTCTCCACCCGCTGCCACATACTAGAGGGTTTCCCCAGATAGTATGGATGCAGTGTACAGTATGGTCCCATCCAGACTATTGCACAAGCTGACATTTGACAGGGCCAGCCAAAAAAAAAAAGTCCGATGTTACCAATTTCGCGCTTTTTGGCGCGTCGCGCGAGTGTTTTAAAAAGAAAAAGAGGAAGGAGCTTTACGCGAAACTACAGCTGCCTCTATTTTTTTTCCCCCTTTCTACTCTAAATCTTTCTTTACAAAATGATGGATGTAGACGAGCCACAACAACAAGTGGAGCAAAAGCCTCTGAAGTTCAAATCAAGATTGGTTGCAAAGTCCATTGATGCCAAAGAATTAACGTCTCGTCTAAAAGTACCAAAAAACCTTCTTCCTGCTGGCGTTTATATGGAAAACATTACTGGGACACAATGTACCTGATAATAAAACTGACCTCTTTCTTTTTTTTTTATTGTATAATAGACACTCCATGAAGAACTGAACGCATTTGGACAACACGAAATCGTTAAAGAATCTCTTGATGCCACAGCAAAAGAACTCGTCAACTCGAAAATCCTCAAGCATGCGTCGGGTACAGTAAAAGCATACGCAGCAACCTGCTTGGCTGACATGCTACGATTGTATGCGCCCGAAGCACCATTCTCGGACAAGGAAACCAACGTAAAAGCTTGTTGCTCTCTATGCTTTTTTTTTTGTATAAAGCACTAACAAAAAAAATGATTTTCGCATTAATGGTATCCATTTGAAACTTTTTTTTTTTTTTGGCACATATATTAGAGCATCTTTCAACTCTTCTTGTCTCAACTCAGTCAGCTCAAACAGTCGCAGGATCATCCTCAGTTCCCGCTTTATTTCTATCTATTGGAAAGTCTTTCCACCGTGAAGAGTATATTGATTGTCGCCGATCTCGACAATGCGCAGCAACTGTCATCCGATTTCTTCGAATGTTTCTTTTCTACTATCAGGTATATATATCGATCGTTGAAGCTGTTGTCAGATGCGGAAAGACGGAATGGAGAGGATGTTTCGTATAGGGTAATCTATCGTATTATTAAAACAACATCTTTGTGCTTTGTTACATATAGATCAGATATGCCTAGAAACATTCAAGTGTGCATGATCGATCTCATGGTGCAGCTCATTGAAGACGTCGGTGCGTTGTCGGACGAAACTCTCGCTCTACTCTTGGAACAGTTCAAAAAGGTAAAAAACTGACATTAGCTGTTAGATGGAAGGGGAGTTATAAAAATTAGTTCAAGAAACTAATGCTATACATGTACCTAGAGCAAGGACGATCCATGCTACATCATGACTTTCGAAGCTTGTAATGCATGCTTTGATACACTCCAGCGTCGCGTGTGCCAGGTAATATAAGAAAAAGTTGTAAGGGGGGGGAATAAGATCTTTTGCTTTGTTTTGTAACTACAACAATTACTCTTTTTTCTTGGGAATATTTAGTACTTTTCGGATGCCTTGATTGCAATGAGCCATAGTGATGGATCTGAAGAAGACACAGAAGAATTGCAAAAGGCACATGAGATTATCCAGCGTGTTCACGCGGTAGTACCCAACTTGCTACTTAACGTATTACCCCAGTTGGAAGAGGAAATGAAGGTGGACGATTATAAAGTACGTTGCATGGCCACAGAGACAATTGGTGATATGTTTGCAGAGCCAAACTCGACAATGTTTCAACGGTATCCTAGTATTTGGAAAACCTGGGTTGGAAGGTAATGATATTTCCTTGATTTTCTAAAACGGTGAAAAGAGTACAGGATCCATCTTAGGAGGAAGAGAAAAATTTGGGAGAACATATATACTGAAATAATCCTCTCTGATTGTTGACTATTTCCGTACAGACGTAATGACAAGTCGGTACAGCTTCGAGTAAAATGGCTCGAGAAGTGCAAAGCAATCTATCAAAATCATACCCAAGTCAAATCTGAATTACATGGTAACAACGCAGTAAAAAAATTACTTTTATATAGAAGAAAGATAATGGAAACAGGCGAGCGTTATTAATCAAAATGATTTCTTATAATATTCATAGATTGTTTCAAAGAAAAAATCATTGATCCAGATGAAAAAGTACGAGCAACAGCATGCAGAGTGATTAGCGAGCTTGAAAATACCCATGTTATTCGCGATCTAGACAAGACTGTACTAGAGCTTGTTGCTGAGCGATCCAAGGATAAAAAGGTACTTACTATCGGATAAGTAAAGGAGAGAAAGAATTAGTGACTATCATGGCTCTGGAGGTATCATACTCACCGTTAACATTATGTAGAGCTCTGTAAGAAAAGAAGCTATGGCTGCACTTGGCAAAATTTATGAAGCTGCTTATCCTCAAATGTAAGTACAGCTAGCGAATTGTATTTTTTTTTTCATAAAGCTAAAACTTCAAATAACCTACATATGACGCTAGTGACGAGAATGCGCAAGTCAAAGAGAAGCTTGGATGGATTCCGGATGCTTTGCTCAAAATAATGTATACGGATGATCCCTCTGCAACGTAAGTTCTTGGTTTTCCCTTATTTTGAAGTTCGTTGGTTGCAAAATGCTTATATGTTTATATCACACGTACACAGCGCTACTTTGGAAAGCACCGTAAACCAATACCTGTTCCCATATAATGAAGATGATAAGGAACGAACAGAACGTTTGGTGTTTGTCATCAAATCCTTTGAGCCACGGACCAAAAACGCATTCCGGGCTTTGATTCACAAGCAAAGAGGGTATGTTTTGTATAAAAAAAAAGACAGGGAAAGCCTGTCAAAACAAAGAGAAAATCACTACGAAAAAGCCAACGCTAACCCTAGTGTTGAATTAGTTGTATTGCTGGTATTCAACGTTTCATCAAGGCATGCGAACCAACTGTAAGTATTAGCGAAAATACGCCCGCCTGAAAGTTTCTAATACTCAAAACGCTTATCTCTGACACCCGTGTGGTTAGGAGGAACAAATGGATGTGGATGAAGAACAAGGAGAATCCGACGCAAGCCAAAAATTGGAAGCAATTGTAAAACATATAGCAGGTTTGTTCCGCATCCAAGATTTGGGTTTCCTTTTGCAAAACAGCTTGAGCAATGACGGAAGACTAACATCTAATGGATTGTTTTTTTTTGGATATCAAACAGCATCTTTTGCCGAACCTGCAAGATTATCAAGTGCCTTAAAAAGATTCGCTGAAGTTCAAGCTGATAACAAGACCTTGTTGGAACTTTTGGAAACTGCTACTGATCCAAACACTGAATACAAGCAAATTGTAGAGGCTAAGGTTGGCTTAATATTAGAGAGTTTATATATTGCTTAGAGAGCAAATCGATCTAATACTTTTCTTTCTTTTTGCAGAATTCGCTCGAAGAAAAGCTTTCAGATCTGTTGCCAGGCTCATATGAAACTCTGGAGCCACTCTTGGTCCGAGCATGCCCGATCATCATCAATAAGAATATTACCCCACATTTGCTGAAAATGTTGGAGCCAACTAGGCTGAGACGCAGAGCTACAGAAAATCCCAATGCTACTGTTGCTCAGGAACTGCTAAAGGTAATATAGAAGGAACTGTTTGAACGTAAAGGCTAGGCTCTCGTCTTTTTAGAATATGTATATATATTAAATTCAATATATGTTAACCTTCATTCTAGGAAATGGCAACTTCTTTCCCTACCATGTACGAAGATCATGTCTATGAACTGATCCGTGGTATCACTGATACAAATACATCGCTGGGTTTGTACACATGCAAAAAAAAAAAGACTTTATATACTTTTCCAAAGTCTCATAAATAGTCTAACTTATTTTCGTTTATCGTCCAACATCTAGTCAACAATGCTCTTGAACTCTTGGCACAAATTAGTAAGAGTAAGGTGACCGTGAACGTACATGACAAGTAAGGATAAAAAACCGATCAATTGTTTTCTCTTTTTCAATTCCATGATAGACTGACTAGATCGTTTTTGTTATTAGCGATATATTGGATAAGCTAGCGTCGTTTATTACGCAGGGAGATCTCGCACAGGCGAGAAACGCCTCGATTGTATTGAGCAACATGTATGCTTTTGATATTTGCGATGACGTGATAGAGGTTCGTTTGTTGCTACTTTCTTCTTTTTTCTTTTCAGCGAATTAAAGCGTAGTGGGTTAATTTGATTTTACTTACGAAAAACATATTACAGAGCGCTCTCAATAACGTATCGGTCAAAGATCCATCATTATACCTCAAGCTTGCAAGTATCGCCGAATTCGCTCTCTACGTACCAGAGCGTGTCGGAACCCATATCCAAGCGCTTGCGGATTTCATCGAGCATCATTTGATGGGGACCTCAACTGAAGCAGAAAATGACAGTGCTGTAAGTAATATACCTAATTGTTGCATTGGTTCTTGCTGCTTTGGCGTACTCAAATACGATTCATATATATATAAACCTGTTGTATAGACCGATGATGACGTCGTTCGTGAATGGATAGCATACGAGGATTTGAAAGAATTGTCAAAAGCAAAGGTATGGCTAAAGTAGTACATCGAATGTGTGTCAAATACGAACAAGCTCTCTCTTTCTAACCATTGATTTTATGTGTGCATGTATGTCTGGATATGTATGTATAGCTTGCTGGTCTGCAATTGCTTGTAAACTATCTGTTATCATCTGTACAATTCGGCACTGACGATATGCTCGTTGAACGAGTATTTAATTTACTGTGGAATCTTTTGGACACAACGTGCGAAATGGCAATCGGCAAAAACCAAAGCGCACCCGAGTCATCACATCTTCGATTGGCAGCAGCACAATCCATGGTCAAGTTAACACATAAGCCGGCGTATCAAAACCAGCTATCCGTTTCGCAATTCGAACATTTGGCGCTAACAATTCAGGTATTAAACTATTGACTCAGTTTTCTCCCTTGTCCTCATAGCATGCGATTCCCTTTCTCTAATTGTATTATTTTGGAAATAGGATACGTGTTATCAAGTACGATATGGCTTTGCTGAAACGTTGATGAAGGGTATTCCAATGAACCAAGTGCATATGCGATATTTATCGGTTCTCTTCTTAAGCGCACACGAGCCTGAAGAAGAGTTGTTAAAACAAGTGAGTAAAAATCTTTGGAGTTATTCTCGTTTCTAATACATAATCTCTTTATTGACCCTATCTTGGACGTTTTCTCTACTTCTAGGTCAAGTATTTTATTCAAAAACGATCCCTCAAGCAATATGACAGTAAGCTACTAGCAGAAAATTGAAATGAGTAAATCACGAATGCTTGTTAAATTATAAACCAATAGATTCAGTTGCTATGGAAACATCCTTTGTACAGCTTTTACACACCTTGGCCCACCATCCTGACTTTACGGTTGCAACAGAGGATCTGATTGTTTTCACTCAATACTTTGAATTTTACTTGAGCTGTGTCGCCACGCCGGACAATGTATCCTTCTTGTACCATGTTGCACAGAAAGTCAAATCGTCTAAAGACATGGTCTCAAATGAATTGAGTCAGGTATGCAAAAGAAAAAGATCCCTCACGAGTGCAAGTTTTTCTTTTACTTGAAAAAATAAGTTAAATGACAACTTTACCAATTCTTCTTTAGAATTCCTATGTTCTTAGCGACCTTGCTAGCTTGTTGATCAAACGTAAATGTGAAGACGCTTCATGGCCCTTGAACGTCTATCCAACCCGGATCCGATTACAGTCAAAATTATATCGCTCTCTCCCATCGGGTGCAGTGCAAACAGAGGTAAAGTGTAAACCGACAGGGGGGGGGAGGAGGGTGTAGAACTGATGATAGCAGAAATAACTCAATTGCCATCGTGCTGTTTAAAGACTTTGAAGAAATCGTACCTGCCAGCACCTTTCTTAAATTGGTTGGAAGAAAATCATCATCCACACCGAAAAGGAGAGAAGCGAAACTCTGCAGCATCAACAAGTTCAAGCAAACGAAACCGTACCAATTAGTCAGTCGCAAGGTTCATCTTTCTCTCTCGTCACATACATATACACACATACACCAGCTCCCAAACATCCTTTTCAATCTTATATAAAAATAATGAAATTCATATTTGCGCATTATTGTTTAAGTATTCAAATCGCATAATACTACTACTACTACTACTATGCTCATTGCTATGATAAATGCGTATACAGTATGCAGAAGATTGACTATAATCAAATAGGCTTTGTCCGTTACAACAAACTGCCTACTCAAAACGATTAGCGGAGCCTGGCATAAAGTATCAAAATTCTACCTTACCTTAATAGCCACTGAATCCAGGGGGTCTAGGCCAGCGGCTGACAAGAAGAGGATATTTAAAAGCCAAGGGGGCCCCATGCTGATCATCCCTACCAAAACCTCAACTTTAACAAACTCTTGCAGAATATTAACTACAACAAAATTTGATCATAGCATTGAACAAAGAAAAGGTATAGCTGGAGGTGGGGAAAAAGTGTCAGCGACGAAATAGAACAATAGAGAATGGGATTAATCCCGCAAAAAGAGAGCGCGTGTCCCGACTCGTTTTTCATCCCATACTCGTGACTCAGTCCGGATTATCTATTCTCTTATTTCTTTTCTCTGATATAAATCATATGATGCACCATGTCCGAGCATAGTCCACAAGAGGAGGAAATTACACGGCTAAAGAAAGAGCTCCAAGAAGCGATCGATTCGCGCGAAAAGGAGATGGAGCACGAACGCGGCATCATGCGTGGTCTTGTTGACAAAATCAAGACGATCTCGGAGGAAAAGGAGGAGATGGCCTCCAACAATGGCGTGGCATCGCTTAAAAATCAAGTTGAAGAGCTTCTGCTTGAAAAAGAAGAGTCCAAAAAAAGCCTTTTGCATTTCATGAACAAGGCCGATGATGCTGAAAAGCTATTGCAACAACAGGCAACACGCGTGGACGAGTTGACTCAACAGCTTGAAAAGGCCAACACTGATATAACAATGTTGAAAAAGAAGAAAAACAACAACGACGGCAATAATAGCAACGGACAAAAGAAACAGCAAGAGCAAGCCGTGAAAAAACGTACAAAGCAGTTGGAAGACGAGCTTCAGGCAGTTAAAGAGCAAGTCGAAGCAGCAAACAACAAACTGCTGGAACGAGAAGACGCAAACCAAAAATTGCAAAAGGAAATGAAGAAGCTGAACGGTGCAACCAAAACAACCATTGAAAAGTTAAAGAACGAGTTGAGGACTGCGCAGGAGGATAGTAAGGCGGCAGACAAGGTTGAAAAATTGGAAAAAGATATCGAGACAGTAACTGAACGTGCCGAGAAAGCCGAAGCAGCCGTGGCAAAACTAGAGAACGAGGCCAAGGAGCGTGCTCAAGACTCCAACGTCGAAACGGAAAAGCTAAACGAGCAGATTAAATCAGCAAACGAACGTGCAGAGACAGCCGAAGCGACTATCCAAAAACTAGAAAGCGACCTCAACGATCAATCCAACAGCATCAACGACCACGTCGATAAAGTTAAAGAAGAGGTTAAGATTGCAGTGGAACGAGCAGAAGCAGCTGAAGCAACTATCACTAAACTCGAAAAAGCTGCCAAGGAGCATGAAAGCACGACCAAAGAACTCGAATCAGCAGTCGAACGAGCAGAAACAGCTGAAGCGACTATCGAGGATCTCAGAAACGAAGTTAGAGCACATGTCAACAGTACCGACGAACTCAACAAGATCAAAGACGAAATGAAAGCGACAGTCGAACGAGCAGAGACAGCCGAGGCGACTATCGCGAAACTTGAAAGCGACTTGAAGAAACATGGCAACAGTATCGACGAACTCAATAAGCTCAAGGACGAAATCAAAACAGCAGTCGAACGTGCAGAGGAAGCAGAAAAAACGGTCGCTCAGCTTGAAACCGACCTGAAGGAGCATGGGGAGAGCGGCAAAAAAGTGGAGCAGTTGAAGGAGCAAATCAAGAGCGCCGTTGAACGAGCAGAAACAGCAGAAGCAACAATCGCGAAGCTCGAAGATGATGCAAAGGAGCATACAAATGCCACCGACGAAATTGAAAAGCTCAAGGAACAAATAAAGTCAATTACTGAACGTGCAGAAACGGCCGAGGCAACAGTAACCCAACTCGAAAACGATTTGAAGGAATGTGGCGAGGGTGCTGCAGAGCTCGGAAAAGTAAAGCAAGAGTTGGAGGAATCGACCAAGCAAGTGAATGAAAAGACGAACGAGGTTGAGGCGGTGAAGAAAAGCATTGTTGAATATGAAGGAGAAAGGGACGAAGCACTCAAGCAGCTGTCAGATTCCCAGACACAGATCAAAACGCTCAACAACAAGCTACGGGATGCGAACGAGTCGGTCAAGGTGGCTAAAGAAATGCTGAACGAACGCGACGTTGAGATGGACAGCACGCGAAAGGAAATCGAGACGATGCGGGCGACACAGAACGAGTTGGAAGAGAAGACCAAGAAATACGTGTCCGTGTTAAACAAGTCCAAGAAACAAATCCTCAAACTCGAAAAGGAAAAGACAGAAGCTGTGGAGGAGCTCGAGTCGCTCAAAAAACAGATCAACGAGGAAGAAGGCGAGCTCAAAGCGGAAATCAGTCGACTCAACGGCAAGCTCCATTCGACCGAATCGGAAATCAAGATATTGCAAAAGGAGCGCAAGGAGGCTGTCGAGGACAAGAATCGTATGTTTGACGAGCTGCAAATCAAACAGGCCGAGTTTGAAAGCTCACAGAGCATGGCTGAGGATCTCCAGCATCGACTCAAGGAGAGCGAACGGCAAGTGGAAGAGGCAAACGAGAGACTCACTGCGCTCGAGGAGTATCAGCGCATGGTAGAGGAGACCCAACGTGAGTTTGATGCTCACAAGATCAAAACCCAAAAGGAGCGACAGGCGATGGTCCAGGATCTGGAGCAGGCATCAGCAAAGGCCCAAGATGCTCAAGACGCGGTCAAGGAGAAGCAGACGCAGATTGATGATTTGCAGCAACAGATCCAAGAGTTAGAAGGACAGATCAAGTCACTACGTGAAGAATCCCAAGAAAAGTCCAAAGACGTTGACGTTTTGGAGAATGACAAGGAGGTTCTATTGCAGCGGATAGACGAGCTGGAAAGTGATCTCAACAAGAGCGAGGAGGAAGTACAGAAGCTCAAGTCGACAATGGTAAGCGTCCCCACTGAATATACTCTTCAAGGTACGCCTCTCAGCTTACTGACTTTATGATCCTTTCGATTATCTGCAGACTGAAGTACAAGAAGCACAAAATGAAGCCGAAAAGATCAAGCAGAATCAAAACCGAGAACTCGAGAATATCAAGGTTCGCGAGGGTCATTTGAAAACACTCAACAAGACGCTTAAGGATGAAATCCGCAAGTTGTCAAAGGCAACCGCTAGCGCAGCAGCATCCCCAACGTCATCATCGCCCCGACCTCAATCACCCATCACTCCAAACAACACTGAGCAGCAGCAGCAGCATCAGCAACACCAGCGCCAACCATCCTCCTCCTCATCACCGCCCACCTTACATCCACCTTCACCGCCACGATCTAAAGAAGAGCAAGTGAACCTTGAATATCTGCGAAATGTCGTTTTAAAGTTCCTTGAAACCAGATCAACTAGAGTAAGTTTACCACTTTTGTGTGTTAATCCATGAGTTGTTCTGAGTGTGGTTTTTTCCATGTGGTAACTAAAGCTCCTATATATCTATCACTACTTAGGCACAACTTATTCCCGTTTTGACAATGATGCTAAAGTTTACACCTGAAGAAATCAAAAGGCTTCAGGCCAAGGCATGAAAAAAAAAAAAAAAAAACTGATACACTACATAGACCACCCTGGCTTCATCTCATTCCGCCTTATCCAGTCCACCACATAAATCCTACCACCTCCCCTGCAAAGTAATTAGCAATAATAACAATAATAATATTACCATCATCACAAACCTGTCAAGGTTTGACTTACATCTCACCCCTTTCTGCTGGGTTTCGCTGTACTGTTTGCATGGACATTGAGTTGCTGTGGTGGAGGAAAAGAATGGGTCAGAACATACCAACTTGTCATGTCATTCATTTCATATGATGCTCAGTACCAGAAATTGGGTTCTTGTGGAAAGAAGTAAAAATTTTGGGAGACCCCTGATATTGTGCGTACATATTCCCGGGTTCTTCATCGTATCGCATAAAGAACCAATTTGTCGGCAAGTCGATTATTGCAGACATACGCATTATACGCAGAGTTAGAGACCTATTTTTGTAGTCATGGTCTGAGCGTAACACAAGGACCAATTGGGGGGGGGGGGAGATGTGGAAAAGGGTGGGGGTGTGGTGGTGGTTCTGGTGCAACGCCCAGCAAACTTTTTTGCATGAAACGCGATAGTTTGGGTAAAATTGACTTCCGAACAATAAAGAAATGTCTGACGCATAGAGTCTCTCTTTCTCTCTCTCTCTCTTTCTTTCTTATTTTTCTTTTGTTTTCATACGTTTTTTTTAATACCTTCTCACTGTTTCAATCTGCTTAATGGACAGTTTACAATTCCGTGCTAATGTCGTCTGGGTCTCTATACTGTTTGCTTCACTTATAAAGGCGTCGCCACTTGTTCATGTCAACACCATTCCCAATACTGCAGCAGCACAAGACAACGGCAATGACTCACCGGGATCGTTTTACTGGACGCCCGAGTTTTTCTTTCGTTTGGCGGCTATTGTTGTTCTGGTACTCTTGGGTGGCGTCTTTGCAGGTAAAAAAAGATGATATGCACTCTTTTTATGGGAGAGTTTATTATATAGTTTGCGCCAACGAAAGAAAAAAAGAATTGCTTATGAATTGTTATTGTTCGTCATACGCAAAACAAAAAAAAAAAAATAGGTCTTACTTTGGGTCTTATGGGACTCGACCAAACAAATCTTCATGTCATGGTCGAGTCGGGTACCGAGAAAGAGCGTACAAATGCGCGTAAGGTGTTACGACTCTTGGATCGAGGCAAACATTGGGTACTTGTTACTTTATTATTGTCGAATGTCATTGTCAATGAAACGCTTCCAATTATCCTGGATTCCGTGCTCGGTGGTGGATGGCAGGCCATTCTAATCTCGACAGCTCTTATTGTTATTTTTGGAGAGTAAGTCATTTATTTTACTAGCGTTCCATAATTCTCCCCCCCCCTGTTTCCTTTGCTCCTAATCTAACAGAATGGATTTTTTTTTTATTTTCGAACGAACAGAGTCATTCCCCAATGTAAGCCTTATATTTTTTCAAAACAAAGAAAGATCAAAAGGGGCAGAAGGCAATGGGAGAGCGGATGTACATTAATTCAAGAAACGGGAAATAAGGGATGGGTCTGTAACTAATATACTTGCTGGAAACGAACGACACCATTAGCGGTTTGTGTACGCCACGGATTGGCCATCGGCGCCAAGTGCTCAGTGTAAGGAGACAAGAGTAAGGAAATGAGATAAGGAGAAATTCGTGCTTACCATTGAAATATTCTTGGTTCTAGGCTGGTCTTGCTGTTAATGTACTTTATGTATCCGGTCGCCTACCCTACAGCACTAGCCTTAGATTATTTCCTCGGTGAATCACATGGCACAGTGTATAAAAAAGCAGGTCAGTATGCATGACTGTACATAGAATGCATTGGGCATGCAATGACAGACAAGTGTCTTAGGTCTCAAATCATTGGTATCTCTTCATCGAAACGACGGTGAAGACGCAGAAGGACTCACAGAAGACGAAGTGGTAAGATTTTACAATAACTTGAGCTCTGTGTGTGCATCTTTTGATAAAAGGTATTAAAATGGGCCTCTTTTGGAACTGGTATAGTTGATTATTGGATCCGTTCTCGACCTGGGAGCAAAGCCTGTGTCACAGGTTATGACACCTATTGAGGATGTGTTTACCATGCCCGTCGATGCGATCATGGATAAAGAAACTGTAGATAAGGTATAAAAAGGGAACGGGAGGCAAGTTTCACCAAGATTCGCTAGATCTTTGATTAACCGCTTCTCTCTTTTACGTACATGAATATTTTCCAAGATCCTCTCAGCTGGCTATTCCCGTATTCCAATCCGCGCGGTGGATGATAAATCAAATTTCATTGGGATGTTGCTGGTTAAAAAGCTTATTACATATGATACCGCAGATGAGTTACCAGTGGGTCATTTTCAGCTTAGCCCATTGCCAGAGACAGCACCCGACACAAGTTGTCTGGATATCCTGAATTTCTTTCAAGAAGGACGAAGTAAGTTTAGCAAAGAAAGAAAGGGAAAGAAATCGAGTCGCATATGGTAATCAATTTGTTCCTGCATGTTTATTAATTCTCTGTTTCTGAATATGCGGAAAGGTCACATGGCGTTGGTATCGACAAATCCAGGCGAAAAAGGTGGTGCTATGGGCGTGATCACTCTGGAAGATGTCATTGAAGAATTAATTGGAGAGGTAAAAGTATCAGTCATGTCCGTTTTTCCCCACCTTTAAGAACTATGTAAACAAGCAAGGTCATGGGTTACTGAACTGAACCCTTTTCAACTTTCCAACAACAGGAGATTATTGATGAAACCGATGTCTACGTTGATGGTAAGGAGCAATCATGCAAACATTTCCAATGGCTTGTTAGATAACACAAAGAAAACGCGTTTTTGTATATCAATTAGTCCACAACAAAATAAAGGTGACTCGAAGGAGAGCACAACCAGCACCTCCTGAATTGCAACCGTTGCTGCAAATGGTGCGCTCTAATACGAACGTACAAAATGCCCAACATCGTCGTCAAGAGATGATTAGCCGGGTCAAATCATCCACTGATCTCAGCCAAACACGAAGGCTTCTAGGGGACGAGCCAGTTCGCTCAGCACCTGACGAACCATCGCCTATTGAAAGGAACATGCGTGGCTATGGATCCATCCATCAGGAGGAAGATGAGGAGTACGGTAGCTATCAATCCATCAATAGCAGTAACAACAATAGTCATCCTCATCAGAACGAACAAAGGAGGTGATGAGAAACAAGAGGGACCATACGTAGAACAACAGCAAAAACAAGCGGTATAAAAGAATAGCAGTAGCAGTAGTAATACTAGGGGGCAATATTATGTTGGGTTATTACTGTAGTGCGAAAGTTGTATATGTATATGAATAATCTGGTTTTTTTTCTTTACTGTTGCAGAATGGATAACTGCCGCGCAAGTTGTCGTGTAGTCTCATCATTCATGTTTTGTGCTTCAACAAGATCCAATATAGATTGCATCGATCTTTCAAGTGCAGCAGATGATTTTTGCTGTTGTTTCCAATCAATGAACACTGTCATAAGGAGTTGTATCTTGTCTCGCATAGCGTTGGCAGGTGGTATTACTTGTAGAGTGGCTTCGAGAAGTGCTGGTGTCGGTTGTGCGGCAGAGAATAGGGACAGTAGTTGTGGTGATACTTGATCGAGAGCTTTTTTTTTTCCATATTCACCAAAGATTTCCAAGTTAGTTTTCCCCTTGAGATACACTGTTTTTTTTTCAGGTTATGGATCTTACTTTGAGATTGCAGTAATGCAATGGTATCTGGCATGCTCAAGAAGTTTTCAGTACGTTTTTGATTTCCTTGTAATTCAGCGACCAGGATCTGCCAAGCGCAAGCTGTTTCGTATGCATCGAGACGAAATGTCGATACTAGAAGATTATGTGTTGGTTAGCCGAATCGTAAGCCCGTGTTGTGTGCATGCATAGGGTTCTTTGTAATAATCGGGTTCCATTGACAATTTCATACCGAGAAATGCTATGTCGATGGGATCTCCATAAACACGCAAAATGCCCGAACGCACCAGTGTAACCAGTTGACCAAGTTGATCCGGTAGGATGAGTGTAAGTAGCATTTGTAGCAATTCAGTATTTCCGACTGTGGAACCAGGCATGTACTGATATACAATTAGTAAGACATTGTGGAAAGACGTATGGTTTTGTTCTGCGAGGAGCTACGTACACCATCAAACGCTGATTAGATTATTTGATACCTTTGTCAAACTTTTTGTAAAAGAAAAAAAGGTACGCTGTGTTACCTGTAGATCCCGTGTCAAGCTTAATTCGATCGGATCATCTGGATAAGCAAGTGACACAAACGCTTTGTAGCTTTTAACTATACTTGGTATCCAGTCTCTGGTTCCTTCAACAACACGTCTGTTTAAAAAAAAAGCGTGTCTTGGTCAATAACAAAAGTGTCTTGTTTTGCTTTTTGTCAATCAAGAAAATATAGAAAACGAACAAATACATTACCCAGCAACGTAAGACCACCACCGCATACCGATGACATGACGACTATCTCCGCAATGATGTGCTATCGACCCAACAAGATCTACCATCTTATCTCGACCTTCTTCAGCTTCCCACAAGGTTGTCATTAATACGTCAAATGTGTCTGTTGCTGTATCGTTGATGACTGCATCCACATCCATGTCGCTGGTAACTGATGGCTGGTGCTGGAGAAAGAACTGTATGATCATGTCGCAGACGGGTGGTCCTATGCTCGACGCCAGCGTCTCGCCAGGAATGGCCATACGAAGATATACCGACAGAATCTCCTTGAGACTCCGTTTTGCAATGGTCATTTGTACTAGCATTTCATCTTGTTCTTGGTTTGGATCAAGTACAGTCGTTGATGCAGTTTTAAATTTGTTAAATGAATCGCCAAAGAGCCAGTAAGATTGGTTCGATTCGATACCCTTGGGCGCTACTGCTGCTGACGCTGTTGAAGGCTCCATGTCTGTTACTGATGGTTCCAATTGCCTCTCTTCTTCCGATTCTGCTTCTTCATCCATGGCCTGGCCTTCTATTTCTGCGCCTCCTGAGCTTGTGGTTCTAGCTATATGGTAGTCATCCCAATCCGTATTGCTGTCCATCTTTGTGTCATCATCGCTTTCCCTTTCAGTTTCCGTTCCTGCTACACTGGCAGCTGCAGATCCTGGTTTTTCGCCATTAAGTTCAAAAATAATGGGTGCGTGAGAACATTCGTTGAATATCACTATGTGACTATGACTAACCTGCTTCGCCGTAAAGGTATCGGTCAACATCGTCGTCTTCCATCGGTTGATGATCGACTATTTCACCATCTTCACCATCTGGCATACTTGTAGCCAGCGTTTCATCATTTGCACCAGGTGACGGTGTTGCTGTGGGATGAGCAATAACAGGAGCAGCTGGTATCCGTGGCTCCGGGGCATTTCCATCTCTACCTTCTCTGTCAAGAAATTCCGAGAATAGAGCTTGCATGTTTGCCCGAGTACCATCCTCAGTAGTTGGACAGGCATATATTCCCTTCAAACCTCTTCAAACAATTAAGAATCAGTCATTATATATGCCATGTTCTTCCAACAATCCACGTGTCGATTCCATTCATCCAACTCACCGTAAAACTCCTTTTTCAAGCATAACACGCATGCCAGTTGCAACACATTTGGCCATATGGTCCCGCATGGGTGGATAGTAGTCTTCTACGGTGCATCTTAGGAAATCCATAATAACTGCGGTTATGTATGGGTAACGTTCCGCTGAGCGCTCCATTAATAGCATTGATGGTTCTAACAATAGCAAAAATAAATTTTGATTCAATGAGTACAATGTTTTTCCGTGATATTGAATCGTTTTGTTTTCCTAATGTGTTACCTATAAACATGATATTATCCGTAGGTGTAAAAAACAACCAATCGAAGATCAGAGCCAATCGAACATTTGCTGCTACGACAGGATTCTAGGTAGAAAAAAAAACGAAATGCTCGGTAAGTAACTACAACCACATACCAATTAATAACAAAAACAAATTCAACAGATGTTGTTTACCTTGATTCCGCGTAGCAAGCTTCCGATGATAACATATCGTGGTACAATATCACTTTGGAGAATTTGATTGCTGGGGTACCATCCTGCAACGAGATAGCGGATAATATCGACGTAAAAGGATTCGGACTGGGCTAAGAATTTTTGAATAAACCATCCAAGATTGCGCTGATATTGGTTTGCCCGCAGCTATGAAACAAAGTTTAATATGTACGTTCCCACAACCGCAGCATATCTTTCCTTCAAAGGCTAGTAATAACTTACATTTTGTAGAATAAAAAGAAGCTTATGCTCTATTTCATTTGTTAGCCGGCATCGTAGGAATTCACGGGGTGTGGGTGTCTGCAATAATGTGTGGATGCCTAGCGAAAATATAAAGTTAGAGCACAATCAATACTAATCAAAGCCAATAATTTTCTTCACCTTTAAATGATGGGGCAAGTGATTGTGGCGCGTTCAAAATATCGTTCCATAGCTGGTGAAATTCGGGTATAGTTGTAAGGTCTTGTAGTAGACGGACGAGATCACGACCTATTATGCAGCAGGCAAGCCACTAAATTTCGAACGTTCGAATCATCACAATGAGAACATGAAATCATCAAGCATGGCTGTATGTCAAACCGCGACACAGTTGATCTCGTATGAAAACTTACCTTTGATCTCAACAAATCGACAACAAATTTAATTTCACGCTGCTGTAAGGATTGATACTGGATCGACCGGTGCTCAGTAATCATGCGCATGTAGGTATATACTGCTGTTGCCATCACCCTTGGATACATGTCGAGCCAGTTTCTGTGCGACTCGAGCAACTTTAACATCTGAAAACAGAACGTCGTGTTGGACGGACCAATATCACCGCCGCGGATTTGCCGTAATAAGCACAAGTACATTGATTCAACGTTTTGTACATTTAAATCAGTCAGTTGGTTGATGAACCATAGCATCTAAATCAAATGATTTTTATATCAAGTTTTGGATTATGGTCAGATATAAATGGAGCAAGCGTATTGAGTATCCAGAAAAGAGCGAGTGATGGAAGAAAAGGGTATACACATATAAAAAAATGTGAATCCGTGTTCTCTCTCGGACTCCTCTCTTTACACTTTGAAAGCTCTTTCATTATGAAGGGAGAAGAATATGATATAGAACACACACCTGCTCTTTCGTCCGAACATTCAAGTTATGAAACTTTATAGCGATCGCGATTGGATGCAGTTTACCCAATACTACACCAAAGTTATCACGGTTTACAAGGCTGAGACATTGGAAATGCTTTTCTCACATAATACAAGTTATGTATATAGACGCACATATACAGCACAAAACATACACGCACACGTACGCACCAAAACACGCGAACCATTAGTAAGTACACTCAATCAGAAAGAAACATTGAAGGGGGTGGAAGGACATTTATGGATCGTGTTCCAACCCCACCCTCCTTCATTTTCACTTTTCTTTTTTTCTCCATTACCCCTCAAACCCTCCCACAATCGCTTCGTATTTGCTTACTGTCCGTTCATTTTCAGGTTCTGTTAGAATGCCGTAGAGTAGAGCCGACGCGATCTCTGCATAATCTCGCTTGCTTTGTGATGACTATTTTTTTTATAAAGGAAGCGACAACCAATGAGCTACAATTTTCTTTTTTCTGTGTTATAATTGCTCGCTATAATATGAAAAAGTGTATTGCCTTTTCTTGTAGATAGTTATGTAACTCAATTTCGCTTTTGTTATTGACGGATTCGCGGAACTGAAAGAAGCAACGCGCCAGCTCCTATTGTCGTGGCAGGAAAACATACAAATAAATCAGAAAAAATAATATCTCTGTTGCGTCGTACTCGGATCGTACCATTTCTAGTTCATCCTCCATGTCAATGTCTTCAAGATCGTATAATCGTGAGACCGTCGAAGTCATTGCGAAAGTGGGAAAGAATAGTATATTATTTTACAGTGAAGAAGAGATAGAAAAAAAATCGTTGCTGCTGGCTCAACACACGCCCTCGAATCGTTTACGGAATGCGAAATCACAAAATTACTTCACAGTGTTGCCAAAACCAATTTTGTTTAACGTTCCCAGTTATTCATTATTATGCCCCCTTCTTCTTTCATGTCTATAGGTTATAATCAAGCATTGGACGATATACCTGATATAATACTGGTAACTTTAGCCGAAGCTTCGGAAGTAATTGCAATATTTATAAATGCTTTTATGTCAAGAAATAGCGGTTCTGCCAAGTGCTTCGCGATCATGTTACGTTTGTAGTAGCTAAAATTCAGATTTGCAGCTGTACCAAACCGCTCTTGTATTTTGCTAGAGTCGTTACCAAAGGTTCCGTGGTCTAGAAAAACATTTGCAATGTTGGAGAACAGAGTACGACATAATAATTTCAAATCGGTTACCAGAGCTTTTCTAAGCTTGAACCGCACTTCACCGTACAGTAATAGTGTCGACGACTTTCTCACAGAGGCAGGATGGATTGTGTGGGCACAACGACTTGAGGAAACCAAAATACTGAATCTGGAACTGACAGCCGTGAAAGGTGTTACTGATGCTGTCCTTGAGCATTTTGAACAAGTCGAAAGCTCGGTGCTATTGCGTGTTTCACGGATCTATAGTCTCACCAATGCAGGAATCAATGCTTTTCGTATCATTGAAGGATCTAGTAAAAAGATTGAAGTCGTGGGGTGTTCAGGATTATCTCGGACAGATGATCTTCGTATGCCATACAACATATTTTTAATAATTGAGTACCATTGCGGTGATATTTGCAGTCTGGCTTGTACTTTTATTTATAATGAGTTGATAAACAATATTGGCAGCATGTTTAATTAATCAGTTTTCCAGGTTGGATTGTTGTGATATCTGTATAGTCAAGCATCGATTTGAAATGTTTACATATACACTTACTAGATCCAGGATTGATGGAAAGGCAGCACGATGTGGATCTGATCGGCAGCGAGTCTGGTGTCCTTTCAAACCTGAGCGAAAGCACAGACTATTTTTTTTGGTTACCCTATGCTTTCCTTATATATCAGAAATGCTTGTGTACCTCTTTTCGTCACAAAAGGGATCACCTCGCACTCTATATGATATAGTCTCTGTGACAGAAGAGAGAAAAAAAATGAAGTGAGAATATTCTTTCTTCCGTTGTTGAATAGAAAGACCATCGTCGCCTCCTCCCCTCTCCCTTTATGACCAAAAAAAAGCAGTCTGTATGCTGTATGTATGCGCATACGCGCGTTCCTGTTCATGTCGGGCAGTGGATTTTTATTGCCCGGTATTTAGATTTCATTGGCCAACGTGCTGCTGCAACTATACTCGAACCGCTTTGAGAGTTATACTACGCAGAGGACTTATTGGAGTCAAGTTTACTGACAAAGGTCAAGATTTATGGTAAGCGGGAACATTATCATCTTCCACATGCTAGGATATATACGGGATCAAGAACATCTTGAAATATAGCGATTCCCGGAAAGTGTTCCTCATATTTTCTGGGCAAATTCTAACTACAGTACTTTGTCTGTTTAAACTCTATATGTAACAAACTCATGAGCAGTTGTTCAGTAAATGAACCCAGTGTCTTAAGCTTGATGCTTACCAAACGAACAACAATACGATAGCAAGCTCAAAACGCCAGAGAAAAGGCAAGCCTGATACAAGACGCTGGAGTGCTACTGTGTGCTGTCAACCAAGATATAAACATCACCCTAGTAAGCTTCCTGGATCCCAACTCCGCTCAATGGATTGGATAGCATTGTAATACCCTGCAGATGCGGTAACGAATAAACAACAGCATTCAGGATGTCTAGATTATATAACTAAAGTCATCCTGGCAATAGCAACATAGAGAGCAAAAGCTAGTTCAGTCTTCCTTACTCTCAAAGAAAGAAAAAAAGAGATGCAAACGAATTATTGAAAAGTAATATGCAAAAGGCAACCATGACTGGAATCAACCCACACTTGTGACAAGCATTTATGTACTGACGTGAGTCAGCAGGAAGCAAAGGTAGTCTAGGAACGAGGAGCTCAGGAAGAGCGCAACACAGATCTTTCTTCTTTGGATAGTGACAAGTGATGCGTGTGTCAAACCTCGAACGTTCCAACAGCTTTTCCTTGAAACGAAAACTCCGTAGAGTGAAAGCGCATTGTTACGCAACGATTTGGCCAATTTACTTGGTACTCAAAATGCACAAAGGAATGGCGGGTGAACAAGGTGATCAATGGAGCAACGAGTTACGCGCAAAAGGGTCAAAAGATGTACAGTAGGAAGTCATCGTTTATGGTGTTATTCTTCTGATCGTCCCAATGGATCTTGAAAGCTGCTAAAAAAAACGTAGAACCCGCACAAAAACAAACGAACCGATTAACTTTATCAGCAGCAATGAAAATCAATGAAGGGTGAGTCAGTTTCACTAGCGGCAGCGTATACTTACCATGAGCGGTCAGCTTATCTGCGGCAGCACACTTGGATAGAGTATGAATTCGGAGTGGATGGAGGGAGGTTACACGGCGTAGTTCAGAGGGATGGCGAAAATTATAAAGCAACAGTAGACAAGCACGCTTCACAGTAAAAGATAACGATCTTTGATACACTGCAGCGTTGGAGTCAAGTGTGTGTTGTATCTATTCCCGCACACCGCACATGCAGTCAAAAGATACTAGCAAAATGGAATCGTCTGTGGACTACGCTTTATACTGTTTATCTTGTTGGGTGAAATGGAAACTGGCTGCTGGGAGGATCGTGTCCATGATATTTACTAAGCAACTGATGCCGTAGAATCTGTTAAGTTGTTTACCTTGTCAGACAATTCTATATTGCCATTTTATTGCTCACAGAAAAGCATTTCTTCCGTAAATCTACATGCTCATTCACATTCGTGTCTTTGTTTTTGCTCGACACGGTGCCGTGCACGGCCCCACTCACAAACAAGCGCCGATACCATCGGAGGGTACAGCTCCGCATGGTGAGAGACACGTACCACTACCGCCGAAGCACGCTTGTCTACTTGACCATCAAGTATACCACTCCTTTCATTTCCTTTGGTGCTGTATGTTTTGTTATATCATAGTAGGCAACCCACAAGTTGATACGCAACCCGTTATCTGGGCCAATGAGAATTCACGGGGATTTGAAGTCCCGAACGAGAAAAATGTCTATATAAAGCGAGCAATTTCGCCTTTCTTTTTTCTCTTCTCTTCAGTTCGTTTTGGTACAGCTTTGGTCTGTAGTACAGATGCACTGCTCTGTGCCATGATCGGGTCATTGCTTGTGCTGGCTATTGTCATAATTCTTCTGATGATCGGCAGATTCAGTGGTCCGCGCCCTGAAGAAAATTTGCAATATATACCAGTGGGAATGTGGTCATATACTCCGGCAGCCGATCGTGAACCTTCGGGTGCATGTGATGCCAACGGTATATGTTGGGATAATTGAAACGAACTTTTTTTTTATTATTTATTACACACAAATAAGAAAATGATAAACAAAATAAAAAATATATATTTTTCTTTTTCGCACTTTCCGCATAAACGTTTTACCGCTTTTTGCTTCGCCTTTTTTTTATGTGCACGACAAGTTCCTTTTTCTTTTTTCGCGAACAAAAAGCTAATTACTCCCCCCTCCATCCATTCACAGCTCCGTGCTAAACAAAGCGGGGAACAGTGACAGTGGCTCTGTATCGTAGCCGAAAGTAACACGATCACAATGCTTTGGCACTCTTTTTCACTTTCTGTGTTCGCCTAAATTGCCAAAGCAATTATCGAGGATATGGTCGGTTATTTTATAAGAGGCAACGCCAGAGCATACGCCAGCAGACCTGTATAATTGTCAGATCTGTAAAAAATTGGAATGTTTTTTTTTCAGCTGTTCGTCTCTCTCACTCTTCCTGCACGTAGCTTATCACAACACAATTTTCTTATCATTTTGGGTTTCACCTGGATCGAAAAGCTTGCACTGATCTTTCCGATGTGCCTGCTTTTAAAGCGTGAATCTTGTAACAGCTCTTTCCCCACCCCCTTACACCTTCACTTCTCTCTTCCTTTTCTTATTTAACTTTACTTCGTTACATATTTTCAAGGTATGCGTTACCTATTTGAAAGTGATGATCGCTCACCAAAGATATCAGGAGGACCTGTTAAAGATATGATATAGTTGCTCTACCAAAACTTGCACACAAGGATGCTGTGTTTTCCAGGCCAAGCGATTGGTTACTAATATATGACTTTTGCGGTTTGTAAACAATAAACGCGAGTGTTCACTGAAGCCTTTTGCTTCGTATCGAGAAGTCGATGCTTTTAGAAAGAGCCCTGTTCTAATGTGTATCTGCGTATCGCTATGATAGCATAAAATTCAGGTGAGCTACCTGGTTCGACTCGCTTCTCCTTTGTCGGACATACTATTCACGAGTCCGGATTATCTTATGCAGGCTTTGTTCGATTAAAAGCCTCGTACCTTTCACATACTCGTAATATGACTGATTTGATCTCGATTTTGCCTCCCGAAATCATTCAGTACATCTTTTCGTTTATCGGTCAGCGGCACTGTATTGAATGTGTGTAAGTATGTCGCCGCTGGTTTTACGCGATCCCCACTTACCAGACAGCTCTGTGGACACTGGTGTAAATTTCGCCTGATGCATGGAACAAAAGGAGCGACGCGATGCTTCAATGTCTGGGAGAACAAGTCGCATCAGTATACACCAAATCTCAAGCCACGTATAAAGTACTGGAACGACTTGCTTGGCGAAGATGCTGCATTCGCTTCCTTGGTAAAGTAAAACGATACTCTTTTATTTGTGTTTTAAGAGGTTCGCGTATTCGGTAGTACTTACTACTGCTTATGCGCAAAAGATATACTAAAGCCTTTTTTTTTGTTTTAAGACATTTGCAACATGTGCATAGCAAACAAATACAACCTAATTTCGACAATAGCACGTTACTGCCAGGAATCATCAGATATTTCTCGCATACGCTAACTGCTCTGACGATTTCATTTTACACTTGCGATATCTCGCTACCAATGCTACTGGACTTCTTGCCGTCATTGACGCATGTTTCAGTGAAATTTGATGGCCGCACTAAATTATCAGACGCTACTCTTGAACAAGTTGATGGCAGAAACAGACACAAAAGGCCACCGATATACAACAAGCCTTATCTTCTTAAGATTGGACAGTGTGATCAGTCATCAAGGAAAGCCAGATGGGTTGTGGCGTTGCACATAGTGTGCTTGGGCACGAGAGTCAAGGAAGGCGAGGATGTCACTTGCTGTATACATCCTTTTGCGTTATTCATTGCCGGTTGTCATTGGTTTCTATCGACGCATTAGAATCTCAGATTCTGTACGAGGCTAACGTCGAGAGATTTTGGGTTATATTACGATACTGACCTAATATTAACCATTTCATCAAAGCTTGCTGAAGAGAAAGATTAGTACCGGGAAAAAAGATAAATAGAAAGAGGGGATGTCAAATATACACGATTATGCATTTGTTTCTTCCACGACTTGGATACGGACTTTGTACTTGTGGCAAGTACTTGTGTGTGACACGATCCAACAAGTTTATTGATATCGTCGAGCTGGAATATTAGTAGTACATTACATATGTACAGTGACGCTTTCTGAAAGTATTTAGTTATGTGTGATGACCTTTTCAACTGATTGTCAATATGCAAAATTTAAAAGAAGTTGACTGCCCTTTTTTTAAGATAATAAGCCATTTCACTCGAGAAATAGAAAAGAAAAGCAGTTTAGCTATATAAATCTAGTACAAATGAAATTTATAAAATGTCATTTCTATAAACCATACGATGATATCAGAAGCTTGTTTTCTGTATCTTTTGAATCATGATATACGTAGTATCTGTTTTAAAAATTTTAAATGTAAGCTTGTGAGTGTGCTAAGCTCTGAAAAATACACTATGGTCACGATTCGTCGTCGATCCTGGCAGTCCGTATAAACAATGTCTCTTTCTGACAACCGTGCTGTTGGTGTGGCATACTGTAATACCCTCGAATAATTGATTGTCGCGAGAAGCTATTAAAGTGTGTTTGTGCGCTAGGTTGTGCGGGGATATAGCATCACTACTATGCAATGGTCTTATGAGCTCAACATAAATATACATGTATATCACTGAAAAACGCCCACTTATCCATCACTGTAGTAACGGCAGAATAAAAGATACATAATTATTCTAGATATATAATTATAGTTCTGTACTGTATTGCACTTATACCTCGCCTTCTGAATAATATGTTATTTCGCGAGTCTTTAAACTTACAAAGAGATCTTATCTAGGATATCATAAGCACTATCAAACTGTCGGCTTGATGAAGAAGCGCGCAGGTACAGTATAGTGTACGGTAATCGATATTGTATATTGTACTACTACTCTTAATCTGTACGATGTATATGTACATAAGAGAAAAAGGACAATACCAGGGGCTTGTTTGCATTATGATAGTCATCATCATTGGTTCATGCAATACGTCATACGAGGCATGTATTTTTTGCTCCAATGAAAATTTCCAGAACAGTAAACGTTTTCAGACATAGGTACATTGCAGAAGTTCAGTATAAATGTTCCCGATGTTACTTTGCTTGATATGTACTATGCCGAGCATAAGAGCATATGTATGTAAGTACCTTGAAATGGAAAAGAACTTTTGTGCATCTGTTCGATAAAACTAAAATTCGATGAATATCGCCCCCTTTTGAGATAGCACTATACTGTTCGTCACATATGTATATTTTACCACTGTAGTGGCAAGTAGAGACATAGTGTTTGCTTTTGGGTACTTCAAATATTAGTATTGATATTAGTGCTTAGCTACTTACTATCGCTGCTGAAAGAATGCAACTAAGCATAATACACCAAATCATATAGTGACATTCTGAGATTCCTATTCCTTTATACAAGCCGAAAAATACATTTTGCAGCAGTATATATAGCAGTATGTTTTTAAAATCGTATTTTGGATGGTCGCCTGCATTTCAGGAGATCGATCTTAGAACCTAGAGAGTTAACGATAACTTCCACATCCCTCACAGCGGTATAAGAAAAGTCTCCTATTTCTGTACTGCACGCCAGTTCTAATTTTTTTTTCTCTCTTTGCTGATCTGCATTACCAGTATCAAAACTTATTTCTCTTTCTGAGTTCTTTGACGTCTGCACATCACGGAGACGTTCATGTATACACTACGCCATGATACCACCACAATCAAGAGCGGACATGATGATGAATAGAAGGCTATATTTAAGTTTAAAGTTGATACCTTATTTTTGTTTGCCGCCCAATTGCTATATGACTACTTGAGGGTAGAATTATCAGATACGAAAATTAGAGAAAAGTGAAGTGGTACATCATGTACAACAACAATCTTATAACAGAATATTTTTTAGTAAAGTTCAAGAAAACCAAGAGATAAGATTTCTTATGTATCAGAAGACAACAACAACATAAGCATTATATAATAGAGTTAAGATTATGCAATAACTTGTTTTTTTTTTGACAAGTATCATGACGGAAGAAAAGTTATTCACGCAAGACAGAATCGCATCCATATTCACTACGTCCGGCATTGCAATCGTCGTACGATAAGCAGCTATATTATACATGATGTAGTTTTTCAAATCAGTTATCCCAGCATGAGCAGACCCTTTTTCAAAAAGTTGTATGTATATACGTTACCATCGAATACAAAACCGGCTTAGATTAGGTTCTATCAGGGATACATAGTATGGGTAGTTTTTGCAATGGGACTCAGGAGGTGATCCCGAGCCATGATCATCATACTAAAAAGGCAAGAATGAAAAAGAGAGAACAGACAAGACAGATTAGAGAAATGGAAGATAACGGAGGTCAAGTTATTGAAAACTGGACTTGGCGGTACCTGGCCACCACCATCTTCATCTGACAAATGATACGCGGCATTGTTGATCGTTCCAGTTACTTGCACATAGTTATCCATCGCTTTGAAATCTGCTGACTGAACAAAACCATCTGGCATCTTTTTGGCGCCTGGTGCTAATCCATCGCTGGTACAAAAGGCACGTGCGTTTTTTTCAGAGTTACCAATAGCGTCATCATCGTATTGACCCCCGTTGGCGTCCTTGTTACCGGGTGAGCTGGGCAAAATCAAGCAAAAGTTGTCCTTGCTTTCCAAAGCGACAGTCAGCCCGTCCTTGTATTCGTGTGATGTAGGCGCGGATTTGGGTTCCATGACCGGCTGCATTTTAACTTTTTTTTTGTTACCACTGGTTGTTGCTGTTGGCGTTGGCTTAACAGTTGTTGTCGTTGTCGTCGTCGTCATGATATTAGTCGTGGTCGTAGTCGTAGAGGTGGTGGTGGTAGTTGCGGCAGGGGTGGCGGTGGTGGTAGGGACAGGAGCCTCGGTACTGCTTGTAGTAGTAGTAGTAGTAGTAGTAGTAGTAGTAATAGTAGTAGTAGTTTGACTAGGAGGCTTTTCTGCGGGAGGCACATCTTCGGCGGGATGAGGTATTGCAGCAACATTATTGCCGTTGCCGCCGTCGTTGGCACGATCGATAGTCACTGGCTGCACAAGCGTGCCCTGCTGATTGCCATTATCGGTGTGAGGAGCTCCAGAATGATGATCATCGCCATCTTGTCGCTGCTGTCCTTGTCCTTGTGTTGTTGGTGCATTCTGTTTGACATTTTCAGCAGGAGCTGTAGGCGGCTTCACTTGTGCTTGTGGTAACTGTTTAGGAACAGATGACGGATTGTCATTTTGTTGCGTTGTTGTCTGTTCCGAAGCAGCGGCAGCTGGCTGATTTGTTTTTGGAGCTTCTTTTTGTTGTTGTTGTTGTTGTTGTTGTTCAGCAGCTGGTGGAGGAGGTGGTGAAAGCATGTATATTTGATCATCTTGATTTTCCGGTTGCTGTTGTTGCTGAGGCTTTTGTTGCTGAGACGGTTGCACTTTTTGTTGCGGCTGCAGCTGCTGCTGAGGTTCATTCGGTTGACTGGGCACGACTAGCTGTCGCTTGGCTATAGGAGCCCGAGAACTGCATTAAAGAAGGGGGTTTTTTTGGGGGGTGAGGGTGTGGTGGGGGAAGACGGGTTTGGATTGAGAGAAGAAGGGGTGGGGCCATATGAAGAATAACATGGTTAGCAATTGGAAAGAACGTGTTAAGTAAAAGTAAATTTGATTTGTTGCCATGCATTATCATCATCCTTACCAGTTATCCGGTCCGCCAGCACACCCAGGTTCTAGAAATGGATGGTTATTAAGGGAATCGAGATGATCACGGTGATGAAACCAGAGGTAGTTATCATCATTGTCAATGCTGGTAGATTGCCATCCTTTTCTAGGTGTCTACTTACGTCGGAAGGCATTGTGTTTATTAAATGATTGCACCATCATCGCATTGTTGTTGTTGTTGCACTATTTTGTTTACACAAAATGATTTAACTCGATTAAGTATTTATGTGCAATTTATACCCGTGGTAGCTATTTAGGGTAGTAAATAAATCACAATTGTTTTTCTTTCTTACTCGTAGTTTAAAGCTGTAGGTATTTGATGAATGACTGGGGCTTTGACCATCAGCAAGATGGTGTACACATCCATCTGATATCATGGATGTGGGAGCAGCCCAGGTAGTGGATGTGCTCAATGCCAGAACCAAGAGCGCGGCGAATGATAAACGATGCATTGTGATAGTAATATTGGTAACAGGGAACAAAATTTACACGTACAGAGACACACACACACACACACAAAATAAAGAAGGAAGGGTAAAAAGAAATAGAGATAGAAGTAATAGGGGACAGATGCGGTTTATATATCAGATAATGATGCGTAAAAAGTGAAAATGCTTGTCAAACGGAGTTTCTTTTTTTTTCTTTGCTATGCAGTTGTTGTGGGGTTGTTATGGAGTTGCCATGAATTTGTTGTTGCTAGGTTACCACTTCATATCCGGGTTCTTTTTAAAGGTTTCGTATGCCTCCCGATTGAAGAAAGAAAGTTCGGCCTCGTTTTCTAAATTCATACAGAGTTTAAAAAGTATACTTTGATATTATAACTGGCTCCACCCCTTAACTTTTTTTTTTGCTGCACACAACGTACCAAGGCCAAGCCATGCCAAAGTAGCGGAATCATCCGAATATATTAAGCTTTGGTCATCCTCCATATTGATGATGAGATTCATGGTCTAACAGTAGATATAATTCTTTAGACATTTTACCTGGACATCATGCAGCATCACTCACTACAGCCTCATAAAAAACTAAAACAAAAGATCTTCTTATTACCTTATGACCGTGCGCCACTGTGTACAACTTGATTGTGTCTGTTTACATGTCACAATGATTAAGGAGGCCATCAAAACCGATAACCAAATCCAGAACTATGCTCAAAATGAATAAGAAAAACTCCCTTACCAAATATGACATTAAGGTACGGCTTCCATCCAGACGTGGTCTTGATTGCTTTGCATAATAATAGGAAAGCATATAATGGATATGTTTACAATTGTTATACGTTATGGTGCACCAGTACTATCGCATACCAGTATAACTCGGAGTAAAGGGGTGTGTGTAATGATAAATACTTACTTTCGCGTACAAGTGCTTTGAGTTCGCCAATGGTGGTGGTTTCAAGATTGACATGTTGCAACACGAGGCTTTTACAAGTGCGATATTCAAATGATTTGATGCATCGAATGGTAATGACTGCATCGGTCGAAGGTCGTGCATGACTCGTTAACGTGTCTCCCATTTTTTGTAAATGTATATGTTTTAAAGTGGCAAAAAAAAAGAAGAGAAAAGTAAAGAGCAGACAACAGTCGAGAAGGTTCTTTTGTTAAAGGGAAATTGAGTGGCTGACCCGGTCACAACCAATAGCAATTGTTCTTTCCTTTTTCTTGTGTGTGGCACACCAAAATTAATGCAACCCAAAATCCAAAGAAAAACAAAAAAAAATTAACATGAGAGAGAGAGAGAGAGTGTGTGTGTGTGTGTGTGTACGATTGAGTTGGTTGGAAGATAGAGAGAAAGAGAGTGAGAGGTTGTTGTGCGTTTCAATTTACAAATTGTGTGAGTTGTGCATGAGAAAAAAGTTGCTGTGTAGGAAAGAAAGTGAAGAGGAATGGGGTTGGGGAGAGGTAGTGTAGATTTTATTGCTTTTCACTGCGATTTACTGTGATGGTAAGGGTTCACTTGGCGGCTCGTTGTGCGCTAGAAGATTTAGGTTAGAGCAATGGAATCTACTTGTAAAGTCATGGCAGTAACTTACTAGGCGGTGGTCCTTGATGTTGCTCGTGTGGTTGAGGTGGATAGTGCATTTGGTTAGGATCCATCATCATTGGTCGCTGCATCATGACTGGACCTGGTCCTGCCGTGACGTTAGGTGGCATGCCTTCGGGGCTGTATCTCATCATCACTGGCCCTTTAATATACCCCAGTATCCACATACACTCCAGATCAGTACAATACTCGAGAAAACAATAGAGGTAGAGAGAGAAAAACCACAGAAAGAAACGTCTGCAAAGAACTTACCATGAGGACCGTTGCCTTGATACTGATAAACTTGGTGTGGCGGTACACCGTGTGGAACAATTGGAGATCGTTGTGGTGACGGGAAACCTTGAGGGAATGGTGATCCATCTGTTTTTATTATATACAAAAGGCAGTGATCATATTAAAGACCCATTTTTTTTTTCAAAGATATTTTTCTATCTCAAAACTTACGAGGCGAAACGTTGGCCATTTGTGGACTGTATGCGACGGCAGGAGGTGCACCCGCATGTGGCATTGGCGCCCCTGTCAACGGTACGTTATGTACAAACTATTCTCCCAATAGTCAGTATTTAATACACACAACGTTGGAGATATGTACGTTCTCTTTTACACATTACCTGTTGAGGGCTCATGTATGGATGGCCGGGTTGTTGCACAGCCATAGGAGCCTGTACATATTGCTAGACGGTCATACATTGTAAGAGGGAGAAAGAGGAACGTTATCAAAAGAAAATTACAACAGCGTATAAACAAAAGGAATGGGAGACTTACAGGTGGATAACGGTACTGGGGATAACCATAAGGATAAGCAGGCGATCCATAACCGGTAAACATATCTTCTTCATAGTTTGCATACTGGTTAAAGTGATACTTGTATTGTTTGGAACCAAACGGCCAAGTTGGACCAATCGAGCTAGGAGTCACTGGTTCTTTACCCTTAGCAAAAGGTGGCGTAAACGCTTCGGCAATAGTTAAATGTTCCGCGGCTGTTCCCTTCTTCAGCTGACGACCAGCAAAGAACGGAGAACTGTCACCCGACGCTGTCGATCCAGGTTTGCCAGTAGTAGTTGCAGTGCTGGTGACGCTCGAGCCACCTCCGCCGCCCGGCACAAAGACCGGGGCAGATGGATTGGGCTTAAATTCCATTGCCTTGACATTGAACTTGAAAGGTGACTTTGACAATGTCTTTTCGGCACTATCCTTCTTGGCCGCTGCTGTTGTAGTCGTGGTAGTGGTTGCTGTTGCTGCTGTAGGCTTGCCACTTTCAACTTGTTGCTGTGGTTCTTTGACAGCTTGTTCCTTGACAGGTTCGGCAGGAGTAGTTGTAGTAGGAGGCGAAGCAACCAGCTTCTTGTCTTCCTGTTGCTTCTTGGGCGATTCCGACGACGTTACTGAAGGAGGCGACGATTTCTCACTGCTTGGACTACCCGACGATTTTTTACCCTTGGACAACAATGGTACAAGATCTGCAGGCACTGGGACGTTTAGTTTGAACGTTTGATGGAACTTCATCAATTCTGCCAACCTATCCTCCTTTTCCTTCTTTTGCAGTGCCTGTTTCTTGGCATGGAGCTTGTCCTTTTCCTGTATTGCGAACTCTCGAAATGTCTTTGCGATCTCTGTTTCAATGCGTTTCGATTGTTGCCCATCCGGTCCGGGAGCAGCAGCAGCAGTGGTGGTGGTAGCCGTTGAAGCAGCGGCAGCGGCACCCGCCTGTTTCTAATCGATTGTGCGAACAATGTTTCAGGCATCACTTTCACATGTCTATTCTTCCTGTCTTCCAGTGTCACACACGACGCATATACAAACCTTATCGTTGCTATCTTGTCGGGCATTGGGCAAATTAGTCACTGGTGAAGCTGCAGTTACCGTTGCCTTGGGAATATTGGCCGTCGTGATATTCTGTAGAGGATTGTTCTCGGGCTTCTTGTCATCCTTTCGACCTTGTTGTTGTTGCTGCATATGCTTTCGCAAGGCGGGTGGCATGTACTTGCTGCTATCACGAACAACACCGGCATAACGATCCTCTTCATCCATGCCACTGTCATCTACAGCAATACCACGTTCTTCCATCACGTGCACATTGTTTACGGCCGACTAATAAAATGTTTATTAGGGAACAAATTATAGACAGGTCCAACAAAAGAGATAGATGATAGACTTACTCGCTGAATCTCGTTTGCCTTTTCAATAGCCCATCGTTCACGATCCTTATAGTCAGGCGCGGATCGGTCCAATCGTGTCGTATACAGTTCTTCATTGAAATCAGTCTTTAAACCAAACAATTTTTCGTTTGCTGCAAACTGATCCCATGAGCCATTCTGTGTATCTACTGCTTCCTCGCCCTCTAAAGCACCAAATTCGCCTGCGCCTTCTTCTGGCGTCCATTTGAACAGCTCTCGTTCCTTGACATCTGCCCTGCCACTGATATCTGTATCCGTCTTGAATGCTAGACACGAATTCCATCCCCCACAACTGTTGCGTTAGTAACTGTTTGTTTTTTTTATCCTTTTACTCTGAGCCAACATTTTCCTAAATGTCTCCTCCAACCATCAGCCACACTCAAACTTACAATCGTCGCCCACTGTCAAGTCAGTCTCCGGCGAAAAGATTTCAACAAGATCTTTTCCCATAATCAACATGGAAGGCTTGACTGGGTATGGGTTGACTTTGGTCTTTTCATTATGCGATGCTTGAGGATCATGGATTTTGCGTGCATGTTTTAATGCTACGCCAATATCACCGCCTTCCGTTGATGCACCATGAAACATGCCTTCAAATTTAACACCATTTTTGACAGTGACCTGAACCACACTACCCTAATACGTACACAGGCGTTATTATAGTACTTGGTTTTCATTTCTCTTTTTCTCTCTTTCTCTCTATCTCGTCCAGCTTTGATTAAATGATACTTACTGTCAAGTTGGCGAGTAAAAAGAGCATACGATCGTGCATGGCTCTCACGATTTCTATATCTTCATCGACTCGTTTATGCGTGGATGGCGTTGGTGCAGTCGATGCTGCTGCTGATGTACCAGTCGCGTTGTTGTTGTTGTTGTTGTTGTTATTATTACCCGATCCGTTATTCGACCGTCCTGGATTATTCGCTGTATTGTTTCCCCATTTCTTGTTATTGCCACGGCTAATTTGAAGATAAATAGTGAAATGCTTTTTAGTATAATTCGATCCAACAATGAATAAAAAGGCGAAAAAGAGAGAGAGAGAGAGCGAGATTCAACACCAACCTTGGATTTGATTTTTGATGCGTGAAATCCTTTTTGTTCCCCTGTTTATTGGCAAACGACATGATGTTTATTTTTTAATCCCCCCTCAAAGGAAAATTTATTCTAACAGGGATTTTCAGATGGGATATTTCTTATTGCCAACTAATGGTGTGTGGGTAAAGAAAAAATAATGGGGAGAAGAAAGGAGGAAGAACAGCTATTAAAAAAAGGAAGCTCGGGACACTCACTTTTCAACCCGCTTTTTTCTTGTGTGTGTTGAAAGGGGGCAAGTCAAGCAGGACCACAATAGTGCGCCTTTGTCACACACACACAGACAGCAGTTGTTTTCAAACCCATAACAAGTCCATCGTCCCCTCCCCCTTTGATTTCATTATCTTTTGTAATTGCTTTGTTTTGTAGAGGGTACCCTAGTATGGATGCGTTTCTCTACGTGGTTTATTACTTTCAACGCAGAAAAGTGATATCATTTGTGTCAGTGTTTTTTCTCACTCTGGGATGCTGAAAATGGCTATATCATTTTGGTCTTAGCGGGTTCCGAAATGACGTGCTGTGTGCGGTTTGACCAACACAATCTTCGGTTCAATCAGAATGTGACACCACCGCTCTCTTTCTTTTATTTATTCATCATCATGGCGCGTTTCCGCATTCCAGTGTTCATTGTAACACTTTTGGTCTTGCTTTCCACTGTCTCTTATGTCTCTGCCAAGAAGGGTCCTCTTGTGACCAACAAAGGTAATGACAAGAGTTCCCCCCACCCTAAGACAGTTTTCTTTATACTTATGCTTGCTTTTGTTTATGTCTAGTGTACTTTGACATTAAGCAAGGCGATGAAGACTTGGGTCGCATCGTGATTGGCTTATACGGCAAGGTGAAGAATCTTTGTAATATTCGTGTTGCTATGGCACGGGAACTACTTTAACCTAACTATATTTTGGGCTCTGTAATAGACTGTTCCCAAGACAGCTGAAAACTTTAGAGCATTGGCTACGGGTGAAAAGGGTTTCGGATATAAGGGTTCCAGTTTCCACCGCGTCATCAAGAACTTTATGATCCAGGGTGGTGACTTCACCAACGGCGATGGCACTGGTGGCAAGTCTATCTATGAAAGTATGTAATCGAGAAAATTTGATTCTAGAGAGTGTGTATGTAATCATAAGGGAAACCTTACTAAAGACGCCTTTTTTTTAAAATAGCTGCCAAGTTCCCTGATGAAAACTTCAAGTTGCAACACACGGGCCCCGGCGTGCTTTCGATGGCAAACAGTGGAAAGAACACAAACGGTTCGCAATTCTTCATTACCACCGTCAAGACCTCCTGGTTGGATAACCGTCACGTCGTCTTTGGCATGGTGGTGGAGGGTATGGATGTGGTCAGCAAGATTGAAAACACAAAGACCAACCGTCGTGATAAGCCTGATGTGGATATTGTCATTGCCGATTCGGGTGAATTACCCATCGAGAATATCGAGCACGCTGAATTGTAGAAAGTATATAAATTTTTCTATATATAAATCGCTTATATAAAACTATTTTATTTGGCATGATTTCCAGCTACTGCAACGTTATTAGCAGTTCTACTTGATTTTGCTGCTGCTCGGTCAAAGATACTGATGCTACGTTGCATAATAATACACTCGGGACTAAAACGAAAATATAAAGAAATTAGCTTCCAAATCTGCTAATTTTTTCCATCATGAAATTGTACCTTTGAGAGAATTCAGAAAGAGACACGCCATTATGCACTGCTACTTGAGACAAGAACTCTTGTAATAGCCGATGCAACTTGCCATACTCGGTAACAAACGTGTTTCTTAAAAATCCAGATGTCTTTGTCGCCTCACGCAATTCCTTTTCAAAAGTCATAGCCAACATGCGCCAGAATCGACTTGCTAAACTTGTGGCATCCATAGTCTTGAGCACTTCTTCCAGATACGAGACTTGCAGAAACGAATCCTTTTTGATCTCCAGCACTTTCTCCAATGCATAGATTTGAATGCATCCATCGGCCATGGACCGAAATAGGGTTTCCATCCGCTTCCATATTGCTTGTTGCCATTGGCTTTGGTTACCAAACGTCGGTTCGTTATTGACCCGTCGTACAGCTGGTCCTGATGATGATACTGTTTTCACCGTACCATAGAACGGTAGAGAGGCACATTCAGTAAAACGAGAACCTTCCTATCTCAGACATACACACAGAGAGATGCTCCCAGTTTGAAGAATGGTAATTTTTACCTCGCATTTGTTTTTGTAACGATGACATGTCAATAGCATGTCGTATCTCTGCTGCCAAATCATCCAGCATACGCGTGACCAATGCTTGTACCTGGGTTTCCATTTGCTTCATATTGTACAAGATCTGCAGACCGGCTGCCATTTTGCTTTGGTTCTGTTGCGTGACACCTTCACGTAGCAACGTGGTTGCTTCCACTTCAATTTGTGTTTGGGCCTTTTCAAGAAACGCTTGTTCTTGTGTTACAATATCAATTTCATCGAAATCAGATTCTTGTGATATCGTTCCTATCCATGTAAAAAAAAAAAAGCAATTGTGGATAAGTTTTCTCCCTACTCCATTTCCTCTTTTTTTTTTTTAAATATGTACCGATTTCAGAAATTGTCAGTGCTGCTGCTGCCATATCTCGACCCAGTTGGTTCTCGAGTCGACGTACTAGGACAACAAATCGATGTAGTCGTCGTAATAAATCCGCCGTTTGATGTAGATGTTCGAGTTGGATGGTATAGTTATTTAATTGTTGATATGGATCTCGGATCTTGCCTGCTAGTCTGCAATGTAAGGCGTTCAATATTTAGCATCTTGTTTCAACAAGCCTCTTTGCTCTCATCATGTATCATACAGCCATCATCATCATCATGTCCATACCGGTTTAATGAAGTTTTCAGCTCGATAATATTGCTTTGAACTGTAGACAGGACGATTTCTAATTCTCGGATACCGCGTACTTGACCTAATAGCGTATCATAGTTGCTTGCAATCTCGTTTTGGATCTGCTTGTCGATACTGGTAATGCTGAACGCTAGTTTTGAAAGTGCTGTTGCTGCATCCCCGCCATCGTGGATGATGCTGTCCGCGTACTTATTGGCATCAAAGTTGTCTGACAGGAATGTCTCATAATCTACAAAAAAAATCCGTTTTAAAATTTGTGCTGCTGCCAGTTGGATGCAAAGAGAAAGAAGGTTCAAGTACCAATGTAGTTGTCAGCTTCTTGCAGTGCAAACGCGGTGTTCGAGGAGGTTGTCATATTTTTGGCGGGTTAAGAGGTGGAAAAGAGCACTAGCGGTTATTCAACCCTAGTGTGCATTCTTTTTTTTCTTGTTCTTGTTCTCCAACTTTTTTATTTGGCATCAAAACATGGATCGTAAACGTGTCAATGGACCAGACCAAAGCGTCGCACCTCTTTCAACAAATGTACCAGAACGATTACCCATATTAAATAACGACGGCAAGCGTGTTGATCAACGATCACTTGACGATCTTCGACCCATTTGTAAGAAAAAACGCGCATGCTAGAAAAAGATAACCCATAATGGAAGCAAAACATAAATAATAACACGCTCAATTACTTTTTTTTTTGCTCAACGAATAGTCCTTAAAACTGGTCTTGTCACGCAAGCCAATGGCTCGGCCTATATCGAAGTCGGCAACACAAAAGCTGTTTGTGCAGTGTAAAGATCTCTCTTTATAACAAACTAGAAATAAGAAAAAAAAACGCTTATTTAACACACACGCGTTACTGACGACTCTCCTTCCATTACTTCTACAGATACGGTCCACGTCAGTTGAAACGGTCTGGTTTCTCGAGCAATGGTACACTCAACTGCGAATTCAAATTCTCCACGTTCTCTTGCAGCAAGCGACGTGGTCATATGCGTGATCCTGAAGAACGAGGCTATTCTCAAGTAGTGGTTCAAGCGCTTGCACCCGCCGTACGATTAGAATTGCTGCCGAAATCATCCATCGATATCTATATCAATGTACTTGAAAATGACGGCTCGACCTCGTGTTTGGCTGCAGCCATTGTAGCGGCAAGCACGGCATTGGCAGACGCTGGTATCGAGATGTTGGATCAAGTCACCGCATGCTCAGCAGTAAGTTCTGTTTTGTTGCGCTCTTGTTCTAACTTGGCGTTGAATGAACTATTAACGACTTTTTTTGCTTGCGAATCACAGGTACTCTTTCAAAAGCAGATTGTGATGGATGGAACAGAATCAGAAGAACAGCAAAAGGATGGAAATATGGTGATTTCGTATATGCCATCGTTAAATCAAGTAACGCATATCTTGCAAAACGGTATATCAGATGCAGCAACCATATCCCAGGTCAGTTAAATCCTCTCGTCATTTCAACCAAGCTGAAAGGAAAAAAGTACTGTGAGGTGTGTTTTAACAATGTCTATCTTTTTTAATTTTCGCGGGAATATGTAATTTGTCTATAGGCTGTTGAACAGTGCATCGATGGATGTTCCAAAATTTACAGTGTCATGTCTACAGCTCTTTTACAATCACTCAATGATAACAACAACGACAATAACATGGACAATAAATTATAATGCTTGCATATCCCTCCAATTAGCTGTATCGACATGCTCCATGTCTCTATGACGCCAGGCATCCGTGTGCATGAATGCGGTAATCATGATCTGGCAGACATCACCATGGGCAACCAACAAAACCGTCTTGTTTTCCATCTTGGCCTCAATTTCATCCACAATAAACTGCGTGGTTCGATTGGCTACGCTGCTAGGCGACTCGATGCCATATTGACTATGTTCACCATGATCAGGACCTTCATTATCATCCTTCCAGCACACCTTGTAGTTATCGTCCGAGGTCATGTCAAACGAACCATAGAATCGTTCGCGTAAAGCTAGATTGGGTGTGGGCTGGGGAGTGACGCCGAGCACTTGGGAAAAGATTTCAGCCGTCTGGCGCGTACGGACAAAGGGAGAGCAAAACACTTTGACTTGATCCTTGTTTACATTGGCGAGATGATCAGCCAATAGTTGGGCCGACTGCTTGACTTGCTCACGACCGCGTTCATGAAGTCCCCAACCCGTGCCTAATGGACCCACATTGGTTGGAATGGCAATGTCTGGGTTAGAACAAATGAGCTTGGCATTGTTGGCAAGCGAAAAGCCGTGACGGGCGATAATGTAGTGGTTCTTGAGTTGTTTTGGCAAATGGTTATATTCTGCTGCTGCCATTGTATGTGTCAGAAAAAGTTGGGGTGAAAAACAAAAGAGAAAAAGTTTATTTACTAGTATAATATAAGCCTAAAATTTTGAATTATTATAAAATATCGTACTAATTTATTGCAGTAAAGAACCCGACAAGCGCAATAACAACACCGAAACTGTTCATCACTTGGTTTTGCGCGCGGTGGCCACTGGATGAAGATGGCGACGAGTTGCTTGGTAGAGCAGACACAGAAGAGCCTGTTGCACTGGGCACGGGTGCAGATGTTGGCACATAGGGACGGATACTGATCGGTACGGTCGTGTTTCGGCCAGCGTCGACAGACTCGAATACAATCTCATAATTACCGGCGGGCGTATCGTTTTGCGGGATGTTGTAGTTATACGAGTGTTCCCAAAAAGTGCGGTTGCTGATGGTGACGATGGATGAAGCGTGTTCGGATACGTCGGCTTTCTGGGCAATGGTGACGGTTGTAGCATTCACATTGACTGGACGCATATAGATATTCAGTTCGAGGCCAGATGAGTCGCCGAGAAGTACATATGTGATGGGAAGCTTTTGTCCGCAGACATAGACACCATGGTCCAGCGGTGAGGTTACATTAAAGTCCTGTGTCGATGTTTGGACCCCACTGGATGCAGCACAGACAGCGGCTGGTAAGACAAGCAATAAAGTTGCTGCTGCTGTTTTTGTGATTGCTGCAAACATGATATGGATGATGATGTGCTAATTATTATTATTAACAAGTGGTAATAAGTAATAGTGGTAATAGATTAATGATTAAGAAAAGAAGAAGAAGAAAAGAAAAGAGAAGGCGGCGGACAAGGGAGGGGGGGTGTAAAGGTACTTTTATATACAAACAGGTAACGGTAGTGCGCAGAATACTTGTTTATACGGGATGGATACAAAGGACAGGATGCTACCTCCCCTTCCTAGTGTCATGGACTTGACTATACCACACACGCAGAGAATAGAAAAAAAAAGGCCATCGGAGGAAGTTCTCTTCCTCCTCTCCCTCAACATCATCCCTCTTGCAAACCCCTTAGTGAAGGGAAAAGAAAGGTATCTGGGAACAACAGCTACAGACCGCGCGCGGAGTAACTCTTTTTTCTATTCATGCTTATCCCCCCCTTCTTTTCTTCTTACTATTCCAGCATATAGTACTGATAAACCACTCCTCTTCTTCTTCTTCACCATCTTCTTCCCCCCCTCTCTCCGCTCCTCGTCCTTCGTTTCGTCCGTTCATGCTTTTCATCAAGAGCGGAATACGTGCACAAGCTTCAGTATTGGCTCACGACAGATAGGGCACTCATTCTTGGACGACACGAGCTATTCAACGAACGTAAAAAAAAAAAGGTCAGAAACAATATCTCTCTCTCTCTTTATACTATCTCATCTGGCAGATGCACATTTCTCGTACAGCCTTTACCTGCTTTCCACAATCCATGCAAGTAACCATGTGTCCACAGTCGAGAAAAACACAGTTCTGTTGACTGTCGCAACAAATTCGACATAGTGAATCGTCTGAAACAGCCGCACTTCCTCCTTCCCTGTCTGCCAATTCCTTTTTCCGTTCGTTCGCTAGTCGTTCGACGCGTGACACCAAGTCGGATTTTTCCAACACATGCGATTGTTCTACGAAATTGGCTTTGAGAATCGACTTGAGTGTCCGTACGGACAAGGAACCGGGTTCAATCTTGGAGCGGATCAGGTCGTCTAGCGAGAGCATGTCATCTTTACGAACTGAAGGTGGTGATGGTCTGTATTGTTGTTGCTCAGCTTGTTGCTGCCTTCTCCTTCGTTGCTCTTCTTGTTCCTGTTGTTGTTGTTGTTGTTGCTGTTGTCGCCGAATTTGCTCTTGCTGTTGTTGCCGAGCATATTGTTGCCTATAGGCTTCTTGTTGCTGACGCTGCTGCTGTCTCAAATATTCTTGCTGTTGCTGTTGCTGTTGCTGTTGTCGTCGATTGTGTTCTTCTTGTTGCCTCTTTTGACTCGTCCCTCCTCCTCCAAAAATGTCGTTGATAAAATTAGAAAACGATGACGCCGCTGTATTTTCCTCATAGGGTTGTTGTCCCTGATGATGCCGCTGCTGCTGTTGCTGCTGCTGAGCTGATGTAAGCGTCGCTCGATGTGTTCGAAAATAAACTTCGCTGGTATTAGAAATGGGCCGAGTATTTATAATGATACGTACAAGGTCGTCTTTCTCAATAGCGCCTTTAGCCGGTAAGTTATAAGCGCTGATATATCTTTTCAATTGTTTCAAGGGCATGGCATGCAAATGCGACGAATTCATTTGTTGCATCTGGATTAGGGTATCACAAGTATTACAGCATCGTACAGGACTTTAATTATCTACAAGTTAGCTGTTGTCCTGAATAAAATAGGCAATTAATGATGGATTGACATACTTGCTGTAGCCAAATTTCGGGAGGGAACGTCTATTGCTCGAACATGGGCCACAAACTACGCTTCCTATTGACACATGGAAACCAGGATTGCTGTTAGCTACACATTCTCGGATGAATGCAAAAGCTATTTGAATGTAGTTGAATATAATTACCACAAGAGAGACAATGGTACTTTGGTTTAAAGAGGCTAAATGGGGCACTACATTCTGTACACTGTTTTGCATTGTGCAATGGCTTTAGTTTTGGGATGGAGAAGACACCTCCAGGTCCGTGCTTTTCTGTCGTTCGTGGATCCAATATGCCGTACTTTATGTGGTAAAAAAAAAAAAAAAGGTAACAATAAGAGAGAAAGAGGGATTCCTGCACACACACTCCCCACGCGCGCGGGAAAAAAGAAAAAGAATAAAATTGATAAAATCTCGAAAGTGCCAGAAAAAAAAAGTTTGTCAGCAGGCAACAAAAAGAGGGAACCAACTGGTTAACTTTTTATGAAAGAGCAACAGGCCGAGACTCTTGGCTTTGGTTCACGGGTTATGTCTGTTTGCATATGTAGTTAGAGAGATAGAACACAAGTAAAATGTGGCTCGTGGGGGTCATGTATAATCGCCTATTTTTGTTACCGCGTATGGTAATATTTGTTGCCAAGTAATACATGCATTCGACCGCACTATGTAGTCCGTCTCAGAAAACAATAGGTCATCAAATTAGATGGTCTCTTGTTAGACCTGAGCTGTGTAATGTATAGGTCTGAAGGAAAGATTTGCATTTGAGACGAACAACTATCTTATCATTATATAGGAGTATACATCTTTAAAAATCACAAGGACCCACTTTGCTTCTGGTATGTTCCAGCAGCATCACGTATTATGTAGAATTGAAATGAGTTGTCATTGTTAAACAAGTGAAAAGACAAAAAAGACATCTACGATAACTTATACTGCCAGGTAACAGCAGTTTTATCTTAATACTCGTTCACGATTTGCATTGTGAAGCCATCGCATAAAAATGGTTTGAAACAGGCATAAATTTTCCTCATCAACCACAACAGGATCGAGCAGTTCAACATCACACGACACCAGCTCTACTTACAGACAATGTGAATCATTTTATATACCCTTGCAATCAGCTCCTTTTCACGTCGTCTCTGATAAATTGATTTGGTAAACAGTTATCCACAACACTCTCCAATCATTTTGGGCTGGGGTCGCTTTATGGACACATACGACATCTTGACCAATGATATAGTTGGGCTTCCCTATTTTTCAACCATGCTCTGATGCACTTGTCCAATTGCCGCAATTACGAGTACCAAAGGTCCACAATGATGGGGCTTATTACATGTTTGTTCGCCTGCTGCATGACCGAGGAAGGATGGATAAAGCTGTGTAGAGCTGCTCAATGACATTAACAAAATAGAGCTACTACAGATTAATAGCGTAAAAGGCGCTACCAATTATACTGTTCTTATTCATCTTGTTCAAAACAAAGAGTCTATCAAGGTCAGTCAATACTTTATATCTTTGCGGTGCAGTTAGATCGGGATATCATTAGAATCTTATTAGATGCAAAAGTCCTCGAGGCGGACGAGTACAATCTCATATGGTATCCCGCTAAAAGGCAGTAGCCCGTGCCTTTTGCATGGTTCTCGATTACTATGAACGTTTACTTTTCCGTTTACTGTGGGGATTACAGCGTTAGCATTTGACAGCGGGTTGTTTGATAATGTTGTCAAACGAAACAGCTAGGCACACAACCCAGCAACATTTCGTTCCCAGCACCTTGAAGTAGTGTACATATGGAAAAACAAATACCATCTGGTTTTATTTCGCATATAAAAAAAAAGAGCAATACCATGAATAGCCGCCTTTCGAGCCTACCACGGCTATGCCGGCGCATGAACCCTATTCGAAATATTCAACAACAACAGCAACGACGATGGCAACAGACGTCCTTACCACCTAAACCGGCCATGACGAGCAATCCCACTCTTGCAGCATTCCAAGTTGTCGGCAAACAAGTCCGAGTAACGATGAAATACACTGCGCTGACAGCGATCTCGCTTGCGCTAGCAACAGCCATTACATGGCAATCCTACCATTTATACATTGAGCACTATTGCGAGCCCACACCTACAGAATTATCGTATCGTGCACGCAATTTACTTCATGGCGCGTATGTTCGAGAACATGTATCGCCCGATTACGCCGTGGCAGCGAAATACGTGCGTCAGGTCCTTGCGCTTGCGCTTGACGATCCGGCACTCGACGAATCGACGTCCGAGATCATCCATCAGTTACGATTGCGATTGGCCGACAATGAGAATCGCGCTGGTCATGTTTTGGAAGCCATTACAGAATACACGCGTGCCTATAAGTTCCGGCCCTCGGTATTTGTTGCCAAAAAATTAGGCGATCTGTATTTGCGTATTGGCGATCAGCAACAAGCTGAACGATTCTTGACGTGGGCGTTTAAGAATGTGCAAGATGAACAACAACAAGAAGATCAGGAGTTGCGGATAACGACACTTTGTTCTTTGGCCAGTCTGTATGCGACTCAGCGACACTATGAGCTGGCTCTCCCGTTGTTGCTGCAAGCATTGAAATCAATGCCGCAGGACGATTGGGTTTGTCACAAGGGTATCATACAAAACCAATTATGTGAGGTCATGTATGGTATGGGCAAGACGGAGGAAGCACTTGGTTGGGCGCAGGCATCGCTCGAGTCGTGTAGTCAAAAGGAAGATCAAGATTGTCGAGAATGCGGTGGTGTTGTTTCCAATAACCTGGGTCGACTCCTCGAGGTAAATATTGTATACATATGTCTCTGTCTGTTTAAAGTTATTAACTTGTATCAAAATATAATTTAGATTAAAGGAGATTTCGACAAGGCATTGACACATTACAAGCAGGCGGTATCGTATGCTACTGCATCCAACGATAGTATGGGGCAGGAACACTACGAAATGAACGTTCAACGACTCAACGAACAACTTTCCCAAAAAGAACATCAAGGTGCTACGACTTTGAGTGCGGTTACCTCGGCCATTGAACCATCACCAAAACCACTCAAGAAGGATGATGCTGCTGCAAGCGCATGGCTCGGCGGTTTATTTGGCAAAAAGTGATTTTACAACATAGTATTAATAGATGTTTATTTTTCTTTTTCTTTTCTTGTAAAAAAAGATCATACAAAGAGAGAGAGAGAGAGAGAGAGAGAGATATGTGTTGTGTTTTGTGTGGGTGCGCATAAATAAAATTGTTTTGTACAGAACTGCGGGGGAGAGGGGGTATATGGAAGAACTACAAAAGACGATAATAATAAAAGGGAACTGGAGACTTGTTAGAGCAGAGAAACAAATACGAGCAAAGAAGGGATTTTGTACAAAGGTAGATGGAGAGAGGGGGGGATAGGATAGGATATTGGAAATGAACGTTTTTAAGGTTGCGTATGTCTCTGAGTGAAGTGATATCTACAACATAAAGTGAGCTTTTTTTTTGTGAGGGGTGATTGGCATATGACGATGAAGTCGATGGTTGTATATGGGAATAATGATGACAATAATAATATAAAAAGAAAATGTGCGTGCTGGAGGTGGTAAGGTTTGACGTGCAAGTGTGATGAAATGTCAGGACACTTGGGAGAAGATTGATAGAGAGGTGGAAGGGGGTTTGCTTTTACAGTTGTTGACGACCAAACTCGGCAAGCACACGACTTTTGAAATCAGTTGTCGAGCGATCCAAAAAGTCGCGTTCTGCGTGAGCCTGCTTGATCTTGCGTGCCAAGAAGCTCTCGGGATCGAAGGCTGTAGCAGCATGTGTTGTTGTTGTTGTTGTTGTAGGTGGTTGGGAGGTAGGCGGTGGAGGAGACTGCGACGCACGTCGTTCGTTGCGATAATGGCCCAGTGACAATTTGATTTCTTCCAACTCGTTGCTATTGAAGCGCTATATACATAAAAGCCATATTAGATCTAAAAACACAAAGAAAATTATCATTCTTCAATCTATACTTACACGGACATCATATCCGGAATCGTGTGCCGCTCGCTATATTACACATAATGAAAGTTTTGTGTTAGCCGAAGCCGAAGGGTCATCATACTAAGCCCTGGAGTTGGGGTCGGTGCTTCGGGGCGAGGAGGTGGGGGTAGGGGGGGGGAAAGGGCTCGAAAAGTAACTGTTTGTGTGTGTGCATGTATACATGGCGTAAAACATGGCGTAAAATAAAAACAAAGTGAAACACTTGTTGTTCCTTACCGATTGTACCGACGCTGTCAGCTGGGTCATTTGCTCAGTAAGCATGCGGCATTTGTCCATGACTTGGGTGCTACGGCAAGCGCCTCCGCTAGACGCATCATTATTATTGATGCCGTTGCCAACAGACGATACCACAAATCCATTGGGCCGTTCGTCGCGAGGCTTAAACGGAACCTGCCGTGATGTTCTCTTGCTGCTGCTACTACTGTTGTTGTTCATGGATGTGCCTAACAATTGCTGAAGTTTGCGCGCAACATCATCGCTTGTCTCGGGGAACATTCTGGATGCTGATGTTGTTGTTGAGGAGGGTGGTGGTGGTGGGGGTGATGGTGAATGCTGCAGGAGCAAATCGTTGTTGTTGTTGTTGTTGTCAAGAAGATCAGTAAACAAAGGAGGGCACATCATCAAAGTTTTTTTTTTTTTAAAAAAAAGGGCGTATTTCTTTATATTACCTTTGCCATTTCCAAATCTTCCAGGCTCAGTGAGCTTCGGGTGCTATGGCTCGCCAGCGAAACCGAATTTGAGAATGGGCCATTGGCAAACGCGTGATTAAAGGATGTGGATGATCGGGTGCTGCTTCGGCTGGAAGGTCGTGAATTCTGAATACATTGCAAGTCAACATTCATTATCACTATTTACTAGTTCCTGGCTACTGCTTTGATCTTTTTTCTTAGAGTCATGCTAGACTTACTGCAAGGTCGAGATCCTCTTGTGGACTAGAAACCATAGGTCGCGGCAAAATGGGTTCCGAAGGCGGACACAACGAAGGTGGCAAACTCTTGCGCTGCATCATCTTGCTAGTCGGTCTTGCTATTGTCATTTGCTGCTTCTGCTTTTGCTGCTGATAAGGTTGATAATGATCAAGCAATGTTGCTGTTGCTGTGGTTGACGACGAGGTTGATTTCGTCAAGCTTCTAGCCAGAGTATTGCCCGAGGATGAACTGGATGTCATGCTGCTAGAGCGGGACCGGGTGGACTTTTTGCTAAATGACAATTTGCCACCTGCTGCTGCTCCACCGTGGATGGGCGAAGAACGTGATGATGCAGGTTTGACAGCACCGCGTGAAGGAGACATGGAGCGTGACCGTTGGCTGCTATTGCCGCCAAGCCAGCCTGGCAGGGTAGGAATGCTGGTGGAGCGAGTGAGGGATCGTGACCGGGACCGGCTTCTCGGTTTGACTTCTAGCTCCTCACGATGGGCGTGCGTGTAGACATCCGATGCTCGTAGGTGTCGTTCGCACAAGAACACTGTGGAATTTTTAAAAAAAAAAAAGAGGGGTTGCGTCATGTCAGTAGATGATAAGAGCATCAGAAAACTTAAAAATAGCGTAGTGTAGAGTGGCAAATAGCGAGGACGGGTCGACGAAGTGGATGGCTCTTTACCATTGTTCCAAAATACACATCCAAAGATATGGTTCGGTTTGCCATCAACATTCACTTGCTTTGGAGCCAATGGAATGCTTTCGAGGATCTCACGGTCTGGGTGTAAGGGGATCTTGCTCCAAATGTGATATCGGAAACCTTGCCGACCCGCAGCTTGCAACACCAACGCCACGATCCATGGCGCAGTACTACCACCACGGAATAGCGGCCGGAGGTTCACCGATGTTTCTTCTTCCACATATACAACGGCAATGTTATGCTTATAGTTTGCATGCGTGTAACTTGTTGTATCGTAAATGTTGCTGTACACGTTGGATTCACACCATAGTCGGTGGTACGACTGGTCATTCGGACCTGAGATGTTGTATGTTATCAGTATCATCTTGTTTACTACGGCTGAGTACTACATGAAGCGAAAGAGGGTACCACACCCCCCACACCCCAATCGTTCTTACCATATCGCTTAGCAAGCGCTTGGGCCTTTTGAAAATCATTGACAAATTCGGCTGTACGCTGCAAACTCTCTTGGTCATTGTCATCATGAGACGCCACAGAGAACAAACGAAGGCCTCTGCGGAAATAATCTTCATGGGACTCGGTTGTAGGGGCGGGGCCACGACCACGGCTATACTCTTGCTTCTGAGTATCGGATGCAAACAATACAAACGAATTGGGAGAATCTGAATCCAAACAATGTGATAGGGTTCCTCTTGGTTAGGTGAGGTGTGATAGATAGATAGAGAGAGAGAGAGACAACGAAATTTAGGTTGAGAACTACTGTTTTTTTTTTACCTGGCGCGCCTTCAAAGATTTGAACCTGTTCAATGTCGATCCATCCTCTAAACTTTAACATTGGGTCTCTTTTCAGGTTCCACATCGGGAAGCTATCCTGACTTTTGCCATTGTCACATAAGTCAATGCCTCTGCACGAATAGTTGGGTCGCTCGGCAATCATGAGTTTATCCGCAAACAAAAACAGGGTCACTGGTCGCTTTGGTTTGCCTTTGACACGATGGATCTCGTCGGCATCCAAGTGGGCAATGAAGGAGCGGTTCTGGTTCACCAAGCTACACTGTTGTTGGGGACAAATATATATACGGGCGCGCGTTAGTTGAGAGAGATCAAAGAACCTGTTAATAAAACAGTTGTTACTTACAGGGGCATTCTTGACAGACTGCTGAAGGACATGACACGTGGTCGCCAGTTTAGTGGCATCATCATCGGCCATGCTTGCAATACCGCATGCTTTGACGTACGCACGCGTCAATGGCATATAATCACGATGTTGTGGCGATGTGTGGTTCAAGATGGCTGTGTCAAGAGCGAAAAGATTTGTAGTTAGTGACCATAGTAACAAGACAGCGAGTTAGCCACAAATACAACACACACATGTGGAGTGAAGGGGTGAAAATGAGGTTTGGGGGGTGGAAATCCTCTTTTCTTTCCTTGTGTTACCTTTAATCATCATTGTATAGCGGGTGATGCGTTGGACTGGTTCCGACAAGAGTTCAATCATACTGCGATTCAAGAAACGACTGTCCTTGTAGCAGATGTCCAGAGACCTGCGATAGGCGCCGTTGTTCTTTGACAGCGTGAGGTGGAGGTTGTGGGCAAACGAATAATTCAGAGCGTAGTATCGGTAGCATTCAAAGTTGACAATCTATTAGGTCCGAAAGGATAAGTAGTCTGTGATTGTGCCCCGAAGGGAGTATGTGGGGTGGGGGGAGATTGATTGGGTTACACACAACGGAAGCAAAAAAAAAAAAAAAAATCCAACACTTACATGACTCGCACAAACTTCGCCAAAGCACACGCCGCCGTCTGCGGCACCACCGTTACACTTTTCAAGATCAGACATGAAACGTTCGTTTGTTTCCAGAATCTCTTCCATATTCAAAAACAATTTCTTGTGCTCGAAACGATCAATGATGGGCTGCTCGCCCTGCCATTCCCGTGTCTGTGGGTTCAGCTTGCGTGCAATCACCTCCACACTTGCCCGTAGTGTCTTGACATACGACCGTTCAGTTTTGAGGAATTCGGCAATATGATAGTGACGTTTTTCGTGATCCTCTTCGTACTGTAGTCGTAGTAGTCGACAAATGCGTCAATGACAATGGATGAGGACAATGATACAAAAATAGTTATTATAACAGCGATAGGCGTAATCATAATGATGATGATGTTGTTTGTTTGTTGTCGTAGATTTTTGGGGTTGGTGAGAATGGCGCAGGACAAGTAAAAAGCAGAAACAAGTGATACGTTAATATATGCATTCCACTTTTTTTCGTTTTGACAGAATGAAAAGATTGAAAAAATATGCTCCAACCTGGAGAGTGTTGATTTCGGCAAGACATTCTGAATCGGTCTTTGCGGTGGCTGTATCGAGGAAGCTGGGATGCTGCTCTGTGCACGGTGCTCCAAGCACCTCGAAAAATTGCTTAAACCGGACTTGGTCGCCTTAATAAAGCAACCAAAAAAAAAAAAAAAAAGAGGATTTTGCATGAGTTGGATAGGTGGTGAATTAAAGAATAAGGAGTGGTCGTCCTCTTTGATCTTTCTTCTTTATATATATATGGCGTCCCAAGTAACTTACGATGCCCGTGATCATTAGGAATGATGATATCCACGCTTTGGCACTGTGTGTTTTGGTTGTTAGTTTCTTTTTTTTTTCTTTATCAAAATCCATTGAGTATACAATAATACGAAAGGACGAGTTACCAATGGCCGCTTTGTGTTCTCTGCGAGTGCATGATAGAGCTCGGACAGCTCGTCTGCAGCCCCATTCGGGCAACGGTGCTCTTGTACGTTTGGCAGCTCGTCCTTTACGAGCTTCCAGTTGTGTGTATACCCCAATTCGCGAAGGGCTGATTCATATCCCTACATTTGCATAAGCAGCACAAAAACCGAACCATCGCCAAACCCCCCAGTGCACATGTGAGTAATTTCTCTCAATCTCTCGTTCTTTACATGGTTGGCTGCTAGCGAACGAGTCTATTGAGGTTGTCTAGCAACCCGTTTCTATGATACGGGGGTGTGCTTAATTTACCTTGAGGGTAGTGGGTGCCATGGAATTGTAACGATGGTAACAATAGCAGTAATAGTAATTTAAAAAAGAAAGAAAAGAAAAGAAAAAGAAAGATTCCCTTTTTATTATTTGCCTAGCGATGAGAAGTAGAAGAATAAGAAGAGAAGAAGAGAGAAAAGGGGAGAGGGTTGCTACCGTGATATAAGGGCAATGTAGGAGGCAATGATGAGGGATGCGCTTGCATTATTTGTTTTGGAGAACAAAGCTGTGGCAAATGCATGCCTCGCTCAACAGTGTAACCATACACGGAGAGAGAGAGAGAGAGAGAGACGACGACGACGAGGGAGAAGCAAAAAGCAGGCAAAAGAGATTTTGGCTTATTGCTGCTTGTTTGGCTGGCTAACTTGGCTGGCTAAACTGGCTGGCTCGGAAGTGATCTATGTTTGGGCTACGTTACGGACAAGCCGATTTTTCGCATTTCTTTGTGCACTGGTCAATAAAAGGGGGGGGGAGAGAGAAGGATGGATGGATGGATGATCGCGTTGGTTGGAAAGAGAAAGAGGCCCAGTGATGATGATGATGTTGATGTTGCGTTGATGACGCTATCCTCCCCCCACCCTTTCCCCTCTCTGACCCCCTTTTCAACTCTTATCGGGTCGCATGCCGAAACGCCGCCGCCCGACGTTGCTATTAGACTAGTAGCTACTGCTGCTTGCTCATCTGTAATAATCATCCATGAGTGAAGTTTTCACAATACAACTTTGGGCGCCATGATTAAACTCTCTCTCTCTCTCTCTCTCTCTCTCTCTTTCATTTCTATAGTAAACTCTGATGCTGTCTCCCCAAGTAAGGTTTTTCGCATTTGGCGTATGTATTTTGTTCGCTCGGAACCTGCGGGACATTGTCCCGATGACCGTGAGTCTGCAATATTGACTTTTGTGGATTGACCCGTTACATTTTTCTTCTTTTTAGTTGAAAAAGCCCAAAATTTGCCCTGATGTCCGGCTTCTCTCTCTTCTTTTTGATATGTTTACAAGTAGGCTGTTGCCACACGATTAAGCATTCAAACAATAAGCGTTGTAATAATATTAATAGTTCGTGCTAATAACAATAATAACAATAAAATAACTGTCGTGCCGCAAGTTTTTTTTTTTTTACTATAACTTCTTTGACCTCTTGAGCCGTCTAGCACGCTCACGTTTACTTGCTGCAGACTTTGACAAGGACATGTCATCTTCCATCTCGAATCCCTCACCAGCCTCTTCTTCTTCTTCTGACTCACTCTCTTCATCTTCTGATGCAGTACCATTGCTGATCCCACTCGCTAATACATTTTCCAGTAACTCGTTCTCCTGCAATATGGAAAGTATGATGTGCGACATGAGTACAACTTTTTTTTATATAAAAATGTGACATGTATGTTTAAAGTGCATATGCCTCTTTCTTGTTTTTTTTTCTCATGCCGGCTACTTACTTGAAGATGCTGTGCAAGGCCTGCTCCTAAGAAGCTTCGGAATGCTGCAAGCATAATGATGCGGGCTTGACAAATGCCACACACACACACGAGTTTATTTACAAGTTAGCATCATCACATAGAGCATCCCCCCCAACCCTTTGTTGATCACCACACTTGTTTTGACTACACGCAAAACCAAGCCTAAAGCATAGCACATCACTTACCCCAGCCCCGGAACAACATGTTCTGGCCACCAATCTTGAGTTTTTGCTTAGGTCGACTGCCTTCTTCCACACTACGTATGATATCACGGAACGCACTCTTTTGCTCTTTGCGATCTTGTTTGTTGACCCGTCGATTGCTGTCTGTAGAAAGTCGTTGGAGCATATCTACCAAATCGTCTATTTCTTCGTATTCTGGCTTGTCTTCTACTTCAAACTCGCTCATCTCTTGAGCCTATTTTGGTAGTAAAAAAATATAAGTATGATCTCTTACTCGGAATGTACAGGAATGGGTCATTGTCCGATGAAGAAGACTTGTGACAGCCAAGGGATAGCAATAATGCCCTCCCGAAGAGCAATAACAATGATAAAACAAGGGAAGAGGGGGGAGGGGATCTATTGAGTTGCTGTTGTCATTGTTGTTGAGATCTTACATGCTTGTGCGACACCTGAACACAATCGAACATCAATGCAACGTTTTCTCCGGCAGCGACGCGGTTTTCTTTAGATGTAGATTCCAAAAAGTCTATATGAGCCGGCATTACTCTATAACAAAAGCATGCGTTCTATTAGATCGATTGAAGGACCACGTGAATATCTCTGTTGTTTTTACCCTTGCGATTCATCCCATGCATCCTCCCAGGTTCCGCGTCCGTCACCAAACAGGGCCGCGTATAAGAGACCATAGGCACGTAAGCTGGTGCACAAAAGCTCATCCATAGCACCTTGCTTTAGCTTTTCATCGGGTTGAAGGCTTTCACCATTCGAGATTAGAATTTTGAAGAAATAATCGAGGCCGCCTCTGGTATCCGCATTTGAGGCGGCGATCAACGTAATCAATGCAAGTGTTTCAATGCACTACACATGTATCGTTATTTTCAAAGATAGGTCAATGTGTCATCATGTAATGCATGTGCAACAAACTGGGCAGCAGGGTCCCCTTTTATTGCGGGGCACGAAACTAAAGATAAGGACCTACCTGATGTTTTAACCGCACATCCAATGCATCCGTGATAGTATTCTTCAACAGTGACAATACCATGCCAAACAGCTCTTCTTGCTCATCCCCGTCATTGATAAACACCAGTCCAATTCCCTTGGCTGCGAGAATCGCTTCCAAAGTACTGCCTGGTTTTCTAAGCGATCTCACCAGAAGCTGTAACATGGCTTCTTGACTGGATGGATTCGATTCGAAAAAATCTCCACAGTAATACCGTGCCAATAAACGATCCAATTTGGTCAATGCTGCCTCTCGTACACTGCATGTACATATTGTAATAAACTATTATCTCAGTGGTGGTCTTTCTATAAAATTACATGCCATCTTTTTTTTTTTTTTTTTTTGGTAGATATACGTTTATAATACCTAGTACGTTTTTCACCTAAATCATCCACACAGTGGCGTAGTTGGTCGTCGACAAGTGTTTCTTCGTCAGCAGCAGCAGCAGCAGCAGAGATAGCAGAGATTTCAGAAAGGGAATCGTCAGCTTCGTCTTCAGATCCTGCACGACTCGACGCTGGTGTACCCAGTTTGTCTAATGCTGCCATTCGAGTCTGTTGTTTGCCTGCTTTTTTGGCTAAATTGCGTGGCATTTTTTTTCTTTTTTTTTTATGAATTAAGGATTTGTAAAGTAAAAAAAAAGAGGGTAAAGAGAGAGAGAGAGAGACAGAGAGATAGAAACTGAAAGAACTAAAATAAAAATAACGGACAATAACAGCGGTCTAGCATGTATAGCAGGTGCAAGCCATTTCCATTTTGAATGACGTAAAAGTGTTTTGGTTTATACAAGGCTTTTTAATACTTGTTTTGGGTTCATTCCAAATTCCAACTCAAATCGTAATTTACAGTGCATTGAATGGTGCAAAGAAGTATCGTCAAGTCAACTGAACAAGCGTGTGGGAGTGCGGGTACACATTAACACGAAAAGAGAGAGAGAGAGAGAGGAGAGAAGGAGAGAGCATGCGCGTGGTGGGGCCCGAACGCGTGAGAAATCAAACAGAAATTTGTGTGTTTTTTTTAGGGTGTCACCACCACCACCACCACCAAGCAACAACCCCTTCCCCATTAATGCCCAAAACAACCACACCCAGGCTGTAGTATTGTTATTTTCGCGATCACCAGATAATTCAATTACCCTTCTCTGTTTCCCGCCCTTTTTTCTCTCTCCCTCTTTCTCTCTCCCTCTTTCTCTCTTTCTCTTCACACACACACACACGCACACACACCTTCCCCCACTTTTTCCACCAAAGAAGAACAAGTAAGAAACCATGACCAAAGCACCACTCACACCGCCACCACAAGCAGAAGAAGAAGAAGCAGGAGGAGGAGGAGGAGTACAGCACCGCAAACCATCCGTGTCGTTTGACTTGAGCAATCTGCCTGCGCCAACCACACCATCAACAATGACCCTCGTGGAAGAAGCGCTGCTTTCACCGACCCGATCCATCGACATTGCAGCACACGCAGTGCCAGACACCATCTGTGTCTCACTGCTGGACCGTGACACTGAAATGCGACACCTGGTCGCCCACAATGCCCCGCTCTTCAACACCCTGCGCTCACACTTGTTTACAGACTGGCCGCGCTTTGAAAACACCCTGTACGTTGCTCGACAACAGCTGGACGATGTCGAATGGATGGCTCGCATATCCAAGGCATTGCAGCCCGTCCCTTCGCTACTACAACAATTCCGCGACCTGGTCGGCTATATACCCCATGATGATACGCCACCAGAAACAGCAGAAACAGCAGTGGATCTACTCCTATTACCGCATTCGCCAGCACCAGAGCACCAGCGACGAGCGGACGAGGAGTTTGATCATGTCGACATCACTCGCATCCGCCAGCAACCCGATAAACTCAAAGATTTCCCGACGCACTATCCACAGTTCTTTGTCAACTGTCAAAACAGCCTGCGGAATCACCACAGCAAGGATGACGGTGCGTACCAGAGGTTCACAGACACGCTGTTTGCGGCTCCTTCCGCTGCATTGCCGGATGATGTGTGGGAGATGAAAATATACAATCAGTTGGATCCATATCCCGATTTGGTTGCCCAGCTGAAAGAGATAATTGCCTATGAAACTGAACAACAACAACAGCATTGAATTTCTTCTTAAACCTCCCTCCCCCCCAAACTGCCCTCAGTGAACAACTCTTGCTCTCTTTTGAAACTGAACACTCCCAGCCCCCCCCCCCCTTATTTCAAGCATTACATAAATAAAAAGTTGCTTATGGAACAAACGGAATGGCGCAAACCGTATACTTACATTGACCATTTGCAAGGTGCTAGTTCATGTCTAGAAGAAACTGTGCAAAAGGTAAAACTAGCAAACATTACAGCCTCCTTTACAATTGATTCTAAAAACATGTGTATAAGCTCGCAGCATCGGTTAATCTCCTAAATACATCGACACAAGGCTACAATCGGTTACATAGAGTGACACAATTTGAAGTGGTACGATGCCAATGTGTAATGCTTTTTTTATTAGAGGTCACTCACACAATAAATGGGTAGCATTCAGAAGTCATTCCTGTCCAGGACATTCGCTACGCACAGAGTGAACTTTACAGTAAGCGCTTGCCCGAAATCGAGGCCTTGTTAACACGAGCCGATGCCAGCATCAAAGCACTTGAGAAGGAAGTACACGTGTGGGAGTCCAAGGTAAAAAAAATACACGCGTTCGCGTCTCAAAGGGGTCTATGGTGTGCGTAATAATTCTCACAAACAACAATCCACTAGGTAGAGGAACAAAATACACATATCAAGGCATTGGAAGAACAGATCGGACCGCAGGAACAGGAACATCAACGAAAAAGACAACGAAAACACCCACAGCAGCAGCAGCAGCAGCAGCAGCAACAGCAACGGCCCTCATCATTGTCATTCCAACCCTTACACAATCTACAACAAAAGAAAAGAGCGTTTGAGCAGGAACTCGCGTCCTTGAAAACACGTGTCGATCGGAAACGAGCAGAATGTCAAAACCTTCAAACTGAAAGAGGTAAAATGTCTTTAAGGTTTCTTTATGCATCACTGTGTGCGGGAAAAAGATGAAACTTTCTTTTCTGATCGCCATAACATAAAATTTTTTAATTTCACATTTATAGATAAAGCTCAAGCAACAGCAGCAACTGAGGAGGCAACAGCAGCACAAGAAGAAGAAGAAGCTGCAGAGACATCTTCCGCTAGTAGTGCTGTTGTGAATCACGCGGTCTCTCAGACAAGTGACCAAACAATGACAACAGAGGTAAGGATAAAAGAAGAACTCAAAATTAAAATAAAACTCAAATGTTTGAGGTGGGGGTGCGGTGGGTTGCATGTTGTAGGAGGATGTCCATACGCTCAAGCAGATCAAGACGCTGTCCAAACTCCTTTTCCCTGCCGAAGCATCCGCGATGGTAGCACAACTACTGGATCAACATGTAAAAATCGAATAACCCCATAATAATTTGAGAAATGAAATTGCGTATGTATATAAAAAAAAACTTTGTATTATGTTACAGATTAAAATGAAAAAGAGCGAGAGAGGAGGAAATGTGTGTGTGTGTGTGTATGTGTTTGGAGAGAAAAAGGAGGCAAATTAATAGCGCTTGATGATAACGCGTTGTTCAGGATCGTATGTATAGTGCTGGCGTTGGAAGAGGGATGAGTTGAGGAAGGGCTGGATGTCGTAGATTTGCATTCCACGTGCCTAGTAGTAGAAGAAACACACGTCAATGAAGACCCACATTACACCATATGACATGGATACACAACAACCCACGATGACTTACCCTGCTTTCAAGATCTTCGACATCCACCTTGGCTTCTTCAGGCAGTTGCTGACGTCGCAGCTGGTACAAACGACGTTTTTCTCGGCAAATCGAGTTCAGCGTGGCAAGTAACAACTCCTCGCGATCTTGTGTGTTTGTGGTGTATCGTCGGAATCTCTGTTGTTTCACATGCATTTGTTGTTGTTGTTGTTGTTGTTGTTGTTGTTAGTAAGTATGTATGTAACTCAACAACAATTATTTTATATGAGTGTGTGAAAAAACAACAACAGTAGCTTTACCTTTCTCAGTGCTGTCATCATGCTGAACTTTTGAGCACTGATGAAACTGTCAAGCGTCACCTTGATTGCCATATCCACATCATCCGAACGCACGTATTCACGCAAATGCATCTTTGCATGTGCCTCGGCTAATCGCACCATGGACTCCAAATGACGTACGGTAATCGGGATACTGCCGCTTGCCAACGACTCTCGGCGAAGTTCTGAATAGAGCTGTGCAAGCTTGGCCTCATCGACCTGATGAAGTTTAGGCTGTATCTGATCACGTGCATACATGATGTATTTGCGTAAAATGTCTTGGGGGATGATTTCTGGATCTTCGTCCGTCGGCTTTGCCACGTCGAGTTGACCGTCGAATTTGGGATGCGAGCGGATGTGGCTGCTGATCACATTGGTTGCCAAAAGGTGATCCTGTTCAGGTTCGACACTGTCCTTGACAACGCACAGCACGTCGAAACGTGACAGGATGGGTTCGGTCAATTCAACGTTTTGTGAGAATGGAATCGAGGCATTGTAACGGCCGCGGATAGGATTGGCGGCGGCAATCACTGAGCATCGTGCCTGTAGTGTGGTGACAATACCAGCTTTGGATATGGAAATCGATTGTTGTTCCATGGCTTCGTGAATGGAAGTTCTATAGGGTTGTTGTTGTTTTTTAGGTTCATCATGGATCCGAGAGCCGTTTTTTTAAGTTGACTTGTACTTATGCATATCAAAACATCTCAGGAGATCCAAAAAAAACAAAAGGACAGTGTAATCTTTTTTTTTTTTACCTGTCGGAATCATTCATTTTGTCAAACTCATCAATCAGACAAACACCACGGTCAGCCAAGACAAGAGCACCACCTTCAAGGGTCCATTCGCGCGTGATGGGATCCTTATGCACGGATGCAGTCAAACCAACGGCACTGGCACCCTGACCCGTTGTGAACACAGCTCGATGCGCAGTCTTTTCGACATATTTCAGGAACTGCGACTTGGCCGTACCAGGATCACCCAGCATCAAGATATTAGCATCACCACGGATCTGATGCTTGCCTTGGATGTTCTTGGGCACACCACCAAAGAGAGCCAGCGCAATGGCACGCTTGATATCCTCGTGACCGTAGATGGAAGGAGCAATGCTCTTCATGATCTATATGGTAAACCACCCCATAGAACCAACGGCACGCGCGGTTAATGATCTCCCCCGGTTCCATCTTTCGGATAATTCAAGTTCTCCCACCCTCCCATTAGCAACAAAACATACCTTGCGACCAATACGCTTGTCCTTGCCCATCTCGTGAATAATCTTTTTGTCATCATCCGTAAGTCTGTATGCAGCAAACATATCCTCCTTCTTGTTGATATAGTTGGCTTCAATGATGGTTGCAAAGACGGGGAAACCGTTCTTGGTGCTCAGCGAAGCATCAAAGTTGTTGCGATAGACACCAATCACTTCCTATAGAGTGTTAACTACAAGTCAGAAGTCTTTTTTCTAGTAACACCCTCATCCAATCGTTTACCATCACTCCCTTCTTTCAAACTTACAATTTCTTCACCCGGTTTAGCTTGATCAATCAAATCCCACAAGCAAATGACCTCTCTGTGACGAGGAAGACGACCAGGAGGAACAGTGCCGGGACTTTCTTGAATAGTCAATTTTTGATAGTTTCTGTACACCGTCTAGTAAATTTCAACACATGTCAGAAAAAAAAAAATTCAAACGATTTTCTCTCTTTCTTTTACCTGTTCCATGTTGACAATGAAAGGACCCTTGCTCTGACAGCTGGGACAAGTACGGATCTTGATTTCATTGTGGATATCTTGATAGAAAGGACCCAAGAGCTCGTTACATTTACCGCAGTTGTACTTGACCCACTTTAGTTGAGGGAAGACGCCCGTTCGACGGGTGACGACACCAGAGACACGGACAAGACAATTCAACTGACTCTGACGCAGCTCACGAAGCGTGTTGATGGTGGGCAAGTCTGTGATACGGATATGGATTTCACGATGAATGCGCTCGTATTCAGGGAACTGCAGCAACGTGACTTCCAATGCAACTTCATCAAAGATTTTCAACATGGCAATAGGTGAGTTGGCCAAAAAGTAGGCCAAGACAGGCTTGCTTTGAGTGAGTTGTTCATAGTTCACCTCGAATGATTCACGGTTACCTAAATGATCCTCAAAAATTTGTTATCCTATGTACAAGTAATCTTGTTTGTTTTTTTGGGTATATAACTTACGTTCACCCATATCTCGGATACGTTCACCGTACACAGAAGTACCGTTTTCATCGACGTACGTTTGCAAAAAGTTCTTGAACTCTCTCTTTGCAGCGCGTCGAGGTGCTTCCAAACTGACCCATTCACCAATTGTGGCATTCTTCACGTTACGAAGATCCTCCATTGACATTTCAGGCTATATATAAATCAAACGCGGTTAACATCAAAGGGGGAAATGATACATGTATACGTTTCAAAAATATTAAAAATAAAAGGACACACTCACCACAGAATCATCCAAATCATTCATATCGTCCATATCATAGTTGTGTCGTCTACGAGGTCTAGCTGTCAACAAGGGCTGATCACCCTCTTCGTCGTCCAAACCGTCCAGAAAAGCACCAGCAATGCGACCCTCACGGCGTCGAATCTCAGCATCACGTCGTCCAAGTTGAGCATCGACGCGATTACGCGTGGCCAAGTCAACAGGGTCGTATTCTTCGTCATCAATGCCGCGATTTTCATAGCGATCCAGTTCAGGGTTTCGTACATAATCCCTAATAGTGTTAACGTGTAATTTTTTTTCATGAGTTTTTACTTGTCCGTCACAAGTTTTTTTTTTTTTGTGTGTTGTACTGTTTCCAGGTACAACAGCTACGTAGGTAGATTGTAATAACAAGGAAAAAAAAACCAACTTACTGTTCCATGTTTTGACCAAACAAATCTTCACCGTCGTCGTCGTCAGAATCATTGTGTCTGACAATGTCTTGGTCGTCATCCTCAATTTCGTCTTGACGCACGTCCACTTCAGAGAAAAAAGGTTGTGGCGATGAAGGTGGGATTTCTGACTGAGCCAAATCGGTCATTGGCATGGGTGAATCCGCGCCCAGATCGCTAGGACGGTTGCTGAAACTATCTCTTCTACGTTTACGATTATCGGATTGAGACTAAAAGGGCAAGGGAGTAAAAAAAAAAGTTAAAGATTTGGGGAGGATTATAAAAATCTTTTGAAAATCGTAAAGAGTTCTTACCATTTTATAGGTTTAAAAGAAAAAAAAAAGGAACCAAAAACCAAAAAAAAACGGACGCGTTTTTCGCGCCTCGTTTTTTTTGGCGTACAAACTTTTTTTTTTTTTAGTTGACAGTCAAATTTGACAGCCAATCAAATATCTAGTAACGCCCGAAAACATGAAATTCATAAAGGGAGTGGTGGCAGGTAATTATTATTATCATAAAAGGAGTCATACATACAACCATAAGTTTCATACAAAAACAAGAGGAAGATAATATTACATAAAAGAGAAAGGAAAAGGGTATGATATACTGTGATGGAGCTATGATTTTTAAAAAGATAAAGGATCAAGGGGATGATCATGTTGTTGAATAGCCGTTACCGGTACTGTTACTGCAACATAGTCCCTGTCCTCCACTAGGTCGTTGGTGGCGACTCAATGCATCTTGTCGAGCAAACGCCTTGTTACAATGGTGGCACACATAGGCCTTGACTCCCGTGTGTAGCTTGGCATGTCTATTCCGATCATGTTGACGAGCAAAACGTTTTGGACAATGAGGACAAGAATAAGGTCGTTCCGCTGTATGTGTTCGTTTGTGTGATTTTAAATTGTACGGCCGTGTAAACATTTTGTTACAACCTTCAAAATCACATTGATAGCGTGGATGATGATGATGATGACTACTATTGCTTTTAGTAGGAGCAGTAGTAGTAGTAGTAGTAGTAAAAGTGGTTTTGGTGGTGATACTACCACTATCAACGTCAAGATCATATTCATTGTCACTTTTGCTGGATTGACTTTGGTTGCGCTCGGTGACAGTTGTGATAGCAGTAGTGGTAGATGGGTGCTTCCTCCTTGCCCTTCTTTCATTGGTTTTACTATTAGAATATGAATTGTTCATTGTTGCTGCTGGTGTGTTGGTGAAGCATAGGTTGAGCAGGTTGGATGCATAGGGTAATGGTGCTTTTTTCTTGATTCTTGGTGGCTTGGTTGTGAATACTACTGGAGGAGAAGAAGATGACGACGACGACGATGATGTCAGCGAGGGTACATTGATGGGTGGTGACGGTGGCGACGAGGAGGATGATGAGTGCAAAGAAGAAGACATTGGCGTTAACCCATCAATGACAAAATTCTGTGATGGTGTTGATGATTGCTGCGCAACAGCAAAAGTAGTAAGGAACGGACTGTGCTGCACTTGTGGTTGGATATGTTGTTGTTGTTGTTGCTGACAAGCATGTTCATGTTGTTGTTGTTGTTGTTCTTGCTCAGCAGCCACAGCAGGAGGTGGAATGTAAAACGTGGGGCTCGACAGTAGTGACAGAAAGTAAGTTTCGTCTGATGAAATCGGCAAAAGTGAGGTTTGCGCAACAAGTCCGTGCATCATTCAAGCCCGCATACAGAAAAGCGGCGGTAGTACTAGCAGTAACAGAGCAAAGAAGTCAAGAAGAAGAAAAGTAAAAGAGAGAAGTAGAGGGAAAAGAGAGAAAGAGAAAGAAAGAGAAGAAGAGTAAAATGGGGTTTCATCTTTTAAAAATAAACGTTTGCTCGGTCTCCCCACATGATGTGTGTTGTGTTTCTCTCTTTTTGTCAGTCCCTCATTCACTCTGTCTCTGTCTTTCTCTCTCTATTACGCACGCACCCTCTCTCTCTCTCTCTCTCTCTCTCTGTTTGTTACCGCCCGCTCGTTTTGGCTTGCGCGCGAGACTGGTGTGTGCGTGCGAGTGTGTGAGGGAGACCGAGAGATAGATCAGCTTTCGCGCGACCAGAACGGTATTCGGGGGTTTAATGTGGGGTCCCTACCTCTAATGTCCATAGAGCAAATGCGCAGCATGGGCCTTACTGTTTTGAACATGCAGTGTACACCTGGCCGATATACCACGTAAGAAAATTTAAAAGGAGGTATCATGAAAAAAAAAAGTTATACTTTTAGGCTTAGCAAACGTTAAGTGTAGCAAGAAGAAGAACAAGAAGAAGAAGGTTGCAAGGAGGCAGGCTGAATTTGCAGATGGAAAAGATACTTCTCCCCGTCCATCATCGTTTCTTTTAAAAGTATAGACAGCCTCACACTAAGATGGATGATAACGCTGTTTACTTGTGAGTCATTTTCAAAGACCTGGCGTGATTTTGAGAATAAGATAGTGGAAGTAGTACAGGACCTATTATGGACATGACTCGATCCAACGAATGGGTTTTTCTTGGGGAGACAGCAGCCAGGAGCAGCAGGCTCTGGAGCACACATACAAAGGGGGGGGGAGGAAGGTTATCCATACAGCCGGTGCTTTCGGACGTCGTACACAACCCACTCTATATCATCCACACAGCAGCCATGTGTCACAAATAGCGCTCACTCCACCATCCAACCACCCGTACTGTGAAATCGTTCGAATAGGGAAAGGAGCAGTGTTCAAAGCCAAAGAGGAAAAAGGGAAAAGCATTGAGTTTCCTAGATCACAGTTAGACTTCGTATCGTGGTAGATTCTGCTTCGTCCCCCCTCGCGCGTGCGAACGCATGGAAAGACACCGTTTTAAATTGTTCATTTTACGTTGCAACATGTGGAACGTCTCGTCGGCGATATTAACAAGAGATTAAGAGGAAATAGATCGCTGTTGATACAGTCTTACCGCGCTAACCCTCTCTCTCTCTCTCTCTCTCTCTCTCTCTTTCTTTCTCGACTACCCATCGTTCGCTCGCGCGATCGGTGACAGCTGGTGTAACTTGTTTCACATGTACAAACCTTCAACGTCTACACTGTACACAGTCTATTTTGTGGAGTTGTCGTACGTCAACCAAGTATTATGCGTGCGCGCAACACAATACCACCCACCCCCCCTCTCTCTCTCACGTCGTTGCATGAGTATCATTGTAATCAACGGTGTATACTGTACGTAGCAGCAGTCATCATTTCCTTCAAAATTTTCTTGATAGATCACTCCGATGATTATGCTGGTCTGTTTTTCGCGCGAGTATAAATCCGATGTACGTCGTACATATACTATCACGATAACACCTACAGCAGCAATCAAACATGCATACAGTACATACACAAAGAAAAAAAAGAAATGATTAGCGATATAGCCCTTTTGTCGTGTCATCCTACTGATCTCTTTAATGTTGATATATCCAAAAAAAAGCTTCTCCAACTTATGTTTCTTCTTGTTGACTGCTCATCAAACGAATGACATGTCTTTGTGCTACATACCTTAGTAAAGTGGAACCGGTCATCTCGCGTATTAGTAATATGGACCGGCCACCAATTTTATGCAAGTCTATGTATTATTATTGATCTGTGCGTATCATATGTGCACGGCAAGTTTCTGTTTGCCTTGGGTTCATTAGCCTACGAATGACAGTAACCTTAAAAGACAAATACATGCCTACGATGACGAAAAACGTACCACCCACATAGTGGGCGCGTGTGCACGCCATTACAAAACACTTTCAAAAACCTGATGCTCTCGATGCGGATCGTTTGGCCGTCGCGCCATATACAAACTATTCAACCCATCTAGGATCCGGTTCCTTTTTTTTTTTCTTTTGATGCACCGCATTTTCCCAGACATAAATAAACACCAAACAGAATCTGCTTCCATTTTCTAACGGATATCCCACGGAGCAAATCCATACACAATTTGATAACTAATCAAATCATTCACACGATCTGTACACGTAAGCCTTTAATACTATCCGCACTCGTTGACGAAGCACCCGCTTCTTTTCTTCGAACGTGTCGTAAAAAGCTAAGAAGAAATACAGATTTCTTTTTAATATGGTATATGTAAAGTGGCCGGCGTTGACAGATTGATTTGGATCGTGTTTTACACATGCAGAGTCCCAGTACTACTCGGGAACCGAAAGGCCAACGTAAAAATCCCCAAATACAAAATTAGGTGATGCTGTGAGGCGTAGGGAGATGTCTTTTTCCTATTTTAAGCTTTTTAATGCGCGACTTTGTATCGGTCATCTACATGTATACAAATGGGTCGGCAGAATTCAATAGCGCAACAAGACCATAACCTTTTTTAAAAAGTTGCAGAGGCAGTGTTTATCCTCTTTTTACTTAATCTTTCACTGAAGCCTTTTCTTCCCATGGTAGATATAAACAATTTTTCACGATCAACATCATGCATTGTTTTTACTACGTATTTATCCGAATTTCTGGTAATATGACCTTCCACTTATGTTGCCAACCGCGTGTCCCCGGATCTGTGCAATTTAAGCATGCACCCACATTCCATCATTGGAAAATAGTCACCGAAACCCTTTTTTTTCACATATCATATCTGAAAAGAAAAAACTTCAAATCCAAAACCGCTATATGATCCCCATCCGCTGTTGTATATATATAGTCACCGTGAAATCTTTTGTATCGCAACGAGTAAATTTTCGGATCACATCGATAGGCTGTTGATATCAAGGAACACAAAAATCCGGATGGTTGAGGATGATCACATGGGGGTGGCGGCGTATATATGTCAAATAAGGTTGTTGCTCTCAATAACTAATTGAATTCTTAACTGTTTACCCACCCACCAGGCAAACAGCGCTGCTTTTGATTACATATGCTCACGCAATCCGCCAAGTAAGTCAATCCTTGCAGAATGTGTCAATAGTATCATCATGCCGAGACTGTATTTTTACAACCTACATGTGTGCCTAAAAGCTCCACGAACGATCCCTGAACTTTACACACATATGTATGTATATACCAACCAACTCGTTTCTCTTTTTCCATTAACTTATACGTCATGAAAGACGCCCAGCAGCTAGTGTGCCTCGACTTTTTGGTAGCATATGCAACTTTCCTACAATCATTATCATCACTCTATGTACATTGATACTTGAGGTGATAGTGATAATATCCACTTACAGGTCATCCTTGCTCAGTAAAGAGTTTTTATAGGCGATCACTTTGGCAATTTCATGCGTATCATTAATGAGCAACTATTCCGGCATTTCGTTATTTCAGCTCTTATACATAATATACATCCACTATTGTATGGGCTCGATTTTACATTGTATAAAGAGTGTCAAGTTTCAGCGTTATGTAACGTCGCTTTTGAAGCCTTCAACAGCCTACTTTGAAAGCTTTCCAGAACACTGTAAAGTTTTCAAAGAAGCATTATATATACAGTATATTACAAAGATGAATCCGGACGTATGCTGTTATTATATTGGTTATATAAAGTGATCTATTTTGAAAGCATCTCTATATACCACCGCCTTTCTTATGCACTTGCGTAAAATATAGAAGCGTCATCTGTGTCTTGCTCATTCCCATGTATATTAACGAGAATGTAGAGCATCATAAGGGATCTTTACATAACAGCTATGTAATCCTTACTGATACATAGCATGTTAATAATCATTTGTACTTGGATTCTGAGAAATACTACATGTAGTAGGGTTCAATGTATCACGCCAGTCAATTATTTCTTGGCAAATCTATCTACCCAATACGCATGAAATACTTGGAACTATATACAGTATCATGCTCCGGTCTTGAGCAACAATGATACCTGCTTATCATACAATTTCAATTCCTTTCAGGCGCTATTTTTACGAGCATCAGCCACCATTGATGTATATTTTCTGGGGGGATAGTGACCTTTTTATTATTCATGCGTACCATGTTCATCAGTTTTTCTTCCATTTATTAACTGCTACTATGCTAGTCATGGTCATAATCAACAAAGCGCCGAGAACACTTAAAACGTCAGGGTATTCATCAAAGAAACAAATTCCAAAGATGAACGCAAATACAATGTCGTTCATACACATGAGCGTTGCTGGCCCAGCTGGAGCTAATTGAACTCTATATAGCAAATACATATAACAAGATGAGTATGATATTAGTGCACACATGCCCTTCATATAGTTCAAATTAATTTGAGTAACAGCTTCTTTTATAGCTGTAGTATTTACCCTAGATTCGCCAGACATTGATAGATAAAAGCAACGAAACCAACGGAGAGAAGTAGCAAATAGTCCTTGTAGCTTGTTGGCATTACAAAATCTTGGATTCCGAATAGTACAGCTGGGAAGCTCACGAAGCACATCATATATCCTGTGGACACTGCAAGCGTCAAAAAATGGCTCTTGGTCCCGACCTTTCGAACGATCGTGTAGGTAAACGAAGCCGTAATGGCGGAAAGAAAAACAATGCACGTCGCCAATGTCGTCGTACTGTGGTTGATCTCTTCGTGTTGGCCATCATGAGTAGGTGTTTTCTCGCCAGGAGTTCCGTCACTGTCGCCAAACAGTATATACGGCTTCGATACCAACGCTGCACCGACCATGCATAACGCTGCAGACGACGCCTCTAACCACCCATACGGCTCGCCGAGGAACAGAGCAGCTAAAATGCCCGTCATTGAGGGGTATAAATAGATGATAACTACACACAAAAAGATGACACATTGTTCCCTGATTAACTAGAAATTTGAGCAATAGATTTTTGCTATAGAGTGTGTGCTGTCTATTCAAGTTTCTGTTTTTTTTTTTTTTTTACCTGTCACTTCTGCCAATGACAGGTACGGCATACTGTAATAAAGACAGACTACGCTCAAGGCACCGAAAAATCCACGCAACGCAACCCATCGACGCACACCGGACGGACCCGATGGCTTAACGCCGAGCAAGCAACAGCCCAAGACGCCAAACAAAGTCTGAAGAAGCGATCGTGCAAAAATGATTTGCAATGCCGGAAATGTTAAACTGCACCATTTCACAAAGACGGAATGGGAAGCATGGGCTAAAGATGCCAAGAGCATAATAAAAAGCCCGAGGGTTTCCCGCCTTATGCCTAGTGCCAATAAGCGAAGCGTTGTTGTTGTTCTTGTGCTGTTGCTGCTTCTATCCAACGTTGATTGCCATGGTAATGATAATAATGGTCTGGTCTCTTCTTGGTGTTGTTCTTGGATACGAATAGCTGTTCCTGATGATGACGAATCTTGGTACGACATTTGTGATTTTGTAAAAGGTGTACAAGGTTAAGGAGCTCGTTGCACATAAGCTTCTTAGGTATTGACTTTAATCCAGCTAAAGATCGCTCCCTCGCATCACCGCTCTCGCGCATGATATTCGTCCAAGGTGGAGAGCAGAATTTTGGTGTGATGTAATTGCATAAGATGCTAGAAGGGCATCCCAAAAATTCCACATGCTGCTTTTGTGTTTTTAACAGAAATAGTTGCATCAAGCTTAATGCGAAACATAAACAAAGCTCACCCCTAGTACTATTTATTGATGGCTACCACACTACTAGTCATTACAATAATCAAGATGGCGCCAATGATACTGATGGCATCTGGATATTCGTCAAATAAAAGGATGCCAAAAATAAATGCAAAGATGATATCGTTCATGCACATAAGCGTTGCTGATCCAGCAGGCGCCAACTGAACACTGTATTGTTGTTGTTGTAATTAATTCATGCACAAAAAAAAAAGAAAAAGAAAAAGCAATTGTTAGTATACATTTTTTTTCTTCATGATGCACGATTGTCAATTGGGTATCTTATGCTTTGTTTCTCGATTGATAGTACGTTACCCTAGATTCGCTAAACACTGTTGCGCTGAAGAAGCAATACCGATCGAAATGAACTTCATCCAGCTCTTCAAGTCGTGGGGAAACACGAACGCTTGGAACCCAAACAAGGCGACAAGAAGGCTCACAAGACAAAGAAAGCATCCAGTAACAAAAGTCAAAGAGAAAAAGTGAGTGCGAGTGCCTACTTTGCGTACAGCAGTATATGCTGAAGAGGCAAAAAAGACACACAGAATTGCTGTTAACGCTGCAATTGCAGTATTATTGCTACCATCATTCGAGGGTTGCTTCTTGCTGCTGCTGCTACCGAACAGTATGTATGGTTTAAAGACGAGTACTGCACCCACCATGCACAAGGTTGCAGATAGGGTGTCCCACCATCCAAAGGGTTCACCAAGAAAAAGTGCTGCCATGATGGCTGTCAGCGTAGGGTACAGGTAGATGACGACTATCCATCATATAAAACACATATATCGAAACACCATTGTGTTAGTTTTACAAAAAAATACAGCTTAAATCTTCAAAATGAAAGATGTACTCTTGATTTACTTGTAGTTTCTGCAAGTGGCAAATTTGACAAGCTATAATAGAGACACGCAGCACCCAAGGTGCCCAACAGACCAGAAAAGACGATCCAGCGACGTACTCCTGGCGGACCCAATGGGTTAGCTCGAACCCACAGACATCCCACAAGGCCGAGTAAGGTTTGAAACAGGGATCGTGCAAAGACAATCTCAAATGATGGGAAAGTGGAACTGCTCCATTTCACTGCGACTGAAGCACATGAATGAGCGAATGAGGATAAGAGCATAACGAATAATCCAGTTGTTCCTAATGACCTGAGATGGCGCGCCGTTGCCGTGGAATCCTCTTGTTGTTCTCGCGACAGCAGTGGTCTGGTCTCCTCTATTTGTTGGATACCGGCTGCTGTTGTTGCCATGTCTTGTTCTGCACCAGGCATTGTTAAGGGTATCCCTTTACAGAAGTAATAATAAAAAAGAGTAACGCGTGATCTGTAATATGCAGTCATGTTATGTATCGAATCTTAGCACCATGCTATCTTTATGCAAAAAGGTGGCGTTTCTCATATTACTGCCCTGCGTGTGTGATGTATTAAACTCTGCTCCTTTGTTGCCGTCATTATTTCTATCTACGCCTTGTCGCAACACTGGCCCTTGATCTTTCATAAAAATCACAAAGAAACCTATGGTAATTTGTATATCAGTATACTTGCAATGATGGTAATATAGAATGTATTAATGCGTTACTTGTGGCTTTCAGAAACAATTGTGCAGAGTTGTGATTCACAGAAGAGATAATCTTCATTGAAAGCACGCAAAAGAGTGTCGCACATTACAGGGTCGCGCTACTTTATAATATTGAAAGGGATACAGCCGCATGAACTTGTGACTATGATGGATAATGACGGATCAAAGTGTAAAGTGCGCGGTAAAACAGCACACGCCTCTAGACCGATTGATGAGCTTTTTTACACCATGTAGTGTGTGTCTTTTGGATTATAGAAATTATACTATTACTAGTACTAGATTATATTTGTGTTCAAAATAATTATAAAATAAAAAGAAAGAACAATAACAAAAATTACTTATTACTACTAATATCGTTATGTAATGTACAAGATGCATGATGGCTTTCGCAGTCATCGTGGAGTAATGAAGGGGGTGGCATGCTGGATCGAAGGATAGGCGACTGGCCACGGGCCGAGTTTTTACTATTAAGGTAAGTGATTGCCTCGTCGTCGACAACATGGCCAATGCCGACCAACTCGGATAAAGTGTAACCTGTGTCCGAGTCCACCAATCCAGTATCTGCGCCGTTCTGTAACAAGAGTTCGGCCATGGGATAGACATGATCGCGATCCAGGTCGTCGTCTACGGAGGCGCGTCCATGAAGTAAGGCAAAATGAAGAGGGTATCGAATATAAAAGTCGCCCAGACGATCGCTACTGTTTTCGCGTACACGGCTTTGCCATTCGTCATCGTCGTCTTGGTCGTCGCTGAGCAATGGTATCTTTTGTGCTGATTCGGTTATGCGACAGGCATTGATGTTTGCGCCGAGTGCAATGGCGTGCATCGCTGCGGGAATAGCATCCGTGTCGATCGCTTCATTTAATAAAGTTTGCGGATCCTCAGTGGTCGGTGCTGCTGCTGCTGCGGCTACAAATGCACGATCCACATATTTGGTTTGGATGTAGTTGAGTTTGATTTGGCGGTTATCGTCTGCTTTGGCACAACAACCCTCGGTGGCGTTGGCAGCCCAGATGGCGTTGGATCGAGCATTGCCCATGGCACGAAGAAGAGCGACAATGTCAGGGGTATAGGACGTGCAGTCGAGTGTCAGTGATCTGACTTTGGATATATGTGTGCCCAGCGATCGATGAATTCCAGAGCATTCTAAACATATTCTAGAATGTGAATCGAACATCCACACAAAAAAAAAAAATAACACTGGGAAGGAAAAAACTCACCTATGCAAAGCACAATGCCCAGATTAAGCGAGCACCAATCTGGATTTTCGTCTCCACAGTCTGCACAATACCTATTGGATGGATCTTGTTTCAACTGCGATAATAACTGGGTATTCACAACAGTAGGTTCAAATTTATATGACGATGACGAGCGGTGATGGTTGTTATGATGGCTTGTGCTCGATGAACGACCAAAGCTCAAGCCAGACCAGCGAAACTTGTTCTCCGAAGATGCTGGTAGTTCGTTTGCTCGGCCGTTGTTTGCTGCTACTGCGGCCAATAGATCAGCTCCAGCGTCACCGCCGCTAAGATTGCTTGCCCGTTTCTTGAGATAACTCGTGGTTGTAGTAGCCATGTTGCCCGAAGCTATACTACTGTTCCCACCACCCGTACCACCTAAAGCACCCGTACCGCCAGCGCTACTGCTTCCTTGCGACAATCCTAGCCGTAATGCGCCACTCAAGGATCGTCCGTGTCTCTTTTTGGTCGTCGACTTTGGTTGCATATCCATATTTTTCAACAAGTCGACCGAGCTGCTCATACCGTTTAATAGACTTTCGATAGCATTGTTGATTGTAGCCATCCAGCTCTGCATTTCTTCTTGTGATGTGGCCTGATACACGCGTCGGAAATGGGTCGTGATGACTTCAAAGCAAAACCGTCGTTCTGTGTTCCGTGCTTCTCGAGCCGTTGCGAACCGGAGATTGATGGGTTCGATATGCGTTTGCAGTTGTCCTTTCCAATTACTGTATTCATGCAGTTGTCCTCCGCTTACTACGCACCAGTATCTTGTTACATACAACCATTAGTTTTTGACAGAATGTATGCGTGGTCTCCAATTTGCAAAAAAAAAAAACAGAGAGAGATTTTTTACTTGTGCCACATTGCGCCAGATGCCTTGTCAAATGTGTTGGTGCTTTTCAAAGGCTTTGATGTGGCAAACAAAAAGCCCTCCTTTCTGCGCCCACAACCTGAAACGAGATCCCGGTCGGGTTGTTGCTGTAGATCACGTATGCCTCGAAACTTGTCTTCATCTACTTGAGGGGCAGATACATCGGGTGGCTCGACGATGGATGGCTGTTGTTGTTGCTGTTGTTGAGGTTGCAATGTTGGAGACAGTGGATGCTGCTCGTCCAATGAACTGCGCTGTTGCTGCTGCTGCATCCCTAGCAGTTTCCGTTTCTCGTTCCTTTCCTTGTTGACCAAATCCTGCTCACGTGAAACATCGGCCATCAAACTCGCCAAGCCGTCCAAACCAGGCTTGGCTGGTTCCAACGAGGCAGCGACGGCCTGATAAAACGCAAACTGTTTCTGATAATAGCTGAGCAAGTAATACATGATTTCCTGATTCTTTTTGCCGCCATGCAGATCGTCCAGAAACGCTAGATACTCAAACTTGCTAATGTCAAAGTGGTGCTTTTTGGCCTGGTGCTTTGCCTCGCTACTGTCCTTTTTTGCAATGTTGTCCTTTTTGATGCTGAGGTATTTCGACAGATAGGCATAGTATTGCTTGCTTTCGTCGTCAAATTGTCTGCGTTTGGCTTCGGCGGCCTTGATGTCCATCTCATACAGCTTTTGCAGTGGATCGATGAGCAACGACTGCATCGAGTGCTGCATACGTTCCCATTGTTCGTGCATTTTCGGAGCTGTCGTGTTGAGATAGTGCGTGAAGAGTGGGTCCATGCTCGGAATTTCTTGGAGGACATGGATAAACGCCTCGTCGGCTTCGACCATGGCTCGCTTGGCCTCCAAAGATGCAGTTGCGGCTTTGAGGATGCGTTTGACGTTTTGTTTCAGAGCGCTGGTCTTGCTTTCCAGTTGAGTTACGGTGGCGCGAAAGAGTGGACCATCTTCAAGATCCCGGTCGTCGATCGGCATGGATCGTGGCATGGTAAGACTTGGAGGATGCTCCACATTGCTGACTGGCTCGGACATGTCTGCTGAGCAGTGAGAGACATCCAAAGTAAAGAAGGGAAAGAAAGAAAAAATGGAAAGAGTTTCAAAAAGACTGTGTGTGTGTGAGAGAGAGAGAGAGAGAGAAAGAGAGAGAAAGAGAAACAGCCAATCTGCTGGGATCGACGAGTCTCGCGAATGTGTGTGTCACCTGCAACAGCGTGATCCTGATTCATTTTAGGATATTCGTCTCTCGTGAAAAATAAAAAAAAAATGATGGGGGAGGAAGGAGGGGTAACAAGAAAAAACTTTTAATGAAAAATATCTACTTTTTTGTAAAAATGACTACTACTGCTGCTGCTGCTGCTGCTGCTTTCTATGGTACAATATGCTGGTTGCTGTTACTGTGAAAAGGGCTTAAGCCGATGACGATGATAATAATGATGCTTCAGCCTTTTCCTTGATAAGGTTGAGGGCACTGCCCTTCTGGAACCACTCAATCTGATCCACGCTCATCGTGTGCTTGGCGTCAATCGTCAGCTTGCTGCCGTCAGCTTTGGTGACAAGCAACTGAACGGGTTTGCCGGGCGCCAAGCCCTTGACACCAACAGTCTCGATCACATCACCGCCGTTGATCTTCTCCCAGTCGTTTTCGTCAGCAAAGGTCAACGGAAGGACACCTTGCTTCTTCAGGTTGGTTTCGTGAATACGGGCGAACGAGCGCGAGATGATCAAAGGACAGCCGAGGTAGCGCACCTGCAAAGCAGCGTGCTCACGGGCAGAGCCTTCACCGTAGTTGTGGTCAGCAATCACCATCCACGGGATGTTTTGGTTCTTGTAGCTCTTGGCAACCGCAGGAATGCTGTCGTCGTTGCCGTTGGTGATGTCGCGGACCACGTTGACTTGGCCGTTGTCTGCGTTCATGGCGCCAATCAGGGTGTTTTCGGCAATGTTCTCCAAGTGGCCCTTGTACTTGAGCCATGGGCCGGCAGCTGAAATGTGGTCGGTCGTGCACTTGCCTTGGACCTTGACAAGGACGCGGACATTTTTGAATTCCTCACCGTTCCACGGTTTAAAAGGTTCCAAGACCTGCAGACGGTTAGAGGTGGGGTTGACAACAACGTTGACGGAAGAGTCGGGGGTAGGGGTAGGGGATGGGGGCTCGTAGGTGTCGCGGCCGGTTTCGAAACCTTGGCCGGGCAAGTCATCACCACTGGGAGGCTGGAACTTGAATGGCTTGCCGTCCTTGTCCTGCAAGGTGTCGACCATGGGGTTGAATGAGAGTTTGCCCGAGAAAGCCATGGCAGTGACGATCTAGGAGCAAAAAGCCAACGTTTTAGCAAACCACACTTTTTTTTTCTTTTTCTTTACGCATGGCATGTAGTAATATGGATGGACACAAGGTCAAACTTACCTCTGGGGCAGCAAGGAAGTTCATGGTCTTGGGGTTACCGTCGTTTCTGCTGCGGAAGTTACGGTTGAACGAGGTCAAGATGGCGTTGTCCTCCTTCTTGGTCTTGTCAATGTCCGTGCGCTTCCACTATAAAAGTAGTAACAAGGGGAGGGTTGTCAATCATCTCTCCTCCGCTGTTCATCTCCAGCACACACACTATCTTCTTCTTACCTGACCAATGCAAGGACCACATGCGTTGGCAAGCACTTGAGCACCAGCACCTTCAAAGATAGCAGTTTGACCATCACGTTCGATAGTGGCGCGGATCTGTTCAGAGCCGGGGGTGACCAGGAACTTGGATTCCAGGTGGATGCCAGCATCGCCAGCCTGTTTGACGATCGAAGCAGCGCGCGACATGTCCTGATACGAAGAGTTGGTGCAGCTACCAATCAAACCAGCCGAAAGCTCATCCTTCCAGTTGTTCTCCTTGACCATATCCTTAAACTTGCTCAACGGGGTGCTCAAATCGGGAGTGAAGGGACCGTTGATGTGGGGTTCGACCTCAGACAGGTTGATTTCAACCACCTTGTCATAGGCCGAGCCTTCGTCGGCACGCAAGAACTGGGCATTCGCATCAGCAGCCTGGGCGACCTGCGAACGGCCAGTGGCACCCAAGTACGAGCGCATGCTCTTGTTGTAAGGGAACAAGGAGGTGGTGGCACCCACCTCAGCACCCATGTTGGTGATAGTGGCCATACCAGTGCAGGACAAAGTGTCGACACCTTCGCCAAAGTATTCGATAATGTGACCAGTACCGCCCTAAACACATTTGGATTTAATTCCTCGTTCCTTTTTATTTTTGAAATAAACAAGTTTTTGAAAATGGACTTACGCGAACGGTCAATTGACCAGCCAGCTTGAGAATGACATCCTTGGGACTGGCCCAGGGACCAAGAGCACCGGTAAGCTTGACACCAATGACGTTGGGTGCCTTCAATTCCCAAGGAATAGCGGCCATGGCATCCACAGCATCGGCACCACCCACACCGATAGCAACCATACCCAAACCACCTGAAATAGGACACACACACATCCGGAATTGTGTTAGTCCACGACAATGGATTGAGGAACAAGAAAAAAAAAAGAAACATTACCAGCGTTGGGAGTATGACTGTCAGTGCCAAGCATCAAACCACCGGGGGCAGCATAGTTTTCCAAAACAATCTGATGGATGATGCCACTGCCAGGCTTCCAGAAAGCAACACCGTATTTCTTTCCAGCACTCTCCAGGAAATCGAAAATCTCCTTGTTCGTAACGATCGACGACGCAACGTCCTTGTCGGCGCCCGAATAAGCTTCGATCAAGTGGTCGCAGTGGATCGAGGAAGGTACGGCGGTAGTCGACATGCCCGAAATCATAAACTGAAGCAAAGCCATCTGTGCCGAAGCATCTAATTACATCCTATGCGTCAGTTCCTTCCCCCACTATCCTTCTCCCACAGACCGTATCCCCTTTCCCAATCCAACGAACCTTGCATAGCAACACGATCTAAGGTAACATAGATACAAAATAGATGTGATGATTAGAATCACAAACTCCTTTTTGCCATCTTGGTTCATCTTTACCAGGTGAAAGCTTGAGGTAAGTCTCGCCACGGACAGGCACGGTCTCTTCAGGGTTGGTCAAGTGAGAGTAAACAATCTTTTCGGCAAGTGTCAAAGGGCGGTTGTTCAGAATACGTCGCACGGTGGCAAGGTTTTCGTTGAGTTTGGCATAGGGTGGTGTAATGGAGCGACAATCTTTCTCAGCGAGCGGGTTGACAGCAGCTGTTGCCAACGATCGGGTCATTGGTGCCCGAATGGCATGTTTGAGGGGAACCTGATCAACAGAAAAAAAGACCCTTTTTTTAAGTTTCCCTAACTTCCACTTCCAAGTGTGGCGAGGTTAACTTACCCTTCGGACGCTTTGTGAAAGGTACGCACTGACCATTACTTTTATGTGTGTGGAAGTGGGAGAGGGGAAAAAAAAAGAGTTGGGGGGTGTGTGTGTGTGTATGTGAAAAGAAGGGGGAAAGAGAGAGAAAGAAAAAGAGAGGTTTCAGTTGAGGGGAATTTGGTTTTGAGTGTTGTTGACAGCCGCATCCACCAAGAGATGCTTCATCTCTGATGAACTCCATAAATGGTAACCTCGGAGATGCTCTCTTTGGTCGGCGTTCAACCCCAGATGCTTGGATTTGGGGAAACTCCTGTCAGAGATTTCACTGTTTTGATCTAAGCATCGGCAATCTTGAAATTAAAAAAAAACCAAAAACCACACTCTATTGCGCTCGACTTTGTCGTTAAACTATCCTTTGTGTTTCTGTGAGAGACAGTCGCTTGCATTAAAGCTGCTTTGAGAATAGGAACGAACAGGTTGCCACTCGCCCGTTGCTGTCTGTTGTCACCCGCTGTCAGCATGCAACGCAAAATCACATCCCATTGCATGGTAATTCGCCATAGTTCCAAAAAGTAGACACAATGTGATTGTTGGTAGTATCAATCAAATGAAAAGAATGGGTCTTATGAGGGAGCTCATTAATACAGATATACAGTGGTAATGATGACTGACACAAGCAAAAATACAGAAAGTTTAAAACTGTTTGCCTTTTAGCGGCGTTCGACAAACACTTGCATACCGTATCGCATTGGATGTGTCAACGAAATGTCATAGGTAATCTCCTGGTTTGGTACGAGCGAGAACTTGTATCTCTTGAGCAGCATAACAATCGCCACCAAACTTTCAAGCGTGGCTAACTCTTGCTATTAAATACACAACGAATTATGTGAGCCATCAATATTTGCAAATCAGTTGAAGGAAAGATTAAAGTCATCTTACGCCCAAACAAATTCTTGGTCCTGCATGGAAAGCCGGCCATTGACCTGCATTTTCGCGACGAAGTCCTCCAGTCTCTGTAATCCAACGTTCAGGGCGGAAGGAGCGAGCATCAGGACCCCACAATTGTCGAGATCGACCCATAGCATAAGGACTCCAGCTTAAATGATAAGGGAACACTGTGAGACAGTATAATAGCTGATTGCTTCTTCGCGTTCATGATATCCTGCTTCATGCAGTTCAAGTCAAAGTAAGTAGTATTCCTACCTTATCGAGTCGCCCTTTTTGACAGGTGAGCCATCGGGGAATACATCATCTTCCAATGCAACCTTGACGTTTGTCGGTACTGACGGATGGAGTCGAAGTACTTCGTAAAAACTATGCAATTACAAAAACGTTCTCCGGGTAAGACTCCTTTCACACAATAGCGCCCATTGCTCTATTTACTTACACAGCATGGGCATAAGTCATTTTCTTGATAATTTCATAAAGCTTGGGTGCCTCCAATGATTCGATGGTATCCTCTACAGGCAGGTACTCATGAATTTCAGCAACCAATTTGGCTTCGATGCGTGGATGCAGCATCAAATTATAAAATGTCCAAGAGAGTGCCTGAGCCGTTGTATCGCGACCAGCAATGATAAAATTCAACACCGTGTCACGCAACTCGCGGTCACCCAGTGTTTGATTATTCTCATTGCGTGCGTTCATGAATCGTGACAACAAGTCCTTGTATTCTTGGCCGCTCTTTAGTTGTTCTCGTCGTTCACTGATCAAGGTATATGCAAAATCATCAATCACTCTGAGATGCTGTTTGATGCGGAGCGAGCCTGGATGGAAAATGGGCCTAAGTGCGTCGCGAAGGTTGGTGAATGGATCGATGAAACGTTCAAAGCAGTTGGATTGACAAATATCGAATGATGCTGCAAAGGGGACTTTTTCTTTGCTGCCCAAGGCATGGATCTGTTTGCCAAAGCCGAGACTTGCGTGGATTATATATTTAGCAAAATTATAGGTTAACGAAGAATCCGAGGTTTTTTTTTTTGACTTACTAGACGAACGAGTCTAAAGTGAACTTGTAGATGACATCGTGAAAGTCGATAGGCTTGCCGCTTTCGGCCTTCTTGTCAAAAATCTTGTGTGACAAGAATTCTAATTCTTTAACAAAAACTCTATCATTCAAAACGCATAGTTTAGTTTAGTACAAAACGTGGTTTCAATGCATGGTATATACATACTCTACAAGACAAGGGCAAAAAGAAAATAAAACGAAAGCGTTAGAAAAATTGTGCATCCTCTGGCAAAACCAAACAAGTAACACTTGGCTACGAACCTGTGAAATGGTCTCTGAAATTGACCACGTTAAAGATCAAACTGGCAGCCTTCCGTTGATATTTCCATTGTTCGCCATCTTTACAATCGTGTTAGACTTGCAAACACTCATTATGTTGAAAAAGTAGGAAAAGTGCTTGCTTAACACTTACTGGCGACGAAAATACCATGGCCAAATAGATCACCCATAGCCGATCTAAAAAAGGTAAAATTCTGAGTACGTAATCCTTCAAGAACAGATGAAGCATGTGAGGGCTGAAGAAGGACATATTTACAGCATAATAGGGCCCTTTACATAATTTGAGAAGTTATCTATAGTAAAAAGATTTTTGAATTAAAGAAAGACTGATACCAACTCAATGAACATCCTTATTAGCCTCTCACTCACTCACCTTTCAATAAATAGGTGACGTTACGAGGGTCGATAGTCATGATATTCGGCGTCAGTCCAAGGGCGGTTGCATAGCTACAAAATCATAACCAAAGAATTGCCATGTTACAAGATCCGACTATTTGTATTGAACTACCGATGGGTAAGAACAAAAAGAAAACCCTCATCGCCCGGTTTCTAACCAGCATATATTATTACTCACAAAGTCAATGTATTGTATTTCTCCATCGTATCCAAGATATCGTCCAAGAGCCGGTTCTTGTTTTTCAATTGATGAATCAAGCCACCAAAAATGGGATCCCCCGGAGCAAAGGGCATACCCTCTCGTTTCTCGGTGAATAAGGCTCGATCATTGTATTTGAGCGCCAAAAGCCCAAGAGCAGCAGCACCTGCAAGAGTGGCGTTACGTACAAACAATAAAGCGTCAGACGATGAAGACATGACTTTATGAAAAAAAAACGATACGAGAAAAAGAAGGTAAGGTGATGAAGGGAAAAAAGGTCGGGTTAAATGTGTGTGTGTGCTGAGTGTTTGCACCTGCTGTGATCCACCCCGGCGTATATATAATTCTGTAATCCGTTATTGCCCTTTTATGGATGTATGCTCCAGAAACTTAAAGATGCCAATTGGCCGATTATTATTTTTACCTCTCTTCTTTTGCTGTGAGGGTGTCCGTTCGTCCCTCAAACAACGTGCTCTTTCCTTAATTAAGGTCATTTTTGATTCGATGGATAATGGATAGTATTTAGAGTAAGATATCGTATATAAAGTGTAGGAAAAAATACTACAACCCATATTATGATAATGCTTGCAATATTTGGTGCAAACCCGTAACTGTGGTTTTCCACTAAATGCGTACTTCTTTCTATTCTGTCTGTAAATAGTGTGGCTGACCGTGCGCAAAAGAGAGTGATCCCTCGTGAATATCCAACAGAGTAGATGGTAAAAAGTCATGGCGACGGTTTAAACAAGCATTGGTGCTTTATTAGATACAATATGGTAAATATCATGCTACTGGTCTGGCACTGCTATGTATGATATATATGATAATACCAACATTTTTCTGGTTTAAGTGGACTCAGACTGAGTGCCGACTATTTAAAGGGATTTTCGCTCAGAGCATCATCTACGATACATAGGTTAGATTTTATGTTTTTATTGTGGAAGACTGAATGAACCGGCGCCGGCGGGCATGTGGTCGCTTCCTTGCGGTACAGGATGATGTGAATATGTGATATGGGAGGGGGTGCAATAACTTGAAGAACCCTGTGGGTAAAAAAAGTTATGCTAGTGAAGGGAGAACACGATATATATAGCTCCACCTAATGGTTCTCTTTTATATCATGCTTATGCCGAGACTTTGTCAAGTAGTTAATCGATTTTCTTCAGTTAAATCTCTATTTACTGATGCTTTCTTCTCTACAAGTCGAATAATTGCAGAAGCGTCTACCCTACACAAAGCACGTGTAATTAAACAACGACAGTAGCTTTTATTTAATGCTGTTATTATGCACTCAAACAAATGTGATATGGTACGTAGTACAAAGATAGTGGTGAAAGAAGTAAGTATAAATCGAATATATATATACATACAACGACAACACGGTTAAGCGAGGGACCAGGTGAAATGGCAAGGAAAAGTTCCATGTGTATGTAGTACTGTATCTGAAAGGAAAAGGAAGAATTAAGGAACTGGGGCAAAGCCAATTCGCTTGTTGTCTCCAAAGTCAAAGCTGGTAATAAAGTGCGCCATGAACGTATTTCCAATAATAGGAACTCGCCAGGCTGCGATCAATGCTTGACAAGAATCATCATTTTTGGCATCAGAGTAAGCTTGTACAAGTTTCGAGAATGGTACAGAAAGTGTCAATGTTGACGACGAGGTACCCGGAAGCTCGAGTGTAAGGTTTCCCGTCGGTGTGTTTTTAGAACAGTCAGGTATACGAAAGTAACCAGTGCCACTCGTATCGCCGCTGGTGTAGAGCAGTTCAGCGTTTGGCCAGACAGAACGAACCAATGCTTTGGCTGTATCAGCCGGTAATAAAGTCAATGTCGTTCCAGTATCGAAAGCGAAAGCAGTTGGTTTGGATAGAAAGTTTAGGGTGCTCTGGTCCCTGATCTTCTTGTCGCTTGCGGTGATTGTGGCACTACTACTACTAGCAGTGATACTGTTGACGGTAGCGGTCCAATGCTGAAAAGTGCCACCTTCAGGAACGACGCTGGTGTATTGCATCTTCTTTGGGTCTATACCGCCAGCAAGTCCTCCAAAGACCACAGATCCAGTACCAGTACCGTCGTTGAATTGGACCGAGAAAATAGGCGATGGTATAAGATTTGCTGCATAAAGGGATTGCGGAATAGGGTTGTACGCATGTCCACCGTCTGCCATGACTGTCAGATCTGGAAAAGCAGCGCCAAAAACACCATCCATGATTTGTTTAGAGTCACTGACGGGCGACTGATGTGCAAGTGATCCGGCGGAAGTTTCAACTGCTGCCATTACTTGTTTAGCCAAATGCTGCTGTGTGTCACCACCATGAACGTTGAAATTGATGGTGTCGGTAAAATAAGTCCCGGACGCCGTTCCCGATCCATAGGTTGCATTGAACGATTGGGCGTTTTTGGGAACGGTACCATACGTTCGGGATTGATCCGATCGATATACTTTTTAGGTAATTAATATGCAGGATTATGTAAATTAGTTGTTGAAGGTAAAGTTCTGTTGATGGACCGCAACAGGCAGTGGGGAATCTGACTTCCTGTAGTGTTTTATATTCATGTGGTTCGTGCGTCGACGGTCAATCATCGTCATTATACATACCTCGTCCTGAAATACATCCGTCATCTTGGCTACAATTTGGTCCTGGCACCCATGTATCTGAGCTGCCAGTGTCAAATAAAAGTATGAACGTCTGGCCTGGTGTTCCAATGCTTAATTCGACAGCAAGCGCGCCACCTTCACCAGCGATGTCAAGGTCAAGCGACCCACGCCGCTCGAAAAGATGACGGCGACTGGCAGTAGTTGAACCTTTTGCGACGTGGCGTACAGGTAGTACGATTGGGTTTAGTGACGGAGGAGTAGGAAGGGATGGTACCGGTAGGGCAACGAACGAGATAGCAACCAATAGGCAACAATAAAAATACAGCCCACGCATGATGGTGATGTGCACGGATGGAACGAAAGGAAAGAAAAGGAATCGAATCTTTTTTGTCTATTGCTTGATTTATTATAATTTTCCCGTAAAGGACAGATCTCTCGTTACTGTTATTATACATATTTAGAAAATAAAATGTAGTACGACGACGGTAGCCTAGCCGACTAGGCTACTTGATATACAAAAGAACCCGCTTTTTCTATCCTCGAGAGATTTTGCTGTTGTACCATTTGCGTAAGCCAATGGCTGTTGTCATGGAAACAATAATGAGCGTACCAGTGACACTAAATATATCAGGGTATTCATGGAGGACACAGATGCCAAAGATAAAGGCAAACACGACATCATTCATACGCATCAGCGTCCCTGGTCCAGCAGGAACAAGTTGCAGTCTTGAAACAATATACAAATTGAATGACAGAAAATCATGTTGTCGCGTGAGTAAATCCATCCGATGATTGTGATGACCATGCAGATCAACACTAATAATAACTTACCCCTTGTTGAGTAGACACTGGCCAATAAATGCAGTGACACCAGTCATAAAAAGAATGCCATACTCCTTCCAGCCCTTGGGCCAAACAAACTCTTGGAACATGTAGAGAGCAGGTGGCGAAATAACACATGAAATCAATCCAAAGTATACAGTGTGAACCAAGAAATGGGCACCTTTGCCGATCTTACGGACAGTGACATAGGCAAATGCAGACATGACAGCACCAAGCAATGCGCAAAAGATAGCAAACATGCGTCCAGCTGCTGTGGAGTCTTGCGGGACGTCGTGATCGTCGCCAAACAAAAATTCTGGCTTGGATACCAAAGTGGCGCCAAGCATGCACAGTGCTGCGCATAGCCCTTCAAACCATCCGAAAGGTTCACCAAGGACGAGAGCAGCCAAGATAGCCGTGAACGTGGGATTGAGGAAGAAGATCACTGTAATATATTTCCAATGATTTGATGTGAGGGGGGGATCAGCAAGGATGATTGCCCAGGTGTGTCCACACACACACACCTCCGGTATAAAATAGATATACTAACCAGTTGCATCTGCAAGGGGCAGTTGTGTAATACTGTAAAAGAACAAGGCCAATCCAAAAGAACCGACAGTGCCTCTGAGAGCAAGCCATTTGCGTACACTCTTTCGACCAAACGGATTGATGCCAATCCACATACTGCCAATAATACCGAGGCCGGCTTGGACGATCGATCGTGCCAACACGATCTCAAATGAAGGGAATTGAGCACCGCTCAATTTGACGCAAAGAGACATTGTAGAAAATGCCAAAGCGGAGAGCGTCATTAAGAGAAGGCCTAATGCTTCTGATTTCGCATTGTGTGGTTCTGATTGCTGCTGCTGTTGTTGTTGTTGCAAAAGGGGCGTTCGCTCGTCTCTGACAACGTCTATCACTTCTTCTCGCGGCATGGTAGGTGTGGCTGACTGTATCAAAGATAGAGACAGGAACTGTACGACGAAAAGGAATTAAATTCTTCCTTCTATATTTCGCACGGGCTCGGTTAAAGTGTGATCCGCATTTATCTCCGCACGTTCCGGTTTGCAGTCTAAAAGTAGAAAGTAAAAGTAGTAGTAGTAGTAGTAGTAGTAGTAGTAGTAGTAGCACCGTCTCTAGTAAACGAGACCCGAGAGACTTGTACCATACTCATTTTAAAAAGAAGTGTTTCCAGCGAGGAAAAGAAAAAATTGAGTCGTTTACATCGTGTTATGTAAACACATGACAAACAAACAAATAGAAAAGGAAATCAAAATGACGTATTTCTTTTTACGCCGAACTGTTTTCCATCGATAATGCGTTATGTAACTGACAGAAGCTACATGAAGGGTATGCTGAAGCCTTTTTTTTAGCATTAAGTTAAAGTATATAATGAGCAATATTGCTTGCTGAGCTGGTGTACATATTAATGCTGATGGACCTGTTGTTTTATTGATAACCCCACATGGTCATAGCTTCTACATTTGCTTTTGGTTGTTGTGACAGTGTGGGATTCTTTAGTGTAAAGATTTTGGGAAGTGACCATCTTTCGGTTATACTACCACTATTACATTTGTACAAGAGAATGAATACACTGAGTTGCGACAAATATTCTTTGGATAATTCGATACTCTAATATCGTAATTAGTATAGTCGAAGCAATGCATGGCAAACCGCAGATGAGCTTATACGTCTCAATGACACTGGCTAATTTGATAGCGCTTGCCATTGTCGTCGTCAAATTACCGAGAGAATTTGTTGTCACCATCATGCCTGTTGCCGATGCTGCCAGCGATAAGCAACATGACAGGAGCAACCCGCATCATTATAGTTATTAACAGTATATGTAAAAACAATTGCTTGTGCAAGTATAATACGGTCATGTACTGATGAGTAGTCTACTCGGAAGATAGGAAGAAAACCTGACAGGTGAGCTTCTTATATAAGGCGAGGAATGACCCTGAGAATAGACCATAGATAACTGCAAAAGCCATGAGTGTACCACAATCGTAAGCAAACCCCCATAGCAAAAAACAACTCAACCCACAAACAGCTGTAGTGTTGATCATTGTATTGATCTTTCCATTTTAGTCAGTAGTCAATCTGAAAGAAGTACATATATACAGTGTATATATAGAGTTAAATGAAGCTGTACATGGCTGCTAGTTGTTATTCATTACCCCAAGCACATATGACCGAGACAATGCCAGTTGCACACCATACCGATATGATTGCTGAACCTTGTTTATCAAAAAGGCCGATAAAAGTCGCATAGGCTAGACAAAAAACCATGTAAATATCATTAGCGCGGAAAGTGCCACGTACACATTGTGCACCTTTAACATACATCACCATCTGGCAACTCGTACGAATCAAGTACCTCTCCAACCATATAATTATACAGTGCTTTTTGGACACCAGGGCTGATGCACCAGAACTGGAGCTAGGTTGATAACTTTCAGTGTTGGTGCTCTGTGAACTACTAGTATCATCATCACTGTCCTGAGCCTCCTGTGAAGACAAATATAATAGAAAAGATATATAAAATAATGTTTGTATCTTTTTGAATTTAGTACTAGTGAGAAAATGCTTACCACTAGTGATCGCCCAAGTTTGCTTGTTTCTTTTGTATACGACTTTGCAACATTTCTTTTTCATTTGCTTTTTCTCCATTTGAACAAGAGCCTGTAGTATTGACGTTCGAATTAGTTGGCCCGATGCACTATATTATAGTTATTATAATTTTATAAAAATAAAAGTTTTACCTTGGTACATTCTTCATATAAGTCAAATATAAGTCAACCCAATCTGAGATACAAACATCGTCCTAGAAATTCTATACAGATCGCTTGGTAGTTACTTTACAAGGTAAATAATATGCTGACAAACCTTAGCTTCAGATAATCGACCAATTTTGCCTTTCCAAAATTCTTGTAATTTACTTCATTAAAATCTTCCTCACCAACAAATTCCTTGACGACATCTCCTTTATAAGATTCACTAATAAACTTGAAATAAAATGACTGTCGATCCTTCCAAGAGGCAATGTGATTTATTTATGGCATCCATTGTTGGTGTTTATGAAGAAGAGAAAAGAGTTTGTATGCTCAACTGAGCAATTGATGCGTAGCGGGTTTCAAATAGTGCTTTTACTATTTCAGCAACTCTGCATATTAGTAGTACACGTGACTTTCGCAATTCTTTATTTCTACTACTTCATTGTTAGCCACGCACCCTTAATTCTATACACATATTTGTACCTTTGACCAGTCTATAGTACTGGTAAGTATATTTTATTCAAACCATAAATTATGTTCTACCTTCTAACATATCAAATAAAGGTCGTTTTCTGTGTCTTCATTTTATTACAGGTCACAATAAAAAGCGGAGACAGGATCGAATTTTGGGCACCAACCCCAGTTCTTCCTTGTGTATGATATCGAGACGCACATCTTGATAACGGCCATTAAAGTATATCTAATAGGTCTTTATAATTGTGCTCTTAAAGTTCTCTTCATCGTGGTTGACTCATGTTTCTGCCCGTAATTTCGAATATGACGAATAATGATAGACCAATCAAAAACGAACGCATTTCTATCTTATGAACGTCAGGCATTGTTCTTATGATTTCATGTATAAAGCAGTGTTTGACATTATTTGAAGATCAATGAGATAAACAAGTTACATGTTTATCTTTTATGCTATTGTCTCATCCAATGAAGATAACCGCTACCACTATATCATCTCGACTCGACAGACGTGAGAGAACTTGCCTTCAGCCACTCAACACCAAGAAACCATCCAACCGAAACTTTACAACCCATACAGTTTATACCGCTTCCGTCGCTCCAAGCTGTCAGATGAAGACAATTTTGGACATAACGTTTCGCTAATTAACTTATAACAGAAAGCATTCACTTACCTTTTATTCTTACGACTATTTCCTTACTGTATTCATTAATACCTGTTGCGGTCATGAGCTTACAGATTCTCTTTTCCACGACACTTATCTAATATCTGTGTGGATGATAAATAAACCCAATAAAGTCTGTAGGTTTTACACTATTACATGCTTCACGGATTCTTGTTGATAAGGTCTCTTCTCTCTTGCTGTAAGAATCGTTGGCGTTTAATCTTGCGCTTTGCAACAGACCCAAATTGCTTTATGGGTTAAGCTCAGGAGAGTATGGAGGAAGATATGCACCTTGGTATCCACGATACTCAACGTATTTTGCCATAATCAAATAATACCGGTTTTTGGCTGAGGCTGTATAAATTTGAAACACTGAACTTTATGCCGGATTTAAAGCCAGGATCGTTCTCAGCCAATAGAATTGCGTGCCGTATTTGGTGTCTTTGCTAGTAAAAAGTCGATAATACACAGGTATTTTTCTGTGACCAGCCCGTGACTCTGCCAGAAAATTTGGCTGTGCATTTGGTGACCTGAGTGACCAGTGGAGCAGATTATTTGAAGCATACAGCCACAATAAGTCTGGAGAAGAAACGCATAGAGAGGTCCGCAAGTTCTCTTCAAATAATAATGAAGTCGCATAGGCACAAAGGCGTAGCAATACAAAGGCGGACGTTTAAAACATCGAAAATTTGAAACATTGGCGATTATAAACGGGATGCGATTGCTGTTCTTCAGCCGGATCCGTAACCTCTATTATACTTATGGATACTGCTTTATCAGGGCAGTGCAGTAATAATTAGATTGGACAAATGATGCCGCTTCCGTTTTGAGCCTATTTAATGACATTCTCAGTCATGCCATATTTAATATTTAATATGGTCTATATTTCTCTTCTTTTATTCACCGTCCATCACTCATCATTCAAACATTGCTTTGCAGGTATCATACTATGTATCATGAGGCTAAATATAGCAGCAGTTCATTTAATTTAGAACTGCCTAATAATGAGCCTTTTCTGTTCTATTCAGTCATAGAGCTGCTGGATCCTGGTGGTGGCGAATACATAATATATGTCGGGCATAACTATAACAACTTATACAAGGAAAGAGACAGTTAGCGCGTCTCTCTGATACCAGTCATCACTTCCACGGGTGGAGATTTTACCAATAGTCAAAATGAATATGGATCTCGTCGCCAGACACTGACATACACTGTCCACTCAACATGCAAAGCTGACGAAATACTAGTGAACAGCTTAAACACGCTTCAATGAGACAATCCTAGTAAAGCTTTGATTGTGTAATCCGCACATTAAAATGATAATGCCGCTCTCTTCCCACTATATCGCTCTTTGTCCTCAGTCAGATACACATACACATGAATAATAAGAGAAAAAGGAGAAAAGGAAGCAATTATGCAAATGTTTATACAATTGAAAGTAAAGCAATATTCATATGAAAAACAACGAATAGACGAGCTTTACTCTAAAAGAAACTTTTGGATTGTGGATGGATTTCAAGGACGAAATATGTATTTGAGCGCTTTTTTTAGTTAATCTTTCTGCGGAAAGAGGAACCTATTGTGCAGATAAAACAATACGGATATTTACATAAGGTAATAAATATAATAGACGTACGTTTAAAAAAGACAAAATGAGTTCCTGGATTTCATATATGCCCCCCTCCCCAATTGTTCTTTGCGTATCTCTCCTCTCGCCCCTCTTCTCTGATTTTGTATCAACTTTTATAATTATTTACCTTCAGTCAAACGAGCACGACCACCAGTGGGCTGGCAGAGGACGGTGCCGCAAGACGAGCACAAAACAACAGTCTGGGCGTGGCTGAAGACGGTGCTAATGTTCAAGCAGCCTATACATTGTCATATACAGAAGAAAAAATCATAAATGAGCATGCTTACATGTCCTAACACTCATTAACTCCCTCTTTTTGTTTCTTCTGCGAAAACATACCAGGGCACTTGACATCCATGAAGTACGAGTTGGGAGAAGCTACGAGTCTCTTCTTCTTGTGGCAGCGCTTCTCGTGCTCAACAGAGGGATTCAAAAGGTCAACAGCCAACTATAAATTTTGTGTGTATGAGATTTAAAAAAAAAAAGTCAATTAGAACCAAATATCACGAACTGTGCTCTCATAAAAGAAAAAAAGGGCAAAGGCTCTCCCCATCTCTTTTCCAATTCAAGACAAGCAAAGAGAGATAAAGGACAATGTGTTTTCGTTTTTCTGGAATTGAAAGATCGGGTTCGAATTCGTTCGCGTAATTTTGTAATGTAGTTAACGGCGGCACGGTATGTTATGCGTGGCAGGTTTTCTTATTTGCTGTCCTGCTTGCTGGTATTCTCTGTAAGTGGTTGTGGGTGTATACGTTTTGGTAGAATTTTCGAAATCGTGTCGGTGTCAATGTAAAGCCTCGATAATCCGTTCCGTGTTTTTCATCCATCCATAAAGATTTATCCATCCGTTGCATTTGTCTGATCATCCATCGTCCTTTTCTTCTTCTTTCTGCTTGTCTTGCTATATTGGAGACCCTTCCCAACCCATCATCCTTTTTTTCTTCAAACTTACAGTCATCTTGTAAAAGGCTCAGAAAAAGGAAGGGTCCTCGATTGCCCATCGGTTCAATATATCGGATTCTTTTTTCTCCGACTTACTGCGGCTCGGGGGGTCGCGTGCTCTCAGCTGCTGCGCGAACTTGAACATCCTACAAGTCGTTCTGTCTTCTTCCCATACACAAACACACCTTACACCTTAAATTTTCTCGCAGCAACCACCGTTTCTATCACCAATGACGAGGTCCTATTGTTTTAGCTGCGCAGCAATGATAATGTCGTGGTAACATGTTTCGCAGTAAGCTTCAATTCCCCATATAGAAACTTGTCAGTGGATTGGTTCGCTCTAAATTAAAAAGTAGAATTGATAGGGATTATGCTCCCCCCCCCACACAAAGGCACCCACAATATCACGAAACAAGTAAACACGATATGGAAATTCTTAATATCAGTGACCATTTCCAGCACAACCATTATATAGTAACCATTTTTGTAAGAATGAATTAAAAGTAAGTGAACTATCATCATCGTATAGTAAGTGCTGTTGCTGCTGGTGCGTGTATGTGTCGGTCAAGATAATGAAAGAGAAAAAAAGAGAATGTGTAATTGTGTATAAGAATGTATAACAGATGCAAATGTAGAGAAAAGGATTGGCTGTGGGGGGGAATATAAAATGACTGTTTCGTGTTATATTATAGATATATATATCTCATATTTAATATGCAATTTTTTCTCTACACTGATCCAACAATCTCGTCTGCCTTTTGCAATGCCTGGATTAGAACAAAAAGTTAGTAATTGAATCCACCTGAAAAAATATTATATGGAACCTCTCTCTCTCTTTCTCAACAATTTACCTCTATCATCTTCTTGCATTCTTTCCTTCTCTGTTGCGTGAATTCAGACTCTTGCAACAAATCATCCAATACATCCGCCTTGTAAAGCTCTGCGAGAAGCTCACGCTGGAGTCCTTCCTTGGCACGATTTACAAGGTTGAGCATGATAGCCTTTGGAACCATGTCGACCATGGTACGCTTAACAATGTTAAAGTAGGATTGGATCAAGAGTTCTAATTATTGTTAAAAACAAGGTTAGGGCAACCCATCAAACTGAGAAAATGTCCTATGTCTTTTTCCATTTGTACCCAATTAAATTAACTTACTGATAACTTCGACCTCCATGTATTCGCGTTCTGACAAGGCACCGGTAGCCTTAAGCGATGGTGGTGGCTACATATATAACGTAATAAGTTAGAGAAAAAACCGAGAGCACTAAACTATATATTTACAGATGGTAAGAAATATTTACAGGTTCCATCAAACCACTCGTCTTTTTGCTCTTCTTGGGTCCCGAGAAGAAGCTACCGAAGAATCCATTTTCGTTGGAATCAGCACTGGGAGTGCTGGGACTCGTTTGCAGTGCTGTCAGCTGTTTGTTAGTTTTTGAATGATCTTGAGTCGGGTGTTGCTGCTGTTGCTGTCTGCCAGAAAGTTGGTCATTCACCATAGCAATAGCCTGATGACCATTGAGGAAGTCTGGATGTGCAGTGTTGATATAGCATGATTCCATGCTAATGTAATCGACAAATAGAATCAGTGTCGGTATCCTCAAAGCCTTTTCCGCACATCAGAAGAATGTACAATTTTGTGTCTTTCATTTTTAATACTTACTTGACCAAGTCCGATACAAGCTTTGTCGCAGGAACTAAAGCCTTTTTGAAATAAGCAAGAACCACTTGATAGAACTTGTCTTTGAGAGTTGGGAATCGCTTGAAGAACTGCTATATACAAATAGGGGGTTCGATTCATAATAAGCAATCTGTATCTTTTGAATCACCCTCTCTCTCTCTCTTCCTGCGTATCCGTGTATATATTTTTTGTATTCAAAAGTCACCTGTTTGTTGAGCAATTGTCCCAAGATCCTCACGAGTTCGTCGTACACCATATTGATACACTTGACGCTAGGATCCTCCAAACGCTTGATCTGCTTCTTGACGATAACTTCAAATGCGGTGGTTGCCACAAACAACGCAGGTGAAGAACCCTAAATAAACAAAGCATATCAGAATTTGAAAAAGAAATCTAACACTTACTATTACTGCCGCTAATAGTGCTATTTTCCTTTCCTTTCGCCAAGAGCGAAAAAAAAATTGCTTGAACTTACTGAAGAGTTATACGAGTAGACACGAATATCGGCATCCTTTGTCTGGTCGAGAGGATCAATGCTCTTGATGCCACTGGCATAGAGTTCATGGAAGACAAAGCTGATACGTGCACCACCGGACAGTTCAAAGCTGGACAAATCGTTAGAGTTACCATCAATGATTGTGCGGAACTCGGTACAGAATTCGGTGATAATGTTGAGCACCAGGTTGGCTTGATTGGACGAACTGTCGCCAAGAGGATCTCCCAATTGTGCAAGTTCTAGTTGGTATTTGCTTAAAGCAGATTGGATCTTGGCCTTTATTTCCGGCAGTGTGTTGCGAATATGGTGCATCAAAATCTATATTGCATTGTAGACAAATAAGTCTGTTTTTGTTTCCAAGCAAAATTGGTATTTCCTCCCTTCAATAATGATCAAATGCATAAATATATACCATGTTGAGTTTGCGTGCCAAGAATGGAGTACCGCAGTATTGAGCCTTGCTGCGATAAGATGGATGATTTTCGAAATAATCACGCTCGCCATCCAAAGCCTTGCTAATCGACTTTTTGGTTTCGATATCACGCTGGCCACGATTCACAACAGGAACATAGCCTAAAAAAGAATAAAAGCCGTTATGAGGATATATGTGTCATAGTTACCTTTGACCTTGGCGAAAAGAAATTTATATTTAAAAAAGACCAAGATTTAGTATTTACCAAGACGTAGCGGAATCACGCGACCCGCCAAGATGTCAATAACATCGGTGCCTTGGTCCATAAGATCGATCTTTGTCAAGACACCAATAGTACGAAGACCCTCAGGATCGACTTCGCGAGCAAGTTTTAAGCCGTCCGAGTTGGCAAGGTCACTGTTGGCAGCAGTAACAGCAAGAATAATCGCGTTAGGCTTGGTGATGTACTTGAGAATCATTTCTTTGATTTGCTTTTCGATATCCTTGGGTTGGTCACCAACTGGCACCTGGGTGTGGATTCGTTACGTCAGTAACAACATTGTTATCATCGCTACACATTGAGTATGTCGCACTCAATCTTCCAATCGTCCTGTTCCTGAGTTTGCTAGCATTGTGTTATAATACAATACCTTGGTAAGACCGGGCAAATCGATCAATGTCAGTGTCAACACGTTTGGTGAGAAGATTCTCAGATTGATAGGTTGTGGAGAAATGCCTACATTGACAACAATAGAAAGAAAGCAAAGTTTGATTTCTGTATCTCTTTTCTTTTATCTGGGAAAGAGTTGCCGTTGTTCTTCTTCTTCATACCCAAGTTTTTGCCAGTCTTGAGTTCAGTGTCCTTGACAATTTCTTCTCTAATCTTGTCAAAGTTATAGAACTTTTGTCCAGGCAAATGAAGAAATTCTCCCCATTCGTCCGGGTTTTCTTCGGAATCCGTGCTGCTGCCATTAGGGGCACCATTAGTAGGCTTTTCACCCGACGGTGCTCGATTGATAAGTTGCAACACCTTGAAAAATCGAAATATTATCAGCACTTTTGAAACTTACTCTTGGCATGTATACCTCTCGCTCCCCCCCTCCCTTTCCTCGGCGCCGAGCCCTTCCACCACCTTTCCCCCATCCCATCTTCCACTCTCAGACTTTTCCACCCGGGGGATGGGCCAAGAATAAGAAAAGGAAAATGCCTCCACAGGCATACTACTACTTTACCAAGGGACGACGAGTGACAATGCCAGTACCACGAGGAAGGAAATCTCGTCCGACGATATTTTCTAAAACCGAACTTTTACCACTGGATTGCGATCCAATGACGGAGATTTGTGGCAAATCGACGGGATTGTGAACACCAACTGTCGAAAAAGCATCCTGCAATTTGTTCACTAAAAAAGAAGAGTAGAGAATTATCCCCGCACATAACCCGCGTCATTCATTTTATGTTAGGCAACTGGACTCCATCCATAACGGAATTGCACACTAGTGTGTATAGCGCCTCCTTTCCAGAAAATAATGAGCAAGTACCAGTCTTAATCAGATGGGTATCCATAACTTGAAGAGTTTAAAAAAAACTGTAAAGTATAAAAAAAAGAAGAAGGAAGGTTGAACAAGGAACAACACAGCCCAGAGCAGAGAAGGCCAACCAAGCACGTCGCCTCTGTCTGAAACTCAGACCTGAAAGTGACATATCTAATAAGGCAAGTTCACTCCGATATGTAACGCAGGTGGCGAGAAGCTTCTCTCTGCTTATCTATATTAGAGCTCATTGTTCACCGCCATCCAGAATTACTACATAAATACGAGGACCAAACTTATCATTAAGGTTTTAATATATGAGCATATGTTTATGTCATTCTACGTATTACGTACTGCATAGCTTTGTTTGTGTATCCAAATTTATGTAGGTGTTGTATATAGTAGGTACAATTGGGATTGTTGTTGTTATATGTAGTAGATGTACAAAAGACAGACGAGATAGTATATGAAAGAAAGAACAAAAAGTAGAGGAACATGTTGAGAGGAGGAGGAGGAGGCAAGTTTTCTTTCTTCTTTTTGTGTAAGAGATAATGATATGGTCGACGAACAAAAGACAAGACAGAAAAAAATGATGATGAGATGGGCGATGACGATAGTATATGGATGGTAGTAGTGAGGTGGACTTTTTTTTATCTGAAAACAAACAAAATAAAAAGAGCTTTAATACATGTAATTGCTTTGCCAGAGATCTTTTACCGAACTGATATAATTGCGCTCTGGTAGATACCGTCGTCCATAAGTTGGATCGTACATGGACATCGGGCCCATGCCTGACGTGTACATGCCAGCACCATAACCTGGCATTTGCTGGGCATAGGCTGCGTATGGGTCATACTGCGCACCAGCAGCGCCGAAATAGTCGTAGGGCTGGCCTGGCATCATCATTCCGCCTGCTGCCCCTGCTGCTCCCATGTACGGTGGCTGTTGTTGCATCTGCATCATCATTGGGTTAGCTGCTCCAAATGCTTGAGGATTCATAAAGCCACCTACGCCTGCCATCATGCCAGCGCCTGGCGTTTGCGGATACATTGAATTCATTGCCGGATTCATCGCTGCCATCATTTGTTGCTGCTGTTGTTGCTGCTGCTGCATCATGGCCATCGTTCCCGGGTCCATCATTCCCGGTTGTTGTCCCGGCATCATTCCCATCATATTAGGCTGCTGATATGCCGTCATCGTAGCAGCCGCTGCCATTTGTTGCTGTTGCTGTTGCTGCTGCTGCTGTTGCATCATCATCATCATTTGTTGCTGCTGTTGTTGCTGTTGTTGTTGTTGCATTTGTTGCTGCTGTTGCATCATGGCCATGTTTGGATCCATCATGCCTGGTTGCTGAAACATAGCAGCTGCTCCGCCCGGTGTCATCATGGCTGCATACCGACTGTATTGGTAAGGATCATATCCTTGCGCACGACCGGCTGCTTCACGTACTTTGCGTCGTAACGTATCAAAAATTCCTCCACCCGAAGACTGGTATGCTTGCTGTGCGTGTTGTTCCATGTTTGCAGCAGCAGCAGCTGCTGCTCCCGCACCTGCAGCGGAAGGAGGTGGTTGGGGAGCGGCGGCAGCTTGTTGTGTCTGCGCTTGTTGATACTGCTGCTGTTGTTGCTGTGGAGGAGTTGTCGGGACTTGTTGATTTTGCGACATGTCTGGTTGTGGTGGCGGTTGCTGTTGTTGTTGTGGTTGCTGTGCGGCCATCATGTTGTTATGGTAGTCAAAAGAAGAAGAAGAAGAAGCGTAAGGCTGTTGTTGTTGTTGTTGTTGTTGTTGCTGCTGCTGTTGTTGGTGATAGTAATAATCGTATTGATCTCCGGAGAAAGAATGACGCTGACCAGGGCGTCCAAACATCCAACTATTAAATAGGCGGGCAGGAAGGCAAAAGATAGACGAAGAGGAAGAAAGAGAGAGAGAAGAAAGGAAGAACGTGAGAGAAAAGGAAAGATGCACACACCATAACAACAACAACAACAGCCTTCCACTCGTGAAGGTAAACAAAGCCCGATTTAGATAATGGAGCCTGCTGTTCGTTTCAAGTGTGTGCGTGTACACCCGACTCGCTCCCGTCACTTACGTCTTTTCTAGCCCATGACACAATCCGACTTATTACCATATTTTAACAGCGTACTACTGTTTTTGTCTATTATGCTGCTGCTGCTGCCAGCCATACAATTAGGATCGACAACAAACTTCGACTGTGAGTTTCCCTTTTATTCTTCGTTTTTTATTGTTTTCACTAATCGGCACATAACACTTTTCACATCTTTTTTGACAGGTGTCATAATCTCGGTACCATTGTTTCTTCTTTGATTAATGTATACGTCACCTTTCTCTCTTCAGCGATAGATCATAGATAGATTAATGAGGTTGCATCCGCTGATCTCTTTTTGCTTTGATCTATCGTCAAAAATAGCCTAAAGCTTATTTTTCTTTCCTTTTAGTCAATAGAAAAACATTACATAACTATAGAAACTGTAAGGGATGATGGTGGTCCGTGGAGAGCTGAGAAATAATAGGTTGTTGCTAACGTAACTAAAAAAACAACACGTTTCCTAGTGACCAGCAACCACAGCGGTCTCGTGTTTCTATATGACGACAACAGTCTACTAGATGTATATATAACAGGGACAAAACAGTAACCCACTTTACACCTTTACTCTTTTCTCAATATGCACAATTAAGATACGCATTGTCGAGAAAAAAAAATTGCAGTCCGCCGCATGAGACGAATGGAAAGAGACAATGCCAGACTGTTGCAATAAAAACAAGGGTAATGATGCTAGTAAAAAAGACATGCGATTTAATGAAAACTTTTTTTTGGAGGTCTTACGTTTATCGCTGGAAACCTGTAGCGGTTGTGGGCATATTATAAATTCAGAGAGAACAGCGTCTCTCATTTTATCCCGAAAACATGCAGAAACGCACACGCGTCCCTTAAACATCCTTGTCCAATCAGGTCTCCGGCCTCGGGTACCCCCGCACTCTCCCACCCCCCTCCCTTAGCCCACGACAACCCCCATCCTATGCACACACACACACACACGCTTTCTCTTTTGATGAAACATTTTTGCATATTTGCCTTCCATTTTTCTTTCGTTCTTTCACTCTTTTTAACTTTTTCTTCTTTTTCTTTCCCTCTCCTTTACACTTCTTGTGGCCACAAAGCACAGGGAAAATATGGCAGACGCGCTCGTTTCATTACCGACGAATGTATGGACCATCCATGATGTGATTGTTGATTCACCCGTCTGGAAGTCCAATATCCTACACTTGGAAGAACAGATCGACCATTTTGAAAAGTGGGTTGAGGGGTTCATGAAAGCATTGAAGCAATACATTGATGCCGTCATTAGTAAGCAACCAACATGGATAGAACATCTTCTATTCTTATACTACAACTTACATCAATATTTTGAATCTCTTTTGAATCGTATCTAATATTCTATTATAGAATACAATACACAAACCAGTAATCTGTGTAAAAAGATACTGCCACAAAACCTGGATGGCTCCCTTATTGGTAACAGCAATGCCACTATATGTTCTACATATACAATAATAATTACACTATGCTAACGTACAAAGCATTTTATTTTAATACGTTTTAAATAGATCCGCAGGTGGCTGGCATGATTATCAACACATTCGCCAGTACGCTCCAATGCAACCTTGCATTTAAGACAAAGTTGGTAAGGTCACGCATTTTCTTAACGAATGGATTTACGACAACGAAAAAGGGGAGGATTTGCATGGAGCTAACGTATCAAGAATCTTCTACCACGACTACAACAAAAAAAAATCGGGAATGGGTTTAACCAGGTTTCTGATTTGGAAGACAATCTGTTACACCCACTACAACGGTTTGTCAAGCATGAGTTAAAGGAATTTAAGGTAAATGTTGGATGTATCTGTAAGCGTGCGTGATGCACGAGTGATGATGATGATGATGTGATGTTGCTGCTGTCGCAGATTTAAGATATAACAGTAGTTCCTGCAATGAAACTCAACTTGTCTATCTGCACCACCCCCCCCCCTCCGCACGCCAATCCCATTCTAAAAATTTACTACATCAAATCAACAATGCGGGGGGTTGGGGGTGGGGGCTTTACTATTTTTAGGAATCGCGAAGGGCTTATGAACGCATGTTGGACAAATACGATGCTCAGATGTATCGATACGGCGCGCTTAGTCGAGCCAAAGAAGCAAGTGCTCTTCGAGAAGACGCTTTCCAGACCTACGATGTACGAAAAACGTTCATACGAGTCTCGCGCGAGTATTTCACCGAGCTGCTTGCATTCAAGGCAAATTTAGAGCACGTTCTTGTCGAATGCTTCTCATGCGCAATGGCGGCGCAGGTGGAAGAGGCGGAGGAAGCGTATCAATCCTGTGCACAGTCGCGAGCGATGCTTCCCGGGTGGCAACAATGGCTTGAAGAGGTTCGTTTTTTTTATTGACCATGAATCGTTGTCGTTTTACATATTTTAAAATGGATGATTTCTTCTAATGATGTAGAGCAAAGCAATGAGTGAGTATCAACTGGAAAAAATCAGCAAAGCATCACAACGACTCGAGAATGTTGCCGTCCGTAAAGTACGACCGTATCGATCATTACGGAATTACATCACACCGATCAATAGTGGTGCTGTTGCTTCATCACCTGCTGCAGAAGAGATGTCGTCTTCGGCTTTCGATAAATACCAAAGCCCATCACCACGGACTAGCCAGATTGGCTTGGGCAGCAATAATGGTGGTGGCGACGGAAGCGGAACAATAACCACCGATGATCATGGTCAGCCTGCTATATCCAAAGAAGGATATTTGTTTACGCGCGTGGTGGTGGGAAAACCTGCACGCTACTCGTGGATCCGTCGTTGGTTTTTTGTGCAGGATGGATGGTTCGGTGCGTGTGCGGTGTCGACGGTGGACAAGGTCAAGGGCTGTGTCGTGATTGCGGATCGAGTGCGTGTTTCAGACTGTACTTGTCGCGTTAATAACGAAATCGATCGGCGTTTTCTGTTTGAAGTGGTCAGCAATAATAGCAACAGGTATTGCTCCAAAAACATGCCCCCGCCTTCCCTCTGCCTCTTTTCTTTATTTGGCAATATTTAACTAACTACAGTTATACTCTCGGTATAATACCTACTTTAATATAGCTCAATGCTCTTACAAGCCGAAACCGAGGACGAACTACAACGCTGGATACAAACAATAGAAGATGCTCAAAAACAACAACAACTGCAGCAGCAAGAGACGATGACAACAACAACAACGACGACGACGACAGAGGCAAATAACGTACCTGAGCCATTACTGACGTCGAAAACAGTTCTAGATATCACACAGCTGAACACGGGAAAAGGGCCGGTCACCATGTCCAATTCCCCAGCACTTACAGCACTTGGAGCATCATCACGCGAGCTAGTTTCTATCCAATCGACGACTTCTCGTTTGGTATCAGTCATGAATGGAAACGGATATTCCGCATCGTCTGCATCCATGCACGCAGTATCAGCACCAGCATCACCAATACAAACAGATAGTCCTCCTTCTGGTACAGCTATTGCTGGTGGGGGTCGTAGTGGTATACCTCACAATGCACCTACCACCAGCGGAAGTTACTATAGCAGACCCGCATCATCGTCTCCGCCTGTATCACGTAACAACACCCCCTCGTCACCTGCTTCTACATCATCGTGGAGCATGCCTTGGATCATGTCTGGATTCAATGCCCTCGCAAGTAACAACAGTAGCACGGATGTCGTTTTCCACGGTGGCGAAGGATCATTATCAAGAGGCGAAGATAGTGCTATTGTGATATATCCTACACGTGTTGAGATGGAAGCTTCGGTAGTGACACTGGATGGGTATACGGGTGAACTGGCATCACGACACAGAGAATTGCGTAGGCTGTTTACACATGTACCCGAGTCAGAGATTGTGATTGAAGGTATAGTAGCATATTCCTACTAAAGGAAAAGAATACTGGGTTGACCCTATGACATAAAAATTTTAAAATGACTGACTTATTGATTATTCAACTGTTTCTTAGCATTTCCTGCATCGCTTTATCGGCAAGCTGGAGTCGATATGACGGATCAGTCGGATGACCATTCGAATGATGATAATAGCACCTTACCACCGCCAATGGCACCACCACCAGCCTATGGATATGCTAGCGAATATGGATACAGTGGACGAGCCTATGTTACACAGAACCGTTTATGGTTTTACCATTGTTCGCTTATGACATGTCTTAATACGGTAAAAAAAAAATTGATATACTCAACGACAGCAGTAACACGGGCGTAAAGGTTTCGCAAATACCATTTTATTTACCCTGTCTCGTTTTCAACTTCCAGGTCGTTATACCTCTCGATACTATCAAGTCTGTTCGACTGGAAAAAGCCCTTTCCAATGCATCTCATGGTATGCTCATGTTTGTTGAAACGAAATCAAATCCACCAAAAACATTTTGTTTTGGTATTTGGCTTGAACCTGCTGAAGTGGTTGGTGAGCGGCTCAAAATGGCTATTGAGGCTGCTAAGGATCCCAATGTAAGTTTCAAACCCCTTCTTTTTTGGCACATGTCAAAAGGAACAGAAGAAGAGCAAGGAAGACGAGATATATGAACGTCATTATTCGCTCACTATAATTTTTCACCTATTCGTTTAATATTTAAATGTCGTGAACACACTTCTTTCTACAGAGCAACGATATTCAAAAGTTATACAACCACATGCGCTGTGTCATTCCTGGGAAAATCAAATCCAAGCAACGGCCAACAAGCCATCTAATGCAAACAAGTACATTAGATGCAGCATTGACGCCGTTGACTGTTCAAGCACATCCACCATCACCACAACCGCAGCCTTCAACAGAAATTCCTGGCAGTGGTGTTCGGCCCGTGTCACCTAAAAATGATGATATTGGAACGACAGGAAAAGAAGGAGGAGGAGGAGGGAGAAGAACTGTAGAGGATCAACAGCAACAGCAACAACAGACGGAACATCGACCATCAGCTGCTGCAGGTGCATTGACTGCGGCCATGGAAGCAGCAAATAGCAATGCCGGCAGCGCCCAGCCTTCTTCAAGCAGCAGCAGCAGCAGCAACACGGCAGAGCTGACAGCCAATAAGCAAGGAAAAAGAAAAGAGATCAAACGTAGCAGCAGTCGCGTTGGCAGTGATCAAGAAAATAGAATTGATAAGCCGTTACCACCAGGACCTGTGGTGTGCGATTGTAGCGACCATCTGGACAAAACTGAAGCCAAATTGGTCTTACCAACAAGTGCTGAAAAGTTGTTCACATACATGTTTTCGGATAAGCAGAGCGGGCCTCATGCTGGACAACGTAGTATATGGGCCAAGTTGAATGCAACAAAACAAAATAGCGGTAAGGAGAAGGAGCCTATATCTTCATTTATTAGGCGCCCTTTTCATTGTTAAGGGATTTCAAAACGTCATTTTAGTGATTAATGATTTGGCATATTCACATAACCAATAGATCCTGACATAACAGAGTGGACACTTGATACAGATGGAATGAAGGAACGAACATTGAAATATGTGATGCCATTGAACAATCCGATGGGTAAGACAGAAAACTCCCCTCTTTCTCTGATGATATGTGGTATCCAAGTTAATATGCTCCATTATGGAGGAATACTGACTTTTTTTTTTTCGTATGGCATAGTCAAAACACGCGACACAGAAGTAGTTGAGACGCAAAAGATTATAACCGAACATAAGCGAACGTAAGATAGAAAGATTTTCCTTTTTTTTCTGATCATGACAACGCCTGGATCTCATCTTTTTTCTTCTTCTTGTGTTGCAGCTGCTATGTTGTTGTATCTTCAACCAAAACGCCAAGTTTACCGTATGCAGATGCCTTTATACCATGCATCAAGTATTGTATCACCTACGTTTCAGAAGCTGAGTGCCAACTTTCCTGCTGTATGGGTGTCAAATGGCTTAAAAGTATCATGGTCAAAAGTAAGTGTGATAAAAAGGAAAAGCGGGGAGGATGATTAAGGATAAATGCTAAACCCTATATTTCTTCAATTAAGCTATGGTGAGTCGAGCAGCAACAAAAGGCATGTCTGATACAATCAAAGCACTTGTTCCGTTGATTGAGCATGATGCACTCTTGATAAATCCCCGTGATACTCCATCACCGGCTAGTAAAAGAGATCAACAACGCAAACAGCATGAACAGCGTGAGATGCAACCAACACCTGCGCCAAAAATGGATAACATACCGCCTGCCAAACTGCGGAAACAAGTGCTGATTCCCAGTGCTGGTCGACTGTTCATTGTATGCGTCGTAGTCTTGTTTTTCTATGCGCTAATCAAGCGATATCATCCATGGTACCGCATCCCACCACATCAGTATCCACAAAAAGAGCCATCTTCTTCGACACAATTGATTTGGCGTGCTGTTTTCCTGCGGGACTTGGAGGACGGATTGATTGTTAGTCGTGCGTATGATGGTAATGACGATTATGACAATACCAATAGCAATCGTAATGATACTATTCATCGTCGTCGAGCAATGCCTGCATTGGAGCATGTGAATCCCAAAATATTCCGTACATTCGAAGAGCACCGGAATAGCAAATGGTACAGCATGCGGCATCAACTGATGGGGGCTGAATTGACATACACGCGTGAGCGGCTAGGTGCGCTTCGATACGAAATCCTGACGGCGTTTAAAATGCTCAATATGATGGATCAGAAAATATTAGAGAACGAGTATTGGAATTGGTTACTGGATGAACGGATGCGTTGTGAAAACTTGACTGCCGCTGCAACTGGTGGCAGTGGTACTAATGATGCAGTATGTGCTGACATCATTAAAGAAGCCGAACTTGCATAATAAAAAAGCTTTGTATTTTAATCGGATGTACAATTTAGCAATTATTGATAGATGGTCGAAGTGGTAATAAAATACAACAATAGATCAAAGAAATGCCAAGAACTTGTCACTCTATGCAGCCCCTTCCCATGTGGAGTCAAAATATCGCTTGGTTGCCCTGTCGATCACGTTTCACAAGAGCCACAGCCAGTCCATTGTTCTAGCCACTTTTCTTGCGTGTCACACGAGTGTGATTTGATCACCGTCGCCTCCATTTGCCAAAAGAGAATTCCGGCTGTACCGTGTCAATTTGCCAAGGCTTTCTTTTTTTTCCTTTTTTCGAGCTCTCAATCTCTCTCTCAATCTCTCTCTCTCTCTCTCTCTCTCTCTCTCTCTCTCTCTCTCTCACTCATCAGATGAATCCACAAGCATCTTACCCACCACCACCTACACCTGAAGGCTGGTATGTATATATTATAAACAACTGTTTATTTCATTCACGCAATACATAAAAAAAAAGAATGGTGGTAATAGTAACGAAACCCATTAACTTGAATAATAGGGACGCAGTCTGGGACCCCAACTCGCAACGCTATTATTTCGTACAAATTGCGACGGGTGTAACGCAATGGGATCCACCTACTGGTAATCCTGGTAGTGGCGGTATGGCCATGCCTGGTACGGGTGGCAGCATGCCCATGCCCGGCACCGGCAATGACTACAACAACAACAGCCCAGCTCCCTACGGTGGTAGTAGCATGCCAGCAGCTCATGCACCTTATGGTTCATCAGCATCACCAGCAGCCCATGCACCTTATGGTTCATCAGCATCGCCAGCACCTTCAGCAGCTTCAGCTGGAGAGTCAAACAGCTATGGCGGCGGTGGCGGACCTGCCTACAACAACCCTACCGCGACATCGATGCCTGAAGGTCAACACCAACAACAGGGTCAACCCGGACAAGCAGGTGACGAGCGTGGTCTTGGAACATTCGTTCAAAGCCCCATGGGCGGTGCACTTGCAGGATCGTTGATCGGGTAAACTATCAACTTTAAAAGAAAAAGAAGCTTTCACTTAAAAAGGGGCTCGGTGGTTCTTGAGAGTTATGACTGATGTTTGTTATTATTATCGCTAGATTCGCTGCAGGAAAAATGCTTGGCAAAAAAAATGACCATGGGAGTGGCCACGGACATGGACATGGCCATCATGGCTACCAAGGAGGTGGATATTATCCTCCTCCTCCTCCCCAGCAATCTGGTGGATTTGGATCTATTGGTTCCACCATTGGCAACCTCATCGGCGGCGGTAAACATGGTAAGGAAAAAGACACTTTCCAATCATCGGTACCTGAAATAACTTGAAATACATCGCTCATTCGATATTTGTATATAAGGTCACCACGGACAACATGGCCATCAAGGTGGCGGTCACGGTAAGTTGTTAACTTTTTGAAAAAAGTGTAATCCAGTGTCAAAAGGCGTTGAGGTTGGATAGAATAATAATATCGTGTAACCTCTTTTAGGCTTCTGGTAAAATCCGTTGATGATTCTCAACATCTTTCTCTCACACACATACACGCGCGCACACACACAGACTCATTATATCAATTTTCCATATACATTCTTATACTATATCTTTTCAATCATTTTCCCTTGCTCTCCCGCACTCTCACCCTCACCTGTATGATGTCGTTGTATTATTCTCTGTATGATTTGCATAACAAGAACCTTTTTACGGAATCCCCATTATTAAATCAGACTACAGAATTTAGTGTATACTAAAAGGATCGGTTATTGGAATAATGGTCATGATCAGCAGCAGGATATTGACACGCGCGTCATTTAACATTGCAATAAGTTTGGTAATGAGTCTGCTGTGCAAGTAACATAGAACGAAAGTGTGCAATACACTGTGCACGGATTTGAAGTACATTTGAAATTGAGTGTATGTATGGCACTTTACTCCTCCGTGTACTCAAATAAAAGCGCAGTACTCCAAATCAGCAACAAAGTATGGATCAACCGCGCAGACATTCTTTTGCGTGTTTTAGCAACATGTATGCTGCACTATATACAGATCAGTATGATTTGCGTGTCAGAAAGAGAAGTAATACGATCAGCGAAACTTAAAGCTGTTCATCGTCATTTTTGTTATATTGACAGATCAAGATGAATGTTGTTCTCCACGTCACATCTAGTAAATCTATACACCAAACCCATTTATTTCAGTCGATGTCAAAGTACGATTTGCCTAAACAAGTTAGCAGTGTTAATATTTGACATACAACATAGCTAATAAATATGCTTACCGCTCTTATTATTTGATATAGAGAGCATTTCGTATTCGATCGTCCAATACACAACTTTGGTCAACGTCATTCGAACCAAGAATATATATTTCCCATTAGTATATGTACATAGCGGACACTGACACAAAAACTAAAATGATAAACAATAACACTGCCTTCCTTCCATCTAGCAGCGATGACCAGACTACTCAACAACAACTATCATCTACCATTGAGAAAGACGGAAATGCTAAGATGATGAGGAAGACGAAGCTAACGGTAGCAACAGCGATAGTGATGCCTATATGGATTGGTGAGAGTGCATGATACTGTTGCGAATAGCTTATCGTATGTGTAGCTATATTCTTTTCTCCTTTGTACATAATTTCCTTGCCTATTCTTTTTACTGTCCAAAGTGTCGTACTTTCTTTTCTAAAAACTGTGGGCTTTTCACTCTTTACACTCGTCCCATGATAAAAGGTGTGAAATTAGTATACATATTACCCTAGTGGCTCCCAAAGACCCGGTGTATTTGTCCTGATGATGGTTATTGCTGTGTCGAGCTTACATTTTATAATTCTATTGTATTTTCAAATGGAAGTGATGATGGTTCAATCAAGAAGCAAAACAACAAGAAGAATCCAGACAGCAATGATAATACCAATGCAGTAGTGGAATCACATATTCATCAAGTGCGAGTTCATTTGGAAGAAGAAGAAATAGGAGAAGGCGAGCAAGATGGCTCCTTTCGTAGATGGCATGTTGAGTTGAAGGCCCTTCAAGCTTCAGTAGTTTCATTGAGCAGGTATCTATGCTTAAATCAAAGTATGCAAGCGAGATCTATGAAATATATCTCATCATCATTAACCTTGGCACTGCCGATTCAATCTTTCCCTTTCTGTTATTTTGCACCGTTGAAAAACAAGACACTGGTGAGTAATATAGTTCCGCATTACTGTTGCATCTGTGACCATCAAATGAATTCGTACGACATTGACACAAGAACTACTCACTAATATCAAACTACATTTATAATACAGGCGTCATCAACGATCTACTCAAAAAAAAACAAATTTGAGCAGACCAAAGAGTTTACAACGCGTTTTAACATTCATAAGAGCTATTTGCGCGCTTATTGCGCAAGCTTTGTCGCCTTCTTGTCGCCTCTTGAAAGTGACGTTAGATCCAAGAATCACGCTTTAAAAGCAGGCACATCGGAAAGATCAGTGCAAGCTTTTCGATCCAGGTGAAACCCAAAATGATAAGAAAATTGTGTTGTGATAAGCTACGTGCAGGAAGAGTGAGAGAGACGAACAGCTGAAAAAAAAACATTCCAATTTTTTACAGATCTGACAATTATACAGGTCTGCTGGCGTATGCTCTGGCGTTGCCTCTTATAAAATAACCGACCATATCCTCGATAACAATTTTTTTCTTGACAATTGCTTTGGCCATTTAGGCGAACACAGAAAGTGAAAAAGAGTGCCAAAGCATTGTGATCGTGTTACTTTCGGCTACGATACAGAGCCACTGTCACTGTTCCCCGCTTTGTTTAGCACGGAGCTGTGAATGGATGGAGGGGGGAGTAATTAGCGAAAAAAGAAAAAGGAACTTGTCGTGCACATAAAAAAAAGGCGAAGCAAAAAGCGGTAAAACGTTTATGCGGAAAGTGCGAAAAAGAAAAATATATTTTTATTTTGTTTATCATTTTCTTATTTGTGTGTAATAAATAATAAAAAAAAAGTTCGTTTCAATTATCCCAACATATACCGTTGGCATCACATGCACCCGAAGGTTCACGATCGGCTGCCGGAGTATATGACCACATTCCCACTGGTATATATTGCAAATTTTCTTCAGGGCGCGGACCACTGAATCTGCCGGTCATCAGAAGAATTATGACAATAGCCAGCACAAGCAATGACCCGATCATAGCACAGAGCAGTGCATCTGTACTACAGATCAAAGCTGTACCAAAACGAACTAAAGAGAAGAGAAAAAAGAAAGGCGAAATTGCTCGCTTTATATAGACATTTTTTCTCGTTCGGGACTTCAAATCCCCGTGAATTCTCATTGGCCCAGATAACGGGTTGCGTATCAACTTGTGGGCTGCCTACTATGGCATAACAAAAGATACAGCACCAAAGGAAATGAAAGGAGGAGTGGTACCTGATGGTCAAGTAGACAAGCGTGCTTCGGCGGTAGTGGTACGTGTCTCTCACCATGGGCTGCTGTACCTCCGATGCTGTCGCCGCTTGGTTGTGAGGGGGTCCGTGCACGGCACCGTGTCAAGCGAAAACAAAGACACGAATGTGAATGAGCAAGTAGATTCACGGAAGAAATGCTTTTCTGTGAGCAACCAAATGGCAATACAGGAGTGATTGACGAGGTAAACAATTTAACAGATTCTACGGCATCAGTTGCTTAGTAAATATCAAGGACACGATCCTCCCAGCAGCCAGTTTCCATTTCACCCAACAAGATAAACAGTATAAAGCGTAGTCCACAGACGAATCCATTTTGCTAGTATCTTTTGACTGCATGTGCGGTGTGCGGGAATAGATACAACACACACTTGACTCCAACGCTGCAGTGTACCAAAGATCGTTATCTTTTACTGTGAAGCGTGCTTGTCTACTGTTGCTTTATAATTTTCGCCATCCGCCAACAGTTCTCTGAACTACGCCGTGTGACCTCCCTCCGTCCATTCCGAATTCATACTCTATCCAAGTATGTATGTGCTGCCGCAGATAAGCTGTCCGCTCATGGTAAGTATACGCTGCCGCTAGTGAAGTTGACTCACCCTTCACTGGCTTTCATTGCTGCTGATAAAGTTCTTTTTGAGCAGCGTTCAAAATCCATTGGGACGATCAGGAGAGTAACATTATAAGCAATGACTTCCTACTGTACATCTTTCGACCCTTTTGCACGTAATTCGTTGCTCCATTGATCACCTTGTTCACCCGCCATTCCTTTGTGCACTTTGAGTACCAAGTAAATTGGCGCTTTCACTCTACGGAGTTTTCGTTTCAGGGGAACGTTCGAGGTTTGACAGACGCACCACTTTGTCACTATCCAAAAAAAATGATCTAGACTACCTTTGCTTCCTGCTGGTTTACTTCCTTATGCTTGTCATCGGTATGGGTTTGTGCGTACGCGCTCATAGCCTTCGTTATGTATTAAGAAAGAGAAACGTAGCGAACCTTCCCCTACTGTTGTTGCCTATGTCCACAGCAAAATACACATTGTGTCTCTGACCTTCTCTTTGCAGACTTCTTGAGTCGTTGCCGAATTAGTGACGTTATAATATAGCCCGAGAATAAGATCCATACTATACCCTGCTCTTTTTCAGTTGCGCTTTGATATACGTAAGTAGCACCGTTTTGACTATACATTCTGTCACACTTGGCTTAACATATGGTCCCTTTTGGTAAAAATTACGATCCAAATGATTTTTTTTACTTTGTCTTGTCTCTAGATGCCACAAAATATCAACTTTAGAAATAAGATGGAGAAAACAGAAAAGTGTGCTGGGGTCGAGCAGCTTCTTCGCTACAAAGCTTCTCCCAGCAGTAACTCCATTCACGATCGGTGCATTGATTGGTGGCAAGGTGGCATATTAATTAAAGTTGGCAGGAATAGTGTGTGCTACATGCGTTTGTTTTGAGCTATGTAGTAGGACTTGCCGTATAATGGACGCTTCAAGGCTACGTTTTTTGGTAATTCTATTGCATCATATTATGAGCTACTGATCCGATCAGTATACGGAAATGTTAACCAAGCTCATGTGAGCTTTACCAATATGTATGTCAAGAGAAGTACCTAGTCTCTAGATCGCATTCAAAGGCGCTGTGTACCTTGGACGACGACTGATAATGAGCGCCGAAATGACTATCTGTCCCTCTAATTGGATCGTCGTTTGACAGAAATATATAATTACCAAGAGTCCGGGAGCCCAAGGATTATGATGTTGGGGAATCATTTGGTCATAAAATGTATGGACAGTAGCATATCATCAAATAGACAATCATAGGACAAGACGGGCGGTGGGAATAAGGACGTTAACCAGCATCCAAATTTGGGTTGTATCGTCTTTTAATATAATGAGGATAATCATGAAATATCAGCAACAACCCATTGGAAAAGAAACGTCATATATTGGGCAAGAAAACCATGGCAACTATCATTTACATTTTTAAATGCGGTGCTTCCCGTTCCATGCACCACCATTTTATCGATCATAAATGCCGCGCAATGTTTTTTGTTGATAATTACGCCTTGCGGTATCAAGCGAGGCGTGCCCTTTCCCCATTATTATCGAGCAACTGATGAAATACCTTGTAGCCGAACTAATTACATAGTATGGTGTCTGCAGAGAGACATTACCGAAACTACAATACATTTACGTGTAATACAATAAAGTTCATAACATTTTAATATGTAATATAAAACCTCTTACAAAAACACGACATTGTTGCGAAATTGAGAGCAAAATTGCAGTTGCTGCAAATGTTTATTTTTTCAAGTTCTACCTCCAGTAGATGTTAGTATCCGTATTAACTTTAACTGCTACCAATGACTCTAGATATACTAAAACACCTAAGTTGAATACTATCATATTTCTATAAGGATCGCTATGAGAAACGAACCTTTCGGGATAAAAGGCAGTTTTTTTGTATTCTTCGTTCACAAGCTCATCACATCCAGCCACATATGCAGATGATGTTGTCATCCATTCATTAGACTATACATAATCAGAAAAAATGTGGCATCATCATCGCTTATCGTGTTTATACTCTATATATGTAATATTGCAAATAACAACAACAGGAGAATGCTGGTTTTTTTTAAAGAAAAAAGAAATTGTTATTAGCCCTCAAAGCGGAAAGGACACAACAAATTATTTGAGAAAGCTTATGTTCAACAGTGTACTTTATCATCCCTGTCCCTATCATAATGTAACTGATATAACCTCCTGCACCTACCTGTAGCTAATGAAACACGTATGTAAATACAGATTATACAAATAATAATAAATGCTGAGATGTACATGCCATCTTCTAATTATATACCCAGCACACCAAGCAAACGCATGCTGAATTCTAATATTATCATACGATGAGCTGCTTGAGCCAAACATCTTCTGTACATGCGCATACACTCACAGAACTACGGACATTCTAATCCGAATGATAGACAACGGACCTCTCTTGCTAAGTAATATGCACATTGTACCTAATAGTCTAGATGCACTTCATCCCCTAAATAAACTTACTGTGAATGAAACTTTGATTTTGACCGGACATATCATCAGTAGTAATAGTGTTTAGTAGTGGCATGTTTGTTTTGTTGCCCACATAAGCTTGCGATCAGGCAGCAGTGTGTATGTTACATGGAAGCTTAAGCAGCAGCTTAGCGGAGAGTTCACTTTATTGGTAACAAATATGTCAGTGTCATAAAGGAGCACTTACTGCGGCAAAGGAAGCACTGTAGATTTGCCGTCATGATATATAACCAGATTACTAACGGCGGGAGAGTGCGGCACACCCTTAGAACTAAAAAGGTTACACTTTGTGTAAGATGAAAAGGCAAGGGTTCGTGCAACTTTGAATCTTTATGTAGTCATCGTAATAACTCAGGATCGCTTCTTTTATTTCCACTATGTTCTATCTCTTTATCAGAGTAGCCATTTCTCGCTTTCCGGACACTTTTGAACATAATGTATGTAGATCATAACCAGCACCAAAGAAAAAGGGGGAAGATGTGCGGTTTATATGTAATACTCTAATGTATGAAATACAAGCCATTAATAAGTAGAACTTTGGGCACCTGTTTGGAGGGGATCTACATGGGAGAATGTGTTGTGCTGTGCTTGGATACAGCATATACATCGAGTACCTACTACTAGCTGCTTAAAACCCACATGGCTAAAACATATCTTGAGAAGGAGCTTAGCTTGTAAGAGTACGAGGAGGACATGTGGTTGGCTGGTTCATTCCAGGACCACCCATACCCATCCAAGCACACGATTCGGGCAGTTTCGGACATTGGAGGGTCGGCGAAATAAAATCCATAAACAAACAGCTGCTGGTTTCATTTTTTTTTCCTTTACTCCAGACCAACCACAACAACCAGGGCCCACTTAACACCTAATACGATACATTCAAAAAAAGAGAGGAATCCCTTGGTTTTAATTAAACAACCCTCTACAACTTTTTTCTTTCCCTTTCCTCCCCACTCACGATTAAAAAGAGAAACGCGCTTCGTCATGACTGACAGTGGCTATTTCGGCATGTCCTCGTCCAGGTCGTCGGTGTTATCGTCGACTTCTTCGCCTGGAAAGAAGTTCCTCCGTCGTAATTCAGCCCCAAGTGTCGAAGCGCTTAACGACAGCTACTTTGACACGCCCTCCGTTTCGACTGATCGCACGTCATTGTTTGGGAGCACCACACTTTCACCTTCGTCGTCGGTATGCCCTTCGCCCACTACATCGACGAAAATTGCACGCACTCAACAGCATCGTTTGAATGCGGCTCAGGAACAACGAATGTACCACGATAGCTGCCAACGACTCTTGGGACACATTACCTCTGTCATGGGTATCTGTGAAGACCTTCAGTTGTCCAACAAGGAGCACTTTCCTATCCGTTACCCAGCATCCATGATTAAACAACGCTCTAATGACCGTCCTATGCCCCAACGTTCACAGACGATGATGGTTCCACCTGTTCAACAACAAGAGCTGGAAACAGCATCGCAACCTGAAGAGCCCACAACATCATCATCCTCGGTCATGGAAGCATTGCGCCGCTCGTCCATTCACTCTTTGGAAGAATCAGCTACGCCCTTTGCCCGTCAGTTAGAGCAGCATCGATTGTTGACCAGCGATATTGCCAAAGAACTCAGTATTCTCAATCTGGATTTGAAGATGGGTCACGCCTCGACGGATTTGACAGCGCTCGAGACGCAGTCGATTGCAAACTTACTGGATGACCGGCTTCAGCAATGCTTACGCCACCTTGACAATCTTCGCACCCGCGTTGCCGATACCTCATCCAAGGTGCTTGTCACTGGCGATTTGAATGCCGGTAAAAGTACCTTTGTGAACGCACTGTTGAAACGTGAAATCTTGCCCGCCGATCAGCAACCGTGCACGAGCATGTTTTGCGAAGTTCTGGATGCCATGCTGAACGACGGAGTAGAAGCCATCCACGCCATTCCCGATGCCAACAAGTACAACCGCTTGGACCCCAGCACTTACCACGAGGTGGAGATGCGACACATGTTCAAGGTCGTTGCCGACGAAGGCGACAAGTACAAGATGCTCAAAATCTATACCAGCGATGCTCGCACCACACAAGAAAGTCTGCTCCATAACGGCGTTGTCGATATTGCTCTGATCGACTCGCCTGGTTTAAACACGGACTCAATCAAGACCACTGCTGTGTTTGCACGCCAGGAGGAGATTGATGTCGTTGTATTTGTGGTCAGCGCTGAGAATCATTTCACTTTGTCGGTACGTAGTAAAACAATAACTTCCGGGTCAGGGTTCTTCTTGTGTGGGTTATTGAGCTCAGTGGCCTAGTAAGCGCACTCTGAAGGGGAAAAAAAATTTGTTGGTGTTGCAATAGAATCGAATGACTCATGTCACACATTGTATTAGGGCAAGGAATTCCTGTGGAACGCAGCAAATGAAAAGACCCACATCTTCATTGTTGTGAACCGATTTGACTCGATCCGTGACAAGGAGCGCTGCAAACGCTTGATTCTTGACCAGATCCGTCAACTGTCCCCTGCCACCTATGCGGATGCCGATGATTTAGTTCACTTTGTCAGCGCAGGCGATGTCGACTTGCAGCCTGGCGGATCGAGCAAGCTGGATGCTCCCGAATTTGCCCGATTGGAGCAACGTCTTCGTGCCTTTGTCCTTGAGAACCGTACCAAATCCAAACTTTCGCCTGCCAAGCACTATCTCGTCAACTTGCTTGGTGATGTCAATGCCTTGGCTGAGGCCAACAAGACCCTTGCTCAAGAAGAACACGAACAAGCCCAGTTCGAGCTCGAGAAGGATCTGCCTGCCTACCAAGGTCTTTTGAAGGTGCGCGACCGTTTGCTCCATCACGTCGAGCGTGTTGCTGAAATGACAGTCTTGGGTATTCAAAAGCATACGCGTGATGCTCTCAACACTGCCGTCGAAGGCATTTCATCCACAGCCGATTCGATCGAGTACCCCGGTGTCTTTTTGGTTTGGCAATACGCACAGGATATTGCTGACTCGCTATCCCAAGCCTTGCTCAAGCAGGTCCGTCAAGCCGAAGACGAAGCACGCGAAAGCACAAGCCAATGCATTGATCGTGTGCATGATATGGGCACTGAACATCTCGGCAACTACCCACGCGCTGCTAACGTTGACAAGATGTGTCTCAAGCGCCGCGATCGTCGTGTTCAAATCGCCGTCGAGGCGACCGACTTTTTCGACTTTTCTCTCGCACTAGATGATAAAATGTCAGGCTGTGCCTTATCATTGGGTGCCGTTGCCATGGTCGGCGGCCGGTTGATGGGCATCAAGGATGCGCTGTCCAACTTTTGGAGCGTATCGAACGCTGTGGGCCATCGCAACATGCGTCAGATTGCCGTGCCTGTAGTAGGCATTGCCAGTGTTGGTATGCTTGTCTACGTCATCTCCGACATGCGCTATGCTGTCAAGCGCAAGTTGATCCGCAAGTTTACCGAAGCTGTCCGTGAACAGGCTTATGTTGAAGGCCAGAGCAGCCGTATTGGCCGTGAGGCTCGCAAGGTGATGCGCGTCGAAGGGTGGGAGATCCAGAACAGACTCGTCCGTGCTATTGAAAGCAAGGAAAAGAAGCGTGGAGAGATGGAAGCCAAGGCTGCTCTGTCGCAAGAGACGATTGTATACTTTGATGGTGTGTTCAACAAGTCGGTTTTGCTTCTCGACAAGGTCCATACCATCCAAGTGAATCAGCACAAGGCTGTTTCTGCTTAAAGAAAAAGTTCTCAAATACGCATGCTCTATTATTCTTTCCCCTCACACTCTTTAACTCGCACAAGCCCCTAAATATCATATCTACATATCTATCTACCCCTTCCCTCTCTCTCTCTTTCTCTCTTTCCTAGATCATCTTTTCCCCCTCGATTATATGTATAGCCACCCTCCCCCCATCTCATTCTTCCCTTACCCCACCAAAAAAGACTTCTTTTTCCGTTTTATTTGTAGTTTTAAATATTTATTGTTATATGTTTTATCATTTTTGCACAACATGTTTTCCTATGGCATTGGGATGTTCAATATCAAAGTCACGTCGCAAAGAAGAGTAAATCATATCAATTAGCAACAGGACAGATCCCAGGTTGTATACTAGAGTGATGGCATAAAAGAAGTTGGCGTTGCCACTGCCTGCATACAGCCAAAGATGCCAAAAGATGGGCGCCAACACCGATGAATAGAGGTAAATGTTGGTGACGAGGAAACCGTATCTAAAGTCTGCATGAAAATACACACGCACGAGGTTTAGTATTGCATAGGCCGATAAGGTGGGTGTGGGAAGAATGCGCTGCTTACATGTAAACAGTTCATCGTGAAGTGGCAATAACCCGAGAAACAATGCAGCATCGCCAACAGCTGGATAACTCTTGAATACTGACATGATGCCACACAATACGGTCACTATGAAAAGTGGTTGATGCCTATCGTAGAGAAAGGGAATCAGCTTATTTGACATCTACCACTTGTTTGAAACGCTACAATCCTCCCGAAAGTCATCATACCGTAATTTGATACACAGTGGCGCGACAAAAATGAACGCATGGAATTGGAAAACAACCATGAAAAACGATCGGAACTGATCAAAGATTTCAATGAAAAAGTACCAGAACATGCCCGAGTTGGGTGTGAGATCTGAGAGAAAGAGACTTCATCGATGCATACACATATCAATATCCCAGCAGTACTAGATCATTTTGTATATAGCTAATTGTTCGCTTACATGACGCCATAAGTTGCCTTGATAAAGTCCCACGATCCTACCAACCATCGCGATAGCCCGAGTAAGCCGGCAAGACTGGCGATAAATGTGGTTACCATACCTAGAGACTATTTATTGTATCATTTCTTAGATCCACGATAGACGCTTCTTTTTTTACTCGAAAAGGAACATTCTCCTCCGTACCTTGGATGATGGTTGCATCAATACAAGCGGTGGAACTAGCATGGCAGGATATAACCCAAGGTAAGTGGCAAAAGCAATCCAACCCATAGCCATGGCGCGACGATCTAAAATGAAGGCACACACACACACACACACACCAACATCAATAATTACAATCCATCTTTCTTGCCTCCGTATGTGATCCATTCCCTCCAGAGCAACAAGTCTCGATACCAGCTCCCGAAAAATCATGTTTACCTCGTTGAGCACATAATATTGCCATGACGATACTCAAGTTTGAAAAGATAATTGATGATCGTGATACACATGAAAGTACAGTAAAAGGATTAAACAGGTACAAAGCAGCGACTAGATGCGGTTGGAGGGTGTTGCCGTTGTTGTTGTTGGTAGTGGCATTGGTTTCATTGGATAACGGCGTGGGTTGAGGTTTCGTTTGTTTGATTCGGTATAGACAGTGAGCGATGGTGATATCTATGAAGCTGTACAAAAGCGGGATGGTGTAATAGTTTGGAATACTCGTCAAAAAAGAAAATATGCTGAGCAGTAACGGTGCCTGTTTGACAATTACACGCGTTGTTCTTGTAAGTATAAAGTATTAACCAGTGCCTGTCACCAGATCCCCGTCTCTCAATCTCGCTACCTGATGAAATAGACCGCCATCGTATGGTGGTACATTGCTGTCATATAAGTATACGCCTTCGGTTACTATTGTAATATAATTAGCGATTCCAAAAGAAAATAAACGTTGTGGTTGGTTTTATGCTAACTGCGTGTGTATGCGCTTGGCTGATAAACTTACGTCGCTTATAGCTTGTTACCGGTGTCGCGAATTCCACGCGTTGTAATAACGTATCGGCTACAGACGGAAAACTGAATATTGCTAGCCGAAGAACAATCGCGGCCGAGTAGAGGATGGCATGACTCCTGCACCCGCGATCGATTATGCCCATGGATTGATTTGGTGAAAAGAAAGAAGTGAACTTGTACTGCCCAACCATGGTGGTGATTGTGAAGAATAATTAGGGAGCCGCTGGCTTGTCTGAGCATACACATATACGGCGCGTGCATTATACCCGGCGTAGCGCCCTCTCTCTCTCTCTCTCTTCCGTTTCATTCATGCACGTTGATTGGACACTAACCCATCTTTTTGGGCTAATGGAAACCAGCAACAAAAAGCACAAGGTCGCTTGACACACCAAGAGCTGGATGTCAAAAGCCAGAACATCAGGTCTCTACTATGACAACAAGTAGGTCACATGTACTTGTTTACTATACAACAGCACTTGCGCATGTTTGCGGCGCGTATCAAATCTTTTTTATTTTGACTATACCATAGTTCATTCCTCATTTATCTATCTTTCTTTTCCCATTTCTCCTGTAAAGAGTTGGACGCAGACTACCACTACTTCCGCCACTGGATACTGCTTGATATCGCCTTTAGCCACTACATACTATGGAGCACTCAGATTCCCCTATACGCAGAGGACAGAGACCCAGAACCGTACACCCATCTTTGTCGGATCATCTGCCAGCAGCACTCGTCCCGCGCAGGACACGACCATGGTTTATCAATGGTACAATACGAGAAGAGCAGGTAACATCACCAGCAGTAACATCTCGACAACCACGAGCAGAGAATCAGCAAATTCTGCCGTCATCGTGTATCCTTCGTTCGCGACGACCCATGCTAATAATTGAACGAGAAGAATTGCCAAGCAGCTCCTCCTCTGGTCATAGCAACGATGACAGCAACGAAAGAACATCACGGACAGAATCACAAGTAAGCGAAGATTTGGCACGGATGAGTCTTGCAAGCATGGATAGCAATAACGGGGCTACTATACGGCAGCATGACGATCCTTCTTCCGAACAACTTGCGCTTCCTCCTGGCCCTGTTACTTCTGTTGGACGTCAACAAGGATCCGAACATTCACTGGATGGCATCGTCAATCTTTGCCTCAATACAAAGAACCTTCCCCGATCAGCCCTTGAAAGTATTCTTGTTGCCGACTATGCCAGTCAACTGAAAGAGCATGACTTTGTTGAGCTCGTGCCCCAGGTGAATCGATTGGTTGAAAAACGCAAAAAAGAGCTGGCAGAAGAAGAAGAGCGCCGCAACAACGACCACAGTGGCTCCGTCTCCAATGACGACACTTTGCAATGTCCATTTTGCTGCAATGCCCCAAAGAATTGTCTGTTTCTGGATTGCGGTCATTTAGCATGCTGCATGCCTTGTGGTGAAAAAGTAAATGGATGATAGGAGGAGTGGTTCTTGCTGTTTCATATACATCAACAGCATTTGTGTATCATTGACGAAAGTACTAACTCTTTGATCGATGCCATATTACTCTCTATGTTTACCGGAAATCAACAAACACAACAGCAACGCGCCTACAACGGAAACGAGTGTCCTCTTTGTCGTCGACATGTCTCTCGCTTGATTCTTGTATACCTCTCTTGAAGAAGTTAAAAATTTCAGATAAAAGAGAGAGAAAGCAATGCATCATGTACAGTGTGTTGTATCCCCGTCTTTTATTCTTACTACTTTTACATATCCTCGCATTAACGAAAATCACATTTTTCTATGCTGCACTATCATATCTGTATATAAAAAAAAATAAGCAGCGGATCATATTGAGTCTGCCTTTTTTTTACGGCGACAATGTTTACATATTATATAGTATACTGTAACAATGATATTGTTATGATATCAGTGTTGTGATTTATATATGCCTATATCTAGCTTATTGTCAATAATACAGTATAAAATTGTCTTTCAACGTCAATGGTAAAGATGTCATACATGTGGTATGTAGCCTGACAACGACACTTTCTATCATAGCCTTGTCATCATGACAAATGGGAGCATTCATTCAAGTAATACGCAGCGACTAAAAATCACAGGTTGAATGCATATGCAGTATTCAACAATAGTCGTCATAACACTCAACAGCAACATCACCATCCTAGTCAGCTGTTGTTATTTTCACTTTTTTGTCTACAATCTACCGAGTACAAAGCCAATGTAGTACCTGGATAACATTGTCGCATTAGTAAACAAAATGGTGACAGCCCCTCCCCTCTTAAACGCGCTTGACATCATAACATCCACTCATGCGGGGTTCATCGTTTCTTTTCTCATATATATTGCATTCCTTACGTCACCAATTCAGTGCTCTCAGAGTTCTATGTAGATACGCTTGGTTTTGGAACCTCTAGCCATGACGCAGAGGCAGGACAAAAGTGTCTTCTTTTATCACATAAAAACGAGGCAGTTGCTGTAATTTTTAACCCATTTGATGGTTTAGAATATCGCAGATCCAACTCCCGCATGATGATGTAATAATTACTAAAACTGCTGACAGATCTTATGCCCTTTATATATAGGACAGTTCCAGATTAATAGAGATATTAAATTTCATTGTCCTTTTTGCCTCTACATCCTAATATTGCTCGATCAAACATGTCCTCCGACGATAGCAAGCGAAACAAAGAATGGGCCCGCTTTGAGGAAGAAAACCGTAAATGGCACGACGAGCAACAGAAACGACAGAAAAGTAAAGACAAAGAATTTGACCAATGGCGAGATCGATGCGAGGAAAAGCGAGAGGAACGGGCCAACGAGTTTGATCAATGGAGACAAGAACAAGAAGATCGGCGTGCGGTGCGACAAAAAGAGTTCCACGAGTGGGTTGAAAGTCGACATCGCAAAGGGGAGGAAGAATTTGAAAAGTGGCGACAAGAACAAGAACGCATCCGTGCCAAACGTCAAGAAGAGTTCAAGGATTGGGTTGATACACGCCATGCCAAAGGTGAAAGAGAATTTGATCAGTGGCGACAAGTGAATGAGCAACGACGTGCTGAGCGCCAAGAAGAATTCGACAACTGGCTTGCGCAACGAGAGCACTAGCAACCTAGTACGTTGTTTATTGCATAGCCATTAATCATTTTTATTGGCTTTGTTAGTACATAAGCCATACCATGACTCAATGTTAACATTATGCTAAGTACAATACTGGTGGCAGAAATGAACATCATTGTGTAACTTGTATGGATCATACAGTCATTATAACATTTTCCTTCTCTCACTTTCTCTCTGTAAAGCCTTACATTATTAAACCATTTAATCATCAGAAATCTATACCGCGCATACAATTATCTATAAAGAAAGTTGATGGATAGTATGATTCTATCTGCGATAAACAAGGATTATAGTACTAAAGAAGGTCATCTTAAGGGGTAAGCTAAAATGACTGGGGTGGTCTACAAAAACATGCTACATGTTGCGGCTGGAGTGACGAGCAGTGCTAAAATGGTATACGGTTGCCATGGCAACCATCCTAGTCCTATCATAGATCCGCACTTTGCTAGAGCTTATGGGGTGTCGCAGCAAAATTTCCTGGTATGCTGTTACATTGGCCCCTCCTTCTTTTGATGAGGATAAATATATAAAAGGCCTCTTTCTTTTATCAGCCTAGCTCTCTCTCTCTCTCTCTCTCTCTTTCTCATGAAATATCCCTATACCGCAGACCGCAACGCAGAATGACCACGAACCGTTTACAGCTCATTGCATTGGACAAAGAAGCTCAACGTCAACTGGCTCGCTACGATTACGACAACGCGCTTCAAACTGCTCAACAAATGATGAATCTCGATGCCACCTACGATCGAGCATATTACAATGCCGCCATTGCTCATTTGCAAAAGGGAGATTACGAAGCAGCAAAGCGTAACGTGGAACCTTATCGAAATATACCGGACTTTGTCGGTATCTTTACTCATGCAACGAAACAACTACAGATACAAAAGCGGCAAAAGGAGGAAAAAGAACGACGACAAGACTTTTCGAGCACTGGGTTTCGACAGGATTTCACGAACGTTTTATCTTACGAGCTTATATGTCAAGTGTTTGAAGAAGCTCTGCAAGACGGTTTCACGGAATTTGTTCGATATACGCGTGTCAGTCGCAGATGGCGCGCGATCCTCATGAGTGATGACATTTGGAAGCGTCAAAAACGTCTGTTTGCAAAGAAATTTGGATGGAAGGCAGAACAGGAATCCATGCTTGAAGCAGGGCTTTTTCATCACGAGCTGGCACTTTCTGTTTCGTCTACCATGACAGCGAATAATGGCTTAAAGGAAATAATGGAAACAGGAACATGTGAATTGGCGCGTACAGGTACAATATGCAGTTGGGTGCTTGTGCATACTTGTGTCTACGTCTTTTATACTGATTAATGTGCATGCATACTTTTATTGAATAGTTCTTTCTGGGCCAATGGATTGGATACTCAAAGTGATCGACTCTAATGCAACCACCCTACGGGATGTGGCCATCTGCAATAAGCCGTGCGGCGACGATACCATTGATCTTTTACGGTCATTATCGAAATGCAAGAAATTGAGCCGTTTATGTCTGAAGAATGTCAACATCACGCAGCTCAATCCTAAATTATCCAATGTCACGCACACGCAAAAAAGCAGACATCTCAGCTCTTTGCTCAGTCCGCTTAAAAACCTCGACTTCCTCAAGAATTTACGGTTGACCCGTCTCGAACTTCGTCCAATCCCTGTGCAAAGCTCACTCATGAAGAATTGGATCAACGTGCAGTCATTAGTGGAGATTTTACGCTGTTGCCCTTACCTTCAAGAACTGTTGATCGACCCGAGGAGCTACGAAGAAGGAAGTACATTGCGTATCCTCCAGGCATGTCCACCGAGCCTTGTATTGCTCTCGATTGAACACGATGACTACAATAGCTCTCGAGAATTACCAGTACTACAACTACCAACAACAACAACAACAACAAAACAATCACTATGGATAGTAGCAGCACCAGTATCGCCACCTCCTTCTCCGCCTGTCACCTTCAGCTACGGCAAAACAAGTAATGTAAAAGGTTCATTGCGACATCTCACAATCCAGATTGACACGAGCCACACACTAGCGTACGATGTTAATGCTGCGCTCGATCAGTTTGGACAAAATCTCGAGACACTTCATCTAAGCACCTGTGTACGGCAGATGTCAATTGAAACACTTACCGAACTGATAGAAGAGATTGTCTGGCATTGTCCTCCATCAATTCGTACGTTGATATGGGACTTGCCGATAAATCAACAATGCTGGCAAGTGCTGGCTAGTCCTATCATGTTACCACATCTTGAGCACTTTGTTTTCCAAGGTTGGAAGCATCCTCTATGTCGTGACGTGAGCCAAGAGGAGCTAGCCGAATTCTTCCATAAGGCTACAAAGCAAGAAAGAACAACATTGTTACGTCGAGTGGAGCTCCACCAATGTGGTTCGGCGATCGATACAGAATCTATAAATGCCATCACTGCACTTTCAGCGCTGCAATCTTTGCGAATTACAGGGTCATTGGACGATGAACAGGTTTCTTTATTGAAACGCGTTCAAAACGAGCATCGACATCTGGAAATTGTCTATGACAAAACAAAGCAGTAGCAGGAATCGTAATTATTCAGATATATATATATATATATATATATATATATATAGCGGTATCATACAAATGGTCTTCATGTAAATAAAAGCTTGAAGTATATATTATGTGGAAGTTTTCTCATCAATAAGGGACTGCTATCATATTCTCCATTCGTAAATTGTATTCTCTGCTACATGCTACTTGAACAGCACCATGAGTATGTGCCATAATTTAGTTTGCCCTGGTTATGGTTAATATTTATGACGTCCCAAAGGATAGCACGGTCTTCACCCTCTCGTCACAGCATCAAGAAATCCCAGTAGCAATAAAAAATCAGTAGCTGAGTTATTATGCATAGCCTGCAGTATATATTATAGTGAAACCTCCTATGTACCAGTACTTTTCTGCAACGCGTTGTGGTTCATTTGTAATTAAGGCGAGATTGACAGCTCTGGCATTTTAGACTTGCAATGACTTTGGTCAAGAGACGCGGCATCCAAAGGAATACACGAGGATAGTACAGCGGTCTCGGACTCGAACATTTTGATAACAGCAAAGAATGGATCAGGCGGCAGCACCCAGAACGCTCCCCCATTGTATTCTTTAGAGCACCTTTGAGCTACAATCCGTGCTTGCAGCTGTCTGAAGTATTTGTCTAGTACATCATTTCTTAAATTCTCCATTATTTCAAGATCGCTATACGCTATTAGTGTAATGATGCAATATAAACATCGAGCAAGCGTTACTTTATTAATCAGCATTAGTGGATTCATCGATCACCGTCCGCACAAAATGTTCTTGTCTCTTACCATTCTGCAAAGCATTTCGATCGCTATTTTCAACTTCATTTTTGCTGCCTCCGTCATCGCCACTGTCTCCAGTCTCCAAATTCATCCACAATTTCAGCCATATCTTCAGTACAAGCGCAGATGCAAAAGCCATTTCTGTCAAAGAAAAATAACTTTATGGATGTGATCGCTCGTTCATCGTACTGACATTGGTACGCTGAAGCAGCTTGAGCTTCATAACTATCTTTATCAGACACCGACTGGAGATGAAGCGCTTTCTGTTATACTGTCTGCCCCCATTGTCAGAGACAATTGCTGCTGGTTGAAGTATCGGTATATTCTTCTCCTTGTCTGCTGAAAGACAGTCTAGAGACTGACGAGAATCCACGTTTTCTTCCCTTTTTTTTAGGTCTGCCCGCTTTGTGATTTGGAGGAATTTTTTGACCTCAAGGCTGTGCCAATTTAAAATGAGCTTATGCGATGAGTTAAAGGATAAAGAATAAGGACAAGACCACGACCGTGTCAAAACAGTAGAGAAAGAGGCGAGAAAGGACGTTACAAACGCCGAAGAGTTTCATGCAGCTTTTTCTATTGGTTGTGCTACCCAGACATACTAAAATAAGCTTTGATTGGCATAGTTACTGAAGAATTTCATAATTGGGCAACACAGCCCTACTCAGATATTTATCCTGCGCTTTGACAAGTTATCAAATGCATATGCTTGTGCTTTTCGGTTCCAAGAATTGGGCATGGCTTATGCAACCGTAGAGCGCGTTAGATTATATGTTACACTGCACGCCTGGGCTCCGTATACATATTGAGGATAAGGTAACAGACTCTAGATGCATGGCGTAGGGATACACGCGAATCGACAATTACAAGAGAAAAACTGGTGTGTATGTAACCACATAGAAAATAAGTGCTGTGTAATGGAGGAGGCTTATAAAGATGGCATGCAACAAAAAGTTTGTGTCAATATTGCCAAACCGTTTTCTGTGATAGATGTGTACACAAATATGAGGGCTTCGCAAATACGAAATGCGATTCTACACAGCCCGCCAGTTGTGGCTTTCGTCAGTATCTTCCACCAAAAGTGACACCGCAATAATCTTCATCGTACATAATACCAGGAGTATGTACTATTAACTATAGACAGATTTTGAGTATATACATGCAGGAAGAATCGAGCAAGCTATCCTTGGATCATATTAGAGGAAAGTATAATTTACAGATTCAGTTCGATCACGGCATGACGGATCAAGATGGGATTTTTAAAGGTACCAGAGCTATTATAGAATATTATGAGTCATTTAGGATCTGTCTCCGGTCCTCAAAAAAGAAGTGGCATAATTGAGATTGTTAGGATGGGGTGAGAGGAAGCAGTCAGTGGCAACACGATGGAGACGGAATGGAATATCAAAGCAGACTTGACAGCCCATTATATCTCCTGTGTCATCTTGTGGGAGAACGAGCCATTCACTATCACGACTATCATCAGAACAAGCAAAGGCCTATGTACAGAAGTGACGATGTTGATCGAGCGTCAGAAATATCTAAAGCTTGTACACGTAATCTATTTTCTAACAACTAACCTTACCTAACCCATCGCCCTGATCATTTATTTTGATTTTTAAGGAACATTTTGGTAATATTGTTCTTCAATTGGATGGCGTTACTGGAATCCACTCGCTAACTGACGTCCCCTGCCGCAAAATACAACTGAAGATCATATCCTTAAAGTGTGCTACTTACCCGTAGCGTACCATTACATCTTTGGGACGGGAACCTATGTTAAAGTCTGCTACATAGCTAAAGAATACAGTATTTACTGTTGGCCGTGTACTCCTTAGGGAATCTTTTTTATGACATTATCTTTACTTACACATGTTGTAAGATTATAGTTGAGCCGAAAAAGAAAACGCAGAATTTACACGTACCAACGCCAAACGTCTTTATTAATCTCATGGAAAGATACCTGTTGTGTACCAACACTTGCAGATGTCAGTGCAACATTATAAGCTGAGCTCCTTCGAACCGCCAAGTTCTTCTTTCAACTTTGGATGGGGAATTTATTTAGCGTCGGCAACTACACAATTAAAAGGTTAATATGATGTCTAGCATGGTGATGCCACTGCTTATCAATGATGAACTTGATCACAAAATTACCATGAAACAAAGATATACATGATACATGCAAGCACAGCTTACTCTGTTATTGTTTGCGTATATGCAAGACGAAAAAGGAAAATGGCTAGTCTTTATAGCTGTAACAAACGCCCTATTATCTGCGCCATTTTTCCAGCAAAGTCTGCAAATGCATACGCGTACATGACTTCTTTTCAGGTCAATTGAAGAAAATAACATTTCACAGCAGCGATGAATACATCGTCACCTCCGCTTCCCTTTTTCGATGCTGGCCTTTTTAAGCAGTTTATTCAGCAATGTAATACATCCATTCAAATTCAAGACTACCAGCAAGCTGTCCATGATACCACAGTTGCCATCGACCAAATCTTCCAGTCACAATTACTTGCTCTTCTCGCCATTCGCGCAAAAGCGCAATTTTTGCAATGTCAACACCAAGCAGCTAGCGACGATGCCCTGAAAATAACTCGAATCGCACCAGAGCTAGCAACCGGATATCTTCAGCAAGCCCGCATTTTCTCCGCGTTCGGTTACCAAAAACGAGCTATTGAGGCATACGATCAGGGATTACAGAACGTCGGGCCCGACCAATCAGACGGACACCAGAAGCTTGAAGCTGAGAAGGCCGAAGCAATTGCAATCCAAAGGAAAGGCGTCGACTTTATCAGAAGGCTTCCATCTGATTGCGCGTACGATATTATTTCGCTGCTACCCTTGGACACAAAAATGACATGTTTACTAGTCTCCGACACATGGCGCCAAATTACGCTGGAATGCAATACGCACACATGGAAACACTTCACGGCCCACAGCAACGACAGTCAGCTCGCCACTGCATCATCCCATTTCGGCTATCAGACCGAGCATCTGATTATCGATATCAGCGATACCCAAGCTTTTGCTGCCTACTTGAATTGTTTAAGGGATGGTCATTTTGAAAGACTTCATTATCTTAAAGTAACCTGTAAGATCGTTACACTAGTCTTCATTTCGCTTTTATTTGGCAGAAAAACTAACCTGTCATTTGTGACTATCATCATATAGCTAACGCAGCTGATGCTATACGACAAAATATCTCTTTCCTACCGAGAGCATTTTACGGAGCAAGAAACACGCTAACATGCCTCGATCTTGACATGGGTAGCAATAAAAATCCAGTAACAGTGGTGGAAATCCTTTCAGCATGCAGCAGTGTAGTTAGTTTAACGTATACGACGTTATCTTACACGACTTTCAAGCTTGCGAAGTACATATCAAGTCTGAATAGCGATCATCTCCTTAGAAATTTGGTTATAAAGTCACCTAAACTGGATGGCGATGATATTCAGTACATACTGCGCCGTTGCCAGCGAATACAACGCCTTGTGCTACACGGGTGTGTACCGTCGATTCTCGATACAGTCGTCAAACAAGCGCCAAACTTGCAGATTTTTGGCTACAATCCCGGAAAACCAACACGAAACTTGCGCGACATCGTCAGATTCACCAACGACAAGCAGCCAGGTTTACGAGTGCTGCAAATGGATAATAGAGATATAAATATGAGAGCACCAATCTCAAGCATTATACCAATCTTATACAAGCATCGTGCCACTTTGACAGATCTTAGTCTCAATGTTGCTCCAAATCCAACAGTCAACATTTACGGCGAAGCCGAGGAGCTCCGTACGACTTATCCAGACTTGAGCTTCCCAAATCTGACGACGGTCACGACGTGGTTGCTCTCTTATGCCCAGGACTCAATACTCGAAATACTTCGTTATGTACCAAAGCTTACAGTGCTGTCCGCAGTAAACATACATGACCTTGAAGGATTTACTCGAAATATTGACAATTTCCCTTCGCTTGTCCAGCTTCGCTTGAGCCATATTCGTACAGAAACAACACGTTCCGATCTTCTTCTTGTCCTATTCCAGCAATTAGCAGAACGCTCCGCGACTGGACAGAAACCATCACTGGAACATATCAGATTGTTCCAGATTGCCGACTTGGACGACGATGTGTTTTACATGTTAGCAGAAATAAGAACTCTTTGCAGCTTTGAGCTACGATGCAAGGGTATGACCACCTACGGTATCCGGCATTTTATCAGTAAATTGGGCAACCAGCTCAGGCATGCAAGGCTGGTTGACACGGACACGGTTACTGACGACGTCTTGGCCGAGCTCTGTGGCTCAAAAAATTTGGAGTGGGTTTCCCTCGAAAAGCTAAACAAGGTGTCCGCAGAGGGAGTTAATCATCTTCTTGCAAATATGAAAAGTGCAAAGTTCACCACGGTGAAGGTGAAAAATTGTCCAAAGATCAGTGATGTTGATCGTGACTATACAAAGCAAAGTTATTAGCACAAAGAAAAATTAAACATTTACAAACCTGCTTGACCTTTTCTTTTGACTTGTCCGGCCAATATTTTAATTGATTTCTGTTTGGGACGTTATTAGATGAAATGACAGGAAGGGCGGTCGAAGTATATGCAAACAAAGAGCATGATACAACTCTGCTTTGCTAGCCAATCTAGTCAGATCTAGCACTTTTTTCTTGCACACAGTTACACTGGGTAATTTACACATTTTCAACATATCGATCACAGCACTGATCACTTGTAGGTGTTGAAATGCAGCATGCATACAAAAAGCAGCGTCAATACTGCGTGCCCAAGTTACGTACTTTGGATGATTCATACAAATTATATACAGCTCAGTATGTAGCATTTGGGACGTTACGGAAGAGGATTTAATGACTGGAAGAAGGCCCACCGAATTTCTTCATGGTATAAAGTAACATCATAGTCTGGGTATTATTGAACATACAAAACATCTTTCTCCGTTTCAGATGTTGCTTCTTTCTCTACATAGCTTTCTCTCTCTCTCTCACTCTCTCTCTATCTCTCGCCATTGTTTAAAACGCTGACCTCCAACAGTATACCATTACAAAACATGCTAATATGTCATAAATCAACAAATGACTGACTGTAATGACTTACTGATGTCACAAAGAGCAAAGTCAAGACTTTCACACCGTCGCCGCGGTAACTATGACTACAGCATAAACACGACAGGTTCCTTTTACATTGATGTACTTCTTTTAATAGCAAAAAATATACTCAGCTACCCACATACTGAAGTTTATATTTTAAAGATGGTGGATGATTTGGGGTTTTTTGGGATAACAATAACAACAGCAACAGTATTTGACTGTATAGAGGATTTATGCGATTCGGTGCACTCGGGTCCATTCCAGATGGCGAACTGTACTGATGACTGATGTTTGACCGAAGCATCACAAAGCAGTGTTCACTACAAAATACAACACAGGCGCGAATGTTCGAAACAGCGCTGGGGGCAACCGGAATTGAATTTTCCGGTCGAGAGTACGCTTCGAATTGATATGTGGGATAGTGCATAAAGACGAACAGCAGCGAGAAGAAGAAATGTATCACTACTTCACTGCTATTATCAACAACAACAACAACAACAATAACTCTCTGGAAAGAGAAGGAGAAAGACCTTTGAACAATCTTGACATTCTTGCAGACGCTCTGTCACTACTCATTGATCTCAGCACGCGCTCCTACTTAATGCATATCAACGCTCAGTAATTGGAAGAAATTCTCCGTTGCTGCCCTCATTTGAAGGGGTTGTTGATTAATTTCAGGTTTCTATGATAATAGGATTTAGGTCGAACGCTTGTTAAAATACGTATTTTCAGCAGCTTCGATTTCGTTATTGGAAAACCATCACGGACTCGACCTGCCATCATCATCGGAGGCTACTTCGTTTAGTATTACTACTACTACTACGTGACAGCAGCAACAACCGGGGGATTGCAATACTTTTCGGTGGACATAATGCGAAACTCTCTTACCATGGACCCGCATATGATAACGTATTGATACAATTGAAGAAGCTGTATTAATAAAACAGCTGTTATCCTGCAAGGTGAATACTGCAGTAAAAATAGAGTATATTTAGCTCAGTATATCATATGCACATCTTTATTAAGTATGTTTATTTAGCTGCGTACTTTGTAAATGTACCAAGAAGATATAAAAAAAAACATGTGCGTGATATCATACGGATCTATTTTTAAGTGAGATGATGGATGATGATGTGCTGCAGCATGTGTGTATGCTATGTATGTGCAAATATAGATGCAAGCATTGTGGGTAAACAACGTATGTATATGCAACAAATATGGATGATAAGAGAAGTTTTTCACTATTTACAGCAAGTTTATACAACTATAAGCTCGTCATTGACGGTAGCAACAACAAAAACCTCTTTTTTGAAAAGAAGCAGGGGGTGGCAATCAGAAGATAGACAGACCAGAAAAAAAGTGGATGATTAGAGGATACATGGTGTAAAAAAAAAGATAGATAAGTAAGAAGAATGAGAGATGGTGAATATACAAAGTGGTCAAGTCGGGTAAAACGATGAATGGTAGGCTATGCTTTTTCTTTCAATAAAAATCAAAAGAAGGATCGTAATTGTTGTGAAACTCCTCATTAAATAGAGCATACAGCTGACTTCTCATTAAGTCATATTGATAATCATCATCCTCATCCTCATCCTCCTCCCTTTCCTCTGCTTCTTCTTCGGCCGAATCGTAAACCACCACACGTACTGTTGATGGCTGCTTTTCGTCGATCGTGTGCTTGAGTTCTGCCAAAGTCTCTGGTCGATCCAGCACAAACTGTCGATCATAGCATTTCAACACCATCTTGGTGACAGTATCGCTACCATCAGCGAGATATTTTTCCCGTTCCTGCTTTTGTTGTATAGCATCCACCAACGCCAACATGCCTACTCGGGTGACGGGAAAGTCATTGATGTCGAGGTACTCGACTTGATGATCGCGTACAAACGGCGTCAAGTTGGCCGCACCGGTTGCAAATTTGTCTCGCAAGGTCAAACGTTTCAAATTCTTGGCACTGCGTAGCATGGTATAGAAATTCGGCGTCATAAACATGATCTGTTCGCTCCCTTCGACCGTCAGCTCGGTGAGCCCAGGGCATAACTGGGAAATGATGGGGAAGATGGTGGAAAAGTAGCAGTGGCATAGACAGAGCGTCGTCAGGCTAGGGATGGGTCGTAGTAGTCGAGCCAAGGGAGCAGGCATGTTGTGGTGCCAGTGTCCTTGATGAACGGTCAACTCAGTAAGCTCGGGACAGTACATGGATGCACTGTGAGAAAAGACGAAAGGCTTAATAGCAGAATCGAACTCTACTTTGCACCAAGTCGATCCAATTTCGCGCATCATCAGTTCTAGTACGAGAGGATCGACAGTAGTCATGCCACCCATGAAAGCTATCATAGAACAATGGAGGTTTTTTTTTGTATTTTAGCGCATTAATCTTCCCCTTTTTTCCTCCTTCTGATCCCCCCACACATCCAATCAATGCACCGCATATACTCTCCTTCTCTCCCTTACTTTTCCTCATCCTTGTTGTTAATTAGTAACTAATAAAGCACCTTTACTGCTAATCAAAATACTTACCGACTTCAGTCAAAGCCGGGCGTCGTTGAACGAGTTTTTCAATGACACTGTTTGTCAAAGGAATTCTGAGTTTTCGAACGTCCGCCCACTGCATAAACAGGTCTAAACTAGCCGCAACGCTGCCTTCGGAATGATGCACCGATGTCCGAACATGATCGTTATACGTAGTGTAAGGATGATAATGATTCGTCAAGTTCCTAGTCCTTTTATCAAGCAAGACCGAGTAATAGTCGAGATCACGCCACAAGTCGGGTATCCTGCTGAACGTCTCTCGCCACTGCCGGGACACGGCCAGACACTTTACACGCGACGAGAACGGCAAGGCCATCAAGATTCCGTATATCACTTCGGGTGGCATCTTGACCACATGGTTGAGCTGGGCCCTTTCTTGCCTTTCGTACAATTCGCGTATCTCTGTGATTTTCGGGTCATTGTGGAAGATTTTAAAGGGAGCTTTCTTGAGTCGCGTAAGCGCTTCTGGATATGCGTTCTTGCTGAGGAGGATTTCGTTTTCGAGGAGGTAGAGTTCGCCTTTGAATGGATTGGCTCGTATGGCGGCTTCAATGTCGTCCAATGCAGTGTCGCGTCGCTTGTCGTATAATTGCATGGCGACTTGAGCACGGTAGTGAAGCGCGGCTTCATTGTTGGGCTCGAGATTCAAAGCCGAGGTGAAGCATTCGTAAGCTTCTCCTGGTGAATGTTCGTAGAGGTGTGACAGACCAATTTCAATACTGTCTTGGACATTCCAACTCATTTGGGAGGAAATTTTTTTATTGCTTGTTCCGACGTTATGTGTGCTTTGTATGCGTGTGTTCAAGTGTGTTCGTGTACGTGTTTATAAATATGGTTAAAGGTATCAGTCAAGTATATCCCAGGTGGACAACAGTTCGGGTAACACAAAGAGAGAAAGAAGAATTGTGCACACAGAGAGAAGAGAGATCAGTCCGCTCCATTGCTCGGGAGCACGAGTTTAGTGGTTCGATAAGGCAAGAGCCATGGCAGTGTGCAGGCTCTCTCTCTCTCTCTTTTTTTTTCTACTACAACGTACGTCGCCTTATATTCTTTTGTTTCTTTCGTTCTTCTTCTCCCGTGCGCACAAACACACTAACACAGCACATATTATTACAGGCTAATCTTCATACTTCTTTTGCAATGTACTCGACGCGATCAATATAGATTGCATTCCATTCTACCAAAGCGCATAGTAGTCCCAGCAAATTACATATCCAAACGATCGGGTCCCGGATCCCTCTTCCCCCGAACCGAACGTTGTTTACCCAGTCAACGAGAATATATACACATTACACACACACACCCACACACATCACAAACATCCAACAACCCCCCGCTTCCCCCAATTCCTTCTCAAGAATCCCCTTATTTTTATTCTACTTCACAGAAACAAAAAGAGAGCCTATTATCACGCTTCTTTTCCTTCTTTCTCTTTTCTTTCTCACTGGCGACGATCTCTTTTACTACCTCCAACCTACCTTAATAATCTATCTTTCAATGACTTGGCAAGAGCTACGCGGACAGCTCGTCGTCGGCAGCGTGGCGATACTTACAACATTTGTCGCATACACTTCACAAATCTTTGTGCTCTGGAACTTTTTAGGTGGCGCAACCCTGTCAACTTTATTCATCCTCATCCCGTTCAACGTATGTGTCGTTATGATTTACATCAACTACTCCCTGGTGTGTCTGACTGATCCAGGGACCGTGCCTGGCAACTGGGTAAGCTTGTCGTCATTATAAAATTATCAACATACACATACTCATGACTACACAGATGCCCGATCCAAAAGATATCTGCATCGAAGTCAAACGATCGACACACGCTCCACGCTACTGCAAAACATGCAACAACTACAAACCACCACGAACGCATCACTGCAGCAGTTGCAATCGTTGTGTGCTAAAAATGGATCACCATTGTCCGTGGATCAACAACTGTGTTGGCTTTGCCAACTATGGCCACTTTATCCGCTTTATTGTCTATGTCCTTGTCAGCTCCATCTATCTGTTCACCTTGTTAAGCTGCAGATTGGCTCAAATAATCAGCGACATGAACTCTGTAAGTTTTGCATAGTAGTTTTCCTCAGTTGTCAATTTTTTTCTCTCTCTCGCAATTGTGGGATATTCAAACAAATAATTAATAAGCATGTGGGTAGCACAATGTACTTCCATCCAATGTAGAAGCGGCATTTCTATCGATCAATCTCATCTTGGCAGCCGCTGCCATTGTCACTGTCGGCATTCTGAGCGGCTATCATGTCTACTGCTTGACGACCAACACGACGACGATTGAAGGATGGGAAAAGGGCACCGCATTGACGTTTAAAAGCCTGGACAAGATCACCAGCGTTCGATACCCTTACAACCTCGGTCTGTTTCGCAATATCTGTGCCGTGCTCGGATCTCAGCCGATTTTTTGGTTCTGGCCACAACGTATGCGTGGCGACGGCTTGCAGTTTCCTGTACGGAAACAAGACGGCTCCTGGCAAGAAATCATTGACGACGAAGAAGAAGAAGAGGAAGAGGAATTAGAGGAAGAAATGCAAGAGGTTCAAGACGGTGACGAACATAGTGTGATTGACGACCATCACCATCACCATGGCAACAAAAAGAAGAACAGTCAGCGTCGTCGTATCCATAGCAACAACAGTAGTTATCATGGCTATGCAAATATCGATGATGTTGACGACGATGATGATGATGAACACTATGACGACGACGAAGAAAAAGCGATTGGACGAGGACGACGGCATCATCGTCATCATAAAAGTATTCAAGAGGAAATCTCCACGTTGGTTATTAGTGCACCTCCTCGGGTCCATACACGCGCAAGTACCAGCAGTTTCAATCCTACTACGCCAGCCTCGGTAATGACATTTGCGTCGTCTTCCACGCTTGTCGACCACACTGCAAAGTTTCCGACATGTTCCAAAGAGACATTTGAAATGTCTCATCGGTGATAATGGAGAGGTGTTGTTCATTCCGGGCTTACCCTCCCCCCCTATAATAATTCCTTCTCTCCTCCACATTTTCCTTATCATGATCATCCTCCTCCTCCGTCTCAAACGTCATGCTCCAAGAAAAAAAAAGCCCATAAACATCTCCTCGAACATAAGCCATCCACTCGTATATCCGCCCGCCACCCTGCCCCGTTCCTACCAACCAACTCAAATTGTCCGAGATTTTTTGTTGTTGGTCGTTGTAATGTTCTATACCCAACATACACAACACACCGCCACCACCAACAACAACAACAAAACACAACGATAACACAGTCTTTGTTGTGTTTTGTTACAGATAGCTCGGAGGTATATTGTTGTTATTGTTATTATCCACCACCACCACCACCACCACCAATACTACTACTACTACTATTATTCTTATTATTATTTATACGTTTTTGCTTTTCGTTTCTTTTTTTTTCTTTCCGTATAACTCCTTCACTCTTTCTCTCTTTCTGTGTAATAATAACAAACTGTTCTATAAAGAAAATCATTTTTTTTCGTAATATATTATTACTACGTACTCTATGAGCACGAATAACATTAACGCGCCGGCATCATCCACAGCAGCAACAACAACAACAACTTCAACTCCAGTGAATGATAACAATACTACCCTTCGTACTAGTGCTACTACCACATCAACTACGACACCACCGACTTCAGCAGTTCGTGGCAGCGCCGTGGCACCTCTGAAACCAGTGTATCGATTGTTATGCAAACATTGTCGGACCATCGTATGCGCCCGCGGGATGCGAGCAATTCTGTTGGCTGACACCAAGATTGAACTATACAGTACTGATATACCTGCGACATCGTAAGTGATGGATCCTCATCATCTTTAAATAAAAAGAACTTTTTCTCTAAACGCTTGGGGTAAAATTGTGGTATATATATTTGTAGGATCCAGTTAATGGACAAGGACTATCTTACACGAACGTGTCACTGTCGTATCCGTGATGTCGCGTGTCGAGATTGGTAAATTTCTTTTATTATGCGAAACAGGAGCATGAATTAAAAATAACACGCGTTGCTAAATGAGTTCATGATTTTACCCTGCAGTGGCAACATTATTGGTTATCACGTCGTTGCTCCTTGTCATCGATGTCTTCAAGCAGGAAACAATGGTCATTTCTGGATGTTTCATTCAGATGCATGCCAGCCGCAAGAGCGCAAAGATATATCAGGTAGATCGCCTTTTTCTAAATTTAGTTTTAATAGGCAATATAAGAAAAGGGAATGAGAGAGAGAGAAACTAACCATGCGGAATCGTTTTTTTAAAAAAAAAAAAGGAAAACGGACTGTATTGTGGAATAATCTTCCTCGTGCAGAACAAGATTTCGATTTTTTGATGGGCACGACGATTCCTTATGATCAAATGTGCCGATAAAGCCGCACTATTCATACTACTACTTATTACTACTATAGACTTGCCATAATAATTTAGCCGGAAGAACAATAATATAAATTTTCACCTCACTCTTGCACATGACAGAGTTTATTCAATAGTGTAGATCTCTGCGCGTGCATGTTTTATATGGTAAATGATATGAGATGAAATGAAGGAAGGAAGGACAGATGGGTGGGGTGGAAAGGGTCTTTTAATTAATGATAATAAAAATACTACTAAAAGTGTATCTAAAACAAAAAAAAAATAGATGAATTCATGCCAAGATGTGATGGCGATGTTCACGTTCACTTGTACATATCTTGACGGACTGTATCCAAGCAGACTCAATACATTGATCCACGGTCCAACGTGTGTCCGGGTTTGGATCAAACATGCCATACAGACACTCTTTTTCCTGATCATTGCATTTCGAGAGCGGGACCCACGTCCGAAAGGGCCGTCTAGCCATATACTCGACATAGTTTGGATCTTTGTTACACGCTTGTATGAACGGAATATGACGATAAATGAAACAATGCCATGTGACAGCAGCCGACCATACATCCAAAGCACGACCATTGTATTCAGTAACAACACCTTGTTGTTGACTGTTGATGAATAATTCGGGTGGCCAGTATGGCTCGGACCCGCATTGACCCCGAGACTCGCGTGCCTTGTCGTCAAAGCAGGTCTGGACAACATCGGCCACGCCAAAGTCGGTGATTTTCAGCACGCCTTCGTTTGTCATGACCAGGTTTTCGGGCTTGATGTCACGGTGGGCAACACCGCATTGATGCATGTGTTGTAAGCCCAGCAAGAGCTGTTTGAACAGACAGTCGATTTCGGTGTCGTTTAGATCGAAATCTTGCAGTACTGAGAATACGTCGCCTCCCGAGCACTAGCATAGAGGTCGTCCATATGCATGAATTGAAAAAAGGAATATACGGTCGTTATTAATAAAGAACTCTATATAAGGAAGGGAGAAAGAAAGAAGAGTAGTTGTATTTTACGTATTCCATCACACTGCACCACCGGTTTTTGTGATCCTGCACGAGGTCGAATGTCTCTACAATATGGGCATGGCGGAGCACCTTGCTTATGCAAAACTCGCTTGTCATGCGCTTGTGATACTCTCGCTCGGTTTCGTCTCGGTCTCGTTTACGGAACGTCTTTACCGCAATGGTCGTCCCTGGTTGATGCTGCAGATCCAAAAGCTTGATGACTGCCGTGGCGCCACTGCCGATGACTTTTCCTTTGCGATAAGGACCATACTTGTCATTCAACTTGAGTGGTTTCGCTAGTGTATTATTATTATTATGATGATGACTACTAGTAGTAGTACTGCCGTTCGGTGGTGTATCGGATGATGAGGGTCCTGGTTGTTGTTGTCGTTCATCAAGGGTTGCATTGGATTTGCGTCGTCGTATACTAAGATGACGGATCTGTTGATATTGTGACAAGACTCGTTTCATTTCGCTAAACATGGTCGTAGGCGAATCTGACTTTGGTGCGGATAGGCTGGAGGAAGGTGATGGTGGGTATTCCAATTTTTGGTGGTAGTAGGCAGCATTCGGATGCAGTCTACTTTCTGCTGTCGTTGCTGTTGCTGACACTGGCGTTGCTTGCTCGTCCTTGTTGTTGTTGTTGTTGTTGTTGTTTTGGTTTTGTTGACCCACAGCTAAAGCCGCTGCAAGTGATGCAGCAACAGCAGCTGCACCCACTGTCTCGCTGGATGAGGGTGATGGCGGGCGTGATGTCGATGGGCTAGAGGAGTTGTTGCTACGCAGTGATAGGTTTGAAAAGCGTCGGCCTAGGACGGATGCAGGTGGTGGTGGCTGCTTGAACAGTCCTCGGAAACTGCGTTTGCGGGGACGACTGGACGGTGGAGGCGATAAAATGATGGTAGGTTGCTGTTGCTGGTGCTGTTGCTGCTGGCCTTGCTGTTGGTTCTGCTGATGAAGGCTGCTATTGTCATCACTGCTGCTGGTGCTGGTGTCGTTGTCCTCGTCGTTGAGATGGATTGGATAGTTGTCATTGAGCAGAAGGGTCGTCATGAGAAGCTCTCTCTCTCTCTCTCTTGGTTGTTACTGCAGTGCTTTGAAAGAGAGGAAGCGGAAGGGAAGAGAAGAGGAAAAGAACAAGAAAAAGTGTAATAAAAGAGAGCAGGCTAGTGGTGTATTATTTTTATACATTGCATGCAGGGCCCCCAACTCTCTCTCTCTCGCTCTCTCTCTACAATAGTAAAGTACGCAATCCGCACACCCCCTCAAAAAAATAACGGGCTCTTTGTGATTGATCTGCCTATTCCATGCATAGACGTGCACATCGTCACCACCATCATCATCACCTTTGTCATCCTAGACACCACTGCCAGTAGTATACATATATATATATATATATACACGTTTATTCAAAGATCTCCTTGTACTTTTGTCCGTACTCCACAACCTTGTTCGCCAGCTCCAGATCTACACCGACCCAACATCATTTGCTGTTAATATCTTTTCCACGACAAGCGTTTTCTAAATAAGATCGCCCTGCCTGCCTGCTTCTAGTTTGCAGCTCACTCATTTTCGCTCCACGCACAACCACCCCCAAATAAGCAAAAAGCCCTCATTGCTCCTAACACCCTTCTCTCTCTCTCTCTCTCTCCCCCCCCTGAATGTTCCTACTTGCCAAATTCATCACCAAGGTTCGCTGACTTGAATTCCATGATACTAAAGTCTTTCTCAACGCGACCAATCACTTCAACGAAGCTTCCACTCCAGTTACTTTCCTACGTACACGTTTAGGTGGAGTTAAAGTATTGTATCACACATACACACACGTGTATTTTATATACACTTACCCCATTCAACTTGATCATGACGTGCCCATGATCAGGTGCTTCAATCACTGCTGTTTCGCCTGAAAACTATTTGACAATAATCAAGTTATTGGTTTCCTCCCATGGTGTGTCAAAAAGAGTGGGGTGATTGAAGGGGGGGACGTACAGTGACAATCTTGCCAATGATTCGGATAGTGCGTTCGACATAGTTTTCTCGTAAAGCAGAGTTGATGCGTGGTGTAGGTTTGTCCATTGTTATTGATGAATGTAAAGGCTTTGTTGGAATAGAGAACGAATGTTTTTATAACGTAGGGTATGCAAATTGGAAGAATAAAAAAAAAGAGGGCTGGAGAAAAGACGCGTAGTTTTTCCGCAGCGTGTGTTGCAAACGAACCGTGTATGGTAAGTTGTTGCGCGTCTGGAATTTTTTGAACGCGCATGCTCTAAATTTTGTTGGAACACAACTACAAGTCACTCTTGGGCTGCTTTAAACTTTTTCCTGCTTTTGAAAAAAAAAAGGTTTCTTTTTTTTTCTCGAACGAACAATGGCAGAACATCCAAACAAGGTTGCCTTTGAACAAGGCGTAGAATACATTCTCAAGTCATGGACTGCACTGAATTTGGCAGTAGAACAGGATTGGGGAGGTGTTGAATCGGCCGAGAAGCGAGACTGGTTGATTGGCGTGATTGTTGACTATTTTGGTTCAAGTAAGCCCTCCCTCCTCCTCCTCCTCCTCCTCCTCCTCCTTATGCACGGATGGGTCGTAGAATATATATTTACACATTTGGGTGCTAACAAGTAAAGTTTAGACGGCAAAAAATTGGACGTGGAAGACATTGAAACTATCTTGGATCAGATCATGACCGACGAGTTTCAAACCATCCTCGAGGATGACTCGTCCTACTTGGTAACAAATCATTGCCTTACCGTCTTTTTTTTTTTAAAAAACAAATTGCTAAAGGGAAATGTGTGTGTGTGTTTCTATTAATAGGTTGCTAAGCATCTTGTCGAGGTGTATCATCAATGTATCCGTGGCAACTTTACCGAAGTCGAACGATTAAAAGAGAAATACCAATCACGACAGCCGGCAACTGCTTCTCGGCAACAACAGAATAACGACGAGGATGACAATGACAGTAGTGGAGAAGAAGGACCAGACGATGGCGATGATGATGATGTGGTAAGAGAGCAATCTCCCTTTTTTTTTCTTTTCCTCTCCTTAAATATAGCTCCTTTGACACTTGTCAACTAGGATATGGATCAAGACGACAACGGACCACCTCGTCCATCAAAACCCGAACCCGAGATCGACGACGATGGATTCGAAACTGTATCATACAAGCGTAGATAACCAACAAAAGTACATAACATATACTCCAAAATTCCTTATTTCTTATATACATAATACACGTACATACATTACTTTTTCTTCTTTGTTAATTTCTGGATTTCCTTGGCGATGCTTTCAAGCTCAAGTTGATCGTCTTTGGCCAATGTGATGACTTCTTCTAGCTGCTTGGTGTCATTTTTACTACTACTACTACTACTACTACTAGCAGCATGCTTGCCACCCTTTTTGCTCTTCTTGGACGACGGCGGTGGTTGCTGTACTCCTGTCAATTGAGCTGTCAAATCGTCATGGTCCTGCTTTCTCTTTTTTGGCGTCGTCTTTTTATTTTTTTCTGCCTCCTCCTTTTGCTTTTTAGGTACTGGCTCCAATGCCGCGTCGTCGTCGTCAATCTCCGTTTGATCCTTGGGCGGTAATGGCTTTTCGCTAACATCCGACCATACTGCTCCCACTCCTTTTTCAATCACGCGTTGCACCTTCTTTTGATCCTTTTCTTTCAAAGCTGGGTATCCTCGAAACTGTTCGATCGGTAACTTTACAATTAACTCGGGTACTATACAATTTGCCAGTTTTCAGTTAATGATCTCTATAAAAAAACCCCCTTGAAATCGCAATGTTCCCCCAGATCGAATTTTTCATTTTTACCTTTCCAGCAACGGAAATGGTACCAACTATGCTTTGCAGACTTTTTCTTTTCTGATTTGCTTTTCCGAAAGATCTCGCCTGTCCGTAACGAATGGCGTGGAATAACCTTGCCACATTGTGTACAGTCGGCTTTATCCACCTTGGCGTATTCAATACAAAAAGTCGTTATGCCTCCTTCTTCGCTCATTTTTTTGCTGTTTATAAAGGATAGAAGAACCCAAGAGAAAAAGAGAATTTTTTTTCCCTTGCTGTCTCTATAATTTTACCTCAGGGACTTGCTGTTCTTGAAAACTCTCCCCCAACCTCCTTCCTTACCAAAAACTCTCACTACCCTGTATGAATATATACGACAATCGACTCCATTCATTTCACAACAATCACCGCAAATGGCCACACAAAGGGCGTCTTTCTGCAGAAACTGTATGACTTAACCCTCATTCGCTCCGTGGCTTTATAAAATTAATTGTCTCTTTCTTTTTTTAATTGGTCCTAATGGAATCAGCTTGCTAGAAGTGGATTTTACTTTTCGCCAGCACCTTCACGAGTAGACAGTGTTATCTGCTTTTTGTGTGATGCACGACTCGATCGATGGCGTAACGATGGCGATCCCTTGGAACGACACAGACGCATGGCACCGGATTGTCCATGGGTTATCCTATCTTTCCCGCACACCGAACACGCGCTCCCTATGCCGGAAAATCCAAAATCGACGCGACTCAGTTCGGCACGCGTACGCACGTTTAAAAAGAATACACAGTGGCCCCCGAAATCCATGGCGCGCAAGCAACTGCCTACAGCGAAAAAGGTATGTCAAATTTTGGTTTTGAAATGTATATTCCCTCTTACAAACGCCCTTGCTTGTTTTTTTTTTCTTTTTTACTAGCTCGCAGAATCTGGATTTTATTATGCGCCTATAAAGAAACACATTGACCGTGTGGCATGTGCTCATTGCTTAGCAACGGTTACCGGGATGGATCGAGCGACGGATTTATTGTATGTTATCCCGCCCCCTCTCCAGAAAACTATGATTTTGCAGAGACAGCAAGGCCTTGTATTAACTTTATTCATTTAGGGCACAACACGCGCCATCATGTGCATTTTTTGTAAATATGTGAATCTGTGAGGGAGGATGATCTAGAAGGCTTGAGAAGAATACAATGGCTAAACTCGGGTGTTTTGTAGAAAAATGGAGATAGTTCAATACACGGACCAGTAACACGACAACAACTACGAGCATCGAAAGCACAAACACCACCACCTACGGCTGCTGCTCCTACTGTTGCTCTTCCTACTTTTGCACAACCACCACCACCACCACGACCTCAACCTTCAGAATCCGTTGCCGAGTGTGAACCTACTGCACCCTCCAAAAAGCACTCAGCGTCGATTGATGATAGTATATGGGATATCGGTAAAGCGTATGCGCAACGCGATCGTGTCGTTTTCACGTATTCGAAAAAGGTTCAACCACAACAACAACAACAACAGCCGTCCATTTTACCAAAGCAACTCACAGAACCTGTTGCTCAACCTCCATCGTCGTCATCGTCGTCATCGTCATCGACCCCTGTTCCTGAAGAGCCAAATCATCGTGATCGACGACGGCAGAGTCAACCACAACAACAATATACGCAAATGCGACAATCTGATACATCAGCAAAGATAGCAGCAGTAGCAACAGCAGTAGCCATACCAGCTAAAAAAGCACTCAAGCGAAAGCTGGACAAGGGCAAAGGAAAAGCCATACCCAAACAACAGAAACAGCAGCAAGAAACAGCACCATCCACTACTGCCCAACCATCGCCATCACCCACTCAAACAGCTCCTCCAAATGTACAACAAACAGCAACTCCTAGCACAACAGCAGACGCTTCGCCCATACCACAACGATTCCAATCACCATCATCATTATCAGCAACCTCTTCAACACCTGTACGCTTCGATGGACTCAATGATGACAACGATCTTGAAGCATTGACACTCTCGCCCATCCGTCCGGTTGGCAACTATCGCAATCCACTACTACTACAAGGCATCCGAATGCAAAGTACTCCAAACACCCAAGTATCGCGTATCAAACAAAGCGGAATACTAAGTTTGAACGACGTTGATTTGGATGGTAGCAGTCATGGCCGTGCCGGTGCTGTGAACAGGAACGATCCGGACGACGACGACGACGATCCACGAAAGCGATTAAAGCCATTCTCACCACCCAGTTCACCTACGCGACGCGTCTATCCAAGCTATTCGAATCGTTCTTTGTGGATGCCGGAAGAAGGGTCCGGGGATGATGACGATGACGACGCTACTAATCATCGTCGTGGAAACAATGACACTAGTAGTACCAACAAGTCCTCTGATGACGTTATCAACAAAGATACAATGATGGAAAAACAAAAAGAGATGCAACAACAACAACAACAACAACAACAACAACAACAATACATGGAGGAGATCGAGCACGTCTACGAACCGCTTACGGAGGAACATCTCAACATGACAGTCGAAGAATATATCAACGTGTTGGTTCACAAAGAAATCGAAAAAATCCAAAGCAATGGTGATGCGTTGATTGAACAACTTGAATCGACTGTGGATGGGATACGACAAAAGCTTACTTGTACATCATCATCATCGTCCAACAAGGACAAGGGCTTATAGTATTAAGCCCATCATTTGCATATAACATCAAATACGAGCTCTTTTTTTTTTCTTTTAAGCATTTGTTTACATTCCCAAACCCCCCCCCCAAAAAAAAAAAATCATTAGCCTCCCGTCCGTATCGCATTCCCAGTTATATCCATTTCAATCTTTTGTGTGAATACACGAGTAATCTCATTTCCGCGCATAATAGCAGCAACATTGAGTATAAAGATATTTCAAATGTAAACAGACACTTGTTGTCTTGACTTTCATCCCACACGGTGTGTGTATCAGCCCTAGGAAACGGTCAGATATATGATAAAATAATTTGCCGTTACTTTTTTTTTAGAGTGTGTGCAGGTGCGTGTATGCAACCATAACTTTTGATAGCAGCATCATGCCATTGTTATTGCATCATGCAAATATTAAAAACCTATAGCATTTCAAAATGCACAGTCTGCTTCTTTTTCTTCTTTTTAAAGTGGGGGGGAGGGAGTATGTTGCATGTCAGTTCATAGAAGCTTCTTTTTGTCATACGGTATGCAGAACCAACTTCATACTGTATTTATGGGCTCAATGCATTTACTACATACATCAGGTACATAAATCTCACAATATACTACTACTACTACTACTACTACTACTACTATTACATTACGCGAAAGCATCATCTCTGTGACATTTCACCAAGACACGACCTGGTGGGGAACATTGATTCAAAATTTTTTAAAGTAACTTATAAGCAAAGTACAGTTTTGCAAAAATGGATATATTCATCTACTTGCAATTTTTAAACTCTATATATTTTATTTCCAAGTGATGTCAAGACAGCAGAGGCCTTTTATGATAAATCAGAAGCGACACTAAATACTTTTATGGGTGATGGAAAGGCAAAAGCACCTAGTAATGTAATTTACTCTATATTTTGCGCTTATCATGGTATATAATTATGTATGACACAACAACCCAGCCTTTTTCGATTGTTTTGATTCCACAGCATTTGACGTTTCGTTGTATATTTACCGAGATTGATTATTATGTATAACATGCATTACTCGGCTTATGCAAAATGCAGCATACGTCTTAAAATAAATCATTTACTAACTTGTTGGATGTAAAGAATGTTACATACAGGATATCACAGGCATGACAACGCATGTTTGTGTATCATTGGCAAAAAATAAACCGAATATTACTGTATACATACGCACAGCAACAACAACACAACAACAACAATGCATGCATCGCAGGTAGGTTGCAGTGATAGGTAAACGAGAGTCACGGGACCGACAATTCGTAAATATGTACACGGCCCATCTGCTGTGATAACTAAGAAACGTTCATCTTAGTATCACTCATCGTTCCATCCAATCCATAGACCCATTTGTATTGATTTGCTTTCGACGTATCCAATTCCTATGACTGTCCCAGCCCTCTCTATTTTTTTTTTTTTCATCGTCAACAAAGTTTAAATGTGTTTTGATAGCATTCGTGATGATAAACAACGATGCAAAAGGCAATATGCGGTTTCAGATGCACCGGACCTAAACTGTGTATATACCCTAAAATGCAGCGTTCTACACTTTGAGCCGGTCATCCATTCTTGCGGTTGATTTCGGTTAGGTAGATATTACTCCATCGTTAAATCAGCTTGAGAATAAGCTCCTTCGTAGAAGCAATGCAAATAGCGGTGTTCTATTTAACGCATGTACAAGGCCTTAACAGACGGGTTCGATCCTATGAGATGATGGAAATGGTCAATATGTGAAATAGCCAAAACAACAACAGACTGACTTTTGAAATTATATAGAACACACACACAGAGAGAGAGAGAGAGAAGGGGGCTATCTGTAACTTGCTATAATAGAGGGTCCCTCGGTTCTCCAGTGCCTACGTACCTTAAACCTAGTAAACGAAAAACGACATACTATCTCGAGAGAACAGGCGCCACCCGGGGGTTCAAATTTGTGGTTAAAAGTTGCTGCTTAGCCGTACGGATCGTAAATGATACTACGAGATGAACTCCAAGTTAAATGGTTCTATAACACCAATCCATCCCCCTTGGCAGCAGACAAGAAATACCCTAAATGTGTACAGTTACAGTATATCACCTTAATATATTGGCGCCAATACTGTACCACGAGGATATATTTTTAGCTACCGCCACAGGCTCCACAACTTGGCACCTAAGAGCGGCATGTCATAAAAGTATGATGACCCCACAGTAGCTGCCGTCAAGTAAACTCACTGCTATGAAACACAAAAAAAAAAGACAGAGATATATGTCTTTTTTACTTTCTTTCGCCCCCAGATTTTCATGATGTTAAGCTAGTAAGAAAATGTATCTCTCATTTTGTGCATGGTATACATTTAGTGCAGTTTATAATGCTTCTTCTGCGACGTGACAGTCAAGTCGCCCTATTGACTTTTTTTTGAGCGTAATAGAACATACACGGTTAATATGTACTTTACCTGTTTTTTCGTACTGTATCTCAACAGCGAACGACGCTACTTTTATTTAATAACACGCACAGCATCGGCACCACTGAATAAAACAACTTGGTGCTGTTTCCATCTACGTCATGGTAGAATAGCGAACTTATCGTACAGAGAGAGTGGATTCTTATTTAGAGGATTTTAAGGAGTGGCGATCGGATTGTGGATGTAAAGCAAGTTAAAAGAGACTACATAACCAGAAATGTCTTCATATCAAGAAGTGGTGTTTTTTGGTTACTCTTGCTTTTCTAAATGTGAGCAAAATAAAAAACGTTTGGGTCTGGCGGTGTCTCGTGTGTGTGTGTGTGTGTGTTCGTTGCTTACACACCGTCTCTTCATACATAGTAGTCGTAGTAGTAAAGAGCAGTGCCATATAACATGATTGATTAATCAATCCTTGGGCCTGACTCTAATTTAAAGAGGCTCATGTCAATAGGGTCGTTTTATTGTATTGTGTACAGTCATTTCAGAAAGTAAAAGTCACTGAAAGGCGTGTTCACGTGTTATGAAGCCAACATGTCGCTCCTGTATACAGTTTATTTTACAGAGATTCTGAATGAACATGCAATTTCTCTACAAAGATGGGCGAGGACAGGTTGTTGATGAGAACCGGAATTGAGCTTATGGACCTTGCTGTTGACGAGGAGTTATTTGCTATTGATACATCAAGTTCTCGTACTCAATTCCTCACGAATAAACCTCCTGAAAGATATTTGTATTCCTGTAACGCACCCTGTTGCGAATGAGAGGAACGATGCTATTGATATGGAGTTATGCAATAAGCGACGCTATATAGTCTACTCTGATGAGGATAAGACTAGATGTTTTCGTTTATTTTTCAGCAAATGCGTGAATGCTTCCGCTGCTGTGAGACAATTATCCGAGCAGCGCAGAGATGGGCCAAGCGTTATTATGAAGACCCTGAAAGCATCATCTTTGAGAAGAAAAAAAATCAGGTTGCAATGATATTCTTGGGGAACAGCATAAGCAATATAATTTTGAATTACATTGATGAGAATCCTTCAACTGTTGCAAGTCTCTACATCATAATGATTAGTAAATCAGAGGACATCAGGGATTATTCTTAGTCGCTTACCGTCACAGCCATCATAGCCCTTATAGGACTCATTTGAGTCTGTTATAGGGATACACTACATGAGAAGCTTTTCAGCTATCGTGGCGAGTGCAGAGTGAAACAAAAAAAGAGGGAATTGCACCCACTTACGATAATCCCAGACTGTGATTTATCTTATCTGTGACATATCGTATGATAATGTCTCGTTAGGTGGAGCAGCTTCCAAAAAAAAAAAGAGCCAAGACGATAAATTTATTTTCTTTTCCTTTCTCTTGTAAGTCTTGGCCAAGGAAGCGTCGGACAGATGTCGTGCCATAGTAACTTCTCTTGAGGCACTTTGTAAAACATTGGGCGGAATGAAGAAACAAATCACTTTGAAATCACTTGGATACAAGCTATCGCAAGCCTCACTAATTCTAGTTCATGAGCGATTCTTTTTTTTCCAGGAACTTGATTCGCTTCACCTTGCTCTTGACAACCGACCCGAACTGCTCAATTGGATTTAGTTCTGGAGAATATGGAAAAAGATATACCTATCGAAATCCTCGAGAATTGATATACTTTCCTCTATCAGCTGAGAGCTATGGATGGATAGGGACATTATCCATGACAAGATAATGTCGGGATACTTGTCCATTTCATCAAGCGTCGCCTTCAAAAATGCCCTGTCACCGTGCCTATGCTATAACTATCAATTGTATTTTTCAGGACACTTTCGTTTTTGTCCTTTCATATCAAAAAGGAAAATTTAAGGTTTTTATTATTATTACACAAGAAACCTCGGTAGAATACGTTTTCCATGTGCATCTATGAGACGCATTAAAAAGAGTATATCAACAACAAAAAAGGGACAGTAGGGAACTTTGACTATGAAAGTATGGGACAACAACAACAACAACAACAACAACACAAGAGAGAGGATCCAAAAATCTCGCAATTTAAGCCTGAAGTTAAAGAAGTCTAAATTTTGGCTGAGAAGGAGGAGAGGAGGTCAGCAGGGAGCTGCAACAAGTGCCGATACCAAGTTTCAGGAATACTAAAACAAGCACAGTAAGTGTGGTGGCTTGCTATCATTTACAAAACCCATGCATTTCCCTTTTGGGGTGCAGATGATTGTATGATGCATGATGTGGTCAGCCTCAGACACGTGAGGAAGGGTGAACGGGTATTGAAAGAGAGAGAGACTTCTTTCTCCTTTGACGGTTTTGCTTGCCACAAACCCAACGGAGTGTCATCCAGAAAAATAAAAATAAAAAATTCGGTTCCGCCTGTCCTTTGGGTTAATTGCAGGGCGTGCTTTGCTGTCTTTTTATCTTTTCTCTTCTTTTCTTCTTTTTCATTCATTTCCCCCTCACTCACTCACTCACTGAACGTGTCAAAGAAGCCATTACTCACGAGACGAGAGAAAGCAATGGGCGTGTCAATACAACAACGATTACGCCATTGGCTAACCATACGCAATATCAGCCACGTATTCCTCTTTGCCCTCACCCTGACGAATGGCATCATCATCCAGTCGCCCCCGTGGTACGTGCGCTTGGCACTTGGCATCGTCTTGGCTGGCTCCACCATGGTGCCTTATCTCAAACACTTTAGTGTCCCGGCCATGCCTGTCTTTGGGTACCTCATCCTCTTCTATGCCGTGCAATTCATCCCCACCGACTGGCGACCGCAGCACATCTTTGTCAACATCCTGCCAACCCTTGAACGGATCCTCTACGGCGCCAATTTATCCGAACTCATCTCAAGCCATCAACACCCAGCACTTGACATTATCGCATGGCTGCCTTACGGCATTGTTCACTATTCGCTGCCTTTTCTCTTTGCCTTGATTCTGTTTGTCTTTGGCCCGCCTGGCTGCTTGGATGTGTTTGCGTTGACGTTCGGTTGGATGAACGTATTCGCTGTGCTTACTCAGATATGCTTTCCCAATGCCGCGCCTTGTAAGTTGTTGTAGGGTTGTTCTGGGGATTGTGGAGTCATCCACCAAAAAAGACATCCGTGTACGCTGTGTATAATGCCCTTCTTTTTCGAAGAGTAAACTACATACTGACACAAGCGTAAATGGATCGTTCTTCTTAGGGTACGAAATGACCTACGGCTCAGCTCCAGCAGACTACTCGATTCATGGCGAAGCAGGTGGATTGGCCCGAATTGACAAGATCCTTGGACTCGAACTCTATGGCTCCTCGTTTGGCCACTCGCCCTTGGTCTTTGGCGCCTTTCCCTCGCTTCACTCGGCCGATGCCACGCTGACGATGTTGTTTCTCTTTTACCTCAAACGCAAACTCTGGCCATTGTGTCTCCTCCACGTTGTCTGGATGTGGTGGGCCACCATGTACTTGACACACCACTACCTGATTGATTTGGTCGGCGGCTCCATGTTTGCACTCTGCGCCTTCTTTGTTTCCCGCCCATTTCTCCCGCCCCTGGATCCGAATTGCCGTACTCGACTCGCTTACCTCGGTTTCACGAAAATCAGCCTTGGTGCTTTTGTACGCAGTATTGAGCGCGACCGTCCTCGCCGCCGCCGCCATGCCGATAAAGAAGCCAGCGGTCGTGATGGTGATGAAGAAGCTCTCTTGATGAAACAAGAAGACGACGATGCAGACATGCTCAATGATGGGTATGACGACGTGGTGACAGCCGTGGTGGTGGAAGACGGATATCCTTTGCAGAGTCGGCCAGTGTCGCTCGTTTCCTCGGCTATTTCAACTTCTTCGTCCTCAGCCAGCCTGAATTCGCCGAGGTCAACTTCTCTTGAGCTTGTTTCTCCGACAAAATAAGGCGGAGCTATCATCATCCTTTTACTTTTCGCACGTACACACATATATTCCCACTCAATCAATCACTCAATCACTCATGTTTCTTGCTTGTCTCTTATCATTGTAACACTACCATTATTACTACTACTACTTCTACTACTACTATTGTAATCTCTAATATCTTCTAACTCCTCCCTTTTCGCTTTATCATACACGTAGTTCTCCATTTGCATATCTTGTATACTTGTTAATAACACTTGCCCTGCATATCAGCTTCCTCCGCCATATCATCAATAAACCACGTAATAGTTATGTCTGCCAATCTCGATGGCTTGCATGAAAATCAATAGAGAAAATCCGTCCTGATGGGATCACTTTCTTATAACGATGAACGAAAAAAAAAAAAAAATAGATGAAACTCTCCCCCACCCCGGGGCTTCCCAACTCCGGAAATAACAACTGGCCGCCTTGACCCAAATGCTGTTGTCAATGGTTTCAATGTGGTAAAGTTCGACGAGTATGGTAACGCGCCGTCTCTTTTCGCATGGTTGCATTAAAAGCCATCACAGACAACGTCATAATTATGGTACCGCTGCATAACTCATATGATTTTTGACCGGACTTTTTTTTCAGTCAGACAGACTGCTGTCAACCGACGTCTAAGTTAAAGAAAGAGATTCCTCCCGGGGATGTTTATCACCAATGTGCGCATAGTACATAGTACATGAATGCATACATAGCAGCCACGTTGAGCACAGTAGCAGTAAACCCTTCTTTATGTTCTATTTTCGTCTTGCCCACAATAGGCCGGTTATTGTAGCACAACCCTTGGAATTTAGAATAGGGTTTGCTTGGAGGTCAGAGCTGCTCTTATTAAGGTTGTGTTGTTTATCTCTCGCCCTGATCTTGTGTGGAACTACAGTGAAATGGTTTGCACTATATAGTCTTTTATAACAAAGGGTTTTTGCATAATAAATACATTCAGGAGCAAGTAAGAGCATCATTCTACTCTTGTGGTTTTCTCGGCTCTGGGAGTTGGAACTCACTCACCATGATCATCACGATAGATCATGAATGGATCGGAATCATGCAGACCATAAAAAGGGGGGTAACCTTTTGAGATGACCTTGCTACTCATAAGCATCATTGTACCATCCAAGAGAAAGAAGAAGAAGGGGGGGGGAGAACAAGCTTTCCATTCCTCACACACGGCAATAATGAACAGATCCAGGCCAAACAAGGAATAAATCAGTTCGCATTACATTATAAGCCAAAATAGTTCAACTTTTTTGGAACTCAGGCAAGGGTTGTCATTGGGCAAACCGATGCAATGCCTTTTTCCAAACCCTCTCGGCGCAAAAAAAAAAAAAAGGCCAAGACGTGGGTGTTCTCTTTTTTTTCTGCATCTTTAACCCCACTTGTTTTCTCTTTGATTCAACCCATCAACTAATGTACGACTTTAAAAAAAAAAGCTACAATTTCATCTTTTACAACATGGCATGCTGAGCAACGTTTAATTTCCGCGCTCATTTTAGGTCTTCTCCATACGACCCATACATTCCCAACTCGCAAGGCGGCGCAGGTGGTGGTGGTGGTGGAGGTGGTGAAGCAGCACCGCCCAAGACGCAACGTGTTCAAGCTCAAGTGGACGAGGTTGTCAATATCATGCAAGATAATATTGACAAGGTGATGCAACGTGGTGAACGACTGGACGACTTGCGTGGCAAAACAGGTAAAGAAAAAGAAGAGAGAATACGTGCATCGTATCTAGTGGTTTTTTTCCATGAAAACTAAACACGTCCCACATTATTACAACAACAACAACAACAACAAAACACTTTGTAGAGGATTTGCAAGCAACATCGTCTCATTTCCGACGAGGAGCAAACCAAGTTCGCAAGAGAATGTGGTGGAAGGACTTGAAGTGGAAGATCATTATTGCAGTGACCATCCTTGTGATTCTGGGTATCATTATCGGTAAGCTTATATATACACACGGGTACTTTTGTACCAAATGCCTATTGTCTGACTTTTTTTTCCTGTTCATTTGGCCGTAACAATAAGGTTCTATCGTCGGCACTCAGGTAAGAAGAGGTTGGAAGGGTTTCAGCTTAGTGGGGGGGGGGGAGAGGAGGGATGATAACTAACCCGATGCATATGATGCTAGACCAACAATGGCGGAGGAAACCAGCAACCAAGCGAACCCGAACCCCAAGCTTCTCCTCAGTAAAAAAAAAAAAAGAGAGCCAACCGACCCAAAACCGAGAAAAAAGTCATCTTGTTAAAAAAAAAAAAAAAAGAGAACCTCCTTGCTTTTTCTTCTTGCGTGATCTGTACATTTTCCCTATTTCCGCGAAAGCTTCCCTCTCTTTACCTTGCTCATATAACTCTGCTGTATGGAAACAAACCCTTGACCTCTTCTTACTTGTCTTACTTGCTTATACTTATACATACTCACATTTCTTATTTATTTCTTCTTCTTTCTTCTTACGCTGACACATATTAAATACATCCTTTGTCCTATTGTCTGTACATGTCTTGCCTTGAACCTTTTGATGATCCACATGGTTCATGTCGTATAACGTGACCTTCGTTGTGATAATGTGCCTGGAACAGACGGTGTTTGTGGTCTGAGAAAACTTTCTGATCACATGAGACTGACTGACTACACACAAAGAGGAGGATGCAAGGTCGGATCACATTTCGCTAACTATGCATATGTATGACGCAGCAGTTTATACATGTATTTTACCTACCGCATAGAAAGTGGCGTCTGCTGCTTTCAATGAGCTACAAAATAAACAGATCGCAGAGCTTATCGTTTTGAGTTGGATACATGGTGTCTATGGAAACAAATAAAGTGTTACCATGGAAATCTTTTAACCCTGTACGACGCTATGTATACGTGTGAATTTAGTCTTGACGCATTCTCCATAATAAAAGCACTGGTATTCTGGCCCACCTTACTTTTGACTTAACTCATTTTATATATGCTGCCCCCCCCCATCTGAACTGGGGAAGCCCTTTCTTGATCAACCTGATTGACGAACAGCCTCCCTCTCTTTGGCACTCTGGATGAATTGACAGCAGCTGCTTTCACTGAGCTTGAATTTGCCAAAGCTGGACTTTTTCATGCTCGATTGGATCATTTGATGGATGGTTGCGATTATTACAACAAACTGTGTGTGTGTGTATTTCTGCAGTTCACGTCAATCGAACGCGCAGCTTTGCATGGTCAAAAGTGGGTCAACGGGCAAACTTTGCAAGTAGCGAAAACGACTACTATTCCCGGTGCCATTTCATCACATGGAGTTGTGGATATTTGTGTAAGACCCAAAGGCATCATCAATCCCTTTCAAAATAAATAAAAGCTGAAAGGCAGCATTGGGCCGATGGGAACTCGTAACAAAAACAGTCGTGGCACAGCCACTGGACACTACTTTACTTTCAATGCTGACACGCTGGACGTGATGGATGACTACGAAGAATTCAAAGGCCATTATTTAGTGATGGACAATGCGTCAATCCATAATCATGACGGATATATTCGTAAATACAATGAACTTTGTGGTCACAAGTGTCTGTTTATCAACCTCCCAGCTTACTCTCCGGAGCTCAACCCCAATTGAACAGGTTTGGTCTGTTTGTACAGGATTTTAAAAAGCCAAGTTGAAAAGATAAACAACAACTCCTGGAAGAAGAAACATTGATACCACGAATTCAAGATGCTTGTTAGACACATTCTTCTTATTAGTGACTCGCAGGGCTTCTGCAGCTGCTCTTCTTCCAGGTGGAAAGCTACCACTGCGTATGCAAGTGTGTGTGCAAGTGCGTGCAAGTGTGTGTGCCACGACACCAAAGAAAGTAGCCCTCTTTTTCCTTTCATGGGTTCTTCCACTAATTCTCAAACTCGCTCAAAAGCACCGTAATAAATAATGCAAAAAGAACAAGAGATCGTCACTACACCTGACGACATTGATGCTCAAGAAAAAACAACTCAAATCATCTATTCCAATGTTTTCCGCAGTGGCGGATCCCAGCTTCGGTCCCAAGCGTCTTCTTTGGCTTAAGCAGCCGCATTGAACCACTTGAAAAACTGACGAATTTTTATCAGCCGTACCTATTCTTATAATTGTGGAGCACAACCTGTCCGCGAAGGCCCGGCGAAGGCCCTTGAGTACTTGTAGAAGTATATTTCGAAACTGTTGACGAGATTCGATCCTTCTTAGCCATCGGTCTCAAGTTCAAAAACGACGTACTTATCATGTCAATAGCATGCTTCCAACATTTACCCCTTTCAAAATTCCATCCCTTACCCTAATAATCTATATAATCTAAAAAAAACATCCTCACCCCCCCCCCTCTCTAGTCCAAAAGATGTTCACATTGATCATGTATTTCAACCAATCTGTGTAAGTTTTTTTCTATAATTCACTTGCAAGCCAGTAGAATTAATCTGTGCAATAGGGTGTTTCACGCTCCGACCGAAGTCGTCGCTAACTGCGCATAGAACGCCATAAAAAACCTGCTTTTTCGTTTCACTTCACTAATTGTTGCCGTTACAATGTCATCCAGATATATTTGTGAATTTTGCGACACGCACTTCGAAACGTCTTGGCAATTAGCAAACCACAGGAGAAATGGGCATTCTCCAACAGTCGAAGTGAATTACAGCAATGATCAAGGTTTGTCTTTTTCTTTGTGCATATGAAAAGCATCATTCATTCGTTCACACTTTGACTTAGGGGAAACCATTGCGATGGTACTGGAACGCGACACAGCTACCGGCGAGTTCGTTTGCACTATTTACAAAAAATCTATGACAACCGGCTCTACTGTACGATCGCACTTTAAAAGACATCGTGGCAACTACTCAGCAACAGCAAATAGTAAGAGCGACTCGATAGGGTGTTAATCCCTATCTGTAAATCAAAAAAGGTTTTATTAATTAAATGTATATCATTGTTTAAACATATGTAGGAAAAAATAAAAAATTAGATTATAATTTTTTTATTTTTGAAACACTTAAGGTATTTCTTTTTTATTTTTTTTTTAATTCTTTAAACAGTTTAAGTTTTGTATTAATCTGTTTAAACCCTTTATGTTGTAATATCCCTTTATGTTTGATTTAATACTTATAGTGGCGGAACAGTAGTGAGCAAGTCCCTTCTCTAGCCGAGGAATACCTGGATGAAGGCTAGCTTGACAGTGAAATCCTTAACTAAAATTAATTGTTATGGATTGATACTCATAATCGATATTACATGTCATAACTGTAATCCACATTACACGTCATAACTGCTTTCTTCTACATATTTATGGTGCATTTCATCTGTAATCGCCAATAATTTCTTCCAAATTTGAGATCTATCTACTTTACCCTAAGTCATTATATTTCAAATCTATACTTTAATAAACACTTTTAGGCATGTAAAGAATAGTTATTGAAGTTTAGAAGTTGCAAAAAAAGTTTTAAAAAAAAGTTGATAGCTGTCAAAGATGGTTGGTCAAAGGCAATTTTCAGATATTTAGCAGGGAAGAATGCGATTTGAAATATGTTGCACAAGCGCGTCAGGGTTTTTACGGTCCCGTGTGAATAGCTATCAGCCAATCATGTTCGAGATTTGCTTTCCCTCACTCTCTATACTGTTTTACCATGGCTCCCCAAAGTAAGCACCAAAAGGCTGCTAAGAAAAAGCAATGTAATGATAATGGTCGTATTATCGTCACTGGAACCACATTGAACGAGGCAATTCAAACAACAATAGAAGAGGAGACAATCCCTTATGATTGGGAGATTGTTTAGGCATATTTGTAGGATATACCCAGAAAAGAAGCACTGGGATTAGTTAAAAGTTTTCTTCAAGAGAGTATACTTCACATCACAGAATTGCCATTCACTATTAACACATTACATATATTACCGAATAAAGAATCTGAATTTTAAAGTTGAAAATTGAAACAAAATGAAGTTTTGGCGATTACAGACGAAATGCACCATATTAAACTCGCGAGGCAATGCCGATGAATCTAGTGAATCAGATGATGATGAAAATATCGATGTGAGAATTCTCACCGAACCGATCACAATGCCAGTCCCTGAAGCATCTACAGCGCCCAAACGAACTTACGAGGAAGCACTACTCTGTGCATCTCGCCTTGTATCTGCGAAACCAGAAACTCGAAATAAGGCACTATGGATTCTGAATGAAATGCAGCTTCAACCATTTGCCTTAGTTGATTCCAATAATGTTAAACTTGCTGCAATAACACATAAAGACAATTTGATGCAAATGATCAAACCTGATTGTGATAATCAAATGCAGATCGAGCACGTCCACCAAGAAAAACGACAAAAGTAGACTGAAAATGCTAACACATCATCGTCAACCGTGGGACAAACACACCTTACGTCCATTATACACTACGGTCCATACAAGCATCATCTGATAAAACACTCGTACGCTGAAATGTCTCCAGAAATCGCCAATATGCTCAACACAGACTGGACTGTGTTGAGTTTCAATCCATAACAATTAATATTACTATAAACAGTAAATTAATTTTAGTTATGTCTTTCACTGTCAAGCTAGCCTTCGTCCAAGTATTCCTTGGCTAGAGAAGGGACTTGCTCATTACCATTCCGCTATTATAAGATTTGAATTAATCATAAAAGAATATTTTGTTTTTAATGGTTTAAACATGTTTATACAAAACCTAAATATATTATATGAATTAAAAAACAAATTAAAAAAAATATCTTAAATGTTTCAAAAATTAAAAAAATTATAATCTAATTTTTTATTTTTTCCTATATATTTTTCAACAATTATATATATTTAATTAATAAAACCTTTTTTAAATTACTGTTAAGGATTAATACCCGTTTCCACATTTCCGGTTCGTTTGTGTGCAAATACTAGCTTGTACGATTGCAATCAATAACATGACCGAGGCAATAATTATCAACTGTGGGGAAGTTTACAGCTGAACTCGAATGGTAGACGTCCATCGAGAAAATTTCTCTACCAAAAAGGGATCACCACCTTCAACCACGTTACCCCTAGACAATACCAAGTACCCAAATGTGTAGATCACGACAAAAATAGACAGTGATGGCAAGAAGCTTATCATCGGCACTAAATCATAGAATCTGCTGGTGACATCGTCACTGCGAATCGATACCGTCAAGCCTCCAAGTGTCGGCAGCACGCATATCCACTTCAATCTCGATCACAACTAAGCAAAGACAGCTGCAATTTTTCTCAACGTTGCATCGATCAAAAAAGCGAATTTATTGGTAGAAAGCACATCCACGTGTATGATATCGCAGTACGATGTACTTCATCAATTGCGACAAATCAGAACGTGCTTTTAATTTCCTTCTACATATACACTCTATCGTTCATCAAGCTTACTCACTGATGACCATCGATCCCGACCATATACAATCTTCACACTGGCTGAACAAGATACAGGTGACCAAGATTCGGGTGCCAAGGTTGCCTCTCAGCTAAATTACTATTAACTATGTGTAAAATTATAATAGATAAAATAATAATTAATAAAACACTATATTTAGTGTATGAATTTAATTTGATTACAAAGTTTAAATAAAATAGTTTCCCAAATTTTACAACATTCTTTGAGTAAATAGATCATATTATTATATTTTATAAAATGTAAGATATGTAATCGTTGAGGATTCTAATCTTTTTAATTAGTTTCCTGCTGATAATTCGAATTTATTAATTGTAACCAATAAGGTATAGCAAATTTTAAGAATTTCCCAGCATATAGTCTTATTTTCATCTCTATAATCTTCTGACTTTACTCTTAAAGATTAATTAAGAGATGCCACTTGACTTAATGGTTGTAACAGACCATAATATCCTACTTTATTAGGACCTAGTCGTCTTTGCATAGATCCCATAGCTTTTCGTTCTACAATAGTAATAAAAGCTACAGACATTAATAATAGTACAATAACAATAAGTACCTCAATAAATGATAATAACATGAGTTAATAATTATATATATATAATCTTAATATTTCTTTAAAATTCTTCAAAAAAACTCATTAAGATTTAATAAGAATATAAAAAAAATATTGATTATTAAATTTATTGTCATCAAGCCATTAGACTTAGTAAATTAATTTAATTAATTATTTAGACTAGAGCTTAAGCCCTGTTCTAGGTTTAGAAGATAAACTCTGTTCCCAGAACTTAATTATCTAAAAAATTATAATATTAATTAGTAATTTTTAATTAATTACTTAATTAAGATACTCGTTTAGTAGGATTTAATAATAAAATAATTGGTCCTACCGTAGCTAATAATAGAATCATACTTGCAATAATTACAAATAGTGCATGAGAAGTGTATAATACTTGACCTAGACTATTAATTTGATCTAAAGATACAAATAAATTATCCCAAATTAAATGATTTACAAATAATGTTTCTAATTTATCTGATTTAAATGATAATAAATTAATTGAATCAAAAATTGCAGGTAAATCAAATTTTGAAATATTTGGATTAGTTAAACTTAAACCACTTACAAATAGAGTACCTAATACAAAAGCTAATAGGTAAGGATTAGAAGAATTTTCTATTGAATCTTGTAACTCTACTAATTTAATATTAAGCATCATTACTACGAAAAGGAATAAAATCGCGATTGCTCTAATATAAACAATTAAATATGCAAACTTCTCTCCTAAGGATTCTTTCTATACGAAGAATCTTTAATTAATCCTTTTGTAATTAATTTTATAATAATTTCTTTAGTTAATGGTTTAATATAATAATAATGATTTAAATATACTTTACTTATATCTACAATTTTATAAAATGCATTTCTATTAATATTCATATAATCTAAACATGAACCTATAGATAAAAATGGAGTTCTATTAATTAAGTTATAATTAATATTATATACCATACTTTTCTACTTTTTGATTTATCAGCAAGTAATGGTGCTTTGTTTATATTAGCCCGGGGAGGGAATTACCTTAGCCTAGGCTAGGGTCAGTGATGCAGCCCCTGGCCCGGGCTAAAACTATATATATAGAAGTTTGTACTTTAGGATATAAAGTAGATAAATATGATTTAATTAATAGAGTTAAAACATTCAATGTAGATAATTTTTCTAATGATACATTTGTACCATTATTTGAAAAATATGTAATTATATTAAGTAATAATTTGTTTAAAGTAATAAATAACATAATTCTATATTTATGGGGCCAAGTCAGTTGGTGCTCCCTGCAACTATTTAATAATGGTATTGGTCTCAATTAGAATATAATCTAATTTCATTACTAAATATTATTAGATAAGTAATAATTATGTCCTACCTATATAAATATATAAATAAGATTAAATCTATTATACTTATTAAATTGTTTATATATATTAATCCACTATACCATTATTTAATCAACAGATTTTCATATATTTTATTCAATATTAAAATTAATTACTTTATGAATAATACTATAAAAAAAAGATTACAAAAGAGATTAAAAAAAAAAAGAATTAGATCTCAAGATAATTCTAGATCTAATTCTTTTAGGAGATTGGACTCTTTCTTAATGTTAGATTTAACTTGGTAAATCTAATATTTATCACCTGTAGTCTCTGAAGTATCTATTACACAGTTACTTACTGATTATCTCAATTAAATAATTATCACCTTCTAGGTATATTTAATGATTAAGATGTCCCAGTATATAGTGAATTTGATGGATAATAAATAATATCCTTGTTTGACAAGTTGCCCTAGACGTGATTACAAGTAGTTGTGGATCGCTGAAGAAATCTTTTGTCCATGGAATTCTAAAAAAATGCCCAGATGGACAGGTCAAGTCAATCTTGACGAATGTTGTTGCATTGTTTGGTGAGGACGAAGAGAAGGTGAAGATTATTGGGAACAAACAGCTAAACAGACAGCTCAAAAGTCTTGCAGCATTGCTTTCTTCGGAAATTGCAACTGCAAACCGATCTGTCGCCGATATAATTCAAAATACCTTTTCTTCCTATACCTAAACTGTCATCTTCTTCGTCTGCACATTATACCTTCTCTCCATCCACCTCTCTTATCATTTGTGAGTAAATACCACCCTCTTCTTTACTTAATGCGATCCTTCTTTCTGTGCCGACATCGTCTAAAATACCTTTTCGTCCCATACCTAATAAGAGTGCAACATATTCTTCGTCTGCACATTGTACCTTCTCTGTATCAACCTCTCTTAGCATGTATGTGAGTAAAAACCATCCCTATTTTTCATTGCGATCCTTCTTTTTGTGCTACAGTATGGCCATATGATGTACATTTATGGGATGTACAGTACCAAATTGGCTATAAATTTACAATAGTTTTTGATAAATCTAATAAATTGCTTGCTGCCATATTAAATTATATCATCCATTTTAAAATTTATCAATTTTATGACATCATGTGACCAAAATCATGCATTCAATGATTATAAAAATTGAAAATTCATAATATAAATAAAGAATGATCCAATGGATACAACAAACTATACACTACTGATTACAAATGAAGTAAACTCAATTATTGCAAATTATTGGCAATTCCTAGAATGGAATTGGCCTACTGTACATAATAAATATAAACATAGAACTGATTTGAGACATATTAAATTCATAGATAAAATTAAGGATGAATTGTTACATAAATTAGGTTATGTTGCTGTATTTTATTTTCTAGTAGTTTTATATACAAACAAGGAATATCCCAGACCTTACTTTGAAATTGAAAAAGGATTGTTTTTATTATATCATTTAGTCTCTAGAGCATGTGGTGAAAAATTTGAAAAATACTTACCACATAGCACATTTCATACATTTTATAAAAAGCTTTGGATGGATGAGGACAACTACAAATGAATCAACAAAATAGTAAATGATTCAGTGAATAACATGTTTTCATCTATCAAATTATGTATTCTATCTGCTAGAAAGCATAATCCCGACTTATTTAAATATGTAACACTTGTATTGGCCATGATTCAAGAATTAACTATGTAGATACTGAAATTGACCACTTTCAAAGAATGTATTCTTATAAATTTAAGAAGAATGGAATACGTACCCAATTTGTTAGTGATATGAATGATATGATTATTTATACTTCTAAAAGTGACTTTTGTTCTGATAGCTCAGATGGTAGCATGTTTTCAAACATGGAATTATTTAAATATATGCATGAGAATGACATAATGGCAGTTGATGGTGGATATACTTTATTTATCACGTAATTTACAGAGCTTGCTAATGAAAAAATATATAACTTTAGCTATGATAATTTTGTATACCCTATACGTAA